GTTTTTTTTTTTTTTTTTTTCCCCAATCTCTTGTCGCACCGTATCTAGATAACGCGGCGCCCAGCAAATTGCAGGAAAAAGACCAGGGCTGTTTTACTTTTCACCGCTGAGAAAGGACAGAAGGAAGCTGAGACAAAAGCTCTCTGTTGGACCAGAACTTGCGCGGGCAAGGGGGGGGGGGGACGGGGGAAAGCAAGTGAGTTGGTACCCCGGATTTGGTTCATTTTCCAACTTGCGCTGGAATAGCATATCTCAGCCTTCTGCTTCGTTAGCTTTGTCACACTTTGTGTTGCTACGGATGTAAATGCTTCCGTGGAGGCGCTGAACTATGTTGCAGTCTTGTGGCCAGATGCAGACCACCACACCGTTTTTGCTAAACGACCTCTTTTGGCACGCTGACCCATGTCAAGACACGGCATGTAAGACAAGACATTGACAAGGAATAAAAGAGCATGGTCCGTGGGAGCTTCGGGGGACCCTTGCCGGGTTGCCAGGCTTCCTTCCCCCTCCCTACATTTGATGGAATGAATGCCATGTCGCAATGTCCATCATCAAGTCAGTCGAGGATGCATCGCAACGCATAGCGCAAACTCACATACGGATGGATACATGAGCGGTGTCAGCAAAGTACTTGGCCGAAGGCATGGTGTATCAGTAACCGCAGGAGACTTGTTGGTAGTGAAGACGCAATGTCTGCGAGGCAATTCTCGACGGCAGGCAGCTACATGGCATCTCATCGTTGTAATGTTTATGAATATTTACTTGACTATATTGATCCGCTCCCCAATACATGCAAACTATCAGTCAACTGTCGCTCGGCTTGAGTGATAAAAGGCAGCAAAAGCAAAAGACGAAAAGAAATAAATAAAGACGCTTTTCAAAAGGGTCCTGCAGCCAGCTCCCGAATTTCTCGCCGTTCGCAGAGGTAAATTGTAACAGTCATCGACTCAACCTTGACAAAACACCGAACGGCCGACCGCGTATCGTTTTTGCTCAGGCAGCTGGGTTTTCAATGAGCCAGGCTGCTACCCTGGCGTTCTCTCGAACATTCAAGTCCCTATCTTGCTTCATCATCGCCTCTACCCGGCTGCCAAACCCCAGGCGCTTCAGCTCCGCCGCCCGCTGCGCGCAACCGTGTGATTCCGTGCCATTATCCTTAGTGATGAGGTTGTAAAGCAAGCGGCACAGCGCTAGGCGTACGGCGCTGTCCTTGCTGTTAGCATGCGGAACCAAGAGCTCGAGGAGCTCCGTCTGTGCGACGATGAGCTGGCAGTAACGCGGCCCGGTTGCTGCGATGTGCGCCAAGCTGTAGATGACGGCGACGACTATGCGTGCATTAGGGTGCATAATCTTGCTTTCCCGGCCTGAACCGCTCGCTCTCCGCGCAAATGGACGCAGCACCCTGGAGCGCAGCTTTGAAGCGAGTGTATCAAAGAGGTGTTCCTGTCCCAATGACTTGAATAGATAGTCAATAACTTCGGGGTTCGCAGTGGACGAGTCTGCTCCATCACCACCATCCACTCGCCCAATGAGGTTTCTGATGAAATCGAGGGCTTGCTCCTGGACTGCAGTGATATCGTTAAGGGCCTTGGGAACAGGGTTGCTCTCAGCATCGCGGACACGCGACAGATACCCCTCTATCTCACGAAGCCGGGGAGAGCCCGAAGCACTCAAGACACGAATGGAGCCACCAGAGGCGTAAGACCACTGTGGCCGGGAGTCAAGCGGCTCGCCGTCCATTTCTTCATCCAAGTCGTCTCCCATTCTCGAAGCATGCATCATCTCGTCCTGTTCCTCGCCACCGATCAGCTGCATTAGCCAGCCCGGCTCCAGCTGTTCCAGGCACGTTTTTCGCATACTAGCTGAAACTCCATCCACGAAATGCTTCAGCCCCCAAAGAGCATTGAGCTGAAGGGCACGGTTGGGCGAGTGCGCATGCTCGCAGAGCAACTTCATAAGTCCATGTTCTGCGAGGTACTTGGGCATGTTAGCTCGAGTAGTAGTGGTGAGTAATATAGCATTATACGTACTTCTTTTGACGGGCTGACGGAAACCACGAGGTTTGAGACGGCTGCAGTCGCAGCGATTTGCACGTTGATATCAGGGTGCTTCATAGCACTCAAAACAGGCGCCGCGACGTTGTTGTCAATCAGAGCAGTTCGGGATGAGTGGACAGACCTCGACAGCACCCTCGTCACGAAGCAAGCTGAAATAATTACACCAACTGGATTGGTACCATAGTCGGGATCAGGGCTGGTACGAGCCGGTCCAGCCACGTTCTTGTCCTTGTGGTCTTGGGCCTTTCGGGGCTTCCCTGGAAACTCACAAAGAGATTCCACGATGTACGGTACAATGTCCTCGACCGCAAGCGCCTTTCTGTAGCTCTCCTCGCACGCAGCGATCGCGCCGATCGCCTTGAAGACGGCTTCGCGTGTTCGGACGCGGTGAGCCATAACAGGATGGACACCGTCATCTCCTAACCGGTAGACTGGAGAAGCTCTCTCTACCTCCATTCTTTCATCGGCGTGGGGTGACCAATATTGTGCTTGGGTCGGTGGGAGGGGCCGGTAAGTGTTTTTAAGCACCCTTGTGAGTCTCTTGATAGCGTCGCAGTCGAAAGCCGCTTTCTGTAGGGTTTGACAATCGGTTATCAGACGCGCGAGGATGACAGGGCCTCGCTCGAGTACGAAACGTCTAGTCAAGGCTTTGGACTTGTCAACATCCTCAAACTCGGCCGTGTCTGTGCTTTCATTATCGCTCTTCTCGATGCTGTTGAGGAGTACTGGGACCGCTAGCAAGCCCAACGTTGTCTCTCGTGCAACTGTCATACAAAGACCAGCTCTGAAAAGCGAAGCAAGAATAGCTAAAGCGGCGAGGGAAGCTACTTCATCAAGCGCTCTCCCTAAGTACACAAGCCAAGGAATGAGTGGGCTTTCGATCTCCGATGTAGGGTATGATCCGTTAAAACCAGGTACATGGAATGGAGAAACCTCCGGTATCTGGAAACCATTTTTGCCTTTGCGAATGCTCTTTGTTTCCGAATGATCTGCGCGTGAGTGTGGTACTGGCATGTCGTTCTGTGACAAGGGGATCACAACCGACGGAAGAAGATATTCCATGGCTGTCAACCACGGAGGCCGGAAAGGGGTATCCGACCCTTGAGTTCTGTCCACTTCAACGTTGGGAACGCGGCGGGCCTTTATTGAGGGGAAGACAGCCAAGATTGAAGGCGAATTTACCAAGCAAGTTGCACGGTACTTCGAGTCTCCAATAACGGCACCGATAGCCTCCAAAACCGGTCCAATCTCAGCGCTCCGGTGTGCGGGCGTTGGTAATGCTTGATAGACTGCATCTGTACCTGCCGCTAGAACCGCATCAGGCACGACAAAACCATCACGGACAGCGATGCTACCCAGTTGCGTAGCCAGCAAGTCCAACACACCACCCGCCGCAAGCGCCTGTTGGTGACGCTCCTCACAACACAGACGAGATATGATCGCAGTAGCGAGACTGTTCCGTCTGGCGATGGGTGAAGGCAACTCCTGCGTAGTCGACGAAGCTAACATGATGCTCAACGACTCGATGTGCTGTGGTGTGAAGACTTGATTGGCAATGGCTTCGAGGTTGAAGGTGCAGGATGGTGATGCTAGCGAAGCTGCATCAGCAATGGTGTTGATAGCCTGGAGGGCAGCGATAATGATTTGAGTCGGAGCGGAAGCAGGGGAAATGTTGTTGAGAATCGCCGGGAGCGCCATGGCCGCGTTGAGTGGCGGCAGGAAAGCAGGACCGCCTGAGGCCAAATGTTAGCGCATCATCAGCATCTATGTAGCCGTCCCAACTTACCCATTGCGAAGCTGCCTATAAGCTGCAGAGCTTGTAACTTGACGCTCTCTTCGTCGGAGAGCGTGCGCGTGGCGGCTGGCTGTCGCGTGTCTCTGCCGTTGGCTCTCAAAGGGGATCTGGTGGCCGCCAGGGTCCTCACGATGGGTTCTAGAACGCCCACAGCCACCCATTCCTCCTTCCTCTGGACATGGCCCACGATTTCATTCTTGAGCGCCCGAAGAGCAGCTGTCTGTTCCGAAAATGTCTTTGCGCCACGCAGCTGCGCAAGGATCGGGGAGCTCTGAGGGCGAGTCATGGGCACAAGTGTCGTAGGCCGTTACGACCTCGCGCTGAGGACGTATTTCTGGATAGTTTGTCGAAGCTAGGTGGTAGGAGACTGTATCGTGAGACGATCTCGATCGTACCGATTCGTGGAGCTAAGGAAGGTTGAGCGAGGTCGGAGCGGAACGAGAGAGAGAGTGAAACCGGGTGGGAATTGATCCCAGTTGTCTAGTTATGTGGGATATTAAATGAAGGCGAATCGAAAGACACAGTCGGGGGCAATGGAAGCAGAGAGTCGAGAGCAAAGGACGATGAGTTGATGAAGATCTTGGGAAGCAAGTATCGGGGATGGATGGATGCCAAACGCACAAGAATTATGGGGCACATGTTTGTATGGGAGCATCAGCAACTTCATGCACCCACCTCTGCCCGAAAAGTAGCCCGAAAAGTAGCTAAGCAATAAAAATGTCTGGCTTTTAATGATAGATAAATGATTTGTAATTCGGAGTAGTTTCATCAGAGAAAACCCGCTTCAAGAAAATAAGTACATGTTCTATATCACAGTGAACGTGTTGACGAGTGCCGCTCGAAGTTGGACTTTCGGCATCTGAAAGGTGTTGCAACCCTTCGCTAGCCGACAATGGAATCCTAAGACCACACGAGAGAAGAAAAATGTCAAAGTGATTGATTATACTTTATAAGACGCCATAACCAAGATATCCTGCAGTTTCGTCTCACGCAAACTCGTCATCCGCCTCCTCGATGCCGTCCCTGACCTTGACCAGCATGCTCGTCTTCCACTTGTCGAGCTTGCTCATCTGATCATACTGGAAGAGCTTGTCAGTAAACTGCTCTTGGCTCTTGGCCTCAACCGCCTCGCACAGGTCGACAAGGAGCAGGTGCTCGCGCTGCGTGGCGAACGAGGGGTCCATCTCGCGGTACTTGTCTAGCGCGCGGTGCGTGGCGACCATGTCGCCGCTGGCGAGGCTGCAGATGCCGGCCTTGAGGAAGTAGTCCTTGACGCTGTATTTCATGAGGTTGTTGTCAATCGACACCGTGGCGACCTTTTCGTAGTTTTCAATGGCCTTGTAGTAGTCACCCTCGAGGGCGGCCATGTCGGCGACCTTGATCCAGAGTTTGTTCGCGAGGCTGCCAAGTGGTTAGTTGGACAAATATGCGCTAGGTATTCCGAGACGCAAATGGGCAGAGAAGGTAAACGTACGCGGTGGCATTGTCGCCTTCGTACCACGAAGCAGCAGACTCGGTCGCCTCCAGGGCGCTTTTGGTGTCGCCGAGCTCCTGCTCGTAGACGTCGGCGAGAGCCTCCTGCTGGCTGGCCGCTCTTCGAAAGTTTCCCTTGGCGCAGTAACGCTGGATCGCCACCTTCACGCATCGGACGGCCGCTTGAGGGTCGGTCTTTCTGTAGGCCTTGAAGGCATCGATCAGGCTGTTGGCGGCGTCGTCGGGTTCGTTGAGGTTCTTGGTGAAGACCTCGGCGGCCTTTTCAAAAGCTTTGCCGGCTTCGAGATCTGCATGTAGATGGGACACGACGTTAGTTGTCGGCGTCGACGGGCGCAACGAGTAAAGTCCCCCCCCCCCGGCTGCACTCACCCTGCTTCTGCATCTTGAAGGCGTTGGCAGCCTGGACATACAAGTCGGCGGCATTCTGATACTTGTCCTCTCGGCCGCCAAAGAAGCTGAAGCCGCCGCTAGCACCTTGCAGCGTCTTGTCGGCCTGTATTTTCGGCAAAGGGCAGGCGGTTAGTTCTGTAACAGAGGTTGGAGAGTGGGGGAGGGGTTATCCTCGGCGCACCTTCAACAGCAGAGCACGAGGGTCTTGAGCCATGGTGGAAAAGGGCAGTTTCAATCAAAACTGGCGCTTGTAGTTCTTGGTAAAATGTTTGCGACGTCACTTCTCGTAAGATGTAGATTCCGAGAAGGATGCTGGTCGCATGTGAAGGAGATGATACGTAGTCACACAGCCGCCAAACCAAGCTGGGCCTATGACGCCGGGCGGCAACGACACCGGGCGGTCAGGCAGCGAGCATCAGTTGCTCCACTATTTTTACTTGTCCCCTGTAACAGCTGCCACCAAGTGCTAATAATAATCTCTTAAGGACGGTGTATCGAGCATTAATTGCTTGTCACATCTCGCGTTCTCGTCCTCGTCCTTTTCACATCCCACTGTCTGCCACCTGTTTGGAAAAACGTGAAATGACCATGCAGTCTTCTTACGGCTTCGTCTGCTTCCGTTGCAGAGCTCTCGCCCGTTGGCCTATGTCGCAGCTCGTCTCCTCTCGACATCGCAAAGCCACATACTCAACGAAATCCTCCACTGCGCATAAAATCCTGGCGCGTCCAACCTGGTCTGTCCGGTCCCTCCTCGCCGAAGATGACGCGTCGCCGGCCGAGGCCATCACATCCGCGCAGCTACACCACCTGCTCCGACTCTCCGCGCTTCCGCTGCCCAAGTCCAAAGAGGAAGAGGCATCGATGATTGCGACCCTGCAAAGCCAGCTGCATTTCGTGAAGGCGGTCCAACGAGTCGACACCACCGGCCTGGAGCCCCTCCAGGCCATACGAGACGAGACGGAAGAGGGCTGGAAGGAGGGCACGATAGGGCTGGGCGACCTGAAGCAGGTCCTCGCAAAGGAGGTTCGGGTAGGGCACTACAAGCGCCCAAGGAGGGTCAAGGAAAAGATTGAATCGGAGGCAGAGAACTGGGACGCGTTATCTACAGCATCGAAGAAGGCTGGTAAATATTTTGTCGTGGAAAGCGCAAAGAAGCCATAGGAGCGAGTTCGTGGAGGACGGTTGTCTGCCGCATGACGCATTGTACCACATACATGATACCCTTGAGCAGATTGCTCATGTAAACTAGAAATAGAAGCGCACCCGTCTAAGACATTCTCCGTTCTGTAGCCAATGAGGCTGTTTATTATCCGCTTAGAAATCAAATATGAACGACCCGTCATGCCCATAACCCTTAACCAAGCCATCGCTATGCATAACAAGCTCTTGATAAGAAATACGACGAAATCAATCCTCCTCAACAATTTCTCTACTTCTTTTCTGCCACCTCCTCCTTCCGCTTCGGCTTCGGAACCTTTTCGTAGGCGTTCGGGCTCGGCGGCCGCTTCTCCTTCTTCTCGCGTGACTTCCCGTCGTCATGATCGTGGGCGTGATCGCAGCCCTCGTGATGATCCCCGTCTTTCTCGGGCCCCTTGCCGTTCCGTCCTCTCCCGCGACGCATCCTCTCCTCGTAGTCCGACTCGGAGTCTGATGAGGAATCCGAACTAGACTCGTCGCTCGATTCGTCGACGGCCTTGGGCTTGTGATAAATACAGCATACTATTTTAGAGAAAAACCACCTTGTTAGACACATGGTCTTTGCCAAAAACGTGCTCGAGGTGGTTCGACGCCTTCCTTACCTTTGGAGCTCTTCCGTCCTAAACCCTCGTTGTCCACCACGTCCTCGGCCCATTGAACCGACCGCCCGTTGGCGCTGTGCCGTCCGCGGAGGCGCAGTATCCTGGGCGCGGAGTCCGGGGCGCTTTGTGACGTGGAGGCGATCGTTGTTGTCTGGGATGCAGATGGCGTCGGCGCGCTGCGCTGCGATGGCTGTTGCGACATGGTGTGGCGTGTGTGGTGGAATTCTTGAAGTCGCTGGTCGTCGGGCTGTCCTGGCACGCCGTTTACCCCGCTGGGGAAAGTGATGTGCCGATGGAGAGGGTGTTCTATGCTTGCCGCGAAAATGCGAAATGCTTCGGCTTCTAATACTGGGATGGCCTCTAAGGTGGTATGTTTTCGCTATGTTGGTGACGGATGGAAGAGAAAGAGAGAAAGGAAAGACGTCATGCGAAGAAGCTTTTTAGTGCAACGACTAACCTGTGGCGGGGAATCTAAAAGTCGTCGCCGGCCTGGGCTAATGGCAGCCAACGTGTAAGTGGTACGGAGCTCACCTCATGGCAACAAAGGATAAAAAGACATCTCACTTGGTCTAATTCCTTTCTGTACATTGTAGCGTGTGTCTATAATACATGTTGTACAATTAAGATGATACAGTGCGCCCTCTAGGTAGAAGCGACTTTCGCGGCTCTCGCTTCCACCTTGGCCTTCTTCTTCTGCCCCTTCATGCTCTTTCTTGGGCGACTCTTCTTGTGCTCTGGGAGGACTCTCGGCTTATTATTCAGCCACCCGTTGATCGGCCGTCTTGTCCCGATAAACCGACCCTCTGGGGTATATACATCGACCGAGGGAAGATTAATCTCGGAGGGCTGCTCCTCTTCCGGCTTCGTTGCCGAGTCCCGTTGCGTAGGATGCTGGCCAGACTTGTCATCGTCTCGCCGTTGGCGCATCATCTCTTCGAATGGGTCCAAGGCCAGCCCCGTCGACTTTGACTTCTCTCCCGCGCTCTCTGCGCTCTCCAGGCTTCCGCTCTGACTACTTTCACCGTCCTCCCTTGGCCGGTAGAGGCTTCGCGTACGAACCTGGGCGACAATCTCGACGTAGCCGACGCCTTCAATCAATATATCAACAGACAGAACACGGAACGGTAGTCGATCGATGCTGAGACCGACGGCGTTCCTCCTGGTCAGAGGTCCCGCCCTTTGTCTGGTGACGTCATGCTGCAAGACAAACCTCCCGGCATGCTGTATCGTCGGAGCAGTGCCAGGAAGGGAAATGTTTTCCTGCGCACCCGAAGTCTTTACCTGTGTCTGGAAGTCGACAGCCTTTTCGGTACTCGTGATATGGTCTTCTAGTGGTGTAAAGTTATACATGAGGAAGATCATGTTCTCCGATGATGGGGTAATGCGGATTAGTCCGCCGCCCAGGATCAGGGACTGGCCAGGCTTGACGGTGGCCTGCTCTGGCACGATGCGCTTCTTCATTATGAGAGATTGTCTGTGCTCCTCCTTGACAAAAAGGTCCAAGTCGCTGCGGGCCAATCCAGGCAAGTCGATCAGCTCGCCCTTCTTGTTGCCAAAGGGAATTCGAATGGGCGATGCTGTTGTTCCAGGAAGCGACGAAACCAGAGGCATGGCTGGGTAGTTGGTAGCTCCCCGTGCAGGAGGCAGTAAATCCCCGACGTCCATGTCGTCTTCTTCTGGTTGAATGTGGCCGATGGCCGTAGGCCCGACTGAGGCGTCCGGGTGGTCCAAACGACCTTTTGGATAGACTTCTTCAAAAAGGCGGCTTTTCCCAACATTAACCTTTCCGACCATCCATCCGGCACCGCCTCTGCGCCAAACGTCCTCCCTTACATCCCTCGTCCACCACCCGTGGCTCGCGCTCACGCAGCGGACGTTTCCAAGACGAACTCTGTTGCCGAGACGGCCCAGCGCGTCTCGCAGAACCTCTCGGAGATACGGCATCAGGGCGTCGACGGATTGCTTTGTCGGCCCGAGCAGGTCGCTGCGGGTGATGATGAAGCTCAGCTCTGTCTGCCGGTCGCGGAGGAACTTGCTCGCGCGGGAGCGTCTGTTGCGAGTCCGCAGGGGAATATCGCCGAGCAAGACATTTAGTCTTGGGATGAGCGACATGGGGAAGTCGGCGGCATCAATAACGTGATATATGTGATTATATTTATGCGGCGATTCCTCGATTGTCTCTCGCAGCGACTCGACAGTTGGATGAAACATGGGCACTCTGCCGGAGGCGGACTTGGCATTGTGATGTATCAAGTCGTGGCATCGATCGCAAACAGGTGGCTTCGGGTCTGAATAGAATTATTTATAAGTCAAATACATTTCTTTCAGAGTTGCAGAGGGGCTGCCTACCAGAGAGAGGCGCAACAAGTGGCTGCTCTACTACCAAGTTTCTGGCGTCGAAACCGAGGGCAGTCAGCTGGTCGCTGTCCATGGATTTCAAGACATTGTCAATGACTTGGTTTTCTTGTATGTCCTTTTTTTGTAACTCGTGCTTGGGCGGCTGCAGCCACGTGCGTACGCGCTTCGCGGCGACGTCGTAGTATCCAAGCTGCTGAGAGTCGGTCGTTTGGGTGAATGCGCCGCAGCCGCTGCAGGTAAAGGGAAGTTTGAGCTTTTCCTCCGCGTGCGCCGCTACCGGCTGAGACTCCTCCTTCGGCGCGCATGTCTCCGCGTGAATCAGTCGCCGCTGGCCGATGTTGCGAGGAGGTATCGACACAGGTGTAATTTGTCGTTGTCGCGCGAGGCCCACGGCAGGGCACAGGAAGAGAGGGAGGCCGGCAGCGGGCAGAGCCTCACTCGTCCTCAATGTCCGGGTCAGCCACCGGGAGGAAAGCACTCTGCGCATATCGTTTGCTTAACAAGAATTCACCCGCGACATGACCGTGAATGTACTCGAACCAGAGTAAGGAAGACAGGGTGCTTCAAAGGTTGCGACTCGGTCTGTAAATTTCAGTGGGTCGTTCAGGGTGCTGGCTGAATTTTTAGTGCCCCTGGGGGCGAGCTGCCAACGCCGCCTGCTGTCGCGCGACCAGAAATCGTGTGCGGAATTTTTGCCGGGCCGGCACTGTACAGGGGATACGATTTTCATGCTTTCAACTTTCTATGCCGGCCATTTCTCGAGGCAGAACGACCAGCAAGCACACACAACACAATGCGATCATTGGGAGAGCGATTACATCTACTCCGAAAGGTCAGTACCATTTCTTACTCGTCAATTGAGCGCCTATGCTAACGAGATACACAGAGGGTAAGAATCTGAACCAGAGCCAGCTACTGCGACGAGCGCGAGACACGATGCTAACGACAATCCCGCCTACAGCTTCTCAACCTCCGGATGGGCCCCGGTGCCGCCATCCTCCCCTCTGAGGTGTCCCATATTCACATGGACTTTGCCCTGCGAACGCACAACGGCCACATGGGCGCCAAGTACGAACCGTCCCTCCTGGCGAGGCGTCTCTTTCTTGAGTTTCCTCCGGTTCGCTAACTCGAGCGCGCAGGAAGTTTTGGCGCGAAAATCTCCCACGACTCAAGTACCACAATCCCGCCGTCCCCATGATCGTCAACCGCCACGGCCAGAACGAGCAGCCGCCGACCATGACCGTGTACCTCCGAACCGCCGCCGCCGCCGCGGGTGACGCTCCCGCCGTCGCTCCGCCCGCCTCCTCCCGCGTCGGGCTGTCCAAGGCGCAGCCGCCGGCAAGCAACGAGCGCGTGGTGCACATCGACATGAAGGACAAGCACTCGACCAACATCCTGGAGCAGCTCATCGCGCAGGTCGGCGCCGTGCCGCTGCGCCCGACGGCGGAGGACACGGCCGAGTGGCAGAGCCTGGAGGAGCTCCGCAAGGTGAGCAACGCCAGCCGCGATCGCATCAACGCCATCAAGGCCGAGAAGGAGAGGGAGGCCAATATGTTGCGGCAAGCCCGTGCGGCTGGTGGTGCTACGGAAGATCCAGCGTAACCCGACACGCGGTTGTTGTACCATTACTGTAGTTTATAGCATATTTTCGTTGTTCAAGGTTCAAGCAAGGAGTACATATCTCTCGGTGGGAAAAGATGGCATGATTCTTCTCTGATAAATATTGAAATTCTTTTCCCAGAAAAGAACAGAAACTACCTATTGCAGCTCTGCTGAACAATCTTTTACACCTCAATCTACTTGAGGCCAAATCCTTCGCTTTCATTGACGGCTCTCCAAAGAACATATTCAAGCTTCTGTCTTGTGCGATAACGCCATAATGATATTTGGTTAAAGCACGTCCTTGCCACCGGAAATCGAAGGCAGTCATCGCCCAGACACGACACCTTGATTATCAGAGACGTAGCACCAGTCGCTGGTATGCGATCACTGCCAGTAATGAATGAAAGGAGGCGACGCTGATCGCCCGGTTCAGCTTGTCTAAATGTTTCCCAAAACCAGCCAACAGCGGGTTCTACCCCATCAGGCTGCTTGCTACCCCAGTTTTGGTATTCAGCGACAGCTCGCATCGAGTCAACATCAAGTGGCTCATCGGAACCTCGGATTAGTAGCTCAATTTCTCCTGGACGGAAGAGAGAAAACGCGTTTCCACCGCAGACGTTGTAAAACCCTCGGCGAAAAGGATCAAACTGCCGTCGCACCGACGTATCGAGCTCATGGCGAATGTATAGATCCACGTACTCGCGCCTGTTGGCATTCGTGACAGGACGTCTCTCCCCACCGTCGCACAAGGGGATTGCTGACAGAGATCCATATCTGTCATTTTCAACAACAAAGTCCAGTGCAAATGTAGACTCGACATCTCCGTCATACTCCAGGAGTTGCTGAAGCCCTCGGGCCAGTCTTGGACGATACTCGGCGAGATCGTCGAGTGTATACTTGATGTGTGGCGGCGCGTGTGCCAACGAAGTCATACCATGGCCGGGTGCCGCGGCCAGCAGTTTTTTGAACGCGAATGGCGGAAGCGGCACATCGAGAATTGTGGAATTGTATATTGCCAAGCCCAAAACCACACCGACCAAGAAGTATTGATCAGTGGACTCCAGCGAATTGGGGTTGAAGTAGCAGAAATGAGAATCTTCGTCGTAGAGGAACATTCCTGGGTTTTGTCAGAACTTGCATCATATCGGAACAAAATGAACATACCAAAGTCCGGGTTGAAGACATCGCGAATGACTAGTTGGAACCATTCTTTCCTTAAACCACCGCCATCAATTCCTTCTTCACCTCGAAACTTGATCCGGAGACCTTTTTTGATGTCATCTGTTCCACTACCAATGACCTCGCTCACTGCCATCAGACTGTCGTCAACGAGACACTCGCGACGGACAGTCAGAGTCAGATACTGCTGAACAGACTTGTTAGACATGATACTGTCTATTAGCGCAGCTCTTGCTTTGTTTTGCATTTGTCTGCGCGTGTCATGCCCTAGTATCGCCGTCTTGGCCCAGACACTGAGAAGGAACGGGTATTGGCAAAAGGAAAACAAGCCTTGTTTGGCTTCCCAGGTATCAAAATCTTTAACAAGATCAATATAGTCAACCATGGAAACATAAAAGTCGCTGCTTGGTAGTTTGTGGCCTCTCTGATGAGGGAGATGAGCATCACGAGTGGAGCCGGGGTCGTTCGCGGCGAATATGAGAGCGAGGACGCGTGAAGTTGCCTTCACTTGCCAGTCGTCCGGATATGACGTTATCTTTTCCGGCTCTGTGATCTTCTTGGACGTGTTTGACAAGCTCAGGGCTCCGATTTCATCATGAATCTGTGCACCAGACTGACCGCTCCGCATCTGAGGTATCAAGAATGAGGTCACTGCGTCTTCATCCGCACCCTTGACGGGCTTTTTATTCCGTTGCCTGAGCATCCTGTATGTGAGAAACCCAGAAAAGAGATCCTTTGCTTTGACGTAGCGTTCTTTGTCAAATTTGATCCACCAGCTAATCAAGTGATTGTGGCAGAGCGGCGTGGAGTTCGAGATGAGGCCAATCAGCCTCTTGATGATACCTGAGTGTTGACCTGACAGTGGTCCAGAGGAAGGCATCGCTCCTGATCTATCCGCTTGGTTCATTTGATGTATCGCCTGTGGCCTACGTCCAGCACCACTTCGATACGCCAACCCTTCCATGGGTAGGTGACTGCTATGTAGCAGTGGATTCTCCAAAATAATGAGTAGAAAGCGCAAATCAGTCGGCTGCGAGATCGGATATCGGGGTCGTTTCAACAGCATCTCTGTGTGTTTGAGAAGCGTTCGGTGAACATGAATCTGAGCCTGTCGGAACTCATTCTCCAGTGTCGGCAGGTCGAGATCAACTGCAGAATGTGTCGACGAAATTTCCGTAAAGACCGAATGACAGCCCTCAGCAGGCCCAATAATAGTCCGATACCAGTTATCAAGTTCCGACCAGTCCATCTGGAGGGGCTTTGCCGCCGAGGAAACCCTTCTGGTATGATCGGGCTGCTTCGGTTTTGGTGCTGTTGTGGGAGCTTGCGGGCGACTGCCAGTCCACCACAGTCCGTTCTCCGCCACATCCCCCAGCAAGAGAAGCTTTGGATCCAATTGGGTAATTGGCATACTTGAATCGGTGTTACCACGTGGTCGACTTCGGTCCCGCGGCTGTATTCGAGCATCTCTCAGCACTGGTTCTCTTGACGGCACTATTTCTCGCGAAGGCACTGGTTTTCTTCGAATTTGGTGCTCTGGCCCGACAGAATAATTATGAAGCATGAAAGATGAGTTGAGACAATCCGGTGACCTGAAGCATTCAGCGATATAGTCCTCCAGTGCCTTGAAAATGGTTTGCGGCTCGTGTGAGGGGGATCGGCCAGGACTTGAACGGTTTGCACCAAAGCTTGGCCCTGCTGCAGGGTGGTTCAACGCCGGCTTGTCTGAATACCCGTATGACAATGACCGTTGCGGTTTAGTCATTGGCCTCGGAGAATCACTGCTAGTATTTCCAGCAGGAGCATTGAGGAACTGTGTCCCAAACCTTCGTCTAGAATCGGGCACTGCTGACCCTTCAACAGCAGTGCCTGATCCACTGGGATGTGACTGTCCCGAAGTTGACTGCCATAACCGGTCCTTGCCATGAAGGCCCTGGCTCTCTTCGAGTCTCCTTGATATATGCGATTGCAAGCAACGCCGCACAAGATTCTTGGTGTGTAGCAACGAGATAGGCTGCACGTGCGCTGGAAGAGTATCAGTATCAGCGGCGCTTCTGCAGTAAGCCGGATACGTACCGCGTCCGAAGTCGGCAGTCTTCTGCGTGGCTCCGGAAGCAGACCCGTCTCTTCGTGTGGCTCCAGGCATGTCATGGCCGTCCAGAGGCTCCAGGTCATTTACCGTGGCGCAAGTCGTGCATTTGAAGACGGTGAGGTTGCTGGGCCATCGAACGAGACCGCCGCACGTCATGCAATGTCCAGTTGCGAAGTCTTTTCCACTGACACCGCCGACTTTTCTGAGCCCGCCATCCATTTGCCAGGCCATTGTCCGACCATCTCTGCGCTCGTCTGATGGCTTGGTCGGGGCAAAGTAGGATGAGGGCGGCGCATCAGCAACATGGGGCATAGAGGGAAACGGATGGCTCATAGAGCGACTGTGCCTGCCTTGAGTTGGTTTCGGTGGCACGGGTGGAGGGCGGTCAGGGGCACGTGAGGTTGAATGCTGGAACCGACTGCGATCGTCATTACTGCTGAAGAAGTCTGTAGGTCTCCCCTTGGGTCCGGGCACGCGATCATGCGAGTCGATGTAGTACTGGTGATCACCAGAATCAGGGACTTGGTGTGACATGGTAGGTACTAATGCGCCGTGCCGTTATGAGCAGCTCCTTCTCAACAGCGCCCGCGGTCACCGGATCATGCGGTAGAGTAGTTCCGCCGTTGGGCTGGCTCTTGGGCAATTAGTGCCGATGTCGATTGTGTGGCAGTAGCACCTTGGTTCCGAAAATTGCCAAGGGCAGTCTGCATATCCAAATCAGGTGGGAGAAGGATGCAGTTTTTGTTGATGCTGAAATATTTGGCCGATTCAAGGCGCCGCTGGTTGGGTCGACAATGTGCGTGCCTGTTGCAGCTGTCTCAGATGCAGGGGTTTGACGTCTCGAGCTCTGACCTGCGCCACAAGGACATTACTTCAGCCTGAAAATGTTGGCACAGCGCTTCTTCAAGGTCTTTCCTGCTGGTTTGGTGTGCAAGGCAAGGCTTTTTGTGTCGTCAATCAAGAATGCAACGCACGTGCTCGGCGATGTAGAACAGACAATGTGAAGGGATGGATGGCCCAGCTGGACGGTACCAAGGAGGATCGCCCGGGTGGAGAGGCCCGAGACTACCCTAGATTGAGGCAAGGTGCGCAAGATGCAGGATTTTGTTTTGACCGCAGCCATGGCTGGGTGTTGACGATGCATTATAAGAAAAATTCAAAGAGTTCGGTTTTCTTCGCATATCGGCCACTCATTATGACAGCGCGATCATTCGATTCGATGTTCAGCGGGTAGTTACTATAACCTGCCGTTTTGAGATATCAAGCCGCGTCACCACAAATGGGTCAACTAGGTAAAGGCAAAGGTTAAAACAAACACAGCCACGCAATCGAGGTACCCATTCCGAAAACAGTAAAATGACATGTAGAAATTACCAGGGGCGCAGATACGAGATCGTTGAGCTATATCGCGAGTAAGCGCTCCAAACTACTGCTTTTTAGGAATGGATACGTCTTCATGCGGTTGCCATCCATCCACAACCTACCGTTGTATTGGGAACCTCAAACACCTTACCGTTAGATGCTGCCCTAGTACAAGCCATCTTATTCGGTTACAATGCACCAAAGAGAACTATGGAATCGTTGACAATAAAAATAAAATCAAGAGAAAATACTCACATGTAGGAGACCTGGATGGAACATGCGTGCGTCACGAAGTGGGTGGCAACGTGTATTTGTTCCCTGTTAGGTATCTCAGCTCTCTTAGGCATCTTACGTATTTCACGTATCTTAGGCATCTTAGGTATCCTGGCTAACTATCCCATTTATCGCAGGGAAGGATCAGATACTTGGCAGAGGACAAAAACATGTTGCCACCCACTGTGTAGAGGTGGGAAGCATTTGACCTCGGCACTCCTTCTAAGCTCGAGCTTGAGCCCAAGAGTGCCCTCAGGCCGCCCCTCAAACGACTCTCTGTTGTTGCTAGAACAAAAGTCAAGTGGCCAAGTCCCACAGACGAAGTAGAACGCATACATAGACACCTTGCCGATGCCATACCCGGGCTGTATCCATATTATCGTCGATATCGTATTAGAAGTGTGCGCCCAACTCTGAGCTGCGTCGATGACTGGCTCTGCCCGAATTGCTGATCCTTTCGGTCCCTGCGTTGTTCGGTTCGTCGTCCTGTTTGTAAGTGGTCTGGACATTCACAAGTCCCCGCAGCCGCTGTGAATGGATTTCACAAAACTGATAATCATTCATGACACTCCTTTTTTGAATGGTAGTAGATTTTTTGTTGACCCTGATGCAAATCATTCCGAGGTTCTAAGCCTCTAAAACTCCCACCATGTCTTCCAACCAACCGGTATCACGAGCCGACTCGAAATGAGATTTGACCTCCCATCTTAAAATACATGCCGGCTCCTTTCGCCATGTATTGCAAAACAGATAACCCAATGTCGTGAATGGATCGTTTACGAGGGGGGAGCGGCACCGCGGCCACGGCCGAATCCGCCACGGCTAAAAACACAGAATGTTAGCAATTGGTCCGGAAATCGCACAATGGGCGTCGCGTGGGTTCGTTCTCACAATTCGGGGTTGAAGCCACCAGGGGCGCCACCCTCCTTGCCCTCACCGGCCTCACGTCTGCGGTAACCACCCTCGCGGTCGCCGCGGTCGCCACCAGGCCGACGGCCGAAGGGACGGCGCTCGCGCTCGCCCTCACCGAGCATGCCGCGGGGAGGAGCGTGGGATCGCTGCTGCTTAATGTGGGTGGCGGGGACGATCTCGGCGGGGAGGTGAAGCCATTCGCGCAGGTAGTCGAGACCCTCGGGGGTCAGGGTGTAGTAGTAGTACTGCCACGAGAACTGGGTCTTGACATAGCCGCGAGAGGTGAGGGACTGGCAAGCCTTGATGACGAACAGGTTCTTGGTGTCGATATCGGGGTGCTTAGGCAGGTTGAAGTCCTTGGCGGCGACGAGCACGCCCTCACGGAAGAGGTACTGTATTGGGGAAAAGTTACATCAGTATATTCGCTTCTCTCCGATCTGTTCGATAGAATGTCGTAATACCTCGTGGATCTTCTTGCGGTCGGCCTTGGGAATGAGCATCGTGACGGTTTGCGTTGGCTTCGGTCGATGGTTGGAGTACAGTTTTTCGAGACCAAGTTGTCGCCCTCAAAATGGTTTACTTTTGTGGGCGCAAGCCCTACACTGATACTGACCTAGCGAAGGTGGGGTGGCTGAGTTTGTGCGTGTGGCTGGTGCTCACGTGCTGATAAGATATCATCGACTTTGGTGTGGCGTAGTTTTCACGAAACTCAGTTTCCACTTGTCGTGCATATGTGGGGACTGAATCCAACACCGACCCGACCAATCGCATTTCCAACTTCATCTTTTTCCAAACACCAGATCATTCGCTCAAGACACTTCTTATCAGTCAAATTTCAACATGGAATCTCAAAAGCACATAAACGTCTTGGTGTCGACATTCGGCGGCTTAGGTCTGCCACCAACAGTCATCCTACCCGCGCAACCTTCAACCACAGTTACAGCCTTTCGCCACCAGTTGAACGACCGCCTGCCTGTCACTGCTTCAAGACTCATCCTTACCACTCTATCGAATAAGCAACTTCCAAGCGAATCAGAAAATACACTCTCTTCATATCTCTCTACCAAAAATGACGACTTTCTCTCCTTACGTCTCAGCATTCCACTGTGCGGAGGCAAGGGTGGTTTCGGGTCTCAGCTCCGAGCGGCTGGTGGTCGCATGTCTTCGCGAAAGAAGAGAACACAGGATGACAACGGCGAGAGCCGCAATCTGGACGGTCGAAGACTAAGGACTGTCAACGAAGCCAAGGCCCTGGCCGAATATTTGGCCATAAAGCCTGACATGGATAAGAAGGAAAAAGAGAAGCGCCGCGCCCGCTGGGAAGAAATCGTGCAGCAGACAGAAGCGAGGGAAGCAGAAATTAAAAATGGAGGAAAAAGCATGATTGATGGCCAATGGGCGGAAGACAAGGAAGAGAGCAACGAGCGCACCAGAGATGCAGTTCTCGCTGCCATGAAAGCTGGCAGCTACACCGACAACCTCAGTAGCTCCCATGGCTCGAGCTCTGCAGCGCATGGCGCCAGCCTATCAGATGGTGATGAAAATTCATCTGCCAGCTCAAAAGAATCGCCGCCGCCAGCACAATCTGCAGTCGATCCCAAAGGCAAGGGCAAGGCTCGCGCCTTCTTTGGGTTCGACGAAGATGATGAGTTTATGAGCTCGGATGATGAATCGGGCGATGATAAGAAATAAACGCGTACAAACCATGTCATAGCATCTCCTACCAAGGCCATTTCTCTCTGGAGTTGGGATGTGCTCTACTGAGTGGGAAGCGAGGAAGAGGAACTTTATTACCATCACGACGGTGCATCGGCGTTATGTTTGTATTTGTTATCAAGGGACGGCGGGACTACTCTTTTGTATTTTATGACATGGGCTATTTAGCGGCAATTTACCCCCATTATTGCAGTCTATCAACCTCGCATAGTACACAGGCAGCACGTGCTGCCATTTCCCCCATCTATATCTTCCTCGTCATCCAACACTTAACGCCTTGCCATTTCTATCTAAGCATCGAGCTTGACGGGAAAGTTGCCGGCCTCTGTGACTTATTAGCGGTTTTCGATGTGACAATTTCTGTACAATCATACCGCGCTGCTCATCCCAGCGGTTGTACCAGCCGGAGGGGCACAGGGATCGGTAAGCGAGCCAGAACTAGACATGAGCTTGTTAATATCGTAGAAGTCGTGGGAGATTCGATTTTGGGCCGTGTTGTACCTGGCGGCAGGGAGCGAAATCCTCGCCCTTGGCGGTAATGCACTTGTGGTAGTCGACGTAGTTCTGCCAGCAGTGCTTGGTCTGGTTCTGGTTGGGGAAACGGGCGTCGGTACCTAGCGAAGTTGTTGGTTAGTATCTTAGAGGCCAATTGAAGATATCTGAGTCGAATGCGACGTTGCGATCACAACTTTTGGCGGCTTGGGAGGGAGCGTACCGGCTGTCAACATGGTTAGCCTCGGGATCCGAACCGATAATTTTCTCCGCGGTATTATCCGACTCACCAGTAACGAACTTGAAGGGCTTGGTCACAAGCTCCTGACCATCTTGCACTTCTTCTTCAGCCATTGTAAATTGATTTTATAGGTGGTAAAACTGGTTAGAGACGTAATTGAGGCTTGTAGAAGCTTGGGCGGTCGTAACGGGAGGTTGTTGCGTAGAGGTTGACACCACGAATCAGATGATTCCCAATGCGAGCACAGTCTCTGCCTCAGGCTTACTAAACCAATCAGCCCACGCCGTAAGGCACCCACCACGCCAGCGAACCCGGCTTAGTGGGCCAAGCTACCAGATTGCAGCACTTCTCGACGAACTCCAAAACATCGTTTCTTCTGAATAACGGTTGCTAATTGACTTCTGCTCGGCTCTCCCGCCTCTCGCAAACTCTCCACTCATCAAGATGCGCGCCACTACTGCCATGAGAATGTTCCGTCAGACCCCTCGCATGATGCGACCGGTGCCCGTGAGTGATTATGTCGCTGCTGATTGGACAACGCTAATACCTCGGTCATACAGAAGGAGGATCAGGCTGGTACGTGATGAAGCTGTCCACGATTGTCATACATCGACGGCCGAAACCGAGCGATCCGACACCTTCGAACGGGCATTTTCTAACCCCTTATAGGCCATACCATCTCGCAGCGTCTTCGCAAGCTCAAGCAGATCCCTGCCGAGCTGATTCCCCTGGGTACGTTGATTGAGACGGATTAGCCGACGCGACCTGATATCTAACAAGAATGATAGCTGCCGTCGTTGGTTTTGCCGTTTTCGCTGCCGGCTACTCTTGCGTCCGCAAATTCTGGGTCGACAAGAACCTCCGTCTGGCCCGACAGGGACCTGGTAGCCGTGCCGACCACCACTAAGATTGAGACTAATCGAGGCGTGACGCCAGTTTTTTGTTCTTGTACGGGAAAAGGTAGCTGTATATGTCTAGGAAATCCAGTCCGGTACAAAATAGAAGCCAGACCATTTCATCGTCACTCTCTACTGCTTCAATGCGTGAAGGAAAATAATGTTTAGATTGAAATCGTGTCAATTGTGAATTGTGAATCCGGACGCCAACGCTATGCAGAAATATACAGGTATGTGCAACATTGCACTGCAAATTATTGCGGTTTTGGCCCAGCCACATCCAAGTCCTCCAAGCCTTGCATAGGATCCGGGCCGGCGGAAGCCTGCACGTCAGCTTCACCCTCGGCGTTCCCAGCCAGCCAACCCTCCTAAAGAGGAATTAGTAGTGTACTCTTGGAGATTTTTCATGCGTACATGTTATAACGTACCTGGTCCCAGATAGCAGTTTTACTGCCAAGGCCTTCTTGCGCACTTTTCGGCACCTTTGCTTGAGAGACTTTCAATGTTCGCCCAAAGAACTCTGCTTGGTCCATGTTGTCGATAGCTTCTTTGGCATCTGCGCTGTCTTCAAACTCGACGTATGCGAAGCCCTTATGTGTTTCTCCGGAATTGGAAGTATCGGGCTTTGGCAGTTTGACCTCGACGAGCTCACCAAATGGGATAAAGGCGTCTACCACATTGGCGTTCGTAACCTGTGGTGCCAAGCCACCGACGTAGACGGTTGCTTTCCAGCGGGCTGCATCCGACATTTTGAAACCCAGACTTTGTGTTGTATCGCCCCAGACTGCTGATACAAAAATTCCAATGTGAAGTAAAATCGAGTTTTCTTGATCTTTACCCTGGAAATTATTCGCCTGTCCATACTAACCAGCTTCCAACGAAATATTATCACGTGAACGGGTGTGTTGCCCCACCCCGCTGCTGGGGGCCCAGGAACACGTCTCGACAAGGGGAAGCTCCAAGTGCCTGCAATCTGGCATCAAACTTGACTGTATTTCGGTTGTGGCCAGTCTCAGCAACCCATTTTCTAAAAATTGATTTTATGATTTCTGCGGGCAGAAGCTAAGAGGCACATTTCTCTTAGTGGCCGGTGCCAATTCCCGGATTCTCATTGCTCTTTTAGCATAAACGTTCCCGAAATCGAATAACCGCTCCTTGGTCCCGCCCCCGATCCCCGAGCTCACCCCGCCATCATGGTGCGCCTAAGAGATATTCCACGAACGGCCACCTTTGCGTGGTCGCCTGGTGCCGGAAGCCCTCTTGTGGCTACTGGTACCCGCGCCGGTGCCGTCGATGCCGATTTCTCTGACGAGAGCAAGCTTGAGCTCTGGGACTTGTCCTTGGACGACCAGGGACAGGGACTAGAGCTCCAGCCCGTCGCGAGCATTGCCACCGACGCCAGGTACGTCAGATACGTACTTTGTACCTGCGCAATTAGCTAAATGAAAGAAATAGATTCTACGATATTGCATGGAGCCCGCCTGATGCCGATCACCCAAAAGGCATTATTGCCGGAGCTATGGAAAACGGCTCCCTTGATCTTTGGGACGCTGCTAAGCTGCAAGCTGGAGGAAGTGGTGCACTGATGTCGCAGACGACAAAACACACTGGTGCAATCAAGACGCTCCAGTTCAACCCTCTTAAGCCACAAATCCTAGCTACCGCTGGTGCGAAGGGAGAAATCTACATCTACGACGTCAACGACATCGCTAATCCATTCCGCCTCGGCAATGCTGCCGCCCGCTCCGATGACATCGAATGTCTCGCATGGAACCGCAAAGTCTCCCATATTCTTGCTACGGGCGGAGCAGGTGGCTTTGTAACCGTGTGGGATCTCAAGACTAAGAAGGCATCTCTCACATTGAACAATAGCCGCAAAGCAGTTAGCGCCATTGCGTGGGACCCAAACAACTCCACGAAGCTCCTGACTGGCACGCCAGACGACAACACTCCAGTCATTCTCCTATGGGATCTTCGAAACTCAAATGCGCCGGAGAGGACGCTCCAGGGCCACGAGCAAGGTATCCTATCGCTCTCGTGGTGCCCCCAGGACAGCAGCATTTTGCTCTCGTCCGGAAAAGATAACAAGACCATGGTTTGGAATCCTCTGACAGGAGAGCGCTATGGTGAGCTTCCTGAAGTCACGAACTGGACTTTCCAAACCCGCTTCCATCCACACAACCCCAACCTGTCAGCGACTGCAAGCTTCGACGGCAAAATTACCATTCAAACTTTGCAAAATACGAACCCGGACACTTCGAAGACTGCTATTGACAACAACCTGGATGGCGCCGACTTTTTCAGTGCTGCCCAAACGCAGCCTCAGGGTGCCTCCTGGTCTCTGAGCAAGGCGCCTAAGTGGTTTGAGCGTTCTATTGGCGCCTCGTTTGGCTTTGGTGGCAAGATTGTTATTTTTAAGCCCACACAAGGCCAGGAGAGATCTTCCAAAGTCATCATCTCGCAATTCTCTGCCGATTCTGATTTCTCGTCGGCCACGGAAAAGTTCCAAGCAGCTCTCTCCTCCGGCGATCTCTCGTCTATTTGCGAAGAGCGGATGGAACTATCTAAGACCGGCGAAGAAAAGGCTGATTGGAAGGTGATGCAAACCTTGATTGGCGAGAACCCCCGTGGCAAGATCATTGAGTACCTCGGCCTCAAGGAGGAGGCTAGCGAAGAGCCTACGGCCGAGGAAGCCAAGGCGGAAGATACGGAAGCTACCGACGACAAGAAGAAGGTTTCTAACTTCTTTGATGGTGCTGATGGAGAGGGTGATGACGATGACTTCCTGTCTGGTGTGACAGCGACCAAGGGTGCCAAGACTGACAACCCGTTCCACCTCTTTGCTGATGGCGACACGTCTGTTGAAAAGGATATTACAAAAGCGCTCATGCTGGGCAGCTTTGCTAAAGCTACTGACATTTGCCTGAAGGAGGACCGCATCGCGGATGCTTTCCTAATTGCCAACTGTGGTGGTCAGGAGTTGGTCGACAAAGTTCAAACTGCTTATCTTGCTCGCAAGACCGGATCACCGAGCTACATTCGTCTGCTCGGCTCCGTCATTGAGAAGAACCTCTGGGACGTGGTGTATAATGCAGACCTTCAGAACTGGAAGGAGACAATGGCTATTATCTGCACTTTCTCGGATCCTACTGAGTTCTCCGACCTCTGCGAGACTCTTGGCGATCGTATCCATGAAAGCGGTGAGCGCAAAGACGCCTCTTTCTGCTACCTCGTTGGTTCCAAGCTTGAGAAGGTTGTGTCTATCTGGACCGCAGAACTGGAAGAGGCCGAGCAAGCTGGTACCAAAGACCCATCACAAGACTCGACCTTCTCCGTTCACGCCAGAACGTTGCAGAACTTTATCGAGAAGGTAACGGTCTTCCGTCACGTCAGCAAGTTTGTTGACAGCGAAACGAACGAGACTGCGGGCTGGAAGCTCGCTGCCTTGTACGACAAATACACGGAATACGCTGATATTCTCGCTGGCCATGGTCAGCTTGACGCCGCTCAACGCTACCTTGACCTCCTGCCTAGCACATATCCTGCTGCTGAGGGTGCTCGCAGCCGGGTTAAGCAGGCCACCCAGAAGTCGTCCACTAAGGCGGCCGGTGGTAAGATAGCTGCGAGAATATCTAGTGCAGTCCCCCAGACGCAGAGTCCTTACGGTTATCCTACCCCCCAGCCTCAGCCTCTTGGGACCACCGGCGCTGCTAATCCATATAGCAACATCAGTTCCATTCCTACGCCCCAGCCCTTCCAACCCCTCCAGCCACTGCAGCCGCAGCCGCCGCAGCCATCTTACGGAGGCAACCCGTACCAACCATCAGGCATGTATCAACCGCCTGTGCAAAGCTATACCTCTCCGGCACCGCCGCCGGTTTCTGGCCCCCCTCGCAGCGGCACCCCGACTATATCGACAATGCACAGTGCGCCCAAGGATAGCTGGAACGACGTACCTATAGTGACAAAGGCTGCACCCCCCAGACGTTCCACCCCAAGTGCACCTCCCCCAGTCGGCCCGTACGGTGCCCAGCCCGGTCAAGCGCCACTCGGGCCTCCCACGTACGGCGCGCCTCCGAAAGCCAGTCCTCCCCCTCCTCCACCCAAGGGCTCTGCCCCTCCCCGCGTCACCTCGCCGCTAGCCGGTCCTCCCCAAACGTTCCAGGCACCCCCTCGCCCTTCGTCTGTGGCTAATCAGTATGCGCCCCCGCCTCCGCCTCCGCAAGTTGGTGCTAGCCCTCAGATGGCCAATCTTGTCGCACGAACTGCCTCCCCATATAACGCACCTCCTGCTGGCGCCCCCCCTTCGAATAGATACACTCCGGCACCTGCTGCACAGCAGCCGAGCCCTGCGCCCCCAGCAGGAGGATATATGGCACCGCCACCTGTCGGTAGCAATGCCCCTCCCGCCAATCCATACAGTCAATTTGCGCAGTCGCCAGCAGCACCGCCCGCGGCAAACTCGTATGCTCCAACCACCAGCTACGGTTCGCCGCATGGCGCGGCAGCACCACCCTCGGCCTCGGGGCCCCCTACTGGACCGCCCCCGATGAGCCGTCCTGGGCCGCCTCCTGCTGCCGCCACACCTACTCCCCCTCCCCCTAGAGCCGCGGCAGCTGCCCCCTCCAAGGGCAAGCATCCGCCAGGTGACAGATCTCACATCCCTGCCAGTGCTCAGAGACTTGTTGAGATCTTGACTGAGGATATGCAGCGCGTTGCAGCAAAAGCACCGGCCACATTTGCACCTCAGGTTAAGGATACCCAGAAACGCCTTAGCCTGCTCTTTGACCACCTTAACAATGAAGATCTGGTGTCGCCCTACAGCGTCACTAAATTGTCGGAAATTGCTGAGGCCCTCAAGTCTAAGGACCACCCAACGGCGGCGAGACTGCAAGCTGAGCTTCAGCGCGAGAGGGTTGAAGAGTGCGGCCAGTGGATGGTAGGTTTAACTCAGTCCACACAGTGATAATATTGCTAACAATGAATCTCAGGTTGGCTTGAAACGTCTCATCAACATGAGCAAAGCGACACCCTAAATACTAGATACACTGACGTAAAAGCGGCGTTGACGAGTTGTATGTGGACGACGATAAAATGGATGTGGAGAGTGATGCTACCGGCGCTGTGTTTTAGACGAAGTAGTAATATCAGCCCTTTGAAATTATTTATTCATTTGTAAAATTTACGCAATGTATTCTCGAGTATGGCACTTTTCGAACCGTTGCGTATGATGCGAGCGCAGCGGCCCTTGGGTGAGGTTTAGTAAGTACAATCAGCATATAACCACGGCTCCACCCGACTTTCTGGAAGCTGTCAATCTCACCACCTACAACCTAGACAACGATCCATCAACTAGCTAATCGACGCCTGTCCACGCCATTATTGGACATCTGCTGCCCAACAAACGAAGCATAAGGAGACCAAGAAATTAATAGCCCGACCAGAAAAGCCGACCCATTACATCCTGACAGCCATGACGGAGGGTGTGTCGTCCTCGAGCGATGCCGCCGCCGAGCGAGCTGCCGAGCAGGCCCGACTGCGGAAGGAGCGTCGCGAGGCAAAGATCAAGGCTGGCGGCTCCTCACGCCTGAACAAGATTACAGGAATCGGCGGCCGTATAGTAGGGGGTGCGCATTTCATCCTCTGCCCCGAGCAACAAACTAGCTGCTGACGAAATTCTGCCAGACAACGACCAGGCGGTGCCAGAAGCTCCCACAGACACGACGACGACGACGGCGGCGGCGGAGGCGGCAACGCCTAAGCCTGCCGCGGTCGAGGACCCTGACGAGGTGGATATTTCCGAGCACTACTACTCGCCCGGGGCCGCGCGCCTCCTGGCCCAGCAGCAGCAGCGCGCCGGTGCGATGCCCTCGCCTGCGGCGACCGGCGACTTCCCGCTGCCCCCTGACGGCATGACGGAGGAGCAGCACGCGCAGCTGCGGCAGCTGATGCTGGGCGGTGGGCAGCCACCGGCCGGTGTCGGTGAGGAGGACCCGCTCATGAAGATGATGTCGCAGATGATGGGCGGTGCCGGGGGCGCTGGCGGAGGCTTCCCGGGCATGCCAGGAGGCGCCGACGCCACCTCGCCCTTTGCCAGCATGATGGGCGGCGCGCAGCAGCAGCCCGCGGCGGCCGCCGCAACGGACGTCTACGGCACCGTGTGGCGCATCGTGCACGCGCTGCTTGCGCTGGGCCTGGGCCTGTACGTCGTGCTCGCGACGCCGTTTGACGGGACCCTGTCGCAGCGGCAGCTGGCTTTTAAGCTCGAGCAGCAGCCCGGCGGCGCTGACGACGATGTCGGTGCGTCTTCGTCGCTCGACGGGGCCAGGAACAACTTCTTCTGGGCATTTGCGACGGCCGAGGCGGTGCTTCTCACGACCAAGTTCTTCCTCGACAAGGGCCGCGCGCCGCCGCCCGGGTTCCTGTGGTCGGTCGCGGGCCAGCTGCCGGCGCCGTGGCGCGGCTACGTGGTCAACGTGATGCGCTATGGCCAGATCTTCACGACGGTCCGGACGGACATTTTGCTGTGCGCGTTCGTGCTGGGCGTGTGCGCGTGGTGGAAGGGGCAGCTGTGAAGAGGGGTTAAACTGCCCTTGCGATACGGCCGATGGAGTATCTAGAATAATGATCAAAGAGTACGACTTACGTCATTTATCTGCATCTTGGCCGTTTATTAAAGTAAATGCTGCACTTTTGTACATGCTCGCTCGGATATCTACTTATGCTCTTATCATACAACACGACGTTCAACGTTGTTCCCACCATTGTACTGCTACATTTGCCAACGCCATCACAAGGCAGGTCTCGCCCCTTGCTACTCCCTGAGGACGTAGCCGAGCACGCCGCCGAGCACACCACGCACGCGCCGTGGGTTCTCAAGCACGCAGGTGAAAACTACCGCCGTGCTCGCGGCAAAGGTCAGCGTCTCGCGCCACTGCTTCTCCTTGGGGTACTGGCGAGGCACGAGGGTGCTGAGCGCGCGGGGGGCGACGAACAGGCCCATATCCTTGCGGCGCCCCTGCGTCTCGAGCAGGACGCTCCATCCGCAGAGTGCGCAGCCGGTGCCGACGCAAATTCCCGCGTCGAGGCGCTGGCGGGCTTCGCGGTCGGTGCCGACGAAGTGGGGGCCGACGCGGGTGCGGGCGAGACAGACGCCGTAGTAGAAGAAGGTGATGTAGAGGGCGAGGAAGGCGGAGGAGCGGGCGGCGGAGCGCAGGGCGCGGAGGAGGCCGCGATGCGTTGGCAGGCCCCGGCGTAGCTGTAGGGCTAGGGCGAGGGGTAGGTACGTGTACATGGACCACTTCCAGGAGCGGGCGAAGCGGCTGAGAGCGTGGTACTCGCACGAGGGGCCGCAGCCCATGTGGACGATCTCGCAGGGCAAGGGCACCTGGGCGACGGGGTCGCCCCAGTGCCGCGGCAGGCCGTAGTCGTCACACATGTCGCCGATGAGGCCGGCCTGGCCTGTCTCGCGGCCGTAGATGAGGGCGCCAAAATGGAAGCGGCGCAGGGCCTCAATGAGCCTCGTGTCCACCTGCGCGGCCGACGTAATCCACTTCTGATACCCGCGGGGGAGCTTATCCGGGTGGTAGAACCAGGACCACATGATGAGGGCGCACGAGGAGACGAAGACGAGCGGGTCGGCCATGTATTGGATAAGGGACTCAGCCTGCGGTTCGCCGCGGTTAGCATGTTGTGGAAGTAACAGGCGATGCGGAAGGGAGGGAAGAGAAGAAAGAGCGTACTTTGGTCCATCTGTTTGCCAGCTGGCGGCGGGAGCGGCGCTGCGACCAGAGCTCGCCGACAATGACATCGGCAGCACGGGTGGCGGCGAAGAGGGTGAGGTCCATGGTGCGGCCAGCCATCTTCTTGCAGCGCAGCTCCTCCTCCTGCCTGGTTCTGCGGGCTGTAGAATGCCGGCGAGGGGCGGTACCCTTGGTGTGTAAGAGCTTCAGGCCGAACCAGCCTGCGAGGAAGCTGCATAGGAAGCGTGCCAGGCTAGACAGGTAAGCGAGTCAGTATCACAATGGAGGAAAGCTAAGGACCAATAGAGATCATACCGTAATCGAGAGGTTTCGCTAAGCTTTGAGCCAAGACTGGCAATGACCTTGTCTAACGGTTTCTACATGAAGCTCGATGTTAATATATGGATCTGGATGCATGATGGATGGCAGGCTCCATCGAAGACAGAGATTGCAAATGCATTCTTCCGAAACCTACATGTAATAGAGATGTTCCGGCGACGAGAACAGCGCAAAAGGTCGGGAAGCGCTGCGGGTCGAAACCCGAGCGTAGAATGTGGCGAACGCCGGCGAGAAACGTGGGCTCGTCGTCTGGGTCGGCAGGGAGGAGCTGGTCGGCATTGCGCCGCAGCTTGAGGATGTGCTGGACGGCGAGGGTCAACAGCCGGGGCGCGACGGCCGAAGCGTAGCCCAGGGCATAGGCGCGGAGGACCGGGCGCAGGGCCGGCGGGACGGCCAAGGTGCCGGTGGACGCACGGTGGCGGGAGGGTGCCTCGAGCTGCGACATGGGACGGCAGTAGTTAGACCTGGAAAGCTGGGCTCGGCGATCGCTGCAACAATCCAATAAGCCCGCCAACTTTGGCGACAGCGGGACAACAAAGCTTCGGTCTGATGATCGATTGTCTGGCGTGACCAACCAGTGACAGATCAGCGGCCCGAAGAGCCGATGCAACGATATCAGACGGGTGTGCGTGGGACAGAGGAGGATCTAAGAAAAAGTGGTCGGTACGCTGCTGTGGTGCAAGGTTACATGAGATTCTTCCTCCGAACAGCTGGGATAATTCCTCCACGGCGTCGTCTCGGTGAAGCCTCTGGTCCAATGCGGCAAAGCACTGGCTGGTGCCGTGCAGGAGACGGCGTCGCGCAGGGACCAGGTGGGATTTCGTCGGGATACGGGAACAGATTCGGCGTATTTTGAAGTGCTGCAGGTCGGGGACGGAGACGAGATGAGATCTGCCTTGATGCAAGGCGAATGGACGATGAAGGCGTCGAACGTGTGTGTCGTATTACCCCTCGGAGGCAGTTGCTGCACTGCCGTCGTCGCGTGTGGTTATCTGACGCGCGCCAGCCACAGAGGGGTACCAGTAATTGGAGAGATGGCCAATGGCTTCCGGATTTGGCTGTGGCTGAGCAAGGGAACTCGTTCCAGAAGTTGAGGCAAAGCTGCATGAGGAGAAGAGCAGACGCCGAAGGAGAAAAAGAACCCCAGAGAAATATTACGTTGCTATGGGTAAGGGAATTGGTCTTGTTTAATTTGGCGGGTTGAGGCCGAGTATTTGCCTCGGGTTCAAAACATGGGATGGTGGGTTGGTGACAAGGCCTGCCAGCAAATTAAGCGGGCATTTATCATTAGTGGACTCTCAGTGGGCAGCCCGGGTAATTTGGCGGTCGATGTCGCCGACTTACAGGCGTTGATGCGCTATAACTCGCCTGAAGCTGTCCAAAAATGGCCTGGAGCGGATACCGGGACTCTGGTTCCAGCTTGGCATTCTTGTGGTGCGTTTGCACACACTAAGTTACAGTACTTGCTCCCATGTGAAAGCCCATCTCGTCTCGACTGCCGCCTGCCAGCTGCCCAGGAGCAAACAACAATCGACATGACCTTGTACCAACGCACAAAACTTCTACATTGCTAGATCTATTCAAGATGCCCATGTCCGTGATCTTCGAGATTCTTCTTATGCGCGCCATCGCCAACCCGCAGAGGCACGATGCATTAGTAAAACAAGACCGAGCATGCAGATTGATGCAGGAACCCACTCACTCACCTTCTTCCCTCGCCTGTTGCAGAGCACTGTTGGTGATTGCTCCGACCTTCGCTATCTTCCTGTATTGCTGCGGGAAATGAACATGCATCATGCAGCCCAGTCATCGCCACACAGCACGAATATGATGCTTGTTATAAATGTCTCCACGACTCAACCCACCACGCCACTACGAAGGTTGAGAGCCCAGTCGCCCCTCCAGCACCACCTGATGCTGCGCCCACTCGACTTCGACGTCGACGGCCGTCTTGCCAGACCTGGCCTGGCTCTCCGTCTTCCCGTCTCGGGTGCCTGGCGATCCATACAAACTACGAATATTTCTCGGGGCTTCCAACAGCCTTATTCAGTCCGGGTGAGATTAAATATCGACGGCAGCCTTCCCATTTCCTATTATATGCTGATGTACTCGGCGTGCCGTTACCGACGTGCATTAGTCAAGTACCGCATGACAACCTTGGCTTGCCCTCCCAACTCGGCTGATCTGGCCCGGATGGCCGCTAGTTCTCGTCCCCGTCCAATGCAGCAGCCTGCGCCGAGAAATGCATAAGAAGGGTGCTATCAGCTTCTCCAAATCCTTTAGCCTGGTGGCAAATGAGCAACAACGCAAGCAGGCTGGCAGGTGATGGGTCTGCAGAATGACAGATAACTGCTAATGTAGGTGAGTGAGAGCCAAAGCTACCCCGAAGGCTGCTCACGGCAGCCCTTTCTCGGCTGTCGCTGTCCACCATGAACCACTTTGGGTCATCTTGGTACGACGCCACGCTGCAAATAGTGTCAGCCCCGTCTCTGCCGACAGTGGAAGTATGGCGTTGAGTGGTATGAATGCTGCAGAGAACTGCGGTGACGAGCAAATTATTGTCAACCTTGTCAAATTTCCAGAGGATAGAGTTCAGGGCCAGCTGCGGTGCACATACGATTGACAAGCTCAGCAACTGGTCAGCAACCCACCCCCACAAACCTGGAGACGAACCAGGCGATGCTTGAATCTGTGACCGGAGATTGCTTCAAGGGTGTAAGCGGAGGAGCTTCGTTCAGCGAGGATCCGGGGAAGGCGATATCCGCAGTTACAGAGCTGGTAAATGGGCTTTTATGGTAGCTCTTGTTCCTATTTGCTACAGCACTACGGGATGAAGAGGGGGGTTAGACAAATCGGCAGCTCCAGATTAGAGTGGTGCGTGGGATGATGAGACGTGTTTCAAGACGAGGTCTAGGTCTCGGGACAGAGGACCTGGGACGGTCGAACGGATCTGTGTCCTGATCTTGTCAAAAGACCACAAAGTTGTCATCTTGGGCACCATGTAAAGCAACGGGTGCATGAGCTAGTCGCTGGTGCACCCTGCCCTTGTAAAAGTCATGACGTCTCGTGTAGACGTCAGGCGGTCTATAATTGGTAGCCTGGTATGGCGCTTCCACTAGGACATGCTCGCTCGGGGTGCCATCCCAGGCTACTTGGGCAAACAAAGCAAAGGCGAGAAGGAGTCATAATCGTTGTACGCGTAAGAGATGTACGGCATCTAGCCGACTGGACGTTCTCTTCCTGCTGCCCAGGGCTACTTTTATGCAGACCATGGGGCACACGTCGTCATGGACAAGGGACGAGTCGGAACGGAAGCAGCGTTAACGAGACGTAACGGTATGGCGATCGTCAACGGCCACCGGGTCATGTCGGAAACGGCGTTTCGCTCGCGCGAGCGCAGGGCAACTTAAAAAAAAATCTCGAAAATAATTAAGAATTGATGGGCTGAAGAGATGGCTGTGGCGTCCCGTCTTGGTTTGTGTTCAATAATGGGGGGTGGCGTCTTCTTCACAGAAAGGGTTTAGCGTGGGTGCAACTCTTCTAGGTAGAGACGCCGAGGAGCAAAAAAGTCAGGGAAGAAGGCGAAAAAGCATGTGAATTTGAGATGCTGAACAATGGGGGAGAGAGAGGGGAGGACCCCGATAAATGCATGGCCTCGCAACGTCGATTGACGAGAACCCGAGCAAGAGGCGTTATACCCCACCGTACCATTCTACCAGTTTGGAGAAGGTCAATCACTCCTCTTTTTGTTAGTATTACTATTTGGAGGGTTGTTAATAAGTATAGATATGTGTGTGTGTGTGTGTGTGTGTGTGAAGAATAGGGGAAAGAGGGGAACTTGCGTGGGAGTAATAATACGCGGTGGGCTGTCGTGGTTCGTGCAAGACAGAGAAGGATTGAGAACATGGCTTTCTTTCCTATTGACACAATAGCAAAAACCACCAGCGTTGCAAAACTCCCAGTCGGAAAAAGAAGAGAAGATGCGTTGGCCGGAGCCTCGGAGCTTTGGCAAGTGTAGTTTAGCAGGGTCAGTGCCTCGTGGTAGAAACCCGCTAGATCCTTTCTCCCGCGACATACACACTCCTAGAGTGCTTATGAAGTAACAAGACAAGCATCAACTCCAAGACAAGGTCTCGCAGTGAACTCTGATTTGGGAAATAATTGTCTCTTCCGTCCGGCTTCTAGCGCCTCTGCTCTCCATGTCGCTCCGACATTTGGAGAAATAAGAAGGGGAAAGACGGATGAGAGGGAGGTGGTGTTGCAGGTAGGATCCCTACCTCATCTGCAAGCCTGGTTTAGTCTGCTACCGTCATGATCGACTCACAGCTCTTGAGGAAGCGAGAAAATGTGTGGGATTGTAGGATAGAAAATGGTTCATTGTCCGTTATTCGCCATCTTGCAAGGCAGTGCAATTTCATCGCACCTGCAACGTATGTACATGTCACTTCTCTCCTATTTCTGCCATGTATATCTTTGATTATGAGTATGGCTTGAGGTTAATTTCGCGCGCATGACCCTCTTCGGAGATGATGGACACTAGATGCTTCATCAGCGTCCGATTTCTCTCCTGGACGTGGTGGCCTAACTACTCAACTTAGTCTGAGAGCCTCCGTTACGTCCAATGAATATCTGTACGGATACGAATCGACGTCGCGTGGGTGTAGGTGTAGTGGGAATCTGTGGATGCCAAGCTGCGGCTGGCCACGGACACCCGGAACAACCAACGAACGGGCGACAGAACTAGTCACGTTGCGCATTTTTCGAGGCTATCCGTGCTAATTTTTGTGATAATACTGACGGTATTAAGAGGCAAATGCAAAGACGACTATCGTTCCTCCGTTCGTTAAGCCGCAGGCTGAACCGTGCCCTTTGGCCAGTCCACGAACAGGTATGGTTCGCATAAGATGACGGCCATCTCTGATCTCCGAAGACAAGGAAATCCACCCTCCACATCTCGGAGGAGAGTGAGATCCATAGCTCCATAGCAGCATGAATCAACAGGGAAGAAAGAGGTCCAATGGCGCAGTGATAAATGGCTGGTGGCTTTCAGTAGGCTCCATCCTCCGTCCCCTTGTATGTAATTGTGTTGCTGAAGGACCCCGCTGACGGTGAGCCCACTGTAGCGAGGGCCGCTGAGAGGCTTGGAATGCCCTGATGAAGCAGGCTGTTTTTAGGTTCTTGGTAGGCGGCCGAGACCGCCACCACCGAAGCGGAAGGGCCCAGCGGTGGCGAGAGTTGCAAGTGCCAAGGAAGCAAGAAGGGGGGAAGGTACCTATGTAGACGAGCAGAGATATGAACGTAGAATTGAGAAGAACGTTACTAGCTAGTAAATAGTTTTTATTGAACCGGACGTTGACGACTGTAACGAGCCTGTCCTCGTAATCCCGTCCGTCCCTAGGCTCTCTCTGTGACTTACAAGTTCAAGCCTCTCTTTGTAGTGGGTGGCTGCCGTGACCGCACACGCCACCGCCCAGCCCACCTTCCCGCATCCATTCAGCAGCGTGGGGATACTCATGACAGGATGGGGCAACCTGGGGGAGACTTGACTTGTTGTCTGGGGACTCTGCCCGCATCTCGCAGTCGCAGTCGCAGTCGCAGGCGAAGTCGACGTGTCTGGCCAAATCCAAGGCTCTCTCTTGCTGACCCTTTTAGTTACCCCCCTTCACATATGTACACGGGCGTTATTTTTATTTTTTATTTTTAATTATTTTTTGGAGTACGCGCCACTTGGATGTGGGAGGCAGTCAACCCCCCCGCCTTCCTTTAATAACTGCCCATGCCCTCCCTCGGCTTGTCTTGAGACCTCTGTTTGCAATACCCCGGATTTTTCCTTTTTGTGTCTTGATGCCAACCTTCGTCTGCAATTCATGTCTGTTTTTGCTAGCATTTTTTCCATGCTAAATCGAATTCCGTCGCCGTGAATCGGTTACACGCAACATATCGATACCGACTGTCCGAGTCTGCATTCAATTTTGCCAGCAGTCTCGACATCCACCGTCCAGCTCTCCGTGCCTGACTGACCTGACCTCGCCAACGCCGTCAACGCCCCCCATTTCCACTACAGCGCACCTCTACCCGCTAAAACTCGGAACAGTCACCCACCAAACTTGGCGCCTTCTGCAGCCATCGATCCGTCCAGTCGCCTGTACGGCCTTGGTCAGCCCCAAAGTCACTCCGCCGAGCCGCTCTAATTTTTCTTCTGCGCTCTTCCTCCTCCTTGCTTGGTGCAGCTGCAGCGCAACGCAACACCTTCGCTCCAAAACCGTCACATCCATCCACTTTTCCTCCCATCACCATCCAGAGCCGCATCCATGCTCGCCGTCCAGCAGCCTCCCAGGATGGGTTCTTCACAGCCCGATTCGGATCCTTTCCTGCCATTTGGCTGTAAGTATTCCCTCTCCTCCTTGATTCTTGCCTTTTTTATCTGGTGCTTTCCCTTCAATTGGCACCCGTCAATCTTTCCCTCGGCCGAGCTCCCCCTCCCCGCGGCCGCTCGCTCTTCCTCCCTCGCCGCCCAGCCGTTTTCCCGTTGCTAACAAGCCGTTTCCCCCCTTCGCCAGACTCGATGGACCAGAACCAAGATGGCTTCCTCGATGCCCCCGACCCTGCCGGCGCACCTCTGCTCTCCGAGACCGACACCAAGTTTCTGAGCTCCTTCTTCGAGGACATGTCCTCCGCCCAGTACAACATGCCCTCCTTCGGCGAAGGCCTTCACTTCAGCGACGCCTGGTTCGACCTGCCTCCTCAGTTCATGGGCACCGCGACCTCATTCGGACCTCAAGCGTCGACCCTGCCCAACCCCGAAGCTTTTCTTAGCGAGCATGTCGATTTCAACCCATCCCCTGGCACATCGCAACAACCGCAGCTCATGCGCCCCCCTTCGGCTCCCATGACCCAGCAGCCACAATCCCACCAACGCCAAGCTTACCAGCAACAACACCAGCAACAACACCAGCAACAACATCAGCAACATCAGCAACAACATCAGCAACAACATCAGCAACAACATCGACACCACTCCGACGACGTCCTTAATGCCGCCGCCACGCTTCTTCGGAATAACAGTTCTAGCCCCCGCTCCAGTGGCAAGGGCAAGGACTCGTCCCCGGGTACTCGACGGCCCCTCGGCCCTCCTATCGGCCACCTCCGCCACCAGCCCATGGACGAGTTCAAAGAAGAGAGCCAACGGGACCTGAAAAATGAAGCCGACAGCAACACATTTACAGACTGGATGTTTGGGTCGAAGGACCGTCCAGGGTCCCGACAGGCCCAGGTCAACGAGCTGCACTGGGGCTCCGACGCCAACTTTGGCAACGGCCAAGGCTACGTCCCGTCCCCTACCAAGGAAACCGTCGACGGCCACCACAAGGTCCAGATGCAGGTCCTCGGCTGCCTCGAACCAAACAACAGCGTCCCCAACACCCGCAGCGGCAGCCCCAACCTAGACCCCCAGCGCGCCGCGCCGCCCCAGACCGCGGTCCCAGCTGAAGACGCCGACGCCCCTCCGCGCAAGCGGCGCAAGAGCAGGCTGCAACGTGGCGGCCCCGACGATGACGATGACGACGATTCCTCAGCAAAGATGGCCTTCAAAAAGTCCAAGAGCCCCCAGGGAAGCAACGGCCTGCCCTCACCGCCAGCAGAGTCCGCCTCGTCCCGCCGCCGCAAATCCGGGGTTGCCAAGGGCCCTCGCGAAAACCTCAGCGAGGAGCAGAAGCGTGAGAACCACATCCGGAGCGAGCAGAAGCGCCGTACCCTTATTAAGGAGGGATTTGACGACCTGTGCGAGCTCGTGCCGGGTCTCAAGGGCGGCGGCTTCAGCAAGAGCACCATGCTCTCCATGGCCGCTGAGTGGCTCGAGCAGCTCCTCCAGGGCAACCAAACACTCGCCGCGCAGCTTCAAGGCATGGGCCAATAACCTCTCGCTCGGCCTTCTTCCCCCTCTTCAGGGGGTTCCTTCATTTTCATGTCTTTACGAATGCATGGTTGATATGCGTGTACTATAACATGCCATATTCTAAGGAGTTTGGTGCTCTTGCTTTGTTTCGAGCAAAAGGAACTTGATACTGGAAAGCTCCCGCCGCTTTCTCTTCTCCACATATTATTATGCCTCCATCTTCATGTGTTCTTGATCATGTTTTGGGAGGTAACGGAGTTGATGATACGAGCATATAGGGATGACGCCCAGATTTTATCTGTCCTTTGGCTCTGTGATTCGGTTGAGTTGGTTTGTTTTATATAGAATGGGCATGGTAGGCAGTTACGAAACGGGGGCTTTGCGGCCGGGTTGAGTTGGATCAAGATGACGCGAGAGATGTAGCTTTTCTTAACATGATATCCCCCAAAATTACATATGTTTCTTCTTCACTACATCGCTTCCCTTGCTGGCCCTGCGTAGAAAGTTGTACTACAATCTCTTCTCCCCATCGGCAACCATCAGGTGTAAGCAATGACCCCGTGTCACCCCCTTGCCGCGCGTCTACCAGCAATCATGAGTTCCTGCACGAATGAGCGCAAATGTCTTGAATAGCTCTCTTGTTTTCATCTAACTTGTTTTGCTTGGCTTTTTTATATCTACCAAAAGCGGCACTATTCTTCTCCGCCTCCCATAAAAACGCCAGACTAATAAAATAACAAAAGTAAAGCCAAAACACAAAAAAAATGAGACTACATCCCCAGCGTTCCTTTCGCCCCTTTCGACCAAGCCAAGTTCCGCTTCGACTTTTGTCTTCTTCTCTTCTCTGATCCGCTAGAAGAATAAAGAAATGTCGTACATGTAAAAGTCAAGTACAAAATCAAAAACATACCAAGGTTGTCATGCACTCCGTCTAGCTTAGGTCCATGCCCTCGCCACTCGTGGTCGCCGCGGCGCCATTGGCAGCCACGGACAGGTCGACGGCGCCGTCGTCGCCGATGAGGCGCTTCTCCGACTTTGTGACGAACTCGATGCTGCGTGCGGGATCGTAGAAGAGCTGGAAGCTGCGCTGGACGTCCTCGACGCTGACCTGCTTGGCGCGGCGCTTGGCGGATACGAGCTGCGAGGTGCTGATGAGGTTGCTGGCGTAGCGGAGACCGGCCTCCTGGCCGACCTTGGTGAGTAGCGCGAGGGCGTCGGCCGACACGTCGACCTCTTCTTCCTGAGCGCGGATCGAGAGGATCTGGCGGATCTCGTCGGCGGCGTAGGGGTGCGTGCTGACGATGACGACGCGGTCGAGGAAGTCGAGGGGTAGACCGTGCGGGCTGCGGTAGTCGGTGCCGCGAATGCGCGAGTGGCCACGGTTGCTGGCCATGATGACGACGGGCGCGAGGTCGTCCTCGAGCGCGCGATTGATGTACGAGAAGCACTCAATGTCGAGCATGTGCACCTCATCAATGAAGAGCACGCCGGGAACGATCTCGGCCTTGCCCTCCTCCTTCCACTCGCCCACCTTGGTATTGATCTGGTCGCGGATCTCGCTGCGGATCTCACCAGTGTCGCCCGAGAAGAGCGCGAGGAAGCCCTGCGTGCGCGAGTTGATTACGTCAATCTCATGCAGCGTCACCGTGTGCACGACCTCCTTGCGCTTCTGCAGCTCACCGTCGGGGCACTGGAGGAACTTGGTGTCCACGCCCATGGCGTCGTAGTCGCGCGACCGCGCGTAGGAGCGGCCGAGTTTGGTGATCTTGCCGGACGACTTGTCGATCGAGATGATGTCGCCGGCCATCACGCGCTCCTTCGTCATGGCGTCAATCATCTTGGTGCCCATATCGTAGACGGCCTCCATGTCCGTCGTCTTGATCGTCAGCTTGCCCTGCTTCGCCGTGCCCGTGACGCTGCGGTCAATCTGGATCTCGACAACCTCGCCCTCCATGATCTCACTTTCTTCCTTTATGCGCACGCCAATTGACTTGCGGAAGGCTTGGGTGAGGGCCTCAGTCTTGGACATTTCGAGGGAAAAGATTTCGGACGAGGCGAGCGTGGTAAAGGGAACGTCCGGGCCGAGCGACTGGGCCATGCCCATGGCAATTGCAGTCTTTCCGGTACTAGCAATTTGGATTAGTATTCGCACCACGATGGCAGCGACGGGCTGTGCCGCTACGAAGACGAAGGGAGTGGCTGCCTTCGTACCTGGGGGGGCCAGCAATCAAGACGGCGCGACCAGCAATCTTGCCGTCCTTGATCATCTGCAAAATAACAGCCGCAGCTTTGCGCGCCTTTTCTTGGCCAACAAGGCCCTGCGAGGCAGCACGAGGCTCGAGGGTCGTGGCATCAACGCCGAGGCCGCGAATGTGCGAGTGAGCCGCGATGAGGTTGAGACCGCGCAGGTCCTTGCTCTCGGAGACGGTTACGAGCGGCTGCATGTTTTGTGGCAATCAATTAGCATCAAGGCCGCCGGGTACAAGCTCGAACAAATGGTATTCGGGCGATTCGCTACTCACAGCAGCCATCTTGTTGTGTTCGGCGCACGTAAACCGGCAAAAAATGCTTATCTGTTAGGAGGGAGGAAGTGCAGAGTTGCGAACGGCCGCTTTGTGGTCGCGTTGCCAGTGGAAAAAGGCACTGGGCTTGAAGCAAAGCTACAGTGTGGCTAGTGCGTGGCTAGTGGACAAATGTGGCTGTGCCACAGCGCATCTCATCATGCAGAGCTTCAACAAAGGTTCTGAAAGGATAGCTGGCAAGAAAGTGTATTCGTGGATTAAATCCGGCTAGTAGATGGATTTGGTCAGAAATTCAAAATCTCTGGTTGTAGTTCAATAATTGTATTGAAATGCTCGGTTGAAATATAAGGCGCTTGCAGATATGTAAAGTACATAGCATCACAAGCATACAGTCGGTGGCAAGATGGGTTTGGCCCTTGTTAGGCCCTGAGATAGGTCAGATACCTAAGATCCTTAAGATAAATGAGATACGCTTTTGACAGGGAAAATCCTATGTCGAAAGCTCATATCACTTGTAAGTTTTGTCATAGGCTGCAGAGCTGCCTCGGCCGATCCCCACGGTCACGCCTAGCCAAGCCTTGGGGGACTTGGGAACAATGCGGTAGATAATCACCCTAGCCGTAATAGTTACTGTATCCTTGAGGGCCATCTCTACGCATCCACACATCTTCCATGAATAGCTCGTCCGAAAGCGCCTCTGGGTCAATTTTCATCACGCGCAGCCGACCACAAAACTTGATCGGATCAATTTCGTCACCCGCATGCTCATCAGCTACCGTTGTGGATGCAACGAGGGTATAAAACGTCAGACTAGATGGCTTCATTATAATTTTGAACTCTTTATCAGCGACTTGGCATTGCTTTCACACCAAGCGTATGCTTTCTTACCTTCTCCGCTGATGGCGTTTATGAATGTGCGAGTAGAACGACTTAACTGATTGCCCAGTCCAGGCAGTGATAGTCGTTTTCTTTGTGGTTTAGGTGCATGGAATAGAATTAGAAGAGAAACAGCCCGATAATTTATATAAATTCTCCGCGGCATGGTTGCCACGTGTGTTGTGAGTGACTAGGTAGGCAACTGCAGAAGAACAATAGCCAGCTTGGCTTCTTTTGTGGTGTGCTGATACAGATTACAGCACAGTGCATTACAAGTCGGACAATAATTTCCATTTGGTTTTCCGGTAATAGCCATTCGCCCTAACCTGGGATATCTATGTAAACTAAGGGCCCATCATTACTGCCTGTTGCAAATCGGTAAATCTGTGAAAGCGCCTACTCCGCATGTCCAAACCCTGAGAACCGTCCACGTAAGGCGTGTCTTAGCAATGAAATCAAGCAATTAAAAGTGAGATCAACAAGGAGCATCCTGAGAATAAAGGCCATTTAGCCCAATTCCCATCCTCTTGTAATATCAGGTGGTAATGGCAGAGGGCTGCGCTGTGAGCTTTCTCTTCTTGCTACTGCCATCTCCCAATTGGCTCTCAAGACGCTGAACCCTCTTCAATACTTTTGTAAAGTTGAATACATGTTCCGAGACGAATGACTCGTTCAAGTGTTTTACAATCGCGTCAAAGAGGCCACGCGTAGAGAAGTTCTGCTGCCAGTCGTTCAGATTCTTCGTCCTCAACCAGAGGGCGTCTATCGACTTTTGCAGTCCATCTCTTGCCGATCGAGTTTCATTTTCTGGTGACTCCTTCGCTCCTGTGAGATTTTGAATGCAGGTTCCGTGGATCGCCACCGCCGATTGAGTCGTAGTCCGGTCTGTTCTGATCGTCTTGATAGCACTAGCTACTGGAGTCGCAAACTGTTCAGTAGCCCTGATTCGTTCATCTAAACTCTGAAGGCGTGCTTCGTAGTCCGCGAGCACCGCAACTTTAGACTTAGTCGTGATCAGGTCTGTTCTCATCGCCTCAACAACCTTAGTTACTTCAGTCACAGAGTGTTCAGCAGCCCCTACCCGTTCACCCAACCCCTGAATGAGGACTTTCTGGTTTGCTATTGCTGACGCATCGGACTCGCGGTTAGACTCGCTGGTAGTCTGATTCATAACCAGTTTTGCTGACACCACTTCGACAGCCTGAACTGCTGCATTCGCAGACTGCTTAGCAGCCTTAACCTGCTCATCCAAACTCAGACGAATTTCTCTTTCTTTATCCATCCACGTTCCGAAGTCGCTGGCCAACTGATTCAGTTGGGTTTGGACATGTTCTTCCATGGCTGAACTTCTGGATTGGAGAAACTGCGTCATTTTATTCTTCAACTTTTGTTCCAGCTCGATATATGGGCTGTCTTTTATAATGCGATCCCATTTTTGAGGCTGGCCAGCGTCAACTTCCATGCCAAGCTTATCGTCCTTGTTTGTGGACGTTATCGTAGCCATCTGCGAGGCTTCACATTTGGCAACGCTTAACTCGAGCTCCACGAAAGCCTCTTGCTTGTCACGCCGCTGTAGCTGGGATATCCTGGCCTGGTCCTCGAATTTTCTTTCCATATCCGCGAGCCTAGTTTCCATGCTCTGTGTTTTAGCTTGCAAATTCTCTGAAACGTTTCTCTCTTGTAAGAGAGCCTCTTCCAAGGCAGCTATCTTCGCCTCGTTGTGGTTGATCTCGGATTGCAGTTCCTGGGACTCTTCAGTCAACTGCTTTCGTATCTCAGCCTCCAAACTTGACCTCAGCTGTTGAGACTCCTGCATGGCATGGCTCCTTATCGCGGCAATGTCAGAATTGCGGGCTTCTTTGGCCTCAGACTGCAGACAGCTGCGCACCCGGACTTCAATATTATCTTGAAACTGAGCAAACTTTTCCTCGATTCTAAGATTGATACGGGAAGAAGTCTCGCGGGGGGGTGATGTCAGACTATGACGACAATTGCAATCGGCTGGTTTTGATTGTAATGCCGCTTCTAGCAAACCACAGGCTTGCTCTAGCTTATCGTCAATGACCGCAATGCGCTGATATAATTTAGCCTTTTCGATATCTGCAGCTTTTGCCTTGACGTTGTTGAAGTCCGCAGCACTAGGAAAATCTGAATTCTGGCATCGATTCATGTGGTCGCGCAACTTCTGCACCCTTTGGTTGATAGCATCAAGCTGATTCTGGCAAAACGCACGCTCCAAAAACAGCTCAAATATAGTCTTGAGATTCGGCACACTGCCGTCGGTAGTCGGAGCTGTTAGATTATTAGAGCTCGGGGCGCAGGTTTGCAGGGGATAAGCTGGGCGCATACCATGGAACAGTTGAGCTGCATGGGGCCGCGCGGGTGCTGGTTTTGGTACGGAACCTGTTGTCTCCGGTGCAAAGCGTGAACGTGGAGAGCCCCCAGATCGAAAACCAGGGCCATCAGGGACTTCGCGGGAACCGCGACCTCTGTCATCCACCATGACGAGCCGGGTGGGTGCTGTTGCACAGCAGCAACGCAGTGTATAAGTTGTAAATGGTAAAATCTTGGTGGTCCGAGAGCTCTTTGTCAAGTACCCAGCTAAGTAGCCAGGTGAGGTAGGTAGGTGAGGTGTAAACAATCTGTCGACGGTTGCCTGGTAGAACCTTGAATGATATTGTGGTTTATGGAAAGCGCAGCGGAGGAGGCCTGGCCAGACTGCAGGAGGTAAGAGCTCTCAACCTCAAAGTAGCGAGAGGCGAGCAAGAGGTAGTCTGTACCTGTGGGGGGTGCTTTGATAATGACAAGCGACCACAAAAGGTCACGAGACTATATAGATATAATCCTCGAAGAATGGCTCTCTTTGTTTTTCTGGCTTGTTTTGTTTGGATGTTGATGTTGACGAGGACATTGCACGCAGCGTTTGCAGTGACAGGTTGGCGGACGCTGCTCTGCAGGCAGTCAGCGAAGCAAACGGTGTTGACAGCTGGCAGCCGGCCGGCAAAGCTCTGTTTGTTTACTTGTTTGTTCTTTCCGGTCAGCACAAAGGTGAGTACTGGTAAGCATAAGAGATGCGAGAGTGAGTATATAACTACTAATAAGGGAAGGAAAGCAGGCTGGCTTTTCGTAGAAGCAACAGCTCTGGTGCCTATTCTGGGGTGGCTGTATAATTTTAGGGGGTAGTCGCGACCCCACGTAAAGGCAGGGTTCCGTTCAAGATGGTGTGCACCGTGAATGACCTCTTAAGATTTTAACTTGTAAACGAGAACTGACTCAGCCAAGTTTATTAAACTATTCTCTAAGCAATAGATTACTTCTCATATAATTCTGATTTTATTTCTCTTTTTTTTTTCTCCTTCTTGTACCTCACCTCGAGCTAATACCCCTAACTAGTAGCTACGAGGGTATCCAGGTACGGTCCACTGCACCCTGTCAAAGGTGTCATGCTTTACTAGCGTCCCTCGGGAACCGATTGCCCTGGCCATAGCTGGCAGCCTTTCCCTGTGTGGTTTGGGAGGATCGAGGCGGGGGGTCGCAAAGTACCTATGTACATAGTATTAGGTAAGTACTGTATGTAGGTAGAGATTTCCCTGGACGAATAATGCTATGCTGACTCCTGGTCAGCAATCTACCTGCTGCATGTCAACCAAAGACCAGCATCTTCGAGGATAGTCAGGATGCATGCGGAGACTCAGAACAGAGTGACTGTTGATCTGCAGCGGAGCTTTACCATAATTATTAGACAAATCACGCGAATCCTCGCGAAAAGCCACAGAAGCTAATTCGTACCGCAACTGTTTACCTGGGTGCTTGGGTACCCCATGCTGGCACGTACAACCGACCAAAAAGTAATGCCATATTGCTGCCTGAGCACTTCATTTGTATGCCCATGAACTCTTCTTCATGTGTCCATCACCATGTATTAGCGAGAGGCTCCTTGTGTTGAGTACTAACACCAAAGCTGCAAAGACATGCTTACCCGACAGCTTGTCAAGCCAAGTTTTCGAATTCAATCGGTGTTTGTTCCGTGTGGTAGCAGCAGCTATTGTTAGACCCCAATTCCAAGACAACAGTGTGCGTGAGCCGACTTTTACTTGGTTCCCGAGACATCATGACTCTCCATAGAATCGGTTAACTTGCCACAGTGTGGAAGAGGCCACGAGGAATGAGCTGTCGCTCAGCGCAAGGGATTTTTTACGGCGCTCATACACCAAGGCCATCGACCAGAGTGGATGAGTTATTAGTTCTGCATCTTGACGAAAGATTGTGGGATAACGCCATCGTTGGTTAAAACAGCTAGTAGATATCTCGAAAGACAAAGAGGCAGTAGGCAGACTTGAATGGACTTGCCGTTGTACGAGAGAAACTCGAAAGAAGCTTGCAGCAAGTCGCACGAGAGCCTGGTATCGGTAAGGCGGACCTAAGGCGGATCCTACACAACGGTCGAACAAAGAGTGTGATGAGAAGTCTCGCTAGGGCAGATCATACGGACTACGCGCTCGTTCGGAGCTGCCTTGGTCTAGAGTAATTCCACAAGAAAGCAAGCGCTGGGCTGATGTAGCCCTTTTGACGGCGTTTGCCGCGTACCAGAGTTTTTTGCAAGATGAAATTTGAGGCCTGGGTTGAACTTACATATCGTTGACAGCTTGTAAAGGCTGGACGGTCGGCGCTGAAACGTGAAATTGTATTGAAAGAGCCATTACTAGCGAGCTGTGAGCATGCAAAGTAGACGGGCTAGTGATAGCCTTGAATTTTTTTTAAGATCGCGGAAACCCCGCGATAAGTGCGCGAGTAGAAGAAGGGGGCAGGGAGAGGGCAAAGGAGAGGACAAAAAGAAGCTTTTAGCACACCTGCCTGGCCTTGGGAGTGCTTTTATGGGTGGCACCGCAGATGCCGATGCAGACGCTGAGCGCTGTGGCCGCGATAATAAAGGACCAAGAAGGCTGACGAGGTTTGTGTAGCGTGACACAGTGATGGTTCACAAGGAGGAAACGGAGGACTTGATACGAGACTTGTATCATGTACAGCGTTGGAGAGGGGGATTTTTAGAATGGTGAATGAGGTTGACGGAGGGAAAGTTGGTGTTTGATGGAATTACGTTGAGCAGACATGCTGAACAGTCTTACCTATCACATGGAGGTGCTCCGTTCGAGGTACAGTTATTACGGAGTAATCTGTACAGCCACTCACAGTGTGGAAACCGGGATCCCCCACAGCGGGCTTGCCGCCTGAGTATTTATTTAGTGGCCCCGATGACGGATTTTACATGCCTACATAGGTAGGTAGTGAGGTAGGCAAGCAGACACGAGGAGATAGATCCGTATGGGAATGCTTATAGTTGACGAGAGAAACCAATCATGACAAAATGAATTGGTAGCACGAAAAAAGTCGTCCAACCTATATTGTGTGTTTGTGTATCGGCAAAAAGGTCAGTCGGACTGTGGACTGCGCGTTGGCGGAAGCGCGAGCCAACCAATGGCGTAGGAGCTCTGAGCTGCCTCTGTTTGCACCCAATCCCTCCAGTGTGTAGTGCAAAGTATCACAGGGCTGCCTAGCCCAGCCAAAGGGTACATACCTGGTGCTACCTACCTACTGTACATACAGTACATACATGGAGCCTTTGCCGCTCGTTCGTTCTCACTCGCTCACCCAAAGCAGTCTTACCATTCTTCATCAGCTTGCTTCATCTGCGATTTCATTTCGTGCTGCGTCAAATCTGGTATATATATGCGTATGCATCCGCCCTTTGTCTTCCTCGACCTAAAAAAACAAGCCACACAGAAAGGGCACCGCGAACTTTATTCACTTAGCCGGGTGCCCCAGCACAACTCGTCGTCAAGGGTCAGCCGCGCGCAGTTTCTCCGCCACACCACCCACCACCTTATTCGTCTGCCGCTGCTGCTAACAAGTTCCTTTACGGGCCCTGCCGCCTGCGCACCGCAACAAACGTCCCACCCCGATACCATCACGACCACAATCCCGACCAAACTTTCCCATCTCCCAAGGCTGCCTCGAACCTCGCCTTGTCCGCTGCGTCCAACCCATAAGCCTTGCTCGACGCAGCTGCCATCATTACTTGGCCATTGCCTTGCCTGGCGACTTTTTCTTTACTGTGCCCCAACCCTCCCTCCTCGCCGACCCCGGTTCCACGATTCGCGACAAACGCACGCACGTCCGACTCCCATCCACGGACCCCCCGTCTTCGTGTCGCCGCCGTCCGCATCCTGACAATCGCAACCCTTCATCCGCGCGCGCATTCTCCATCATCTATCGCTCTCCTCCGTTAGGCGCCTATCCCGCCATCGTGCCTCGTGTGGCCCTCACAAAAACGCTGCCTCGGGGCCGAACACTCTTCGGCCCCGTCCCACCCCCCAGAGGGTCCTGCCGCGATCCCTCGTGCCTCTCCGGCATGAATTGGGCCCTCGCGCAATGGAAGCTGCGGCGAAGACGGTCGAGCTGTTGACCCAGCGCACATTACCCGATACGCCCTACTACCTCTCCAACCACCCCGACTGGCGATACCGCCCACGCCCCGACGATCACTTGCGCCCTGAAGAGTGGCATAGTACACGCCTTCAGTATTCGACCTTACTTGCTGAGGCTGATCGTGGTGTCCTCCTCACTCGACCCGACTACGACATGCGTGAAGAGCCCCCCAAGCCTGCCTTGCGAGACGTTACCCAGCTTTCCAAGGCTGGCGGCGAAAAGAAGAAGCTGTCGCTGAGCGACTACAAGAACAAAAAGACCGCTGCCACTTCGCCTCCAGAGCCCTCCATCCCAAGGCGAGAAGCCGAACGCGCTGGCGCCCCCTCGTCAAAACCCCTGGCTGGTTCTGGGGTTCGCCCCTCCTCTGATGTCCGCGCCATTGGCGACTCTAGAAGACCCCCCGATGCGCGCCCTACCGATGCGCGAAAAGACCGGCCCAGGGACTCTAGTGATGGGAACTCTCGTAACAAGGAATATGCAGCCGACACGAGGTAGAGCCCTTCCTTTCTCAAATCGCGCCATTGCTAAACTCGTTATCTAACTCATATCTAGCTTACCCGTGAAACCACCGCTGAAGAACTACCCTCTGCCACCTCGCCCACCATCGCCTGGTGGCAAGAAGCGCGTCGCGGACAACGACGACGATCTCCGGCCACAAAAGCGAAGTCGACCTGAAAACTCTCGACCGAATGACGATCGCGCACTTCACCGTGACGACCCTGTGCGAAGGCGGGATTCATCCCTCGTTGGCGCTAGCCATAGAGACTCTCCGCTCCTAAATGGCAAGAGCTCTCTTCAAAGTGGCTCAGCATTGGCCAAGGGCGCGTCTCCAGCAGGTCGTTCTCGTGGTGATATAAACGGAACTCAGCCTGGTGCAATGAACAGATCCACACACAAGCAAGAAAGCCCGAAAAAATCTGTAGTTCCGCCATTATTGTCACCGCTACATCTCGGTCCAGGTTTCGACGAGCCGCCGCCGCCGAAGAATGATAGAAGGAAAGCCGACGACACGCCACTGCGGTCGAAGAAACCGGAGAATCTGGCGGAGGAAAAGAAACGGAAGCCTGCGGTCACTCTGCCGCCACTTCTATCACCGACGCTCCCGCCTCACATTGAGGCCGCCCTTCTACGTAGACAGCAAGGGTCGCCCGAAGCAGATGAGCGGCCTAGGCAAAAAAGGGATCCAGTGCCAAAGCACAAGAAGAGTCCTTCTGCGGACGATAGCCTGGATGAAGCGCCTGCGAAACCTCGACGCTTGATAGTTAAACTCAGGATCCCTGCGGGGCTACCACGCAAGATGTTTCGCCGCATCATGGTCCAGTCGGCAACTGCACTTAGCCGCGACAAGGAGCGTTCTACAGACGACGATCGGCAGCACGCCCGAAAAAGGCCCATTGCTACAACCGAGCCCGACTCATTGGCGATGAAAAAGTCGAGGCCCTCCGACGCCGCCGGTCGCGGACCCACGACACCGCCGCGAAAGAATCAAACGGCGATGTCCCGAGCCAACTCGAACAACTCGACCGCTCACACGCCAGGCGAGCTGATGGGAAGGACGCCATCGTCTACCGGAGCCAGCGACAAGCGACCAAATGGTGTTGCTCCGAGCAAACCGGACGCTGATAGCCTCCGTGAGAAGGAGACTCGCCTGCGGCACTTGGGGAAACGGCTTAAGCACAGCGCCGAAAGCGCCTTCAACAAGGGCAAGCACAGCTCTACTGCGCTGAACAGCAAGGACAGCCGGCCGCGGTCAAACAGCGAGGAGTTCACTAACTCCTCTACCAAGCTTGGGCTGGTGCTGGCCGTCGAGAGCTCGCTGTGCTTTATGCAGATGTTCCAGGCCTTGGAAGCACTCACCGTCATGCAAGGCAAGAAACCTAACGGCAAAAACTGGCCCACCGTGATACCGGTCCTCCGCTTCTTTCTCAGCAATCTGCAGCGCCCCGAGGGCTACCGACCCGTCCAAGCACTCCTCCTACTCCTGGAGGTCTTCGCCGCCGATGAGATCATCAAGGCCACCCTGGCGATGGACGTCGGTCCCGAGACGAGCCAGACGCTGTTCGTCACCGGGCGGCAGCGCGGCGCGGCGCTGGCGCAGGTGCGTGAAGTCTACGCGCACGTCGACAACCCGCGCCTGCGCGCCGACGTCGCCCCCTGGTCCTCCCTGGACGAGTTCACCGAGACAGCGATGCGCGTCCTGAGGCGGTGGTGCGCGGATGAGGACGTCGACTGGATCCCGGAGCTGAGCCCTCGCGACTACGGAAGATGAGAAAACTCGGGTTAGCCGCGGCGTGCTGAGCCGGAAAATAAAGGGGCATGCCAAATACGGGATATACAAAGGTAAGCCGAGGGCCGGAAGTGGCGGAAAAGAGGTCAAATCCGGGGGCACATAATTAACCATGAGCGACTGTTATGGGAGAGGGAAGAGTGATCCCTTGTGCTATTTATTTTATACCCAGAATGGGCAAAACCATCTCTTCCATGAGATGCATCTTTCTCATTCAACATTTGTTGTTAAATGGTGGCGTTTTTTTCTGTTTTAAATCTGTTTCCTTTTTTTATCTACTTGTACTTTTGAGGAGAGAGCTAAACAAGCTGGAAATGGACGCGCAAGATGGGAAGACGGCATGATATCGTTTCAAAGGGCTTTGGTTGTTTTTGTTGTCGCTTTTTGTGATTTTTTTTTATATGAGCCAGTTGAATGAACATAGGCAAAAAGACGGTGGCGGGATGGATCAAGCCCAAAGGCAAGGAGGAGAGTCAAAAAGAATTCATGCAATTGTCCCAAAGAAAAGGAAAGAAACGGCGCAAGCGTTGCTCTGTATGCTGGTTGATTCCTGTAGTTACCTCTCCCCTCCTTCTTTTATTTTGTGGTTTCCAGAGTCTCCCAGACCCGTTGGAGTTGGATGGAGTGTTGTTTGATCGGGGGATGATAACGCGTAACCAAAAAACTGTCGATGATGAATATCACTGGGAGGCTTTTTTGAAAAGCGGGTGGTCTATGGAGTTTCAATGGCATCTAGGTCAAATATCTCGGTCGATATAGGTTGATATTCTATGAAGTATCTCTCCAATGCAACTTAGTCCGAATAGCATCTATGATAGGTTTTGCGAACAGTCCAGCTGTATGAAAATTCGATGCTCAAGCTAATTCACGACATAGCACATATTCAGGGCGATCACAGGACACATTCGTAGAAAGAAGCAAGATTTGGTATTCATGTAATTTTTTAAATTTCTTCATTAACATCATGTTGTACTCTGCTACTCGTCCCCGCCCCACCCCAGCTAGCCCGACACTGTCAACGCACAGTGCGACATCATAGCCTTGGCTTAGCTGAGGGGTCCTCATCCTATTTGGAAGCGTCGACCTTGGCGACGTAGGCGATGAGGTCCAGGACACGGCGGGAGTAGCCCCACTCGTTGTCGTACCAGGAGACCAGCTTGACAAAGTTGTCGTTGAGGGAGATACCGGCCTTGGCGTCGAAGATGGAGGAGTTGGTGTTGCCGTTAAGGTCAGTGGACACGATCTCGTCCTCGGTGTAGCCGAGAATGCCTGTTGAAATGGTTAGTGAATATGAATGGCTATGCAATTTCATCCGTGGGACGTACCCTTGAGGGGACCGTTAGCAGCCTCCTTGATGGCAGCCTTGATGGCGTCGTAGCTGGCACCCTTCTCAAGGCGAGCAGTCAGGTCGACAACGGAAACGTTGGCAGTGGGGACACGCATTGACATGCCAGTGAGCTTGCCGTTGAGCTCAGGAATGACCTTGCCGACAGCCTTGGCAGCACCGGTGCTGGAGGGGATGATGTTCTGAGCGGCACCACGGCCACCGCGCCAGTCCTTGGCGGAGGGACCATCGACGGTCTTCTGGGTAGCGGTGTAGGAGTGAATGGTGGTCATGAGACCCTCGACAATGCCGAACTTGTCGTGGATGACCTTGGCAAGGGGAGCCAGGCAGTTGGTGGTGCAAGAAGCGTTGGAGATAACGTCGGCAGAGCCGTCGTAGCTCTTCTCGTTGACACCCATCACGTACATGGGGGCATCGGCAGAGGGAGCGGAGATGATGACCTTCTTGGCACCGCCCTTCAAGTGAGCCTTGGCCTTCTCGGTGGTGGTGAAGACACCGGTGGACTCGACAACGTATTCGGCGGCGGTCTCCTTCCAGGGGATGGCGGCGGGGTCGCGCTCGGTGTAGAAGCGAACCTTCTTGCCGTTGACGACAAGGTCCTTGCCGTCGACAGCGATGTCGCCCTTGAATACACCGTGGGAAGAGTCATAACGGAGCATGTAGGCCTATGCAATGATGTGTTAGCGGCTGCTGTGGCCATTGAGGGAACGATGCCATTCGTGCAGCACGAGCTGTGCTAATGAGAGTTGTGATATGGTTTTATAGTCCAGATATCGCTTCATCGCAAGCAAGGGAGAGATCTCTGGAATGGATATCATGCCAAAAACGGAATCAAGACGCTGATGCGCAGGAGGCAAAGCTATAATGCCTATTTCGCCGGGGGAGGTAAACTCACAGCGTAGTCGGGCTCAATGAAAGGGTCGTTGACGGCGACAACCTCGATGTCGGGGTGCTCGACGGCATTGCGGAAGACAATGCGGCCAATGCGGCCGAAGCCGTTGATGCCAACCTTGATGGGAGCCATTGTTTTTGATTAGAAAGGTGAGGTAGAAAAAGAGAAACCTGTTGAGCCGTTTGATGGTTAGCAAGGGATAGGTTTTCTGCTGGTGGCGGATGGCGGGGTCGTTGAGGGGAAAACGGCAGCTTGGTTTGGAGGGGAGAGTTATTGGAGCTGTTGGAGGGGTAGATGAGTAGGAGAGTGAAGGGGGGTCGATGAAGCTCGAGATGACGCGGCCGTGCTCGAGATGAATGGAAAACTTACTTTTAGTCCTTCGATTAGAGGGATGATGAGGTGTATGGAAAGGAAGAAAGAAGGAGGGGAAAGAAAAGTCTCGCGGCGAGGAGGGAGGGGCAGGCAATTGGTTTTGTACTCGCGGGCCCGGATTCTGGCGTGGGCATGGCAGCAGCCAGCGCCAGGTGCCGGACCCAGCTGGAAACTGGCCAAGCAACAACGAAGAAAAAAAGGCCATCGTCACTGGAAAACACGCGCTGGAGTGCCGTGGCTGACGCTGGCTGTCCACTGAAGCCAAGCTGTTCTGGGAGCTGCAGGTGCTGGCCTGATTCCGGATTTGCCCCTCCAGCACAGCCCAACCTAAACCGTGTCGCCCGCCGAAAGGAGGGAGGGGCAGCGGCGAGAGAGGGGCAATCAAAACGCCCAGAGCCATCGTCAACGAGTCAACGGCGCAGCTACCCTATTCCTTGAAGCTTGAGCTCTTGCACGTCATGACCACACGGGTTCTTGGAATCGTCTCAAATCGCAGCCCCTGTACCATCCATCCATCCATTGATATTGATCCCTCTACCCTCCTGCTTCCCTCTCCAGCAGCTTCATCCCACTGTAATTGGCCTGGCCCTCATTCTCGGTGCTTCCCCTCCCCCACTTTACTGACGTTAATAACCCAACAACTTTTGCTGGGCTTCCGTAGTGCGAGCGGCAACAACAAGAGCAAACTTTGACCATTATCCGCTACGTAAGAATAGTGTTTTGCTGTGAACGGCCGTGGCCAAGAGTGAGCTCCTTCGTCTCATCTGTTTGATTATTCATGATACAAAACCTTACCTGATTGACTTGGCATTTCTGTCGTTGCGGCAAGTCGCAAAACGCGCATCTACCAAAATAGAAACAATAATTGGCCACCGAGAGATGACGCCGCTCCGGGATTCCTCATCATGTCAAGACGCGCCCTTATTAGTGGCCGCCTAGACCGGTTGCTCCGGGTAAAGGCCTCTTTTCCCATACCAAAAGACCTCCGATTTGGTGCCGGCTGACTACTTCGCGCCGTCATTAACGGCCGGCGGCCGGTGCAGGACCGATCATCAGTAATAGAGCGCAGAACAAGGCCCGAATAGCAAGCTCAGCTAGTCATATTCGCCGGGCTCACCATGCGGCTGCGTCAACGCACCCTGTTGGGACTGCATGGTGGTGCATTCAATGCACTGCGTCTTTTTTTGGGGAGCGGGTCTTCGTGAATCCCGCCACTTTTTTGTTTCGTCTCGCCTCCTTTCACCGGCCGATTCGCCAGACTCTAGCAAAATCCTAAAATTAACTTGGAGATGTTTTGAAGTCGGTCCGGTGGTGGAGAACCTGTGCGGTACAAACCCTCACCTCCGATTCAAACCAGTTGCCCCCTTTAAGAAAACACAAGGTCCTGTACCCTCCAAGTATCACTCACTGTCGGCCCTCTTTTCCATCAGCGATAGCGCTACCCAGGCTGCTACTGTGCTCCGCTGGCATCGCCTTGCAGCCGCCGATAAGGACCAGGTCCCGGGGTGCAAGGCAACTGCCAGCCTACCTTTGTAATGAGTACGATAAAAAATCACTCATAACAAAGGGGAACGGGGACATAAATCTCTTGTAATTGCATAACCATCATAGGTGTGGGGAGGCGAGCCCGGCGTCCTGCACGAAAGTACGTGATTTTGCTCTTTACACAAGCATCGGAATCAGGTCGCGACATCCCTCTTCCTCTGGTTTCTCTTTACTATATGATTATACGCTGCGTCCCACTTAGACGCGGCAAGGTTCGGGCGCATCACGATAACCGCAGGCTCGCTGCCTGTCTTGTTCCACTTCTTCCACCCCAGGGCCGGAGCAAAACGGGTTGCCCCGGGCTGGGTTGGGCTGAGCTGCCCTCATCTTCCTTGCTTGCCCGGATCCGAGCTCACTAGCCGCACAAAGCCGTCTTGCGCCGGCCCTGCTCGGCAGAAGAACGGATCAACACCTGGAGCCGCTTTCCTGGGGAAGGGAAGAACCCGGGGCGCAGGCAACGGTCTCGATTCCCAGTTAACCCCTGGTCATTTAAACCCGGTTCTAATTGGGCGTCTGAAAATGTCATGGTGGCAAGGAATCTGTCCCGCTGCAGTAGACTTGTCTAGCGAAGTGGTGTAACTCTTTGTTTGCCAGACCGTGTAGCTGCTTTGCATAGTCGGCAATCACAAAAACGAGGGTGTTTCCTGAGACCACTCCGCTGAGCCGCCAGCTGGGCGAAACTCGATACCCTGTCCAAAGTAACCCGCGTCCTGCCATGCCTTCATCGTCGGCCCGTCGAACGGCCCCTGCGTCGACCCATCATCCCGACCGTCTACCCATCGAAACTCCCACTTTCCAACGGAGTCGGGTGCCGATGCTACGGCAGCCCCCTCCGTTGTTGACGGCTCGACCCAGTCTTCACCAGAATCCTTGCGGTACTCTCGCACCAGCATTTCGCGCTCTTGGTCGTACACCTCCTCCAAACCACGACTCAGAAGCTTGTCCGCTGCCTCCGTGATGGCGTCGATGGCAGCCTTGATTCGCAATTGTTCTGTGTCTGGTTGCTCTGCCTCCTGATCCACATCCATGCCCTTTTTCATCTTCTTCAGCTTCCACTGCGGAATCTTTTTCGTCTTTTTCTGGCCCTTGCCCAGACGTGCCAGTGCTTCTAGTGGCGTCTCTGCTCTTTCTAGGTGAATGATCAGGGTCTTGAGAAGATCGGAGCTTAGGAGACCGTCATCCTCCAGCCGAAGCTTCCTAGCTTCTGATTGGCGCTTTTCGTGCGCTTCTGCCGCCTTTTTCATGTCTTTCTTGCTCAGCCCGTTTAGCCAGTTGTCGTGCACAGCGTCTGGGTCACCAGCTTTGCGAACGTAGTTGCCCTGATCGTCGAACCGACCCTCCTCCATTTCATCATTGAGGTTGAAAGCTTCCACCTTGGGAGCATTGCGCTTCAGACCGCCAGCGCCAACCTCCTCATCAACATCCTCCTCCTGCGCGCGAAGCTCCTTTTCTGATTCCGCATCACTGCTTTCGTCATCGTCCAGATGTATCGTGCCACCGCTCTTGCTCTTCTGGTCCTGACCCTCGATTTCGTTTGCTTCCATGAACTGCACCTTCTTCTTTTTGGTTGAGGAAGCTTCAGGGCCGTCATCGTCGTCTTCTCTATCTTCGCCGTCGGCCGCCGCAAACATGTCGTCGTCGTCATCGTCATCATTTTTTGCTGCCAAAGGGCCACCATGCGGAGCTTTATTATCGTAGTTGTCTAGTTGCTCGTTGATGTCCACCTTGCCCTTCTTTCGGCTTTCAGCTCGAGCATTGAAAGTATCATTGTCTGAGTCGCTGTCGTACCCGTCGAGGTTGACAGCACCGCGTTTCGTCGAAGCGCTGGCGCCGATAACATCCGCATCGAGAATCGCGTCGTCCTCGCGAGCATCGGGTGCTAAAGTAGAGGGGTTTCGGACATCGAACTTCACTCGCGAATCGTCCACCTGCTCGTTGTCGTGGTGGTGTGTTCTGGCAAACGTCTCGCCATCGCGACGTGGACGGCCAGCACCGTGGCGAGACGACATTGTGCGTTTGGCGAGCGATGAAACCCCGTCAAAGGGCTTAATGATAATACCTCGATCTTAAGACTATTGCTTGATGGCTAATCGTAGTAGGTTGAGGTTCCTATTTTGCGGCGCATGAGTGGAAAAACAAGGCTCAAGTCGCTTTGATCCAGAGCTTGAAGGCATGGTCGCTCGGCCCACTTATTGGAGCTTCACAGCTGTGGTTACACATAACTTGTCCCAGATCCCAGCTCTACAGAAAATATACCTGTAGAGTTGAGTAACATCTGGACTAGATCGTTTTCTTAAAGAATCTTTTCCCAAAGAAAAATGATCCTAGTTTTTAGTGTTAAAGTAACAAAGTCTCTCAAAGGTAAACGGTTACAATCGAGCAAAACTATATACGACTCTGCGATTCTCATTGCACAATAGATGGGACAATCTTCAGAAATGGCGACCGCAACTGTTTATCAATTTTAGACAGACTATCGCCAGAATATAGGCACCCACGGGTCATAGGCATCCTCTGTATCAAAGTTTTTGGCTTCCGCATCCCTGCGCAAGAGATAGACTTTTGCCTCGTCCCTTAGGTCCGTAGCCTGCTGAGTCTCATCATGGGAACCTTGGAGAAGAGCTTGCGAGAGCTTGAAGAGACAGCGCGCATGCTCCAAAGGCATGTTGCCGGCGTGAAACTTGGTGGTCTCAGACGCCTCGCGAAGGTGCTTGCTAAAAGTATGTTAGTGTGACGATCGATATGTCACGGATATGGCAAGCATACACGGCTGCTTCAACCTTTCCTTGGCCAAGACAGACTACCCCAGTTTTGTAGATACAGGCGGCTGCGTGAAACGGGTGCAGCCTTGTCTGGTCACCTCTTGACCACAGGTTTTGGGCCTCGAGGAAGCTCGCCTCTGCCGCCTCGGGCTTGTTTGTCTTTCGCTGAAGAGTACCTTGTACAAAGAATGCGCTGAACTGGGGTAAACATGTGCGACTGCAACAGGGAGAATATGAATAGGCACTTACTAGGCGAGCATGGCCCAGTTCAAAGACTTTTCTTGCTTGAACTCGGCAATGAAAGTATTGAGCAGTTGTTCGGCCTTGCTGTATTGACTAAGATATATAAGGCACCGTGCCGCATTCTTCTTGGTCACAGTTGGCCAGTCTGCTCCCTGGCCTTCTTTGACGCTCCAGGCAATCCAAGTATCTCTAGATTTCTCAAACCATGAAAGCGCAGTCTCGTGTTGGTTGGCTGTATTGTAGTTGCAGGCCAAGTTTTGCTCAAAGCCGCCGAGCAACCCACCCTTTAGTGGTTTCCCTGCCAATCGCAGATTGTACCCCTTCATGTTGAGCTCAATCGCGTCTGTGACGCGGCCGGTACTCTCATACATGCTGGCCTGGGTCGATAGCGTCCAGGCTATAATGTCTGTTGCTTGCTCTTTATTGGGGAGTCTCTCTGCGGCTAAGAGGTTTATTTTGCAAACATCGTCGAGCTCCGCGAGTGAATTTGACTCGTAAAGGTACCTTTTACGGTCAATTTATGGCACGGCTCGGTCGCTCGCAGGGAATCGCACCTCTGGCAATCTCTGAGCAGTTCGCAAGACGTCGACAGTCATGACCCGTCAGCCAGTTTGGGATTTTCTTGAAAATTATCTTTGAGAATCAAAACTAGTTGAAGAAGCCCGTTGCATTCGTTCCATCCCCAATACAGCTGACTTTTGTTCTCATCTGACTGTTTTGGGAAAGCCATGTAGAGAACGTTTGCTGCGTTTTACAAAGCATCCTGTCGCTCTTTGAGAGGGAGTTCGTGGTGGAATTGCATTGGGCCATTCTATGACTTTTGTCTTATCAATGCAAAGCTCAAGAGAGGTTCAGTTGCACCTGAGAGTAATAAGTCTGACACGCGGAGAGAAAATGAAAGAGGTGAAGCAACTTGCTGGCGCCGAGAGCGGGCGCTGTTGGGCGATGTTTGCAGTGTGTGTAACACATACCGCAACCTCTTGACGTAAAAAATACCTCCCCAAATGTCCAGCTGCTGCAAAGTCTTTGTTTGAGCAATAGCCTGATTAAAATGCTTGGCGTACAGGTACGCCATCTTTCCTGAAATACTCTTGAGTGATTTTACCTGCAAACACTCTGGGCCGGGTTTGCTTGCCAGCTTGACGTCAACACTCGTCACAACGCTTCATTATTCAGGCCCCGAGACTACGAGGCGGGCTTCACTCATCCAGCAACAGCTGCCATGATGCTTCACCAGGGCCGCGGTCAACTACCTCTGCCGCCTGCACATATGGCATTGTACGGCAGACTTCTTGTCTTGCCAAGAATTTTATGAGCCGCTGTGCGATGTAGATGGCGACTATGAGGAATGGCGAGAGATTGTATCCTCTAGGCCTTGCCCGAGATGGAAATTTGTGCAGCCAAATACTCTGGTCAAGGGAGATGTCGTGGAGATGAAGGTATATGAAGAGAGCAACGAGGGAATCATCCAATCATGGGCGGAGAGAGATATTTACGACGATTTCATTTTGGAGTAGAATCATTATGGAACGACTTGATCTGTCAATTATTTTGTATGCAGATTTATTTTTGTGCCAACTAGAAGATCTTAGGCAATTTTAGTCACTCCGGTTTATTTCGACAATATATCCTCATGGGAAAGTTGTCGCTACTTCCGAGTGATGGTGACAGAAATGGACGTAGTTGACACAACAGATTTGGAGGTAAAAAGACTGAGAGTGCGATTATCCCGCGAATGTTGCGACAAGCTACCGCCAGGGCTAATCTGAACGTTGTATCCGCTGGGAAACGTCGACGGGGGGAGTATGATCTCCGTAGGCGCATCAATGATCGGATCGCTCGTAAACTGCAGTGTAAATGTACCGGAGCCTTCGTCGAATCCAAATGACGTAGGGGTCCCAGCGACCGCCGCAGGATATGCTCGGCTGTAATGCTTCTGCAGCTCTGGGTGCGGCTTCCCCGAAGTCCCGTCGTACAGATTCTCGTACGCCCAGCCGAGCCAGGAAACCATGTTGTCATCGGCGGCCTTCATGGCTTCCGCCATGGCGCTCATCTGCTTGTCGTCGCCCATCCAGAGCGTCAGCTCGGTCAGGACGCCGGCCGTCTTGAGTCGCACGTTGTCCTTGTGGCGGTTGTAGAGGGTGTCGGAGATGGAACCGAACTGTGGTGGGTGGTAGTAATGGAACGAGTGCACCGTCTTTGACCCGTCGCCGAGCGGCACGTTGTTGAAGCCCGAGAGTATGTCGAGAGTGACACCTTCGAACCAGATCAACGTTTCGTTGTCCACGGTCCTGATTTGCTTCGCCGCGCGATTCCATAGTCCCTCCAGAGCCTTGTGGTCGGCGATGCCAGGTGTCAATAGTGTTGGGTCTGTGTACGTATCGCCCGCCCAAGGCTCATTCAGAAGATTGTAGCCAACGACATTGGCGGTCGCAACGTATTCCGAGGCCAGCTTCTTCCAATACGCGGCGAATGCATCACCGAGGCCGTCGTAGTTGTCATACAGTCTTCCGAAGGCATTGCTCACGGCGACCGTCGCGTAACTTAAAGACCAGTCAATTGTGCTGCATTGGGACGAAGGCGAGGGGAAGCCATTGCTGTCGGTAGTGAAGGCCGAGAGTTTGAGGGGAAACGGGAATCGTCTGAACCCTGTGATCCAGTCTTTTTTGACGAACCACTTCGATTTCTCGTCAGCTTATGTGTCAATTGGACCTTCTTGGAGAGACTCACATCAGGTACACCGTGGCCGCAAAATTGTTGCGCAAGCACGTCTTGGTGGACATCTACTAACACGTAAATGCCCTGCTCTTCCGCCAACTGTGTCTGTTGCTTCAGGATATCCAGAAATGTCTGGTTATATTCGCCCCGTACAGGCTCGGCGCCCGCCCAGCTGTGTCCCAGCCGGACAATATTGACGCCCATGTCATGTAGATTTTGGACGTCCTGTTTGCCAAAGGTAGAGACCCCCGGAGCCCACTCCATTGGCCGATACCACGGAGATTGTTTCATGACAACACTCGTTCCATGAAAAAACCGAGTGCGGCCGTACTCGTCGATTATTTGATGTGTGTCCTGATTCACTCGCTTGATGCGGGCCATGCCAGGATGGTCTTCGTACCAAGCTTCTGCATCTTTTGCACCCAGAGCAACCGCAGCGCCGATCACGGCCAGCAGCCAGAGCAAAGAACTTTTTGCAAACATGCTGTGAAGCTGAATTTGTAGAAGTATCTGCAACGTTTTGATCAAGATACGATTGCCGCATGCACTCAACGGACCGTGCCCTTATATAGCGGCAGCCACTACCAGGCCTTTACCAAGACGAGAGGACATGTTACCTGCAGTGCGACGTGCTGACAGCGTATCCTACCTAGTTCGTCACCAAATGCAGGTTAATTTATCAGTAATCTTTTCAGGATACCGAGCTTCTGTCTCTCGCACGGATGTAAATTGCCCTTCGGGGGAATATAAACTTCCGCCAGCGGCCTACCGACGGGGCTAGTTCAACTAGCCACCGTCCGATAGAGTATGTCTATACGAGGACGAATGGCTGAAGTGCTACGGCGCCCTGGCCCCATGAATGTTTTTATATTATTCCCGTTACTGATGTAAGGCTCATGGAACTCTAGGACTATACGAAGACGGCAGAGGCCGTCCTGATCTTCTTGATGCAAGCACGGGCGGAGCTTACCAGCTCTGGAAGGTCGTCGAAGATTTTGGCAATAAAAGCAATAATACGCCGCCACGTGGTGATCCTTCAAAAACCTGTATGTAAGACAGTCTGATATATGTTCATACTTGCCAATATAATATGTCACTCTGCCGCTGCCGGTAGTTGTAATCCCCGCTTGACGTCGCCATTATACTGGCTGATTTGAGTGACTTCCCCGGCCGCGACAGATCCTTAGCTCAATCGCCTAGAAATCCGCGAAAAAGAGTGGACAGTACATACAAGGTGCGTGCACGTCTATCTTTTTCTTGCGTATTTCTATCCCAATTATTCGCGATATATCAATTCTATGTGTGTCTCCCAGCCAATGAGAGCGCAGGATTGACTGGCCTGCTTGCACAGGCTCAACACATACCAAGTACTTTCTTCGATTCATCGGCACGGGAAGAAAGCTGTTGTCGAAAAGTATGCATAAATATTATCAATGACATCGCGAAACAATGCTCAATTGCCGTACTCTGTATTACTGGAACGAAGCTACAGCTCACCTCATGAGAGATCTGAACCCAGAAAAATCTATTAAATCCAAAAAAAAAGGAACATAAAAGAAGTTGTAATTATTTTCCTAAAACGAAGCTTCGATATTCTTTCCCCTGTGCGCACTTACCTATTCTGCTGTGACGCATGACGCGGTAACTTGACTTATTCATGGTGTTATGCTCTTTCTCTGGATGACTAAAGCGGTTTAGCGCCTGCGTCATTCAGATAGCTGCCTCGAAGCAGAGAGAGGCGAGCAACAGATAGCATCCTAGACAACGCAACAAGGCTTTCACGTAAACAGGAACATAACACGGCTAAGACCAATAATTCGGATCATACAATCTACCCTGACCTCAAGGAGGTTATCACGTATCAAGACAACCGCCGTAACCAGAACCGAGCTCCTGCAGCACCCCACCACAAACACCTGGCGCTACAGGCGCATCCAGTCCTACAACATGGTAACTCTCCTTCCTTCCCGATCCTGCGTCGCCTTGTGCTTGGCTGACATTTTTCAAGTATGAGCCTGGTTTTGGAGGTAACTTCGATCCGGGCAACCCGGATCACCTCTTCAACATGGCGCGCCACGGCCGACGACCGATTATTCAGCGTTTCGACGAGTACTACCGATGCTACCCCGTCATCATGGCACCCGGCAACGAACGGCCGGAGCTCAACTATGGTTCCAAGATTCTTCTACCCCCGTCTGCGCTCGACAAGGTGTCAAAGCTTCACGTGCAATGGCCTCTGCTGATGGAGCTCATCAACGGCGCCAAGGGACGCCATTCGCACGCCGGCGTTCTCGAATTTATTGCCGAGGAAGGCAGAGCTTACATACCACAATGGGTACGTTCTCGTATCGCTATTCCGTTGTACATATCTCGGCTGACGCAAAGCAGATGATGGAGACGCTGGGCATGGAAGTCGGCGACATGATTCAGATCCGGACGACGCTGCTTGAGCTCGCAAAAATGGTCAAGCTGCAGCCACAATCCACCAACTTTCTTGAGATTAGCGACCCCAAGGCTGTACTGGAACGGGCCTTCCGTAACTTTGCCACGCTGACCAAGGGAGACGTGTTTAACTTTGAATACAACGACGAGGTGTACGATGTGGCGGTTCTAGACGTTAAGCCGGAGACCGACAAGATGGGTGTCAGCATGATTGAGACCGATGTCTCTGTCGAGTTTGCACCTCCCGTCGGATACGTCGAGCCAGAGCGAAACAGCGGTACCAGCACGCCGAGCACGCGGCCCGGCGTTCCGGCAGGCGGCGTTCTTCACAGCCAAGGCACCATGGCCCAGGCAATCAACTACAGCGCCATCGCCCCGTCCGTCACCAGCAAGCCGACCAACTTTCTCGGCGAGGGTCAGCGGATTGTCAAAAAGGGTAGCAAGAATCCCACCCCCAAGCCAGCCACGCCCGTCCCCGTCGACACGGTTGCCGTTCCCCGGCGACAAACTGGCGCGCCTGCCCCCCTCCGACTGGCACCGAACAAGCTCTTCTTCGGCTACGAGATCACACCCGTCAAGTCCGACGCGGACAAGGAGAAGGAGAAGGAGAACACCGACAAGCCTCACTTTGCCGGGCAAGGCCAGAACCTGCGTGGCACCATCAAGCGTAAGGGCGAAGACGACGGCAAGGACAAGGCGCCCGAGAAGAAGGGACCAACTGAGGGCCACCGGCTTGACGGGAGACGTCCACGATAGTGCTCGCGTGTGCGACAAAAATGAAGGGTATCATGGCGGCGTTTAAAGGGAAATGCTTTTCTTCTGGGCTGCAGATGAGTTGAATGATCATGGCCAATGCCAAAATACATTAAACATCCCATATGCTCAATTGTTTGCCCACTCATCTTACGCGGAGCGGCCTACAAGTCCGAATTGCAAAATATCATGATTCTTTCCTAATCCCTGTAGTTAAATATCCGGAAAATCTGGACGCAATAAAGACTCCTATTATGGCTAAAGGGTGCTAGCAATGCCATTCTGAGGTAGCATCAAACCCTGCTTGTCTTATTCTTTGCGCATACGCAACATGAAGAGCCGATGGAAACTTAGACCTCGTCCGCCATCTCGGTATCCTCTTCCTCCGGCTCGACCTTGGGCTTCTTGGTAGGGCTGAGCTGGTCCTGCTCCGCGTCCTCGGCTGTGGAAGTGATTTGGTTAGTTCGGATAATCCTTGAAAAGCCTCCTCGCGGTCTGGGAAGACTACGTACTCTTGGCATTGGCGAGCTGCTCGTCGTCGTCGTCCTCGGACTTGACGACCGCGACCGACTTGGGCTTGCGGCCGCGGGGCTTGGCAGGGGTGGTGCCGGTGGCTTTGGGCTTGGCCGGTGTGCGCTTGCTGCGTTTGGTGGCGGGTGTCGGGGTGTCGGGAGGAGTCGAGACGGGTGTGACGACGGGAGAGGCCTCGTCGCCGGCGGGAGCCGCAGCCTCATCGGCAGCTGGGGCGGCGTCGGCGGCCTTCTTGCGCTTGTTGGGCGTCTTCTTGGGGGAGAGTGATCCGAAAAGCTCATCCGGGTGGCGGCTCTTGAACTCCTTCCAGATGGTCTTGCTCCATCGCTGACTGTTGTTTGGGGGGACGGGTTAATATGGGATCGTCATGGGGAGAGGGAGAACGGGGCATGGCGGGAGGCGGTCAACGTACTTCATGGCGTCCTTGGTAAAGTCATATCCGAGAGCGGTCATGACTCTGTGGATGTTGTTCCAATCTTTGGCGCTTTCGCCGGTGGCCATGAGCACGGCGAGGCAGAGATCACGCTCGGCGTTGCCATCCCACTTCTTGGGGCCACCGGCCTTGGGAGTCTCGGCGTCGGTCTTGGTGGTAGCCATCGCAATGGGATAGTATGAGGTTCTTGGAATATTGTGGAAGAAGGCAGTTAGAAAAAGCTCCAAGAAGAAGAAGTGTTGTTGTGGTGTAAGTGGTGGTGGGTAGGGTGGTGTGAGAGGAAAGGTTGTAGTGTGGGAGGAAGAGTTAGGTAGAGTGGGTAGAATAGTAGGCAAATTTGAAGAATTAAAGATTAAGGAAGCGACCAGAGGTGAACAGAGCGAGAAAAGAAAACGGGCAGGTAAAAGGCTTGTGGATGGCAATGTGAAGTTACTGGAGAGGTGAAGACAGGGTGAAGAGCTGCTGGCTGTCAGTCACAGCTCACCTTTGCGAAATTCTTTGCCAACTCCCCACTAACGGTTAAAATTTTACTACATATAGTAATCTAAGGCGAGTGACTATCTTCGGAATTAACTCCGCGTAAAATGATTGTCAACTCGAGCCACCAAGGTTCGAGCGACATGGCGGTAGTGACCGCATTAGGAGGCGAGACTTTCACAACATTTTGTACATGATTCCTATTAGTAGTATGCTTCTGTAGTTGATTTCAGTTTGTATTACTCTGTATGGAGGTCGCGTTAAAAAGCCGTATCTGGCGAATTCGAGGGGGTCAAGTGAAGTACACCCTCACTTGGGCCGCAGTCACCTTCACTTGCTCTACAAGACCTGAATAATCGATCCAGGGCTTCCTCCTGCGGGCTTCACCACCATGTAATTCTCCACCTCTGCCGTGCCAGCCATCAAGGCGTCGTACTGCTCCTGCGTGCACGAGGATGCCACATTCCACAAGCTGCACTCAAAAGCCGGCGGATCTGGTAGCTTGTTCTTGATCCCGAAGCTGCTGCTCGGTCCGTGTGTAGTGTAGTTGGCGCCGTGAACGGTTGTCGCGTGCTTGCCAGTTGCGAGGTCCTTGCCGGCGATGGCGCGGCTGACGAGCCGTGAGACGATTTCGGGCTGGTAACCCTGCGCTGTGGCAAGACTGTCAGTTCTCTTTTTTCTTTTTCCTTTTCCTTTTTCATTCCTATTGGTGTGTGTATCAGGAAACTTACCATTATGCCCTGCATCGAATATTCGTACAAACGACAAGCCCCCGTGCTGTCGCACGACGCCCTGGCTCGCGCACCCGCTCGTCTTCACGTATTCGTAGCCCGCGCCGCGAAACCCCTCCGCGCCAGCCCACTCCAGCCCGAGGCTGAGCCTCTCGGCGCCGTTCCACGGGCAGCGGTAGTCGCGGTCGCCGTACATCATGACCACCTGGACGCCCGCGGCGAGCAGCCGCTGCAGCGCCTCGCGGCCGGCCACGCGTACGGGGTCGCCGGCCGCGTACAGCAGCACGTTGTTGGCGAGCAGCGACGACGTGTAGTTGACGGCGACGCCGAGCTCCCGCTGCACCCACGCCTGGTTGAAGAAGCCGTTGGCGTACGACGCCGGGAACGGGTCCGGCTTGAGGTGCGCCATGTCGAAGTTGCTGCGGTTGCTCGCGGCCTCGTACGCGCCGAGGACGTAGCCGAAGCAGTAGAGCGTGGCGCCGACGCAGGCGTCGGTGACGTTGGCGTTGATGTTGAGCTGCTCGGGGTCGTAGAGGTCCCCAAGGCGGCGACACTCGGAAATCTGGTCCCGGCAGCCGCCCGGCTTGGTGAAGTTGCGGAGAGCCTCCTCGTATGCGCCCCTCGTGATGACCTGCAGACCGTAGGTGTTGTTGTAGGCCTGTTCGGGGTACCATTCTCCCTGGTAGAGCATATCGACGCAACCATTTGTCCAGCCGACCGTGTCGATGGGGATGATGGTTCCGTTGCGCGCGCCTTGCCTAATTTTGCTGTTTTGCTGCACGGTGTACGTGGCAGTGGTGGGCACGTAGAAGCCGGCGTACGAGTTGCCCCAGATGCTAACTCGCTTGTCGCTTGTCTTGTACTCGGGAAAGTGAGGGAACCAGATCTGCGTAAAGTGCCACAGCGTCTTAGCTGCGGACAACGTGCTGTTGATTGTCTTGTCGGGACTCTGCTCAGAAAACGTGCCATGCAGGAACGTGGTGTTTCCGGGGGGCACGGAGCCGCCGTACGCCTCCATAGGTGTGATGCCGGTTTCTGTCACGGGATTGCCGAGAAACATCATGTTCAGAGTCGACCGAATTCGCTGTGTGTAAGAGTAGCCCGAGCTGACTGGCTGGTCAATGTACAGCATATTCATGTTATTGTTCCAAGACCAGGCGTTGTCTTTGGTGCTGTTGGAGTCGGGATTGATGTAACAAGATCCTGCTCCAGAAAATATATCGCCAATCGATGGGGCGCCCGGTCCTCCAGCCAGATATATGCCAGTAGAGGCATTGGATGGCGAGTTTCGCGCCTCAAAGTACCAGAAGAACATCGACACGTTGTATGGGTCGGCGGTCTGGATTTCGCTCAGATACCATGAAGGCAGGTGAACATAGCCAGCCCAGGCTTTGGCCTTTGATTCGCAGATTTTCGTCTCTTTGTAGGTAATGGAGACTCCTGGTTGGCCACTGATGTGCCTGGTCGTGATACCTTGTGCATCCTCAGGGAAGATTGCAGCGCCGAAGGCGAGCAGTCGCGCAAAAGAAATCAAAAGAAAAGGTAGTTTCATGCTTATTAAGTATTTATTTAATTCCAATGGTGAATGCCATTTCTTTTTTTCTTCTTCTACAAGCCTGTACTTATACTCACCGGTCATGGCAATTGCAACTTCCCACGATGCCGGACAGCGACGTCACAGCTACACAGTCTGGCGAGCGATCGAATCAGAGTGAGAGAGGGACTCCGCTAAGAGCCTCTTGTCGGATTCAGATCGCTCTTATTATCGTACGCTGATGTATGCCAATCACAGCCGCACAGCCTTGTGGGCTCCCGTAAGCCGCGACGCTTGGCAATAGTTGGCGAGCCATCCAATGGCAGAGCCGCTGATGGCGTTGATCTCTCTCCCACGACACTACTCTAAAATTAGGTCTGGTGAACAACTTCTCGGGGACAAAAAAAGTGCCAACTTTTATCCAGGGGTATATGCAAAGCCAGCGATGACAATAGCGAACACAACACTAGGATATAGGCCGCGCAACGTGACCATGCCCACGCGGCGCGGCCTTGTCGGGACGAGGGGCTGCCTGACGTGTCGCATCCGCAAGGTCAAGTGCGACGAGGCGAAACCGGCATGCCTCAAGTGCCGCTCGACCGGACGCGCGTGCGATGGGTACACGGTGCTGCCTTTCAGCCGCACCGAGCTCCTGCAAGGAAGCCGGCGACGCGGCCACGGCCTGAGCCCGGCTGTGGCGGGTGGCTGCAGCCTGGCGGGTGTGATGCTCAGCGACGGCACGTTCCGTGGGACACTCGAGTGGCGATACATTGAATTCTTCAGGTGCTGCACGGTAGCAAGCACGAATTTGACGGTTTGGCACCTCCCCCGGCAGTTGGTCTCAGCGCCATCTTCGTCTTCGTCTAATGCGGTTGCCTGCAGGTTGCCTCTACATTCTGGAACCGCATCGTCCTGCAGGCCTCTCACGCGGAGCCTGCGGTGAAGCATGCCGTACTGGCGCTCGCTGCTATGCATGGCGGCATGCTCGACCGGGATGATGAGTATATGTCCAGGCAGCATATGCTGCACGCAACGGAGCAGTACACTTTGGCCCTAGGCGCGGCGAGAACACTCGTCTCGAATTCAGCTGCAGGGCAGATCCATCGCGTCCTCATCGTGTGCCTCTTGTTCGCCGTGTGGGAGGGTGTGCAGGGCAATTATGAGGCCAGCCAGCGGCATATGCACGCTGGCCGCGCTTTGGCTGCTCGATTCGATTTTGAGATACGTCGAAAGGCGTCCTTGGCTGGTATTGTGTACGAACTCATGGAAGTCTTGGTGAGGATAGATATTTCGGCCATTTCGTTCTCGGATGATTCTGCGCCATACCAGCCTCCCCATAGGGATTCTACAGACGCTACGGCACCGTCTATTGGTGCGTTTAGGAGTATACAACAAGCAAATGCAACTCTCATGGATATTACACGAAGGCTGCTGCGACTGGGCAGCGAGATGATCCCAGGCGCGGATGAAGCAGAGGACCGACAGCGGGCGATTGGCACATGTACGCTGCTTCTGGAGCGATGGGCTGTACGTTGGGAGGACTGGTACGCCGCGAATGGCGACTCTTCAGACCCCCTGTCGACCCTCAACGTCCAGCTGTGGTATGCGTGCACGCAAACGCTTGTCGACACTGGCTTCAGCGGCCCTGAGACTCGCTACGACATGGCCGCGGACAGATTTCGTGACGTAGTGGCCCATTCGGAGAAGCTCTCATCTGCCGTCTTTCAAAACTCCGGCGCTGTTTCCTTTAGCCTCGATCTCGGATACCTGATACCGACATTCTTCGTTGCCACCCGCTGCCGCGACCCAAGCATCCGGCGCCGCGCGCTGCGCGTCTTGCAGTCTTATCCACGGCACGAGGGGGCATGGCAGAGCGGCCCAGCGGCAGCTATTGCAGAGAGATGGATAGCCGTGGAGGAAAGAGGGCTAGAGGATGCCCGGGAAGCAGCACAGATCCCCGAGCATGAACGGGTCGTTCTGATGGAAGTGCAGGTGCGGAAGAGCGACGGACGGGCAAGACTGCGTTTCCAGCTGGCAAGGGCAGATGATGCCCACCTCGTTGAAGATATTGTCAGTTGGTAAAGTGACGAAGCTACGCCACTTACATCACACAGCATTAATTGCTGCAGAGCAGCAAATTTAGGACCTTGTTTCAGGGGTTACACGATCTGCTCTGTGCTGCGCCGAGGAGCCAAGGGCGTATTCGGCGAGTGTAACTGGAGCAGAATCATTGGTAGAGCGAGTATGAATGACTCAATATGTTATTGGCGGATCGTGGAAATGCGATGAATTATCATGCCTAAAAGGAAGGATGTGAGCGATCAACCCAGACTGGTATGCGCGTTTGTAGTCAGCCCGCCCCAGTGCAAACAAGCTGATAACCTAAAAACCGGTTGAGGGTCGAAGAGGTGCTGTGTAGAGTGCGGATAATAGAGAGTAATATTCCGAGCGGATGGAGACACCACTTATGCAATGCGGTCCGGCTTTACTGTTCTGTAGAAAAAGTTAGCCGTAATTATCGCAGCGTGGGCAAACACGGGTTAGGTACGCGGGATTGACCTCGGAGAAAGGAGGAATTCCCGAACGCGTCGGCACGTGATCGGAGAATGAGCCCCGTAAAAATCTTATCAGATTGATTCTGTTTGGTTGGGGAAGAGGAGCCAGCGGCCGCACCCCCGAGGAGCCGGTGGCGGCCAAGCTGCACTGGCCGGGGTATTTGAAATCAAAGCGCTCTGGCGGCCAGTTCGGGGGACCGAAGCCAAGCGACAGGGAGACTTGTAACAGTGGGATCGCGCCAGTTGATGAAAGAGCCGACAGAAAATGCGGTGCGCCCAGCCCAGCGCCCAATGCCACCTCGGAGCCGTCCCTCATAGCTCCGCAAGTACCCAAAGTAACGAGCGTATGGTTGACGACATAGCCGGTAAATAATGGGGCTCTGATTAAGTGACTAAGCATCTCGACCCAATCAGCTCCGAAAACCCGAGGTCCACAATAGCGTAATGGCCGAGAACAAGAGGGCGCTGATTGGCCGGATAGTGCGCAGAGGCAATGGGTGTGTGGGAAATTTTTGGCTTTTCCTGTACCGGAGAGGCGACAAGAGGGATGCTGGCACATGGTTAGTCCGCCACCAAGCCCGAAATACTTCATACTCTCTCCTCTCACCATCATCTCATCCATTGCCCCTGGCTTTCGCAGTATCACATTTCATCCACGAAATCACAAAAGACCTCAAACGGCGCATATCCAGACCGACGTGCGCTAATTTGCCCGCCCCCTTGAGCTGCGCAAACAGCTGAAACCACGACTTGCATATTCCGGCCGCCTTTCGCTCATCGCCGCTTCCCTGCCGGTCGCCACTAGCATAGAGAGACGTTTTCATCTCTCTGAGCCTTCGACTGCCGACCTACTCTCCCTTACAACTTTACACACAACTCGCCAGCAATAATGCTGTCCAGGACCGCTCGGTTCGCCTCAGGGCGCGCCCTCGCCGCCGCCGGCTCCTCCGCTGCCCGAAGCACCTTCTCGGGCGCCATCGCCCGACCTGCCGTCGCCGCGCCTGCGCTCATTTCCGTCTCAGCCAAGCGCTCGTACCACGAAAAGGTGCTCGACCACTACTCCCGCCCGCGCAACGTCGGCTCCATGGACAAGAAGGACCTCGATGTCGGCACCGGCCTGGTCGGCGCCCCGGCGTGCGGCGATGTGATGAAGCTGCAGATTCGCGTGGACCCCGAGACCAACACCATCTCGGACGTCAAGTTCAAGACGTTTGGCTGCGGCTCGGCCATTGCCTCGAGCAGCTACCTCACGGAGCTGGTGCGCGGCATGAGCCTCGACGACGCCGGCAAGGTGAAGAACACAGAGATTGCTAAGGAGCTGTGCCTGCCCCCTGTCAAGCGTATGTTGAACCTGCAAATTTTTTATGCCCGCCTGTTGAAGCCTGAAGCTAACCAATGAGTCATAGTCCACTGCTCTATGCTGGCTGAAGATGCCATCAAGTCGGCCATTTCCGACTACTATAGCAAGAACCCCAAGGTGCAGGCTACCAACCTGGGCGGCACTGAGATGAAGATGCCCACCGGCGCTACCGCTGAGGCTACCCCCGCATAGGATGCTGAACAACGAAATCTCAAAAACAAAGCGGGAAAATAGTCTATAATTTCATCTTGTCGTTAAGCACTGGGCTTGGAAGCCATTCACTTTTCAAGCACAAGGCCAGCCTCGACAAGGTGCTACGGAGCGGGTGGTTTATTGCGAGGCGCGAAACGAATGTTTCCAAGATTGTTTTGTTTTATTTCTTTTTCACAGTCAATAGGGGACGAGGGGAGCATTCGAAGCGGCGTTGCAGATGATGACAGGCAGCGTCCTCTGCCATGTGGCAACAAGATCGCGGCACCGCGCACACAAAAAAAGGGACAAAATATTTCAAAAGATACTTGTGTTATTATCAATGGGAAATCTCGTGGCATGTCTATTATGCCACGCTGTCAGTCTTTCAGCGAATGGAGATTAGGAATAACGGAGCAATGGATTATGAATAAATCACCCCTCGATAGTGAAGATGGCAAGCCACGAAGTTGCTTCTACGATACACTTTGCGAGGGAGCCGGGCCCTAGATACTAGACATGTCTAGTAGCGACTCAAAAAACAGCGAGAGAAGACCATCAACCGTGGCTCATAAGGATGTTCGAGGATGCGGTTTTTTCGAGGTGCACAGCATGAACCTACGGGAACGGCGGGGCTATGGACATTCGTTGCAGCACAGATCGAAACTCGTCATACACTTTCACGGCTATTACGTTTTCAATCGACGTAGAGGGATATATCAAAGGTATCTAAATAGCTAGTTTCTTTTATATCACTTAGAATGATGCTACGTAGTTTGTTGGTTTTCCAAATCCCGTGCTTGACCTCGCACCTGTAGCCCTGTTTCTACAGCGCGTCACTGCACTGAAACCGGCACATTTGCTGGGGCTCCAGCGGGCCCTTGCAAACCCCTATAGCGACCTGGGTCAGCGGATTTACAGCGGATCATTCGGAGATTGTTGGCGAGCCGGCCATGCCGGACATCGGCCAAAACATGTAAACCTTAACGGAACTCATTCAATACCGACAGGCCACGAGCCGTTTGCATGATGCACTCCACGCCCCTTAACACTACCTACCTACAGCTTGCAGCTCTTGTCGAACCACTCACACGCAGCTACTTGAAGTTTGGCCTCGGTTTTGTAGCCATTGCTGGCAGAGCACGCCTCCTCGACGGCCCTCTCCGCGACTGATTCATTGACCAGCAACAAGACTGGTCTACGACGAGGGCATGCCTGAGTGAACCACCAGGTATCACAACCAGTGCCCGATATGCTGCAAGCACGACTCAAAGAACTGCTATCATGGCTGAAGCTGGACTGGCACACGGCAAAGCTGACCATCAAGAGCTCCATCCCACCCGCCGTCCTCGTTTGCGCCATCCAGTCCGACGCGTGGATTTCCTACTTTGGCCAGAATGCCTACCTCGCGCCCATCGCCGCCGCCAGCGTCATGGCGGGCTTTCCACAGGGCATGATGCTCGAGTTCAACGCCAAGCAGACGCTGGGCTACACCGTCGCGTACTGCTGGGCGCTGCTGGCCGGCTGGTGCGGCTTGCAGGCACGGAAGCACACGACGGGCGCGGCCGGGGACCTCGCCGCCTACAATGCCTCGGCGGAGGCTGTCGTGGCCGTGATGCTGGCGTTCGGCATGTGGGTTGCCTTCACGGTGAAGTCGGCGTTTCCTTCTTGGAACATTCAGACGTCTGTTGCCGCCATCCTCGGCATCGCCATGATCCCAGCCCTCGCCCGGCTGTCCACTATGGATAGCATCATAAAAGATGCTACGAATGCCTTCGTGGCATTTCTAGCTGGACAGGCCGTAGGGCTTGTCAATGCCTTGCTGATTTTCCCACAGACGTGTAGGGGTCTCTTTGGCAGAGCTGCCATCTCTTGTCTTGATGCACTGGGTGCGATCGTGCGTGCACAAGAGATGTGCATCCAGGATGTTGTATCTGGGACTATACCCTCATCCTCCACCGACACAACGGAGACTAAATCAGTTGAGAATCTTGAGGGTGCTCTGCAGCAACTGGGCAACGAGGTTGCCAAGGCGAACGGCCTCGTCGACCATGCAGCGCGAGAGATTTCGTGGGGTACATACACCCAGTCAGAACTCGACACTGTTTGCGCCCTTCTGGTGCAGCTTGTGCCCCCGATTTCGGGACTGAGCTTGGTGGCGGACATGATGCAACGGGGAGCAGATGTCTCCAGCGTAATCGGCCACCACAAACAAGCAGATGGTGAGAATCAGACGAAACAACGACCGGATGACTGGCAAAATACCGAGTCGGAAATGCAAGAACAGCTGCGCTGTATGATAGAGATGATATCAGCCGGGGCGGATCATGCCAAGTTACGACTTCGACAGAGTCAGAAGCGGAATTGGATCGGTGTCGCGAGTGACAAGTCCGACGAAGAAAGCCAAGGAGCAGCCAGCCCTGGTGGAGCACGATTTACCGGCTCTTATCATGACATGTTCAAGGAGGGCGGGGAGCAGAGCTTGAGCCGCCAGCGAGTGCTACATCGCTACATGCAGCATCGCCCACAGGTCGGAGGGATAGAGAGCATGTCTTCCGACAAGCATGCAGAAACCCTGCGGTACTTTGTGCTCCTTCACGTATGTCCTATATACAACAGTTGTTGTCTTAATCCGTGACTAACGTGTAATTAGTCCCAAACTATTCTGGTCGCTTTGGGGCGCAAGCTCCTCAAGCTCATCATCTACCTGGATGACCTCCACGGCCGTCCTAGGCGGCTCGTGGTACCCAGATTTCTGTCGCTGAGCCATTGGAGTGGTCTTTTCAATTTCAATCTTACGAAAACGCCATCAGGAGAGGCCCGGAAACGAGCTGACGGCCTCAAAGTCGAGCTGGATCCTGTGTTCCACAAGCCGCGGAACCCAGACCATCTGCCGGCCACCAATACCACAGAGGCCGTGGGTGATTGCATCAGAAAGGCCAGCCTGGTGCTTCGTACTGAGCACGCTGCGTATGGGTTGCGTGGTGTCTGCGCCGTCATGACGATTGCCATTGTCGGGTTCCTGCGCGACTCGCAGGATTTCTACTTTGCTCAGCGACTTCTGTGGGCGCTCTTTGCCATCTTGCTGTCTATGGGCCGTACATCAGGATCCTCGACATTCCTCCTCATGTGTCGCTTGCTTGGAACCATGGCATCCATGGTGGCCAGCTACATCATCTGGTACATCGTCGACCAACGCACACCTGGTGTTTTGGTCTTTATGTGGCTCTGGTTTCTGGTCATCAGCTTTCTCAGTAAGTCTCATGCCCCGCAGTCTGGTAATGATAGTAGCTGATACGGTTGCTCTAGCCGTGCGATTCCCTGCCCTGTTCAGCATCTGGTTTGTTGCTCTTATAGCCGCGATTGTCATGATTGGTATTGAGCTTCAGACTGCGCAAATTGGAGAAGAAGTCGTTGAGAAGTCTGGCCAGGCCGTCTATCCACCCTACGTCATCTTCCCATACCGACTAGCCATCGTCGCCCTCGGCGTTATTACTGGCTATGTATGGACCGTCTTCCCGTACCCCATATCGGAACACTCAGAGTTGAGAGAGAGCACAGCTCAGGTTCTGTATGAGCTGTCGCGATATTACATGTGCATCCAGCAAACCGTATTCGCACGTCTGCATCGCGACATAGGCGATGCAGATGATGCGTCAAGTCCGAGTTCGCGGCTGCAGTCTTCGCTCCGTCGTCTCTTTCTCAAGTATCGCGGCCTGAACGCCGACGCGAAGAGGCTGTTCCAGTTCTTGAATTGGGAATTTTCACTTGGCGGCCGATTTCCCAAGAAAGCATACAAGGAAATATTATCTATCCTTGATCGTTCAGGAAGCTACATGGCGCTCACAAGTTACCTATCCAAAGAATCCAAGTCCCCAGGCGTAATTGCAGCTTGCTGGGCCGAAAGCGGGACGGGAGTGCCAAGCATCGACCTGACACCGCATGGGATTGCGTCAAGAATTATCATCCTACACTCTGCTTTAGGCGGGGGTCATCCTCTACCTCCTGGCCTGCACCCGCTCGGGATGCCGCACCTGCTCCAGATTTCAGGGGATATCAACTCCAAAGACTACGACTTTGCCATTGCGGCGTTGATCCACAATGTTCATTGGTATTTCATCCATGATGTGAATCGTTTGACTGAGTATGCGCGCTGTCCAAAAGGAGCATTTTCAACGACGAGAACGACGCTGACTTCTTTTCCGAGCAGGCTGGTCAGGGAAGTAGTTGGTGAACTGCGCTTCTCCTTCATAGACGATCTCGAAAGTGCCGCAGCGAATTAAACGCAGAGGCCGTGACACCGGCGTCCGCCTCTGATACTACCCGTGTATAGCACCATCCCTACATAGGGTAAGTTTGGCAAACTATAGTGAAACTGACTTAGGTAGAATACATAGACATAGACCCGCGTTTAAACGCGACCAACGCGAACGGATACATAGGATCAGTTTAGATCAAGGTAGACACATTGACCAGCCCGTCGGTCGACTCGATCGGAATGAACTTTGAGATTGAAGCGTCCGCCTCATGTGATGGATCATATGTTTACTTAACCTCGTGCAGCGCCGCATACACCGCCGTCTCGAGCGCCGTCCACGCGCCGACCACCTTGGCGTCGATGAACGGGAGCACCTGCGCGCACACCATGCCGCCGACGCCGTTCTCGCAATCCGCCCACCAGAACACGTTGGCCATGCTGGCCCACCACGCCGTTCCCTCGGAGCGGCCGGTCGCGCCGCCGCTCAGCATGAAAGAGAGCCCCCAGCCCTGCGGTGCGTCCGGCGCGGCGCCCGGGTCCAGGCAGGGCGCCGGGTTGGTGAGCTCCGGCTTGGCGGCGGCCAAGCCCTGGCGGCCAAAATCGGGAAACTGCGGAATATGGTTAGTGAACATGTCGGCGACGGTGCGCGCCGACACCAGGCGGACGCCGGTGACGGGGCACGCGCCGTCGTTGAGGAGCACGGCCAGGATGCCTGGCAGCTCGGGGGGGGGGGGGGGAGACGCACGGCAGTATTCTTGCGGCTTGGCGAAGAGGCCGGCGCCTCCGCTGTTGAAGAGCTGGGCCTTTTCTTCTTCGGTTTCGATCACGAGCGGCTGTCGGTAGAAGTGGTTGCGGGGGTGAACCTTGCCCTGAGCATCCCGCTGGTTCATGTAGGCCAGATTGGCCTTCATAGAGGGCGTGGGGATCATGTTTACGCTCTCCAGGCCGAGTGGCTCGCAGATGTGAGTCTGCATGTACACGTTTAGGGAGACGCCGGTCAGGCGCTCAAGGGCGATGCCCGCCCAGTCCACACCAACCTGCGACAGGCAGAAATGTCAGACACACTTCGAGGCAGGTCAGGCAACGGCTTACCCCGTATTCCCAGCCTTCTCCCGGGTGGAAGATGAGCGGCGTGTTGACGGCCCCTGCGCGGCCGGAGAACTCGTCGATGCCGACGGGCAGCCCGTGATCGCGCAGCTTCTCGCTGGCGAGGGTGTACCCGAAGCCGGCCGTGTGCGTCAGCAGCATCCGGAGGGTGATGCGGCTGCGCTTAGGCTCGAGCACGCCGTCGCCGTCGCGCAGGACCTGCACGTCGCGGAGCTCCGGGCACAGCGCCTCGAGCTGGTCTGCGTCATCGAGGGCGAGGCGGCCGCGCTCGACGAGCTGCATGACGCACAGGGCGGTGACCATCTTGGTGCACGAGGCGATCCAGAAGACGTGCTCGGGCGTCATGGGCTCGGCGGCGGGGGAGGAGGCGGAGGCGGAGAGGCCGCGCGTGCCGGCGGAGTGGAGGAAGAGCTCGGTGCCGGTCTTGTCGAAGACGACGGCTGTGATGCCGGGGACGCCGCCGTCATTGACATTGACGGCGGCGTCGAGGATATCCCTGAAGCCTTGAAGGGTAGCTGGAGAGAATGGCTAAAAAAAAAAAAAAAAAAAAAAAAGAGTGAGGTGCAATTGGCTTAAGGTGAAAGATGCAGCGAAGGAAGGGGAATTATAGCTTTGCTTCTAGCTAAGCCTATGTCATGATACCTATCTATCCATCTCGAGTGAGGGGTTCCGCATGCGTCCATCTATCTGCCTCATCATGGGAGCCACACAAGCACTGCAGTGTGAAGCAATAATGCAGCCAGTTATGTACCAATTGGGTATAATCACGAATTATTGCTTCCATGCATGATTCCGTCTATAGCGATATTGGAGTCGGAATATCGGACCTCACAGGGAAGGGGGGGGGATGGATATCTTGGTTTCCCATTCCTCGTCACTCATCATTTCCCATTATCACTCATTATTACACATTGTATTTTTGGTTCCTCCTTTATGCAATTTATCTCCCTTGTAATTTTTAAAGTCATACCTTGCGCTCACAGCAACACCCGGCCGGCATCGGCGTCCGTGGTCAGGGATGCCCGACGATTCCCACGCTAGACCTGACTGGTTGGGTTTTGATTTGCAAGTATCTCGTTGTCGACGCCGGTGTAGGGCGATGCAAACTAATATTGAATCTACTACATATACATAGTCTCTCCCTCTACATGTACATAGCCTCTCTCTCTTGTGTCAATCATTGCCCGGGGGCTTCAAGCATGTACGTGTAACTTGCTCGTCGAGTCGTCCGACACAAAGATAAGACGAAGCAACCCCGCATTCATTCAGCCACCGGCAAATAACTTTCTCTGGTGGCTTTTTTAGGCCCGCGCCTTCTGTGTGCCTGGCGGGTCTGTTGATTATAGTTCGTTCACTCACAATGGTGTCTCGTGGCCGAGCGTGGTTATTAGTTGGGGAAACCTGTGCCTGGGGAAATTGCTGGGGGGAAACAATGATCATCGTCACGCTACTGGAAGACTTTAAAAACAACCCGAGTACCGCTTCCATGTTCCCGTTGGGGAGCAAACTACCAGTAGCCCTTGTTCTCAGCATAGTGCATACCCTCCCTCCACCATGAAGCTGACCGCTGCTGCCCTTCTCCCGGGCTGGCTATGGACTGTGTCTGTCTCTGCCGCCCCGGCGTCTTGTCCAGCGCCACATCTCGATGCCCGCCGTGGCGCCGTGTCCTCCGAGAGCGCCATTTGCAGCGAAATCGGCACCCGGCTGATCAAGGATGGCGGTAATGCTGTCGATGCCCTCGTGGGCACCGTGTTCTGCGTGGGAACCATAGGCATGTATCACAGTGGGATTGGTGGAGGCGGCTTCCTGCTGCTGAGGGACAAGGACGGCAAGTACGAGTTTGTCGACTTTCGCGAGACGGCGCCAGCGGCTGCGTTTGAGGACATGTACAAGAACAACACGGACGCCAGTCTCTATGGCGGCTTAGCAAGGTGCGTAGCCCGTCGCTTCTCTCTTCACAAGCCCCTGCCTATATGTGTACTGACCGTAGATAGTGGCGTTCCTGGCGAGCTTCGTGGTCTTGAATATCTGCACACAAAGTATGGTGCGCTGGACTGGGCCAAGGTCATGGCACCGGCCATCAAAGTGGCGAGATTTGGCTTCCCAGTCACCGAGGATCTCGTCAAGTACATCAACCAGACCTCCCAGAACAGCTTTCTCGTGGATGACCCCAGCTGGGCCATTGATTTTGCGCCCAAGGGCAGGCTTCTTCAGCTCGGCGAGACAATGACTCGGAAGCGCTACGCCGACACGCTCGAGACGATTGCCAACCAAGGCGCGGATGTATTTTACACCGGCGCCATCGCCAATGCAACAATCGCGGCTCTTCAAGCCCGCAATGGCACAATGACGATTCAGGATCTCAAGGATTACACAGTCGCGCATCGTGAGCCCCTGCACATCACGTATCGCGGGCACAGGCTGACGAGCACGAATGCGCCGTCCGGCGGTCCTGTTGCCTTGAGCACCCTCAACACCTTGAGCGGCTACGACAACTTCTTCCAGCCCGAAACGGTCAACATCTCGACGCACCGTCTTGACGAGGCTATTCGTTTCGCGTACGGCCAGCGTACCAAGATGGGCGATCCGTCTTTCGTCGACGGCCTGTCCGAGTACACGGCCGCCATGGTGGCGCCCGCGACCGGCGCCGAGATTCGCTCCAAGATCTCTGACACCAAGACCGAGGCAGTCGCGTACTATAATCCCGAGGGTATCGAATCTCTCAACACTCCTGGAACATCGCACATTGTCGCGGCTGATGCGAGCGGCATGGCGGTGTCGGTGACCACGACTATCAACACGCTCTTTGGCTCACGGGTCATGGTACCGGAGACTGGCGTTATCATGAACAACGAGATGAATGACTTTAGCATACCAGGCGCGAACAACGCCTTTGGATACAGGCCGAGTCCTCAGAACTACGTGCGGCCGGGCAAGAGGCCACTGTCGTCCATCTCCCCTGTCATTGCCGAAACGCCCGAGGGCAAGCTGTACTTTGCTTGCGGCTCCGCCGGTGGCAGTCGTATTACGACGGCCACTATCCAGCTTGTCGTGCACATGCTTGACCAGGGAATGGGCCCTTTCGAGTCGTTGAGGCAGCCGCGCCTCCACGACCAGCTGCAGCCGGATCAGGTGTCATTCGAGTACGCATATGACAACTCGACGACGGCTTTTATGAAGACTCTTGGTCACAATGTTACTTGGGTTGCGCCGGGGCAGAGCACGGCGCAAGCCCTCAAGTTACTTGCCAACGGAACGTTTGAGGCTGGAGGGGAGCCGAGGCAGAGGAACTCTGGCGGTTTCGCGGTATGACGTCCAAGGTAGAAGGGACCAGAAACTATAGGCTTTGAAGCATTCATAATCATTATCTATTCAATATTCTATAGTTTCTCCATGTACCAAATCACTTGCCACCCACGAGCAGCAGACTACAGCACGGGGAGAATGCCGTCGGCCTGGTCTTGCTTAACGGTCTTCTCGTACTCTTCAACAGCGGTGAGATACATGGCCATGGATGCCTCCTTGTCTGCCAGGACAGTGGCATCAAGGTCCTCGGCAGCAGTCTCGTCGCGCTTGGTGAAGCCACCGAATGCGCGCACGGCATAGTAGTAGACCTGCGCGAGCGCGCGGCACGACTTCTTTGCCGAGACGGTATTGTCACTGTCGCATTGATAGACCATGCTGGTAGATGTTAGCTTACAATACTCATGGCCAACTTATTCAAGCAAGAAACGAATATCATGACATACTCCTTCTCAAAGTTGAGGTCGACGCGATAGCGACCGTCACGGTCGAAGCGGTACTGGGCCTTGTAGTTGCGGTAGCCAAAGTCGTGGCGCTGGCAGGCGGGCTCGAAGGGGAAGCCGAAGGGGTTGTCGGGCGACGAGGTGCAGCCGTCCGAGGACCAGTCGAGCGTCTGGGGGTTCGACTGCGCGCGAAACTCGAGGAAGCTGGGCAGCGTCGTGAAGAACAGGTAGCGGTCCGTGATCTGCGTCGAGGTCTCGTGGGGGGAGAGACTGATGGGGGCGGCGAGAGCCGCGGGGAGGGAGACGAGGCAGGCGAGCTTCATTATGAGTGGTGATGTGTATGTGCGTATGTTTGTATTGGTGTGAGGGTTGAAGTGAAGATGTCGAGAAAAGTTTATCGTTGGTGAGGCTCCGCGTAGGGCCTTATATAACCTTTGTGCTACAGACGGCGCGGCGCGGACTTGAAGCCGTCACTTTGCCGATGGCGTTTCCTAGCTCTCATCCCATGTTCACAAGCGAGCCAGACGGCCGGCTAATCCATGCAGCAAGCAGAAATGGTTGACCGAAGCCGTGCATCTCCGATGGGTTCGTCTGGTGGACACTCATCCGCTCGACCGCCCGGTCCGACGACTCGCGCCCTCACGATACATCATGTGCCTCATTCGCAGGGAATGCCAAAGGCATTCTGTGGCCAAGGCGAGCCCCGCGATTCCTATCACGTACATATTAATTACTATTGAAAACTTGGCGGCCACGTTGGTTGGCCGCGTGGGTTCCTGAGATTGACCGCCAAGAAGGGTAGTGGTAGTCTCCCCCACAGAGTGGCAGGGATATCACGTATAGCTGCATTATTTCTAGCAAGGTGTGATATAGGGTTTTGTTCAGATGGGGAAGCTGCTTTGAGCCATGTTGGGGAAGAAGAAGAGCGACGATGCGAGCCGGTAATTGCCGGCTATGCGATGTGGCATGTGCTGCGGTGACCGAGGGGCTCAGCTCGGCGCACGCTTATTTGTGCCTGTGATTTCTGGTCAACATATTCTTCAGCGGACAGGGAGCAAGACAAGGCCCGAGATTCCTTGTGAGATTCCCAGCCACCATCTTGGCTGCCAAGCAGAGAGCCATAATACCTGCCACGTTCACCTTACCCTGCTGAGGTCCGAGTCCTGACTTTGCTCCTCCGTAACTACATGTATGTAAATGTAGGGATACATCCACCTGACACCGGTTTGCATTCATACTCAAAGGCACGTTGCGTATACAACTCAAGCGATGGGTTCGGGTAACTAGCACCGCACCGCTCAGGGAGCAATGATCTCCGCGGGGCCTGGCTTCTATAATTCGAGTTGATATATTGATGCCAACGTGCCAGTACAGACACTGACTCTTATTGCCTCGGGCTATGTGTATGTAACCATGCACATCAACGACTGTGCCACACCTCTGACCACAGCGCCAACCTCTCGCTTGACACGCCAACCATCCCATTGCCACCAGCCGAATACCTGTGCCCATCACATCGACAACCACCACAATAATTTCGAGTCCATCTCTGGAATCAGCAGCGGCCGTCTCGCGCTCCGTGACAGGGGACGGCTTAGACAGGCATTGGTCGCGCCATGGCCCCGGCTGGCTCCTTGGCGGGCCAAAGTGGTCCTTGGCCCTTCATATTGCGCGCAGCCGCTGAACCCTCTCCACGCGGAGCACGCCGCTGCCCATTTCAACAATTTTTCTTTCCTTCTTTCTTGCAGGCAAGCAGGGGGTATGGGATTCGAATACCGTCGGCCTAATCAGGAAGCCCACGCAATGTCAAGTGCCGACACGGTTCAGCGCCGGTTCCCGTCCCTTCTTATCGACACACAGACTTGTCCCTGACATGTTGGTCCATGTCACGTTGATATCGATACCAAGGTGCCCATACGAAACGAAAATCTCATGCAGGAACGCACTGGAATGAGGCCATCCAGGGCCGTCAATAATCTCACCGCCGCCGCGTTTCAGTTGGGACGGTCGGTCGTCCGGCCCGCAGATGACCGAGCGCCGGAAGCGGTCGCCACCTTCTCAACGTTCAACTCAACCGGCCAAGCTCTCCTCTGCGCGCTTGAAAACCGCAAAGCGTGTATAGCGTCTCCTACAGCTAAGATTGGCACGGCAAGGCCGCGCGCAACGCCGAGCCGAGGGACTTGCGGCGGGCCGACCGTCGTCCCATGGTTCCTCACTGCGGCATGGACCGAGGAACTCTGACTAGCAGTCCGCGTGAAACCGCGTGTTGACTTGCTTGGTGCGCGCAGACGCCGGCGCATCCCCCGTGTTGACCGTGTCGGCGGCCTCGACGAGCATGATCTCGGCGTCGTCGGCGACCGGGCAGTGGCGGACACCTCTCGGCACGACGTAGACGTCGCCGGCGCGCATGGCAACGTCCGCGCGATCCTCAAACTTGAGGGTCAGCTGGCCGGACAGGACGTAGAAGAGCTCGTCGGACTCGGGGTGTGCGTGGAAGACGAATGAGCCGTCAATCTTGGCAATCTTGACGTGCTGGCCGTTGACGCTTGCGAGTAGATGCGGCGACCATGTGTCGGTGATTGCATTGAGGGATTTGGGGATAGACGTTGACATTTTGACAACGCAATGGGACTGTGCTGATTGCTTCCTCTGCTCTTCCTGACTGGGAACTGACTGAATTTATGATGTCACCTGTTCGGTCAGCCATGTCATCCGTGTCATCCAAGGGCGCGGCTAATACATTAGGGCGTCAACTAGTCCATCCACAAGCTAGATGCTTGATTATTAATTGTTCATATCGGGAGAAGGAACTGAAGTTGTCATAATTGAATCAAACAAAATATTGACCTAGAAGAGGTGTTTGGCGACCAAGTAGACTATTCAGAAATGGTCCTCCAGGGTAACCGTCACAGTCTTGGCCACGAGATATTCCTCGATCGCGACATCCTTTCCACTCTCCTTTCCGTAGCCCGACTCCTTCATTCCCCCAAAGGGGCTTTCCGCGGCCGAGCTGTTGCCAGTATTCTAGTTCCGTTAGCAAAAAGTCCCTCTTCAACTTGGGCGGCATGCTTCTCGCCGCGATCCCTACTTACCACACCAATCATGCCAGCGTCAAGATTCTCCGTCAGACGAAACACGCGGTCCATGTTCTTCGTAAAGATGTAGCTTGCCAAACCCATGCTCGTATCGTTGGCCCAACGCGTCACCTGCTCCTCCGTGTCGAACGAGTAGATGCCGCAAACGGGCGCGAACGTCTCCTCGCGCGACATCAGCATGTCCTGCGTCATGCCCGTCAAGATTGTCGGCTTCATGAAGTACCCCCCCGCGCCGCCACGTACTCCCGCGCCCTCCCCCAGCCCTCCCTCCCCTGTGCCGAGCACCAACCTCCCGCCGAGCCGCAGCGCGTCCGCGACCTGCGCCTCCGCCTTGCTCACGCCCGCCGGCGTCGTCACCGGGCCCATCGTCGTGCCCTCCTCCGCGCCGTGGCCGACCACCAGCCCCCTCGTCCGCTCCACCACCATCCGCGTAAACTCCTCCAGCACGCCCGCCTGCACGTACAGCCGGTTGGCCGCGACGCACGCCTGCCCCGCGTGCCGCCACTTGAGCGCCGCGAACTGCTCCGCCGCGCGCTCCAGGTCCGCGTCGTCAAAGACGACGAACGGGCAGTTGCCGCCCAGCTCCAGCGTGCAGCGCTTGAGCCCGCGCGCGCAGAGCCCGGCCACCAGCCTGCCGACGCGCGTGCTCCCCGTAAACGACACCTTGGCGACCCGGGGGTGCAGGCAGAGCGCCTCGGACAGCGGCGGCGTGTTGGCCAGCGAGGTGGTCAGCACGTTGAGCGCGCCGGCGGGGAAGCCCGCGCGGACGGCGAGCTCGGCGAGCGCGAGGGTGGTCAGGGGCGTCTCGGGCGACGGCTTGACGACCATGGTGCAGCCGGCGGCGAGCGCGGCGGCGGCCTTGCGGAGGACCATGGCCGCGGGGAAGTTCCAGGGGACGAGGGCGACGGCGACCCCCAGGGGCTGCTTGACGACGAGGACGCGCCGGGAGGGCGCGGATGGCACGGCGAGGGAGCCGCGGATGCGCTCGGCCTCGCCAGCGAACCACCAGGCGAAGCCCTGCGCGTAGGCGACCTCGGCACGGGACTCGGCGAGAGGCTTGCCGCTCTCAAAGGTGATGAGGGTGGCGAGGTCCTCCTTGTGCGCGTCGATGAGGGCGTGCCAGGCCATCAGCAGCTGCGCGCGCCGCCGCGGGTTGACGGTGCGGTAGGTCTGGAAGGCGGCGTGGGCGGCGTCGACGGCGGCGTCGACGTCTTCGGGGCCGTTGTCCGGGCACGACGCCCAGGTCTTGTCGGAGCCGGGATCGATGACGTTGAATCGCTTGCCGGACTTGGCCTCGACCCAGTGACCGTTGACGTGGGACTGGTCCTTGAACAGGGACGGGTCGTTGAGCGTGAACGGCAACTCGGTAGCTGAAGACATGTTAAGGTTGTTTTGATGCACCGATTAGTCAAAGTTTGATGAATATGAAGATGAATTCTTCAAAAAGCCGTCGCAACCACGGCAGCGGCAATGGAATGACATGGTCGACGTAACGCGGGGTTATGCGGGGGAATGCAGCTAGCAAGAAGTCGGCTTCTTGCGACTTGGTGGAAGCAGGTGGTGCGTGAATTGCCGGTGATTTCGTAACGGACGAGGATGGCATCAATACCGGATTTGACAATGTAATTTGGAATTTGTCGTCATCCTAGTGCAGGCTGTAGGGTAGGTCGCCAGCCTCGAGGCAGAGCAGCCTGGCTTCACCAACAGTAGATGGTACACGGATACGGGCGGAAGCTCTTGATCGCCATGTTTACAGACATACGATAGCTGAAAGTCGACTTGACATGCAGGATGCTGCTCTTTCAAATTGAGAGGACCGTTTTTAATTGCAGAAAATAGATGCTCGTAGAGTTGTTGTGTTGCCCCTTCACCGTGGTGTGCATACCAATCATTCTGATTCCACCTGACTGATGGAACCCCCAAATCTTGAGCCCAGAATAGTAATCCATCGGAGTGTCCACTCTCTTGTTTATCAACTAGTTAGTTAGAGTGTCATTGCTTATCAGAACTAGTTTCGATCATATGGGCGCTGGGTACTGGTACTTTCATACCGTGGTTTACTAACGTTACTGGACATTGCCAACTGGCACCACTAAAATTGGAAAATTGCATCAGAACCCCTGACCTCTTAAATTATCTTCAATCCCCGGAGCTGCGGGCTGTACGCTTTATTTATTACTACATGTCATAACGCATTCGGGCCGTCTTTGCAGTGATTGTGCTGGCAGTCAAGAGTCAGGACCAGGACCCCTCTGCAACTATTCATACAAACATGCCTGACATCTGAGCAATTGAGGGCTTCTCCTGTCATGAATGTGCACTCTGTCAGGATGGCCCGGCTAGTCCTTGTCAGAAAACACGCAACAAGGGGCTCAAAAGCCTCTTGACAGCGCTTGGGTGCCCAGTAAGCATCCAATCTTTGGTGGCTTGAACGCCCTCATCGGCCCGAGACTGTGGACCGTTGACGTATTAGTGGTTCCTTCCGAGGAAAAAAGCCTCACAAAACCCTAAAAAGCATAACATCCTTGAAGTGAAACACGGTATCTGGCAATTGCCCAGTTCGGGGGCTGGGCGTTTCGGGTCGGTCAACGACGCTGGTTTTTGTTGTGAGCAGCGGACAACAAAGGAAGACAAGAGCATCTTTGCAATTGATTATTCTACGCCAATTACAACTAATCTCATTGCCTACAATGGGTCCATCCATCTGCATCCATCTTGCCTGCAGGGGGTCTGTCTGGGCTGTGTGGTTGCCCTGAAAAAGCTTGCCTTGGTCGGATCGGCCCACTGGAAACACTAAGAAACTCGAAGCCTAGTTATTATGCCCGGCGGCCTTCCGGACATGGTTTATTACCGATGAATATCTGGCAAAGTACCGGAACTAGCCAACTAGCCAAGGCTCTTGCCTCTCACCAGGGAATGTGGACCATCGCCACTCTATACATACACTATAGGCTCGAACGGAAACACGATAAGAAAGTGCGACCGAAAATAGTGGACTTGCTTGCTAGTCATGGCCAGGCCGGTTCTCTCTCTCTTATTTATACGAATAGGGCCGTGTGCGGCTCGCTGCGAGTTTTCCATGCCTGTTCCGCCCTCTTCTGTCTCTTTGCCTCCTAGCCTCCGACTTATACCAGTGGACGTAATAACATAGAGAGAGAGAGAGACTCGGAACACGATGGGTGCCTTTACCAAACGCAAGCCCAACAATGCTCAGCTCCCCGAGGACGAGCAGCCTCAAGTCGAGCTCGCCCAGAACCAGAGCGTTGTCCAGGATGAGCAAAAGGTGACGGCGTTGGCCGTGGCCGCGGGCTTCTGCGCGAGTCTCGGCGGCCTCATCTTTGGCTATGTCAGGTAAGCCCGACGTGATGATGAACTTGCCTCTTTTCCCCCTTCCGTCTAACTCTGGTTGTTCTACAGTGGTGAAATCTCCGGCTTCTTCCCCATGCAGGACTATGCCGAGCGGTTCGGGCAGCGCAACGCCGACGGCGTGTACGAGTTCAGCGCCGCGCGACAGGGCACCATCGTCGGCCTCGTCAGCATCGGCGCGCTGATCGGCGCGCTCATTGCCGGCAAGATGGCGGACCTCCTCGGCCGCCGACTGGCCATCTCCATCTCGGCCTTCTTCACCTGCGTCGGCACCGTCATCGAAATCTCGTCCAGCACGCACTGGGTGCAGTTCGCCGTCGGCCGCCTCGTCACTGGTCTGAGCATCGGCTCGCTCTCCGTCGTGGTGCCCATGTACCAGTCCGAGTGCTCGCCCGCACCGATCCGCGGCGTCATCGTCTCCTCGTACCAGCTGCTCATCACCCTGGGCATCTGGCTCGCCGAGGTGGTCAACCTGGGCACCTCCAAGGTCAGCGGCAGCGCGTCCTGGCGCATCCCCAACGGGCTGTCTTTCGCCTGGGCCCTTGTTCTCGGCACGCTCATTCTTTTCTTCCCTGAGTCTCCCAGATACGCCTATGGCCATGGTCGCACAGAAGAGGCACGCTCCACAATTGCAAAATTAGCCGGCCTGCCGGAAAATTCAGCCACAGTGGAGCACCAAATAAATGATCTCCAGAACAAGCTCGATGAGGAAAGCGAACTATCACAGGAATTCAGCTTCTTCGAAATCTTCACCGGACCACGAATGTTTTATCGCACAATGCTGGGAATTGCATTAGGTACAGGCCAGCAGCTCGTCGGAGTTAATTATTTCTTCTATTTCGGCACAACTTCGTTTAAATCCACGGGCATCAGCAACAGTTACGTCACGCAGCTCATCCTCGGATCTGTCAACGTGGCCGCCACCATCGTGTCCCTATGGGTCGTCGGAAAGTATGGCAGACGTCCTATCCTGATGATTGGTGCCTTCTCGATGATGGTATGCTTCTTGATCTATGCATTTGTCGGGCACTTTGCCGTTGATCTTACAAATCCCGCCAACTCGCCCACGACCGGCAGTGTTCTCATCGCCTTCTCCTGTCTCTCCATCGTGGCCTTTGCCATGTCCTGGGGTCCCGTGGTCTGGGCCGTCAACTCGGAGCTGTATCCCCTTCGCTACCGAAGCGTCTGCATGGGACTGGCCACTGCCTCCAACTGGTTCTGGAACTTTATGCTCTCCTTCTTCACCCGCTTCATCACCGATGAGATCGACTACCTCTACGGCCTCGTTTTTGCTGGCTGCTGCGGTGCCATGGTTCTCGTTGTCTTCTTCTTCGTCATCGAGTCCAAGGACCGCACCCTGGAAGAGGTCGATCTCATGTACATCCAGCATGTCAACCCTATCACCTCGGCCAATTGGGACGGCGGCGCCTACCGCAAGGATGAGGGCCGCAGCACCGGCGTTGACCCTTCGCCTTCACCCATGACTGAGGCGTAGAAGTGTACAGACCTGAACATTGAGAGAATAAACTTAGATAGCATAAAATAGCATAAAATAGCATATAGCATCATGCGTTTGAATTGTACATTATACATTAACAAACTATTTGGTCTCCTCGAGAGCCCGGGATGTTCCATTGAGTAACTTGAGTGCTGCTTCCTTGTTGGCAACCCAAGCAGTCATGGGCAAAACCTTGCGCAGCACAACTTCATGTACTTCAGTCGTGTAGTCCCAACAGCCTTCCTCGACCACCGTAGTCACAAACCCGAGATCAGCCGCCTCGCGCGCCGTGCTCAGCACAGCGCCGCTCGTGATGACGCCGCAGACGACCACGCTCTCCACCTTGTGCTGCTCCTTGAGAAAGCGCAGCAGCTCCGGCGTCCTGAGCGCCGAGATGCAGCTGGGCGTCTTGGACACGGCCATCTCGTGGCCGGCCGGCGCCGCACCAGCCACAAATCCTTCCCACTCCACAAACCGGTCCGGCGCGGAGGCAAGGAGCGGCATGTACTGCGCTTCGAACCGCGGGCGGATCTTGCTCCGCGGCAGCGGCGCCGCGTCGAAGGCGCGTACGATTGGGGCTCCGTTGGCGCGGGCGGCGCTGAGAAGGCTCTGGACGGCGTTGCACAGGGCGATCGCGAGTGGCCCGCGGTTGGATCTTTTCGACGATTCGGTGGTGGAAGTCCAGTAGTAGGAGTGCGGTCTTGTTGGGCGGGTATGCCGCGGGGTTCTCTGGTGGGATAGACATGATGATCTTGAAGTCTTTGGGTCGAGAAGGTGATTGACTGAGCTGATAACGACTGAGCTTATGTATAACAATACGTGTGCGAATTGATCACATTTGTATTTCCCTACGACTGCAAGGCCTAAACCATTCAACAAGTACCATTTACTTTCCCCTCACGCTAATTATCAACTACCAAGCTGTCGGAGCCGCGGTCGGCAGCTACAGACTGAGATGAAGAAGAGTAACCGGATAGATCTGCACAATTGGCAGAAAAATACTATGCATCGCGGAGTTTACCAGACCAGCGGATTTCAGAGATTGTTTACAGGCTTTGCCCAACGTCACTCATATACAACGCCGTACTTTGGTATAATCAAGGTGGCGCTAAAAGTCATATTCTATAGCGGTATCTTCATGCTAGCAAATCGCTATTCAGTCTTATAATACATTGCGCTGGAATCATGCAGCTTCTGCCTGCCGCTTTCATTAGTGGCCGCCGGCAGCACCAGGGAGCGGGCGACACGCAAATGGGCGATGGGCGCCGCCATTTGTAGTTTGTTCAATCTACACGGCAGGTTGTTAGCAGCTGTAACAGTTGAAATGGCAGGTGACAAGGGAAAGCACTTACAATATCGTTGATGGTGGCATACGTGCCAGCGCCCAGAGTCACGATGCCGACGATGAAGGCGACGATGCTTCCGAGGCTGATGAGGATGTTCTTGCGCGAGAACCACGGGCCTTCGCAGAGAAGATAGAACCACATGACCGCCGGGATCCAAAAGGAGAATCCAGAAACGAACAGGGCAGACGCGAGCGAGAGCAAGTCCGAGAAGATGGGGATGGCCTCCGCGATGATCCAGGCGATAATGGTAAAGACGGTGACGAGGGAGATCCACCAGAACCAGCCTCTAGGGGTGTTGACATATCGCACGATCGACTTCTTCCAGATACGGCCGTGGATGTATCGCAGGGCAACGGTGGAGTTGATGGAGCCCGAGATGAAGATGACGGGCAGGGCGACGCCAAAGGCCACCTTGGAGACGGTCGGGCCGGCCGAGAGCAGCGCCGGCGCGAGAACGCTGCTTCCGATGAAGGCATAGCACAGCGCGCCCGTCACCGTGTAGATGAAGATTTGGATCATGCCCGACGCCCAGATGGACTTCATGTAGTCGGTCGGGGTGTGCATCTCGTCCATGAAGGAGAACTGACCAATGGCGAAACTAAAGGCAAAGATGATGTTGCTGACGGCGACGAATGCCTCAGAGAAACTGAGGCCCTCTTTAGGCATGGCTCTCCAGTCGACCCCGGAGAGGCCGTGATCGCTGTTGGTGGCCTGGACGCCGGTGGCGATGATGGTGATGCCGATGGCGACGATGATGGACACAAAGTCGACGTAGCCGAGGATGGCGACCTCGGTGAAGGAGGGCGGGATGGCCAGCACCAGCAGGATGACCGCCGAGATGGCCGAGAAGGCGACCGAGCAGACCTTGCCGTTGTTGAGGTCGCCGAGCGCGATGCTGCCCGTCAGCGCGTGCGAGCCGACCACCATGACCAGCTCGAGCACCATGGCCGCGCCGAAGAGCTCGTAGCCGAAGCGGCCGAGCAGCAGCCGTCCGGCGTCGGCGTAGCTGGCGGCGTCCGGGTACTTGAGCTTGACCTGGCCGACGATGTAGCTGGTGAAGATGGCGATGAGGCCGAGCGTGATGGTGAGGAAGACGCCAGGGAACATGCCGAGCGTGTCGTAGGCCTTGGGCAGGCTGAGGGCGCCGAGGGCGACGGCCTCGACGATGGTGACGATGGCGAGGCGCTTCCAGCCGAGGCGGTGGAAGTGCGCGTTGCCAGAGGCGGCGAGCTTCTTCATCTGGTCGTTGGTGAGCTCATCACTGTGCTCGAAGCCGACCTCGGGGTCGGAGTGGTCCGAGGGCAGCAGGCCGGCGTGCCGCGAGGCGTCGTCGGCGTGCTTGGACGAGGCATTGCTGTCGTAGCCTTGGCTGGCCTTGACGGGCGCGGGGGCCTCGTTGGTTTGTGAAATCATGTTGAAGACGTCGGCAGGGTGGTTATGATGGCAAGTCTGGGGACAATTTTGCGAACAAGTCTGCTCCGGCCTTGCTGCTGTGCAAGTCTCCGGCACCGGAATGTATCTGGTTGTCGCAGCGATGGGTATGTATGATGTAGACAGCGGCGATGACTTGATGATCGGGGGTGAGTTGGTTGGCTTATACTTGAACGACTCAAAAGAAAACCAATCACGGCGCCTTTTTTGTCTGAAAAAAAAAATGTATGAAATTTCCCCGCAAAGAGAGAAGATGGGAACGAGATTGACAAACAAGGCCCTTTGTCTGGGGAAAAACGGCGACCTGGACAAGGTAAAATAGAAAACTTTTGACAAGTCTAGAAGGCGATAACGACCCACAAAGCCCAACTAACACGACAAATGCACGCGCTCCTCCTGCTGATAGTGATACCGCCTATCGGAGAGCTCCTGCCGGCAGCTAGCGTCTAGAAGCGGCATTCCCAGCCTGAGCCGGCCCTTGGCGGCGCCGCCGTGGCGTCCGGCTCGTAGGCGAGAAAACTCTGACGTGGTGGCTTGCCAGGGGGGGATATAGTTTCCGTCTTTCCGACATCCGGGTGGCTGGCTGGGCAAAAGCGTTGATCTTGTTACAACAGACAACCGACAACCGACAACTCTACGTCACCCTGTTGGTCAGTTACGGCGTAGAGACAGCGACAGGAAGCGACCCAAGAGAATCGACCTTATTGGCAATCCAACAGCAAGCAAAAAGGAGTTTCCCCAGCTCCGAGCACGACCCTGCAGGAGAAAAGAGCGGAGAGCGAGAAAGGGCATCCCCAGCACCGCGACCCACTGGAGAAATTTATATAGGGTCATTCATTAGCCGTCGCGTGATGTTATGGTGAGGGTACTGCGTATTGAGTGGTTTTTTTCATTGCGTGAGCGCGAGTCAGGAGGAATTCCCATACCGTTATCAGCCAAGTCCCCGAGATTGCTGGCAAGTTATGCCGCGATACGCCCAGGGCTATAGCTGAACCGACGACCGACGTCGCGGAGGCCATTCACCGAGCAGAGCTGGTCATGAGACTACCCTTGAAACAGCCCTGGGATTTCCCCAGCTGCTCTCATGCTCCAGTCCGGGGGCGAGACCGTGTTTTTTTTTCTTAGTAACGTTACCGCCTTGCTTCGTTCGTAGATACGGGGAAAGAAGGAAAGGGAAGGGGTTTTATTATTGATGACTTGAGTCGGGGTAAGGTCGTGCGCGGTAAAACGGGGCGCGCGGGGAGCGAGGTGGACGGAGGAAGCCGCGATGACGAGGAAATGAGATGTTTGTTGTGCTCCGTGCGGAGGTCTCGCTGCTGGGGAAAGGATATCCAAAGATGACAAGAGGACGAGAGGAGAAGAAACTCGGTGTACACACCGCTGGGATGATTCGGTTGTCGCCGGGCTCTACTCCGTAGTCATGGGCCGTACTCGGAGTAGTTCAAGATGCTGGTTATCGATTGGCTACTGCCAGCAAAGCGACGGACGGATTAACTAGAGGCCTGGAAATTGATGGCGACCGTTTGCGAGAGCCGCCAATTCTCACCCGTCAGCACAGGATTCGAGGCCACCATGCAGTAGCGGCGATTGCGCAATGCATATTAGCTGGCTGACCGATGGCTGTCTGCTGCTCTTTAGATGGTTATTCCCAACAGCCTGCGATGCATTTTGGCGGGACTTGAGCAGGGCTAGGGCAGGGCAGAGCATGGGTCGGGGTATGGCTGGGAAGGTCTTTTTTCGCTGCCAGTCGTCGGGAAAAAATTTCAACAAGAATGATGGATAATTCTGTTTGGTTGGGAAGAGGCTGTTCCGGGCAGGCCGACATTCATTCATTGTCAGTCACCAGGTCGTGCAACAGAAAAGGAGGCAAGAAGGAATCCATTTCTTCTCGTTTGAGAGTGCACAGCCATGCACTAATACCGAATTTTGTCTCTTTTGGCAATTTTCTCCAGAGTAGAGTTGTATCCGGCGGCGGGCGCCTAGGGACCCGGAGCCTGGTGCTTTCTCCGAGGGGTCCTCGGGCGGAAGAACAGCGCTTAACAATCAAACTCTTTTTCAAGTTACTGTACATACAAGTACTGGCACTGCCACTTGGTTTGTGGCTATACCAGTATCTGTGCCGCAACTATTAGTTATTAGTTCGACCCATTTTCTCGTTCGTCCAGCACAGTTTCACCGCGGTCTGCAAGGCAGAAACAGAAACACCATCGTCGACTGACCCTTTCGTCTTGTCTTAGTTGGGCTCCGAAGCAGGCTGAACAGCTGGCTGGCCGACGAGTTAAATTAGAAAATATTAACTAGTTATGGGCTCATTGGACTCTCGAGTGGACCAGGCATACGTATGCATCGCATTGCTTACCAGTCGATTGCGCGCCAACTTGCAGGCAGTCAGCCCACTAACACCCGCTATGGATGTATGTAGCTACTGTATATATGTATGTACATACATAGTTAGCTGCTGCAGCCCGACCGGCATTGAGCTGCGGCTGGGATTTTATTGCGTTTTGAATCCTGTTCATACCCTGCACGCCATTGGCCAGCGAATACCGGTCTTCACACCATGGTCGCGTGTGTGTGGCGTCAACCTTGGAATACTGGTAGTTACTGGTAGTTACTGGTAGTTACTGGTAGTCACTGGTAGTCACTGGTAGTCACTGGTAGTCACTGGTAGTCACTGGTCGAGAGGGGTAACTCGCCTTCATCACGAGCCTTGGTCCAGGCCGCGTCGACCACTGAGACAGCATGCTAATGACGTAACTATCATTTTGACCAGGAATTCTTGAAGCAACGTTGATGATGAGATTTCCTTTTATGAACATGTTTCTTTTTTTAATCAAGGACACCGTCTAGCGACACGGATTTCAGGTTGGTGATGGGGTTGCATCATTCATTTCCCTTCTCACCTCAGACCCGAATACGCAGCGACCTGCATGTGACCGTACCAGTACCAGTATCGGCGATGCATCACTGCACCGCTCACTGACCTTGACTCGGACTGGCTGTGTCCATCCATGGCTGGACCAGACGAGAGGCATGTGCAAATGGCTGCGCCGCGACGGGATGGGAATAACACGTCAACGACTAGCCAACTTAATCTTGACCCGTCGTGAACGACCTCAAGGCATCTCGAACCTCGAGTTAAAAAATGTACACAAGGCTGTCGCGGAGAATACTGTAAAAGTCTTGGCTTTACCGATAGCTTGGGGCGATTCGCCGATGAGAGACGGCAGACAGAGAAAAGACAGGGCTGCCGCGCAAGCAATACGATGGCACGGGATGGATGGGCAGCCATGCAGCCACCATTCCCCCTTTGAATCACTAATGTCTAATGTGACCGACCACAGGCTGTGATTTGCTGCTCGGCCTGTAACGAGCCAACTAGAGCGGACAGCAGGACACCGCGCCAACGTCACCCAACGTACTTTTGTCAGAGCGATACCCCCTCGTCGTTTTCCTTGTATGGCTAGTAGAACAGCCACGGGGCGCAAGACAAGCTTTTTGGAGTAGGTTAAGCCGGATTTACACCGCCTGAACGAGCACGACAGCTAACTAAACCACCAAGTAACTGTGTCGCTAGGTAGTTACGGATAGTCCGTCAACTCATCCTCTGGTTCCCCGACTGGGGCTTCTCCGAGTGGCCTAGCAGGAACCCGTCACCGGGCGTGGCTCAGCCCTATTCACTAACTCAGCCAAGAAAAATCGTCCAGAAAACTTGGCGCTGCCTCTCTTCCTCTCCACCACGGACCCCCCCCCTACCGACTAATAGGCCGATCAGACTAGCCAGATCATTGGCCCTTCGGGGGTCCGGCTGTCCGCAGCGAGGCTTCAACTGCCTTCCGTATCGAGGCAAAACGATACGAGAGATGATAAACGGCCCAGCCAGGCCAGCCAGGCCAGCCAGGCCAGCCAGCCAGCCAGGCCAGCCAGCCAGCCAGCCAGCCAGCCAGGCTTGTCCCGTCCTTGCCGCCCAGCTGCGCCCACAACAAAGGAGTGAAGTAACTAATGGACATGCAGGACGGAGGCGGAGTACAAGGAGTCCTTGTACCCGTCAGACAAGGCAAGTGCGGGCGGACACAGGACATATTTAGAAGGGGAAGTAGCAAGGAGTAACAAGTGATCTGCTCGCTCTCTTGACTTGACCGTGTCATATATGCTGCTCCCTTCCCCCCAGCCACTCGTCTCCTGCATGCCTTAATTTCTTACACCACACCTACGACACTATTCCCATATCCCTCACCCACGATGCAGACAAGCTATCTGTATCCGGAAGCTGCGAGTACAGCGTCGAGCTCCATCTCGGGCATGTCGACGCGCTCGTGTGCACTCATCGACACCGTCTATGCCGCCGCCTCGACCAACGACGGCCCGCGCGTCTGTGGCCTCCCCAACCTGTCCTTCCGCTGCCGCCCCAAGAATACATGTCCTCGCCTCTCCATGGACACACACACCACCGGCGGTGGCAGCAGCAGCAGCAGCAGCAGCAACAGCAGCTTTCATGACTATCCATCTAGCACGAGAACCTCGGAGAGCCGCGACTCGTCCTGCACCAGCCACGACTTTGACACCTCGTACCATCGGTTCAGCCGCACCGCTCACATGGGCATCCTGGATCCGAGCTACAAGCGCTTCGTCAGCCAGCACGGCCACGGTTCGCTCGTGTACAAGGCTAGGAGCGGTGCGGCCGTCGTTGCCGGCGACCCCCTCTGCGCGCCGGACCAGGTCGAGTCGCTGCTGGACGAGTTTCGACGGTTCCGTGGCGACCGGCGCCTCCGAGTCGTATACGTCGGCGCCAGCGCAGCCTTTGCCGAGCGTTCGCAGCGCGAGGGCTGTGTGACGATGCACTTTGGCCGCGAGCGCGTGCTGAACCCGCTCACGAACCCGCTGCTCAAGAACAAGGCCGGCAAGCGAACCATCAGCCAGTGCCGGCAGCTGCTCGACGCCGCGCGCGGCGGCGTCTCTGTGGGCATCTACGCGCCCGGCGTCAACGGCTACGATCCGGAGCTGGAGCTGGAGCTGCAGGCAGTCTACGATGGCTGGCGTGCGCAGCGTGACTCGTCCCGGCCGACCAGCGCGCAGGCCTTCATCACCCGGTACGACCTCTTCTCGCGACCGGACGTCACCATGTTCCTATACACGTGCGACCGCGACGGCCGTGCCAACGGCATCGCCGGCCTGCGATACCTCGGCGCCAACAACGGGTTCCAACTGGACCCCTGCGTCGCCTCCGACGATGCGCCCCGCGGCATCACCGACCTCCTCGTTGTCTCCGCGATGCAGCTGCTGCGCAACAGCGGGGTCTCGTACCTCAGCCTGGGCTTCGAGCCGTACGGGGAGCTCAAGGACGTCACCGGCCGCGACGGCTGGCTCGCAAAGCTGACGCGCGATGGCTACCGTCGCGTCATGGGGTCGATCAAGGCGTCGGGGAAGCAGACGCACAACGACAAGCTGCGGCCAGACGAGGACCAAGAATCCGGGCTATACATCATCCTACCGCGAGGGCTACTGCATTTGCGAGAAATCAGCGCTCTGATCAAAGTGACGAATGTGGATGTCACAAGCCTGTTTTCGCGAAAAGAGGTGTAAGTGTGTCACGCAAGGTGGGTGTCTAGGTTGGTTGGTGTAAGACACACCTCGCACGCGTGTATTAATTCTCTCAATGGCGTTTCATGGGGTTTAGCAAAACACTTTTCTTACATGTATAAAATCTATCATTCGCTATCTAGCTAGCTTTTTTTTTCTTTTTCTATAGTCTAGTTGCCAAATCTATTTTCTATGTCTTCATCCATTCATTTCATCGTTTGCAGACAGCAACTTGTCGCAGGTCACTGTCCAACAGCAGTCGTATTGGCTTCGGCTGAGCGGAAACAACCTCAGACCTTCCCAAGCAAAGGAACATTCATCCTCAGACGCATAACACCGACCAGCACAGCCGCCGCCAGCGCCAAGGAGCCGGCATAGAACATGGCGGGCCGATACGCATGTAAGCCGCTGTCCTGGCCACCGTATGCGTCCAAAATATAACCAGCAATTGGGGCACCCTACAATACGCGGAAGAGTTAGCTATTAGACCCACGCCAACAGCCTCGCCATCGGCGAGATACAAGGGCGCAGACTTACCATGAGGTATCCTCCGGCCCATCCGGTGACAATCATGCCGAGCGCCACGACCACCCGCGCCGAGCCGAAGACGTTGCCCACCACGGTCGGGATGGTCGAGAAGAAGCCACCGTTGGCCGCGCCGTTGAGCACCGCAAACACCGCCAGCGGGCCGACCGTCGTCGACGTCGGCCACAGCACCAGCATCCCCAGCGCGCTCACCAGCAGGCAACCCAGCATCGTGTTGGTCGCGCCCGCCTTGTCCGCCAGCAGCCCGCAGAGGATCCGGCCTACCGCCGACGAGAAGTTGAACCCGGCCAGCAGCGCCGCGCCCGTCGCCGCCGACAACCCCAGCGAGCTGGCGTACAGCGGCAGGAAGAAGGCCGGTACGAGCAGGGGAAAGGTGGCGATGGCGCCGGCGACGAACATGAGGCTGAAGCGTACGTCTCTGAACAGGCGCCACTCGATGGCGCCGACGACGGCGACGGCGCGCGTGCGCTCGGTGACGAAGAGCGCGGCGGGGAGGCCGGTGGCGAGCGTGGCCAGGCCCATGACGCGGTACGCCCACGCGGGGTCGGAGCGCCGGATGAGGACGTCCTCGACGATGGTGATGACCGCGCCGCCGAGCCCGCCGCCCGCAAAGACCAACCCGTTGGCCAGCCCCCGCCGGCGCTTGAAGTACTGCGCCGGCGTGACCGAGCACACGGTGAAGCACAGGCTCATCCCCACCCCCAGCATCGCGCCCGCCGTGACGTACAAGCCCGCGACGCTCTCCGTGGCGAAGCCGGCGAGGACCTGCGCCAGGCCGATGGTCGCGACGCCCGCGACGGCGGTCCAGCGGGTGCCGACGCGGCGGATGATGCGCGCGTTGACCATGGCCATGACGCTGATGAGGGTGGCGGGGATGGAGCCGACGAAGGAGAGGGTGGCGGGGGCGCCGAGGCCGCGCGCGACGAGGGCGGACTGCATGACGCCCCAGCTGTAGTTGACGCCGGTGAGCCAGAAGGAGACGACGGCGCAGGCGGCGACGACGGCCCAGCCGCGGCCGCCGTCGGGGACGGTGGCGTCGGCGATGCGCGAGGCTTCGAGGATCGGGTCCAGGTCGCTGTCGGAGCCGGAGGGGGAGGGGTCGTGAGAGGCGGCGCCGCCGCCGCGGAGTTGGATGGTGCCGCGCGCCTGCTGCTCGGTGCGAGTGTGGCCAAGCTCGAGGGCCGTGCTGGCCGTCGTCGTCACCGTCTTGGTCGCCATTGTGCTATCAACACCGGTGGAGATGCGATGTATATGGTATCTGCGTATATGACCCAAGGTTTGTTATTTGGAAAGATTACAGATTACAGCGTGAAACCTGAGTGGATTGCAACCATCTCGATAACAAAACATACAAGGCGGACGCCGTGGAACTACCTGACTTCCTCTCCCCATCACCCCCCCTCCCCATGGAGCAGGCTGACCGACTCCACCAGCCCGTGACTCGAGGGGTTGAAGGTTTTTTTCGTGGATCACGAAGGGCGCGTTCTCGAATTGCTAGTCACGGGCCGGCTTTACTCGGAGCAGCGAGCCCGCCCAAAGAGGTGGTTTCCTCATTTTAAGCCGCATCTCCACGCGGCGGCAAGCGTTCCGGCCACCGTTCCGGCCCTCGTCTAAATCCACTTTCCGGTGGCGCCATTGGATCACGCCAAGATGCGGTGTCGGAGGCGGAGAGGGCTGGGCGATTGCTGAAAAGAGCAAGAGATTTGAAAAGAATTATTCACGGAGCAACAAAACATAGGGTTCGAGGGGCATAGAGGTCTAGATAGTGTCGGTGTAAGTGGCGGTTGTTGGTCTAAGTCGAGTCCGGAGGGACAGGGTGTAACTGGTTGATTATTCGCACCAAAGCAGGACATTGGCCGAGAAGCAAGGCTAGGAGTAATAACGGACATCTCAAGAGGGATTTTGATCACTTAGACTTTATCCCAAGAGCGTATCTGTCGAGATACTGCTCGCGAGAAATAACCACCATCAAGAGTGAGTCACGTGATCCACACCGAATTTTGGTGTGAGCTTTCTCCCACACAAACTCGTTCGAACAAGAATCGAGCAGCTCGACTTACACAACGGCGCACTACTTACGATGGAGCCGCTCGGCACTGAGCCGGCCGGCCTCTCCCTGCACAAAGACTTCATCTCCAAGGAGCAGGAAGACGCCGTCCTGCGGATCCTCCGGGAGCAGCTCGACTGGCCGGACCGCAAGGGCCGACGCTCGCTGCACTACGGCTACACCTTCAGCTACAAGACCTTCGCCATCGACCACGACGTGCCGTACTTTCCCTTCCCCGCGTGGCTCGCGCCGCTGCTGCCGACCGGCGAGGCGCGGCCGCCGGACCAGGTGTGCGTGCAGCACTACCCGCCCGGCGCGGGCATCCCGCCGCACGCGGACACGCACAGCGCCTTCGACCAGCTGTACGCGCTGTCGCTGGGGGCACCGGTGCTGATGCAGTTCAGCCGCGGCGAGGAGAGGAAGGAGGTGGATTTGGCGCCGCGGGCGATGATGCGGATGGAGGGGGAGGCGCGGCTGCACTGGACGCACGGCATCCGCGCGCGCAAGACGGACGTGTTGGCAGACGGCACGGTGCGGCCGCGGAGGGACAGGTGGAGCGTGACGTACAGATGGCTGCGCGAGGGCGGCGTGTGCGAGTGCGGCGATGGGAGGCTCTGCGACACGGCGCAGCGAAGGATGGGCGTGGAGCGCGGGTACCGCTGGAAGGAGCAGGAGAAGGAGACGGAGGCGGCGGCGGCGGCGGCGCAGGAGGAGGTGATGAGCTCGTCGGCCAAGGGGGAGGAGGACACGTGACGGTGGTGTGTGATGCTGTCGACTCGCGTGTCAAAGGCGTGCGCGACAAGAAGCAAAAAAAAAGTCAAACAAGCACATGAAGAATCATCTGCGCGCGATATACCCGGACGACGTCTCTGCCTCGGCCGCTACCGGTTATATGCAATCACTTGACTATGACAGCCATCTTGGCAGGCACAGCAAGGCAAGCCTAGACTAGATGGCTGTATGGTCTCGCTTGATTCTGGCAGTCATCTCGGCAAACAACGGCGTGGCAGCACTAGAATCATGGGTGGCCAAAAGGGGGATCGCCCAGGCGTCGCTTCCATTTCGTGGTGCGGCGAGTCTTTCACCAAAGGGCAAAAGCCGGCGGCGCATGCGGTTTCTGGGGGAAAAAAGTCCTGCACGACGCAGGGGGAGTCGATCGCCACATGCTTGCTTGAATGCGAAGATGCGAGCCCTTGGCGTCGATGGCGGCGGGGGGGGGGGGGGGGGGGGAAGATGGTGTCGAGGTGCTGCGATGCATGACAGGGAAGAAAAAAAAAATCACGGCCAATTGAGTGTCGTATTTGGGGGTTGCTTGGCGTTTGGAATACATAAGATGGCCCCCCCACGAAGAGGAACGAGTCTACAGATGCAGAGGGTTAATAATAAAAGTAATCAGAGGAGTCAATGCGCAGAGACAATATCAAAGAGGCGCGAAAATGTTGCTTCAACTTGGGCGGTGGCGCACAAACCTGTTCATTCTTAATTGCTTTGAAAGGACGAAACTCAAACAGCCCAGAACTCGCTTCCAAACATATCGTCTGCCTTTTTTTCTGCCTCTTTCTGCCTCTTTCTTGCTTTCTTCTTTTTGAAATGCATCGCCAAAAGGATAATGGCAAGCGACGATTTAACAGCCGATGGCCACCAACAGCGACAAGCAGCAGATCGTCACTCATCCAGCGCCACGAGGCGGGAAGGCCGAGGCTATGAGGTGCCGGGAGGACAAGTCCCGGGTTCCGGCAGTTCTCTCATATGTGTTGTGTTGATGTGACATGAACGAGTTTTTTTTTTTTTTTGGTGTGCTGCCCCAGCTTAGACAAGGGATTCATGTAAAGAGATAGTTTACGAGAAAGGAGACCCAAAGACCTTGACAAGGCTGTTACATCGGCGCTGTCAGAATGGCTGGTCCGCGGTGTCTCGGTCGACAGGAGCGGCAAGGAAGAAGCGCCTGGTGGTACATAGCCATTGATACAGAGACAGGGAATTGAAAGAAGAAGAAAGGAAAAGGTCAACCCCAATTTCTTATTTTTCTGGATATGAGGAACGTTTTATCTCCTTGCTCGTGAGCAGCCTTGCCAGCCCGTTGCCGAGGGAGCGACTAGTTGTCAGTGTCAAAATCGAGGCGAAGGGCAAAGGAATTACCCGCTCCCTTTCCCTTCCCGCGCTGACAAGACAAACCCCAACGGGTTTCCCCTCTCTTGCCATCCTGATTACCTTTCCCTCGTACTTAGTTTGTAGAGGGGTTGATTTGCCTGCCATTAATGGGTCTAGGCTTGCGCTCGGTCCATTGCTGGCCCCCGTCAGCGGGGGGGGACGCCGGACGAGCACACCGTGGTAAAGCTTAAAACGTATGAGACCTATATTCTTCACCCGTCATCCCTGATCCTGGCAAGCCTCGCTGAAGAAAGAGAAGAAGAAAAAAAACCAAAAAAAAAAGCGAGTCGTTGAGATCGATCTGACGCATTGAACAGTTGGTTCATGAGTTTCCCTGGGCGGTTACAGCCATTTTTCTCCTCTCCCCTTCCCACGTGAACTTTAATCGCATTCTCAACTCGACAAAGGACATATGACAATCTCGACCTCGGCGAGCAGCTGGGGTCCCGATTTCTGCAGGCTGCAAGCCATCTTGTGGGGGAATGCGCGTCTCTTTGGGTAAGGGCTGGACGCAGCTGGGCGTGCTTGGTGGCTGTGTGGCTCTTTGGTCGGACCAATGGCAACCGTGCCACTGTCTCTTTCATTCCCGGCTTCTCTTTTTTTTTCCCCTCCCATCCTTCAGCCTGGCACCTGGCAGTTCGACGATGTTTGCGGGGGTGGAGAATTGGGAAGCATATGATTTGTCTCTGACAAGTTGTCTTGGAGGGAGGGGGGGGGGAGGTAACCTTCCCGCCGCTTCCCCGGGCTTGTTGTTGTCCTTCATTACTCGGGCCGCACACACAAGACCTTTTCTCTACTGGCTCTCAGACTGATGTCTTTCTTTTTCTTCCCCATTCCCGTTGCGACCATTTCGTCCAGTGTGGAGCCGGTGGGCGGTGGTCTGTTCGAGGCCAGCGACAGAAGAGAGTTGGACGGAGGCGTTGCGTAGTGTATATTAAGAAAGTCTGTGCCACTACCAACGCGTAGTAGGGGTGAAATAGCCTTTTTTTCTCGTTCTTGCAGCAACTCGATTTTACTCACTGGTAGCGCCCGTCGTCCAAAGTCTACCCGTCTCTCTCTTCATCCTGTCAACCTACATCTATACATCTACCCGTCTCTGGTGACCCTCGACGACAAACATCACCCGGCATCGCGGCGGTGATGGAAATACGGCCCGCGACCGTCGCCTGCGTGTAAACCATCGTCTACGCCACACCACATACGATGAAGATATCCCCAGGTCTGTCCCTGGCCGTCGCCGGGATATGGCTCGCCGGAGCCTGCCAGGGCCAGGACACCCAATCGCCACCCAGCCGGCGTGGTGCATCATCGCACCGCAACACCGTGGCTATCCCTAGAGCCGCCTTGTCGACCATCTTAGACCAAGTACCATCGTGCGCAGTAAGTATCCGATTTTACAGACTGGCGGAAGACCGTCGGAATCTAATGGACTCTCCCAGAAATCGTGCGTTGAACAACTCACGGCCGGCCACGACTGCGACGACGGAACATGCCTCTGCGCCAACGCCACCGTCGAACACGCCCTCGGACCCTGCGTATTGGCTGCGTGCACCATGGCCGAGAGCATCACCACCAAGAACTTCACGCAAGCCGCGTGCAACTTACCACGGCGCGATCGCGCGACACCCTTCAACGTCACGTCCATCACGCTCTGTACCATTACCGGCATCATGGTCCTTGCCAGGCTCATCTTCAAGGGCCAATTTAGCTACGCCGCCAAGCTCGGCCTCGACGACTGGTTCATCATCGCCTCCATCGCCGTCGGCCTGCCGTGCACCATCATCAACGGCGTGGGCTTCACACGCCACGGCCTCGGCAAGGATGTTTGGACGCTCCCCCCCGACATGATCGAGACCTTTGGCCGCTTCTTTTATGCGCAGCAGATTCTGTATCTGTTTCTCGTCACTTCCATAAAAATGAGCTTGCTCTTCTTTTATCTGTCGATATTTCCTGGCAGAGGCGTCCGTACCGTGCTGTGGCTGACAATGGCCGTAACGGGCGTCTTCGGGCTGACCTTTGTGCTGCTGTCAATCTTTCAGTGCACCCCCATACAATTCTATTGGCTGCGTTACGTACAGCCTGTCCACGGATACTGCACGAGGATCAATTTGCTAGGGTGGATACACGGCGGCGTCAGTACAGCTATTGACGTTTGGATGATTGGCATTCCCCTCTTCGAGATTCGCAAGCTAGAGCTGCACTGGAAGAAGAAGGTCGGGGCGGCCATCATGTTTCTCACAGGAACATTGTAAGTCAACCATACTCGAAATGCAAGGCATGTATCACTGACCAGGGATAGTGTCACCATCGTCTCGGCGCTGCGGCTCAGGTCCCTCATCTACTTCGCCAATTCCATCAACCCAACCTGGGATGAATTGCCCGTAGCTCTATGGGCCACCATTGAAATCAATGTCGGACTAATGTGCGCTTGCCTACCGACGCTGCGATTGATTCTTGTGCGAATGTGGCCTCGCGTATTCGGGAGCACGATAAACTCAGCATCCGAGAGATCCGCTGTTTCGCACGCGACAAACACGAGCGCCTCTGCCCGCAAGGGAAAGATTCGGGCCGCTAGTCTTGACACAGACACAGCACCCATAAGCCCACGGCTAATGGAAACCAATACGGCATTTGAGCTGGAAGCTAAATATCCAACATCGGAGGATGACCGCGAGGACTTAGAGAGTCACGGGGGTCACGAGACCGCTTCATTTGAAGACGGCTGCCACGCAAAATAGCCGACAAAAAACAAGCAAAAACACGTAAATATATATAATAGTAATAATACATACATACTGCATCCTCATCCCATTAAAATGGTAAACAAAAGTTGGTGCATGCGCTATGTACGCTGGATATTCTAGAAGAAGGTAGATCGCCGCCCCGAGATAGTAAACCAAAAGAAATATAGGAAAGGAGATATCGTGACATGGTAAAATATTAAGTGAGTGGTTGGAATGGCGCTATTTTGGAGAACCTAGAATTTGGCATTCCATGCGTCGACCACCGCCTGGCGCTCTTCCACAGTGGCCTCTCGAAAGTCCAAAAGTGCCATGCGGAGTCTGACGAGTAGAATTTCTGCCTTGAGTTTGGTGAGGTGGCGCTTGGAAAGCTCCCTCTCAACGCCCTTGAGAGTGTAGCCCGGAAGGCCAAAGATAGCGGCGCCTAGGCCGCAGAAGAAGCCCTTGCCACCACGCCAGATACCCTTTCCGAGGCCTTTCGCACCTTCGTCTCTGGTACCCTTATAAGGCTGTACGACAATGCCCGAGAAAGCATCCCAGAAGCCGAGAACAAATTCCTTTCCGGCAACCTTGACCCCGCTGCCGAAACCCTTGATCTGGTCCCTGCGGCGAACCTCGATACCGGCATAGCCGTACGAAGGGAAGTTGTGGAAGCCGTTGGCCGTATTCCAAAAGAACGCAACTGGAGCCTTGAAGCCGGCCTTGGCAAGCTCGACGCCGAATCGGCCGGTCTTGCGAGTAAGATACCACGTGCGGCCGTGCTGTCCTCTCTCATGCTCCTCCCATTCCGCCTTGCGCTTGTCATGGAACGTAGGTGCGCGTTTGATTGCGGGCTCGGGAGGTTGAAAAGTGCGCAGAGATTTTTTGGCCATTTTCCGGGCTGACAATTCCATTTCCGAGGGAGTGATGTTACTCGAAGCAGCTGTCAAGACTCTGAGGCGGCCGTCGGGGTGTGTCGGTGGTTCAGGTTGGCTGTCCTTGGGTGCGGCGGCTTTGGCTTCGGACGAGGAGTCGCTTGATTCTGCTTCTTGATCAACCTTACTGCTGCGCCGATACTTCCAGGCTTTGGAATAATCGGAGGAGGCAATGGCAACAGCTGTGACGAAACCGGTGGCGGAAGCAACCATTCCTACCAAGGGATGCTCGGCGCCCTCGTCCACATACCAGCTTTTGTGCTGAATTAGCTTGACTTGGTCCGGCGTAAGGATACCTTCGTCAGTTAAGCAGGCGGCGGCAAATCCACTCAAGCGCGCGCCGGTCTTTTTATGCAGCCAAGTGGCCAGCCTGTCTGGGCACAGGTCACACTGTAGCTGGTCCTCGCTGACAAGGCGTTCGAGGAAGTCGGTCACAGTATCTTCTGCTCCGTTCTCCGCAGCAATAGTCTTGGCCATCTCCTGGGCACCTTTCTGGACATCCTCCTTCAGGGCTGTAGTGATGCTTTCGGTAAGACTATCGACAGTCATCTCGGTGAATGGCACAGGTTCCGGACCAGCACCAGCGCGAGCTACCATTTGGCCCCAGAAAGCCTGATCTCCAAAGAAGGGGACAACAACAGTTGGTCGACCTGCGGCGATACCGGCGGCGGTGGTGCCGGCACCACCATGATGTACGACGGCACAGACGTGCTGGAACAGCCAATCATGGGGGCAGTTGCCGATGAGATAGATGTTGTCGGGAACCTCGTCGCCACCAACCTTGCTCCAACCCTTGGAGATAATGGCACGGACACCAGACTTCTTGACAGCCGCAAAAAGCAGTTTGGTGAGCTCCTCGGGCTTCTCGACTACAATGGACCCGAAGCCTATGTAGATTGGGGCTGGTCCTGCAGCGAGGAAAGCAGTTAAGTCCTCGGGAGGCTTGTAGGAACTGGCGAGAGGCAAAAAGGAGAAGCCCGTGATGTTGATGTAAGAACCCCAGTCTTTCGGCTTGGGAATGAGTGACTTGGACCAGAGGTATGTGAATGGCACGCGTAGACGCGGGAGTAGATGGAAACCCCAGAGAGGGCTAATTGGGTCGAGACCAAGCTTCTGATGGCGAAATTTGGAGATCAAGTCACCGAGACTAGAGCGGTTGTTAAAACTGGAGAGGTTATGGTATTGCTGCATGCGATTGCAAGTACAACAGCATGGTGATAGAATGGAAGAACTTACCCTTGCCACGTGAGGAGTTCCATCATGATGAAAGAAATGTAGTTGGCCATTTTTTTGTCGGCTCCGCCGTAGTTCATAGCAGCCAAGGGATGGGCGAAGGCGTCGGTGGGGGACCAGGGCATGGTGAAGACCATATGAAGAGGAATGCCGAGCTTCTCGGCGCAGTGAATATGAGCCATAGAAGGTGGGTTGGCAATAATGACGTCGGCGACGAAGAGGTCCTTGGCATCTTTGACAGTTGCGGCAGTGACTGGGTTGCCCATGCCGTTACCAGCCTCGATGCAGCTCCGCCAGCAGCCATTGATAATTTCAGCCATCTCCTCGCGACGCTTGCCAATATCGCCGGCCTTTACGCTCTCTCTATTGGGTAACAGGCCGGGATTCCTGACCATGTAAGACATGAGGGCCTCTGGGTCGCCGCCAATGCTGAAGAACTCGACGCCTTGTTCCTCGACAAAGTCCTTGAAGACCGGGTGGGTGCATATGCGGACTCTGTGGTTATAGGGGGCCCGGCTGAGGCTCTGGGCAATGGGGATGAAGGGCTGGACATCGCCGCGGGAGCCAACAATGTGTATGGCGATGTTGAGGCGAGGGATGCTTTCAGGTTCTGCCTTGGGGAGTTGGGGCGAGGCTGGTCGGCTGGTGGGGTGTTTGCATGACCGTTTCATCTGGAGATCATGATACCACGAGGTGAGGGAGTGCGCCTCGCTGTGAAAACGAATCTTGAAACGGCCATCGTCGCCCACAGAGCCAGATGGGCCCTTTTCGAGGACGAGCTGGCCGGGCTCTCTCGACTTGGTGCGGAACATGTTGGCAGCGTGTACCTCGCAGCTTTGCACGCGGCTGGATTGGATTCCGCGGAAGGGTTTGGCCCGCCAGGAGAAGAAGGGGAGGCAGACTGGCAGTAAGATGCTGTTTATAGAAGCTAGAGCAAGTAATGGGTTGGGCCAAGATGGATGCGGGAGGTTGTTGAAGCAAACGAAAATGGCAGAATTGGAGGAAGTTGATGCAAAACACAAGACCACGGGCGATAGAGCTGGCCGGCAAGCACCGCTAGCTGTACCTTGGCGTACCCAAGCCAAGGTACCAAAGTCCAAAGTGGTGGTGGCACCAGTGGGCCAGCCTTGCGACCCTGGAAATGAGGGGCAATGTGCTGCCGGGGCTGCTGAAGAATCTGCTGTATAAAGAGCGCTATAATTGACGGTGATTTGGGGGGTTTTCCGCCAAACGGCGATTGGGGTGGGGCACTGGATATGCCGCAGTTAGTGGGTGAGCACTATAGATGCTGAAATAATTAGTGAAGTGAGGGTAAAAGTGTAATTACATGGTTATGAAAGGGATGCAAAAAAAAAAAAAATACTTGTGTTTTTTTGTCTTATTGTTTCAGTCGCATTAGGCTAGCTGAGTCTGTGCTTCGTTGCTACCTTTCCGTTATCCCTGGGCAAAGGTAACTAACGCTTCCGGCGTTTTCGGCCGACAGTTCTCACGGCCCCCTTGGAAAAGTCTTGCTGAAGGCCGATCGCCACTGCAATCAGCCAGGTCGCCGGTTTCCCAACGGCCTTTATGATTTTTCTATGTGGCGTTGTACCTAGACATTGTCTTGAATCATGCATGGATGAAGGGGCTCTTCATTTGTTCCTCATTCTGTTGGCGATTTGAATGTGAGAACTTTTACCTATACCTACCCGATACTATACGCGCAAATAAACTTGTCAAAAAAGAAGAACAACCGCCCCAAGGAGCCAAGACGTTGTATCCATAATACTAGGCTTGCGGCGAGATCGATTTCACCATGGTATTTCTCGGCAGCGCCTGTCATAGGCTGTCGCTACAGCGCCGGTGAAGCCGGCCACCCCGGCTGATAAGTTTTAGTTAGCGCTCACAGCCACTGCCTGGGGTCTGGACCATACTAGCCTCCATAACGTTACTGAGAAGCCAAGATTCGCAAATCCCACCAATGCCTTGGTCACAATTCCCCGGTGAGGATTTGCGCATAGTTTCGCGCTATGCAGACTTTGGTGGTAGTCTGCGACCAATGTGCTGTGGAATTTTTACTCCCTGGAGAGCTTCTCCGTCCTGACCTCATTCTCGAAGTCCGGCGGTACGTACCTGCCAATGCTCGAAAGGCCGGTTGGACAAAACTAGCAGCGCCCCCAGTCGCGACCCTAATTGAAGGCAACCGCGCGCGCGGACTGTTTGCCAACCGTCAGAAAGCAACGCCTTCCAATGGCTTCCTCACCACGTCGCGCCTCCGAGGCCGAAGCGACCGAATCGACCATCGTCGGCCGCGCCCGTCGTGCCTCCCTCTCCGTCCTCAATGCCAACCCCCAGCTCGGCATCTGGCAGGCCGCTGGCACCGCCATCGCCCAGGCCCCCAACCTGACGGAGCTCCGCGACGTCGACATGGGCGGCGGCAATATTACCTTCAACTCCCAGGGTCATTCGGCGCGCCTCGCCGCCGTCTACGAGGATATCGGTCGTCTCGCGCTGGTCCGCAGCAACACCCGCGTCCTCGACAAGGAGTCGGGCAGGGAAAAGACGACCCCCGTGAGCGCGGACGAGACGCCCATGGATACGGCGCAAGAAGAACCGAGCAAGAAGAGCAAGGAGCACCATCACCACAGACACCATCTGTGGCATCACAGCCACGGCGAAAGTCACGGCAAACAAGCAGACATTGGGCCGACAATCATGCACGGCTTGGCGGCCTTCTGGAAATTCTTCATTACGCCGGCTGGCTTCCTTATCACCATATACTGTTTAAATATTGTTGTACGTATAATATGCCCAACCTAGGTGGCCATCTACTAACAATCTATAGGCATGGGGTGTATGTCGTCATTTTTCCTTTCAACCTTACAACCTGCTGACTTTATTTCTAGGCCATGCTCTTCTTCCTCCTCCTCAAAGCTGCCCCCGCCATGAACCATCCCTCCGCCGACGACAACTCCTCGCCCCGCAAGATCTGGCTCGAGATCGACTCCCAGATCCTCAACGCCCTCTTCTGCGTCACCGGCTTTGGCCTCGCGCCGTGGCGTTTCCGTGACCTCTATTACTTTATCCGCGGCGCCCATATGCACGACCAGATCGCCATGGGCAAGCTGGCTAAGCAGAACCGTGGCTGGTTCCGCCCGCCTACCTGGTACACGGAGGCCGAGGAGACGTCAGTCGAAACGCCGGAACAAGTCAAGCCACCCACATTTACCGGTCGGGTTGCGCCCCCGACGCCCGTCTGGAAACTTGGCTTCACGATCTGGATGATGGTGTGGAACACTATACTCCAGGCGGTCCTGTGCTTCTTCATGTGGCACTACAACCGCATAGATCGTCCAGTAAGTGATTGTGCACAATCCCCTAGCTTCAACCGACTGTATCTAACTGGTGATTAGGGTTGGGCGACTGGCACATTCATCGGCCTCGGCTGTGGCGTCTCAATGCTCGCGGGACTCATGTCCTATTGGGAAGGCCGTAAAGTCAAGAAGATTGAGGGCCCTGCCGTTGAAGTTGTTGAAGCGAAAGACGCAGTATAGATACATGCAGCTACTAACGCCTTCAGAGGCGGTTCATGCTGGGCCGGTCATTGGCACATTCGACCAGGGCCGCATAGGCGCAGCCAATTGCTCCGAAAGGGAGTCTGCCACGGGAGAGAAGTCGCGGCAACAACAATGGTGATGCGGTAGCCTGAGACCAGGAGAAGTTGCCTCGAGAATAACATCAGACAACCGAAGACATAGAAATTACAAGTTAGGGCACCAGTTCCTTGGTTTGTTGGTTGTATTTGTCACAACAAATGGTTGACGGAAAGACAAACAGCAGCAAACGACCAGACAGGAATGTCAGCATTGTAAATATTATATTAATAGAATATACAATAGGTTCAAATATGACAGATAACGAGGAAAATAAAGCAAAAGACTCCGATGACTATAGCAATGAGTCGAAATGACGCAGCCGCCATGCAACAAATGGAAGACGAAAAAAGGGAAAGAAAAGCAAGGTCCCTAAATCACTACGTGCAATTCCAGCTTTCTCTAACTCCGATGCTTTTCATAACCATCTATCCCTTCACTCTCCGTGGTAACCGTTCATCACATAACTTCATCATGGTTTTCGTATCGCCCTCCTGCCAACCAGTCTAGTTGTTCAATTTGTCCTTCTTCACCAGCAGTGCTTCTTTGTCTGCCACGAGTGCAACTTTTGCGGCTTCCAGTTTCTCTTTTTCAGCGATTTGGCGGAGCTCTTCCTTCTCGTCAGCGGTAAGCTCGGCCGAAGCCGAGCCAAGGCGCATGGTAGCTGTGAGCAACAGCGCAATGCCGGCCAGACCAACACCGAGCCAGAAGCCGATGCGGTACTGGCGTGCTAGGCTCAGAGGTGAATCTAGGCTCTTTTGAATCGATGAGATCAACAAATCGCTGAATCCCAGGCAAAAGGAGCTGCCAATGTAGATGAGGCAGTTGGTGATGCCGCCCACTGCTGCCTGGTCGCGCTTCGGCAGCGCCGTCGTCAGAAACACGTTCGTCACGTTGAAGGATAGATCAATGCCGATGGTCGCGCAGCACATGGCCGGCAATATGTACATCCAGTAGAGGGTGCCTCTGGGTTGGCCAGAGTCGATGGGCAGGATCGCGAAGAGCAGGACGCAGAAGAGAAAGCCAAGGCTGGAGATGATGAGCAGTATTTGGTTGGACAAGAGGTGCAGCACCATGCCACCAATGGCGGCGAGGAAGAGGCCGCCAAGGAAAAGCGGTGTATACCACGCAGCAGCGAGAATAGGAGTCGCACGAAGAACATTGCCGATACTACAGAGGATCTCAGTTAGCAAGCAAGCAACGAAGTTTTCCCAGTTGCCGTTGCGGGTGAACTTACTAAAGACTGGTGTAGAACAAGAAGATGGAGTTGACACCATAAAAGAAAAATAGTGCAACAAAGAGTCTGATCATGTACTTTGGCTTGAATATCCGGCGCGGCATGAGAGGTTGCGACGAGACCCAGCCCTGGACGTACACCGTGAGGGCGAGGAAGAGAAGGCCGAGGACCAGACAGACGATGATGTACGGGGTCGCCCATCCTTGGGGGCCGTGACTGCCCTCCGAAAACGCAAAGTTGATTAGCGCCAGCGCCGGCACCGACGTCACGAGACCGAGCCAGTCCATGCGCGCCTCCGGGTCGACGTCGTTGAGCTGCGGGGGGATGACCGCGTAGCTGATGGACAGGACGACGCACTGGAGGGTGGCGCCGAGGAAGAAGTACCACCGCCAGTCGGCGTACTGCGTCGTGAGCGCGGCCGTGATGATGCCAAAGTAGAAGCCGACCGCCGCGAACGCGCCGTACACGCAGTACACGCGGTTCTTGCGCGGGCCGGGCCGGTACACCTGGCCAAGGATGGACAAGCCGGCCGGCAGGAAGGCGCCGAAGCCGACCCCCTGCATGGCACGGCACACGATCAGCGGCGTCGCGCTGGAGCAGAGGCCGGCCGCCGCCGCCCAGGCGGCCAGCCACACGTGGCCGCCGAGGTAGACGACGCGGGCGCTCCACTGGCCGCAAAGCCGCGAGAAGGGCAGCAGGGTGACGCCGGCGGCGAGGTTGGGCACGGCGGTCGGCCAGGTGCGCGCGGCCTCGGGGATGTGCACCGCATCGGTGAGCGTCGGCAGGATGATGTTGAAGCCCGAGGTGAAGTACTCGCTCATCATCAGGGACATGACGATGGACATGACGAAAATGACCTCGATGAAGGTGTTCGCGAAAATGGGCGGGCGTTCGCGTCCGAGCCGCTCAATATCGGCGTGGGTAAGCTGTGATGGCCGGGTCGCCCCCGGCAGGTCCAGCGACGTCAGCGTGGCGGCGTCGGTGAGCTCCGTGCTGCATGATGTCGCCGTCGACGGCTTCCGGCTCGTCGTCGTCACCGTGGTTGTGCTCATCGAAAGCTTCTGCGTTCCGTATAAGACCAGCTTGAAGGGCAAGGCGTTGAACTACGGGTTGTTTTTACTTGGACCACGAGAAAAACAGCTTTGCAAGCTCCTTTTTAACAGCTTGGAGCTAAGCTCCATGGCGATAATATAGGCCATCAGTGGACTTGTCGCCTCTTCCCCCCTCCCAGCTTAAAAATGCGTAGACATTCCTGTGATGCCTCACGACTGCCCGATCGAGCCACTTGTGTCTCAGTCTGGCTATGGTGCCCAGCCGAGTCTGGCGCCAACGTCCAATCAGAAGTCGCTTCTCCCCGTGATCTAGTTCAAGCTTCGGAGAAAAAAATGGTCAGGTCCAAAAAAATCATGTGCGACAAGGTCTCGCGTGGAAAAGTGACAGTCCGCAGCGCCAGTGCTGGAGGCATTCCCCGGTGCGTCGGTCATACGTGCGTGAACCCGCAGTGGACGCTGTATAGCCTGAGACACGGGCTGGTCAAGAATCCAGTCACACAAAAATTTCCCGGTTTGCTCAAGGAGCCAATGGATTTTGGGTCGTGTTTGTCGGCACATGGAGCAGGGGGCTGGCGTGTTGGCTCAAGAGCTCGCGAGCTTGGGGCCAGATACTGAGACCTATATGTAACAACAAACTCGGAAGCATCGGCTAGGCCTCGTAAACATCATTTATCAGTTTTAATCAACCTCTAATAGGCGAAGGACACCCGGGTCCCTGCATAATCAGAGTTATATGCCTGACTGGTCGTCTTATTCTCTACAGTGAGCTGAGCGTCGCCGTTCCACGGGTTGGCTGGCACTGGTGTCATAGTGATGGGAGAAGGACGTATCATACGTTTTTTTCTTTCGCGATGAAAACTCGGCAATGTACGGTGTTGCAAGGACTTCAGTCCTCGCTTCGAGGCCAGCAAAAGCTGGAGTTGAGGGGGGGTTGGCGGCAGTTGCAAATCTGCCAGCTCAACACAACCCGCGTTGTTAGTAGGTTCTCACCTAATATCCGAGGAAGACAGGATCTCGATGACCTGGGGTTGAATCTTGGCGCTCCGCCGATGGTTCATGGCTGGCGGCTTTTGCGGGCATTCCAGTCAGCCTACGTCATGAGCGATCAGCCGGCGCCAGGCAGGTCGGCACTAAAAGCTCAAGAACCAACAGCTTCTGTCCTTAGTCCAAGTCTTGGCGGCATATTTCTATGAAGGGGGAAGCCTCATGACGATGTTGAAAGGAATACTTCTCCACAAGTAAGCCCTAAAATTGAGCATAGAGACAGGGCGTTGTGGATTGACTTTATTGTCGGCATTTCTATTTCGGGATGCCTGCCGACGCAGAATATGATCGAGGTTCGAGAACTATGTACATAGAAATTAGTTGACTATAGTAAAAGAAATGCATAAATAGGCTCTTACCTCCTAGAACGACGAATATGGCCTCCAAGAAGACGGGCGCGCACATTCTCTATACGAGATCTCTCCACAATGCACTTCAACTCGCTCCTCACTCTGGCTTCTGCCGTCGGCCTCGCCAGCGTCGCTGCCGCCGGAGACGCCCACTCCAACCTGGACTGGTACGGCCCGAAGCAGACTCACACGCAGGTGTGCGGCCACCCCGGTGACGAGCACCCCCAGAACTGCGACGACTTCTACAACGACGTCCGCGACGAGCTGCACAAGAAAGTCATGGACACCTGCAAGGAAACGTCGTGCTCCGGCTCCTTCAAGCACTACCACTTCCAGGTCACCGTCGAGGCCGTCTTCCCGCCTGAGGCCAAGAGCGAGTTCGACCAGCAGATGGGCAACATCATCGGCAAGATGCTCACCCACGAGAACCAAAAGGCCATCACCCCGACCCCGATCGAGACCAAGTTCACCATCCCCAGCAAGATGATCCTCAACCGCTTCGGCGACGGCAACGAGAAGGGCCATCTGGAAATGACGGCCACTGTCAAGGATGAGGACGGCCTCTGCGAGCTCTTTCAGAAGATTGGTACCGCCGGCAGCGTGATTCCCGAAGTTGGCCCCTTCTTCGGCTTGATCAACTTGGCTGACTGCTAAATAAAGTCGCAATCATGTAAACACTGGACAACTGGACGATTACATTTGCAGGGCAACTGAAATCAATTAATTAGTAGCTCATTCAGGGCATTGAGAGAATACGCAAAAAAAAATATCTGGAAACTCACCGCATCGTCCAATCTAATTCAAGGACGGGTGATGGTGTATATCGCCGACATATACTAACGTATCTGCTTGAGGTGGCTGACGGCGACTTACGTGGGCCGGGTCGGCACTGTGTCAAGGCAGAGCCAGGTGGTTCAAGAAGCCGCCGTGGCCGAGCTTATGGACGAGGCGGTACCGGCCGGCCTTGGTCGAGGGTATCGTCGAGGAGGATGAGGTGGTAGCCATTCAGGCGGTAGCGACGGATTCTCTTCAAGTCGTCTTCGCCTATAGAGAGCAAGAATTCGTACCGGTGGGCGTGGTTTGGGGGTTTCGGAGCCGCAGCCACCGCTGGTCTTACAGGAGTAAGAGCGGGGCATGCTTTTGCTTTTGCCTCCTTCTTTTTCTCCGATTTCTTTGCTTTGCCTCTAAGGTGGTTGCGTTTGCAGTGTGCGCGGGCTGGGAGAGATAGAAGGGGTGCGTGTGCCAGGGTCTAGGGTAGTTATCCCAGCCCGAAGCAACAGGGCAGCCACCGACAAACGGCGGCCACCGACAAGCGGCGGCCTCCGAAACGCTTCGTACAGCAAAATTTATGATGGCTCGATTTAGAAGTCGGCTGCTTTTTCATCTCATTCTGGCGTAAGGTTTTCGGCTCACCCTGCCCGCAGGTCAAGTTGCATGGTTCTACGAGCCTGCGAATAAACGATGCACAAAGGTAAGAAGATTTTGAGTAATAAATTGAGAATATGTATGGTTGCACCTATTTACGGGAAAAATAAATCGCGCTATTGTGTCGGGCAAGCTGTGTCGTTACTTGCGAGAATATCTAATACGAGGAAAAAGAAAGGGAGGGAAAAAAGAAAAAAACAAAGGAAATATGCAACAGCCATTAGTGCATCAAACGCCCTTATGCGTTAGAGATGCCGTCAGAGAAGGAAAGACCGCCAGCAGACTGGTCTACCTCCATGGAGTGTTTCAGACCGCAAACCTCAAACAGCTTGACGGGCGTCAGGTCCTTGGGGGTGCCGACGATACCCTTGGTCTTGAGCAGCGTCAAGGTCTCCTTGATGGCCCTGTAGGCGGGGACGATGCAGGCGAAGGAGAAGATCATGATGCGGAAGCCCATCTCGCGCGCCTCGTCGACGGTGATGGTCGGGCTCGCGCCGTTCTCGACGCTGTTGAGCAGCAGCGGCCAGGGCGCGAGGTCCTTGACCGCCTGCGCGGCCTGCTCCTTGCTCTTGAAGCCCTCGAGCAGGCCCACATCGGCGCCGAGGTCGCGCGCCGTGCGCAGACGCTCGATGCACTCGTCGTAGCCGAGCGACTGCAGCGCGTCGGTGCGCGCGATGAGCACGAAGTCGGAGCGCATGCGGACGCGCGCGGCGTGGGCCGCGCGGATGCGCGAGTAGTACTCCTCGCGGGGGACCACCTTCTTGCCGGACAGGTGGCCGCAGCGCTTGGTCAGCACCTGGTCCTCGAGGTGGGCGCCGGCGACGCCGGCGCGGATGTACTGCTCGACGGTCCGGGCAGCCATGATGGGGCCTGTTATTTTCGGGATTAGTCTTCTGCGTGGGTGGCGTTGGACAGGGTTGTCCGTGAGACAGCGGAAATTACGTACCGCCGTAGCCGGTGTCCATGTCGGCAATCAGAGGGGGGCCGAAGGGGTCGAGATTGGCAATCATCTCTGCGTTTTCACGCATCTCGTGGAGCTGGGCGATGGCCAGATCGGGCTGGCCAAGACGCGAGGCGGTGGTGCCGGCACCGGTCTATACGTGATGAGTTAGTTGGAGGCGATGGCATATGTCTAAACGGGGCAGCAGGCGTACCATGTAGAGGGCATTGAAGCCGGTCTCGATGGCGGTACGGGCTGACAGGCCGTCATAGACGCCGGGGCAGACGATGAGCTCGTTGGACTCAAAAATCATCTTGCGCAGCTTGGTGGCGCCGATGGCGGGCAGGTCGACGGCATCAACGCTGTTCAGGGGCAGGTATTCGACGGAGCTGCCCTTGGACTCAATCACGGGCTCCTCGACCACGGGGATGGTCTCCACGGGGGACTCAACGACCGGGGTCTCAACAATATCGACAACCGCGGGCGACATCTTGTGGTATATGTGACGGGAGTATGATGTGATGTTATGTGATATGATGTGAGAGAATGCTGCGAGAGGGTATGGAAAACTCGAGCAGATGCAAAAAGGATAAAGGGCGAGATTGATTTAAGTAAGTGGAAAAAAGTATTCTCGAACAGAGGGCCTGTCTGGCGTCTTTATAGTCTTAGACATCTTCTTGGTCATGGTCAGCCGCTCATCGACCTCTTGTTGAGCGATGATCCACAGCCGAAGCGCATCGATGATGCTAATACTGCAAACCACATCTAGAACGGACTCCGGAGTTCATCTTACCAGTAATACTGCTTATCTCGGACGCGCAAGTCACGCCGTCGTTGGGGGAAGCGAAGACGACCATCGTTACGATCCCTGCCGCCAGGGTTGCATCATCCAATGACCAACGATGGGTAGAGGCAATACTGCTGAGAAGGGGCCCAGGCGATATGAACCCAGTGGGTCGACGAGGATGACACTACTGAGAAGTATGCTTATTCTCCTCACGTAACTTCGCGTCTTGGGAGGCCATACCACCTGGGGGAACTTGGACGCCGGGTCCGAGCCTGGATCAACGCCAAGCCTCTTGGGCAGAAGGGCGAGGCCCCCAAACATCTAATCATCCTCGCTGATCTTCAGGATAGGTCTTGCGCCGCGTGATCTCGGACCGTGAACAGAGCGCTGCGCCTCGTCGGCTCATTTCCAGCTCGGCAAGACGGCCGCAGCGCCGGTCTTGGCAAAGGCGGTGGTTCGGAGCGTGACCCTGTGAAAGTCTCACACCGGCGCTACAACAGCGGCGTCTTCTGCTTGTTCTTCTTTGTTTTTTCTCCTTCCAAAAGATGCATGTCTTGGAGCGTCGGAAATGACCGGTAAAACGAAAAAACCCCTCCCTGTCTCAGCGGCCCAACCGTAAGCCGTCTTCCGATTCCCGAGCTGCTATCGTTCCTTGGGTATAGCACCGCCGCTTTTCGCACAAATCTTGATGCAGGGTTGGGGTAAAGGTAGTTTGCGGCTGACAAGAAACCTCACACTCGACGTCGCATCGCTACCTAATAATAAAGTGGAAACCTTAGTAAGGTGGTTGAGTTGTGCATGGGGCTTGTTCACTTGGCAGACTAAGAACTAGCATCATGGCATGCTAAGCCTTGGTGGTGTTTGTCCAATAGGAGTTGGAAGCGGACGCCCGCATCTGCGGCCAGTGAAGGTTATTAACCCAATGGGATGTAAGACGTTTTCGTTGGCCGGATCGGCAGAGATAGAGAAAGAGATAGACAAACAGACAGGGAGAGGGAAAGAGACAGGCTTGCCAAAAGGGAGAGTCTCGGACAAGGCAAAAAACTACTCTAAACTATGTATTGTCTGTCGCAACCCACTCAGCCTCAAGACTCAGGGCTTGGCAAGAAGCTGAGCGGCAATTGAATTGCGCCTTTGCTTTGTTGCTATCAGCGCTGTTGTTAGTCTGAATTGCCCACTGTCTCGCAAGCGGATCCGATCCCGCTCTGTGTAAGATCCGCCTCCCGCTATTATCCCAAGGCTCATGCGCTATTTCCACCTAAATGCACCCTGGTCCTAAATTCTTATCCATACCCGGCTTGTCCCGTTTTTTTTTCCCTATTTTCCCTTCTTCTCCGGTTTCCCTCAAGTAATGCCCGTCTGCTGTTGCATGGCATAATAACAGACGAACTCTTTTACTTCCCTGCAACCACAGCAAACAACCAAGCCCCGTCATGAACAACAGCAAAAACCTCATGGCTGCGCAGGAAACAATGTCGTCGTCGGAAGAATCCAAGCATGATCCTGAGTCGGGCCGCCCCGTCGAGAAGCAGAGCTTCTTCGCCAAGTACCTGAAGGAGGTGGACGTTAAGCGCGCCTACCTGCCCATGCTCGCGTGCTGCTTTGTCTCGGGTTTGACTGACGGCACGATTTACAATGGTATGTCTCTCTGGGGAGATCTTTTGTTTTTGTACCAGTACCGTGGCATTGGGACGTGACTGACACATGTTATAGCCTACGGTACTTTCGTCTCCATGCAAACAGGTGAGTCACTGTCGCGATTTCCCCGCGAAGACCCCACGATGAGGCTGACTGAATATTCTTCGTCTTCAGGAAACACCATCTTCGTCGCCCTCGGCACCACTGGCTTCAACAACAAACCCTACGGCTGGGCGCGCTCCCTCTGTTCGATCGGCTTCTTCATAATCGGCTCCTTCTGCTTCGCGCGCTTCGCCATGCTCCTCGGCGGCCGCCGCCGCGGCGTCCTCGGCCTCTCCTTCCTCGGCCAGTCCATCTTCGTGATGTTGGCCGCCGCGCTGATCCAGGGCGGCGTCATCGACGGATCCTACCCGTCGCACCGCGCGCCAGGCTCCGTCGACTTCAAGGAGATCGCCGTCATCGCGCTGCTCAGCTTCCAGGCGGCCGGCCAGATCGTGTCGAGCCGCAGCCTGTCCGTCGGCGAGATCCCGACCGTCGTCGTCACCAGCATGCTCTGCGACCTCATGTCCGACCCGGCCCTGCTCGCCTGGGCCAAGAACGACAAGCGCAACCGCAGGTTCATGGCGTTCGTGCTGACGCTGGTCGGCGCCATCTGCGGCGGCTGGATCTCTAAGGCGTCGGGCGCCGTGCAGCCGTCCCTGTGGACTGTCGCGGGAATCAAGCTGGTCCTGTCGATCGGTTGGCTCTTCTGGACGGAGAAGTGAGGTGACGAAAAGGAAAGGGCGCTGTGCCCAGGTCGTGACGCATCTTTTGGTTTTTCCCAGCGCTGCATATAGAGTAATAGAGACAGGAAGCGCAAAAAGAGCGCTTTTACATATTCCCAAAATTTCCGCTACATTTTCATGTCTGTGTTGACAGAACAAACGAGCTGCGACGATGGATGCTCAGTGCCAGAAGAGTAGGCATGCAGGCATTTGCATTCCGTCTTCTGCCTCGCTCCATAATGACAGCTGGGTCTTTGCTTCGTCATCGAAGCCCCCATTTTAGCCAATAGCACTCCATCGTGTCTTTTTTTTGTGAGTTTGTTGAATGTTGACGTGGGTGGCTCCAAAGCACATGCTGACGATCAATCAGTGGGACGAGTTTTCTTACAGCTGGGACAGCTATGTTTATGCCATCCTGGCATGTGAAACGTGAGACTGGCTGGCTTTTAAGTAAAAGCCAATGTGCCTGTACATGCCTAATCAGGTCGAATCTTCGAAATTCTCTCTCATGATTGGTCTTGACCAATACGCCTTGACACTTGCCACGAGGGGCATCCGTCTTCACATGCAAATCGAGGACAAGATATCACGCCAAGCGCCATTCCTGGTTGGTCGAATCGTTGCATAACGAAGATGGCGGCAAATAAGCCCCAACTTTCATGTGGTTCCCCTCAATTCTTGCCTCGGCGGTTCAGCCGTGGGGTTGGGCGGGCTCTCGGGACAACGAGCCAAGGGGACGCGCTGCCGCCCCAACCATTCGTAAATTTTAGTAAAGAAGAATGGAATTATGTGCGCATGACTTCTGGCTACAATAAACTTGTTGGGATTAAGCATCTAATTGTAATCAATTTTCCCCGCATTCTATGGCCCCCATGGCGTCTTCATACTAGGGCGCTTATAAGTCCTATGTATATAGCCGTATGTAAGCCCTCCCTCAGCTTCGCCGCTACTCTTGTGCAAACATCGCCATCGCAGCCCATCTCCTTCCTGCAAACAGTATCTATTATCAAGGCATTCCATCATGACTGTACCGCCGGCAAGCGCCAAAGACTCTATGAAGTCGACTTGGCGCACCTGGGACCGGAAAAGCTGGAACCACAACCACTGGATTCTATATGCCATCAACCCGTTCCATCGCGACCTGGACCGAGAGGTTCCTGTCCACCCCATGACGGACAAGGTTCCCAACGTCAGCACAACCGATCAGCACGTATGGATTTTGCTCCACGCAGCGGTTGTCTTGGCCGTTCACCAGACCTGGCTGTCCGTTACTGGAATTCAGCTGCCTTTCCTTGCCGCCGTTGGCTACTACACCGCAGGGTTCCTGTGGGTTGTCGTTCATCAACTGCACATCATTCGAAGACTAGGGCACATATACGGCTTCTTGGATGGAGAGAATGAGCGTGATGGCATCCCTGACTCTGGTGTCGCTCGAGTTCTTGGTGCTGGTTGGAAGACGGCAGGCGGACGCATGCTCCTGGCTGTCTACCTAACCTATAACCAGGCGTCATCGCCGCTGCACGACATGAGCTCGCTGTCCTGGTGGGCCTGGCTTCCGTTCCAAATCGGAATGTACGGCGTTGTTCTGGATTTCTGGTTCTACTGGTATCATCGGGCCATGCACAGCGTCAACGGACTCTGGCAGTTCCATCGGACACACCACTTGACCAAGCACCCAAACGCCATGCTATCCGCGTACGCCGACGACGTCCAAGAGTTCTTCGACATGGTTGGCATCCCGTTCTTTACCTACCTGACATTTATGGCCCTTGGGATTCCGCTTGGGTTCTACGACTGGTTCGTCTGCCACCAGTACACTGCCTTCACCGAGGCTGGCGGCCACAGCGGTCTGCGACTCAACATTCAGGCCGCTTCTACCTTCAGCCCCATCCTAAACTACTTCAACGCGGAGCTGAGAATTGAGGACCACGATCTGCACCACCGCAAGGGCTGGAGAAAGAGCCACAACTACGGAAAGCAAACCCGTGTGTGGGATCGCCTGTTCGGTACGTGCCATGACCGCATCGAGCTGAGCAACGACAACATCGACTACACCAACCAAGTTCGAATTCCTATTTTCTGAAAATGCTTCTACGAAAAGTCCTTGGAGAACGAGATAATGATACCCTGCATTCATACGACGCAATGACGATTGAGTGAGAGCCGCTTGCACGGGAAGGGGCGGCAATAAGAGAAGCTAGCGAAGACTGAACAAGAAATATTATGTTAATATCCAAAAAGAAAACAGGAAATTTACTGTTTCTATTCAATATGTATTGAAGCATCTGAGAAACGGCAATTTTTCCAACTTTGCCTCTGCGAGCGATAGCATTTCAAAATGGGCATGAGGACCAATAGACACCCAAACAATCACGCATTTGGCGAAACTATTGGGGAGCAGAAGCAAGGTTTGTTCTATTTCCTAGCTAGCACTATAGAGCTCAGCCTGTGTTTTCACCCCGTGCCTCGTTCAACAACCTCGTTATTGGGGCCCCAGTGCTAAGTCTACCAATCCTTTCTACTACCAACCGGTCGTAATACTCAGTTCTTCGTCTTTCCATCGGCGCACTTTACGACTTGGTCAAGCTTCCAGTCGAGCTTCGCATCCTTTACACAATCAGGGCACTGCGTCAAGCCGGCCCGCAGTCTCCAACATTTGCCCGTCTCCTCGTAGTAGGCATCCCACTTCGCATCGTCAGCGGTCTCGTCGAGCTCTCCGTTGACGGCGCCGAACTTGTCGTCGATGGGCTTGAGACATTCCCCGGCCTTTGCCTCGTAGTGATCCGTGCAGCCCTTGCTCAGATCTCCCTTCAGGTCCACCAGCTTCAGGTCGTCCTTGTACCACTGGCTCGCGCCGCCCGTGTAGCCGCTCTGTCCGAGGTTGCTGTTGATGAAGTCGAGGTAGCTGCCGACCTTGGTGAAGAGGCTGGGGCCGTTGCACTTGCGCCCTTGGCCGTCGTCGAAGCTGTGGGAGACGAGGCCGACCAGGGTTCCGGACTTGACGTCGATGAGGGGACCGCCGCTATCCCCCTCGCAGACGTTTTTCCCGACCTTTCCCGCGCAGATCAGTGTGCTTAAATCTCCCAGGTCCCATTTGCTACTCTCTGTGCACTTGTTCATTGTCTGCAGAGGGATCACGGCTTCAGCCCGCTTCTCAGTGGGCTTGGCTTTTTCGCCCTTTTCCAGGATGGCAGGATTGCCCCTATAGAATTGTCAGTATTCTCTCACGTTGAAGCAGCCCTATTAAGTCATTGGTCTCGTTTCGCGAGGATAAAGCTCCCAAGTAGACGGTGGTTGAGGTGGGGAGGCGGGGGAGCGGACACACTTACCAACCAACAGCAACTACGTCCGAGTTTGCTGCGAGGTCATCGGCGGATTTTGGAAGCGGCGCATACTCGATTTCTTTACTGGTCTTTATCGGCGTGGCCAGTTTGATGATGCCGATGTCGTTGATCTTGTTAGTTTTGGCGGCAGGCTTCCAGTTCGGCGTCCCAGGTACAGGCTGCTGAATCGTGGCGATCTTGACCGTGACTCCCCATCCTTGGTCAGATCCTAGAAAGTTGAGATATTAGCTCAAGAAGTGCCGAGAAGCTCCCGAGAAAATTTCGGGGGAGGCCATTTTTTTTTTTTTACGAGAAAGGAAATATACCATCTTTCCCGCCACAACATAACCTTCATCGGTTGCAGCACTGAAGCAATGGGCCGCAGTAAGCACAGTAGTGCTGTCCAGAAGCATGCCGCCGCACAAGTGGTTGTGGTTGCTGTTTTGGATGCTGACGGTAAACTTGTAGCGGTCCGTGGATTTATCAGGTGAAATGATTCTCTTGTTCATCGATGCCGACGCAAGGGCAACTGGGAGCCCTGCGGTTAGGGCAATAGCGACGTTGGCTTTCATTGTGGGTAGAAGGTCTCTGAAAAAGGTGCAAGGATGCAATGTGTAAAGTTAAAGAATGTTTTGAGGTCGGATACTCTGGAGATGGAGATGGAAACAACCAACTGGGCAGCACGTACCTTGAGTATATATACTCCAAGAGCAAGGTGTGGAAGACGATGTTCAGGTTGATCCTCAACCTCGGAGCACGGAAACAGAACAGGGCTATTTACCTTGATGTCATGCATCATGTCTGTCAGGATAGTCATGCATCATGTATGTCAGGATAGTCATGCATCGCAATGCAGGAATCTAGTGCTATAAATGGGTTATGGCGTTGGGGAAGCAAAATCGACGTAGGTTAGTTTGGTGCATGGCCATCCGCGATCGGGAGACACAATCAACAGTGCAAACCCGATAACCGAATCCTGTTATTCTAGGGGGTGCAACTACCTAAATACCTTTAGATGTATGTACCTGGCTGGGGAATTGATTCCAGACTGAGTGTTCCTCCAAATAATTGGTTTTCTACAAGGTCCGGTTACATGGATAGACTGCCCAGCCGTGCTGCCTGCGGAATGCGACGTTATGACGCTCAGCACGGCACCTAGTAATGCTTGAGCAGCATTAATTAAACACACACGTGCACATGAACGACAGCAGTCGTGACCCGTATTGTCCCTTCTGGGCTAATAAATTAAAGAAAGCCTTCTTGTCGCAATTGCCCAGGGTTTCCGCGGAACTAAGCTTTGCAGGGCTCTTGTCTGACTCAACTCCCTATTCTCCTGACGACTCTATACATGTCAATTCTCTTTGCTATAAATATGCGGTCTTATATAGCTGCCGCTGGCTACTTCCTACTTTCTCATTCCGTCTTTGCTTATCGCGTCATAACTGACTTGCGTTCCAAGGCTGGGTGTGGCAGATCACCACTACGACATCGCGAAATAGGCATCATTAGGGACTAGTCAATAGTGAAAGTAATGTACTACCTATAGGATTTGCTCCATAACGAGCTCGAAAATTCGAGTCAGTTATAAATCTGGTGATGATTTCGTACTTGGACAATATTTTTTGGCCGATAGTAGCAAGAGCTATGAGATCGCCACCGGGGATTAGAGCAGACCAATTTCTCAGGTGATTATGCATTAAGCAGTCCCCTTGACTCGATAACTGTCCAGCCAGCATTGTAAGAACTGGGAAGCTCCACCACTTTTACAATGTCAAGCACGAATAGCTGAGTCTTCAGGTCTGTGCAAGAGTCAGTCTCGCGTAAAGAATCGACCGAGCCTATACCAAAGATAAGCACCGATATGTCTACATGAGCCCAGGCCTGGCAAGAGTCAGGCTGATAACTAACTTGCTAAGTTTGTCGAGGCGTTAGGGCGTAGGCAAGACTATTGCTCGGTTGGCTGGAGACATTTTTAAGCCGGCAGCTTTAATTCATTGGATTTAGATAGACACGTCGTTTCCTTCTAGATGAAGGCCCTGCTCGAGGCTGTCAGGCTGTTAGTGCCATAATAAATTACATGATGTCATTCCGTCTTCCGAATGGACACCGAGCATTGCCACTCTTAATGCCGTGGCCAGACGACAGCATGGAAGACAACTACAGAGGGAAGTGCTTGTTATACCAGTAAAGGGGTAAAGGTCAACATTCGGTTATTTTGTACCATAGTAGGGCTCGTTTGGATGTTTTTCTACGTCTGACCTATGGGCAGAGCAGACAACCTCAGTTCACACCGCCAGGGAGCGATCTACCGACTTTGTCCTCCGTATGCCGCGAGCAATCACAGTAATCATTTACCATGGGGGTGGAGCGGCTCAGTTAGAGCCAAAGACAAGGATATTACAATGTATAAACAAACAGCAGCCTTATCCAAATTATCTGCTAATTATAAACAAGACGACGCGCAAAGCGGTTCCTATTCCAGGTCTACTGTACAGCACTGGTTTTAGCGGCTGTTAACGCAGTGGGTGCTGGCTGAAAGCTTATAATCTCACTGGGCACTGAAATCCCGCCAATAGAGACACTACGAGATGCACAGGAGCAATCAATTCGTGCAATTTGATCAAAGAAAACGTTTACATGGGCTAGAAAATATCTCTGAATCTATTTATATTTGATTCTATAAATTAAATATCTACCCTTCATATCCGATGACGAGTGCGCATAATCAACACAAGAACAAGTGTTTCCCACTATGGTCGTCGCTATGAATTGTGGCTTGACTGGCTTGAGCTTCGCTGCACTTGCACATGGGCGACTTGATAAGCCACTGATCAAGCCTGAAATTCCTTCCTTAGGTGCTGGCCTCGTCAAAAAGCTCAAGTCAACCCAATCGACCCACGATCAATGGGGATGGGGCTGTACGTGGCAGCGAAAACAGAATTACTGGTATCTATATAGATGGACAGACTGACCTGGAATAGGGGTCCCTGACCGATGCCACGATGTCGCAAATGCGCACAATCTGAGCCCATATGACATTGAAGTCTTCAATTTTCACTACACCGACTGCAATGACATGACATCTGGATCATGTGTCGCCACCACAAGGCCGAAGTGAGTCAAGAGCAAATGATTGATGTCTTTGGCCGTCTGCCCGTCAGAATGTGCGACTGGGTACGAACCACGATCGGGTAAGCTCTAACTAAATAGTTTGTTATGGCTGTTGAAGAGGTTGGTTTGGTTGGCGGACTGAATTGAACAGCTCTGCCCGGCACCCTAAGCGCGTATACCTAGTAAAGACCTGCGCCTTGTTGTCATTGACAAACTCATTCTCACCCTAAACAGCTCAGATCTCAGTGACATGATTTACTTTGGCGACATTCAGAGCTACCTACGCTCTGGGCTCATGAAATCGGCCACACCATGGACAACAATGCTGTGACCAAGGGAAGCGATTTTTCTGGTAACACAAATGCCCATCTATTCCCTGCAGCAAAAAATATGCTAACTCGTCGAGCATCCTCTCGCTGGAACGACGCTTACAACCAAGACTCGGCCATCTCGGACAGCTATGCCCAGACCAGTGAGACTACGGCACCCAGCCTTTAGAAAGCAAGAGGAGGGACGCGGAACCCCCGTTCAACGTGACCCTGAGCAGTGAGGTCAATATAATTCCGGTCACGAGCAATTCCGACCGCATGGTTTGCGGTCATTAGCCGTAATGGCCGAGCCGGTCCAGATGCCGCGGTGGACAAGCGCGACGGGGTCTCGCCATTGTTGGCCGAGGAAGAAGCCCGAGAATGTCCAAACTTAAACGGCCACGGGACTTTTGCTCCTACTCTCACAAATTTATCGTCCCTTACAAATTCGTCACTGCAAAATGACCAACTGTTCGGTAAGCCGGTGGGTCGAACGACTGTGCGATTGCGCCCCTCTTCAGGGTCTATGGTGTGTAAGCAATTGATAGTGAGAGACTTGAGGAATGTATAGCAACAGATCGCCTTTGACAAAGGACGATCAAGAAATAATGTGGCGCTCTGGAGGCGGCGGGAGGTATCCTGGAAAACTTACTATATTAACGTAGGTCGGCACTTTGTCTTCCCCCGCATTCAACCCCGCCTTACAGATATAAATACCTTTAAAATCGCAAACATTTTCCTTCATCATTGTATATCTTTCGTCATTGTATATTACTTCATTCTCTACGGTGGATCCCTCTTCCTCTATCATCCACAAGAATCTGTTTGGCCCGACACTGCCATGGCCCCTTCGATGCCTGTTGACTCAACTGCACTTGTAGCAAGGGGACCTTTCTCGGAAGGAAAATGGGCGCTGGAACCGGTAAAATTGCGAGAATTGCGTGACGACGAGGTCCTGGTCCGAATGGTCGCCTCTGGTATCTGCCACACTGATCTCCATTGCGGAAACACGGCGGCTGACGCGGGAGTGCCCGCCGTTTACTATCCCCGTGTGCTCGGACACGAAGGTGAGATACATTTGCCAATTTTCTCAGTCGCAACTTGCTGAAACTCTAGTTGATCTTGTCAGGCTCCGGTTATGTTGTGCAGGCCGGGGGCTCCGTCAAGAATGTGCAGCCTGGCGACCCTGTTCTCCTCTCATTCTCATACTGTGGAGAGTGCCATGTCTGTCTTTCTGGAGTACCCTCGCATTGTGTTAAGGCTTTCGAAATAAATTTTATGGGGGAGCCTGTGTTTGAGGGCGGCATCGCGGGCAGATTTTTCGGTCAGTCTAGCTTCGCGCGGCACTCTGTCGTCAGTGCCAAGAGTGTCGTCAACGTCTCCGGGTTGGGCCTCAGCGAGGATGACCTGAAGCTTCTTGCGCCATTAGGATGTGGTCTGCAGACGGGCAGCGGCACAGTCGTCAATGTCGCCAAGGCCGGCCCGCAAGACTGCCTCACAGTTGCCGGTCTCGGGGGTGTTGGACTGGCGGCGGTCATTGCAGCCAGGAATCAAGGGTGCAAGGTGATCATCGGGCTTGACAGAGTCGACAGTCGGCTGGAGCTGGCCAAGTCACTGGGTGCGACGCATGTCATCAACACGAAAAACCTCGGCATGAAGGACCTCGTCGAGAAGATCAAGGAAGCGAGCGAAGGGCTCGGCTCTACCATCAGCGTCGACACGACGGCGTTCCCGGCGCTGGTTTCTGCGCAACTGGATGCAACGCGATACCTGGGGAAGGTCATCCAAGTAGGGACGGGCATGCCTGATTCGCATCTCTCACTGCATATGCAGAGCTACATGGTGAGCGGCAAGCAGTATTTCGGCGCCATCCAGGGGCAAGTAAAATCGAGCGAGCACATTCCTGAAATGATAAGGTGGTGGCGCGATGGGAAGTTCCCGGTCGAGAGGCTTGTCACCTTTTTCAAGCACGAAAACTTTGCCCAGGCGGTGGAAGCGATGGGTAGTGGCGAGGCGATCAAGCCAGTCATTGTTTGGTGAAGACGGCGCTCTGGGCGTCTGTTTGTGAGTTGTGGCGTTGAAGATGCAAGGTTGAAACCGGATAGGGGGTTGTACAAGCGAATGGAGTTGAAGTCTTGAATTATTCATGCATGCTTTCCGTGGCAATAAGTACTACGACGAGACCGTTTCTTTATAGGAGGTGCACAGTGCGCGATCTCATCAAATGAAAAACGCAAAATGTTCCGCTCATAAGAAATACACCCAGTTCTGCTTAACTGATAAGCTTTATTCATTAGGGAATGGTTTATACTGTGAGCACTACCGATATAGCCGACTTGTCCCGCTCGTTAAACTAACTACTATCTCGTTGGCTATTTTCGAGGGCCATCACAACTTCTCAGCTTGCAAGTAGAGGCACGAAACACTAGGACGAGAGGCGACAAATGAATCTTGATATTCGAAAGATCAGAAAGAAAAACGAAAGAAAAAGTAACGAAAAAATAACGAAAAATAACGAAAAAAAAAAAAAAAGAAAAGAAAACGACCAGCGTTTAAGCCACATAGAAATCCGCCGCGCTAGAAGCCTTCTAGATTGGATCTCACGTCGTCAGCACTAATAAAGCTAGTTTGGGTGGGATGGGATACCCGCGATGGTATTTAATTGCTTCGGCCCAGCCTTAACCGCCGCCACAGACTCTTCCGTCCTCTCCCCAAACTCCCCGCGACCGCGCCATGGCAGACTCGGCCGCCCCGGCGACAGGCTCTAAGCGCCGTCGCATTGCTCTGGCATGCACTTCCTGTCGGACTAGAAAGTCAAGGTAGAGTACACCTCGCCACCTGTCAAGCTGATGAAGCATGACCGCTTACCCCTCCCTCCTCGCTGTAGGTGTGATGGGCGACGACCCACGTGTTCAACGTGCACTCAGCTGGGGTTTGAGTGTCAATATGATGCGCCAGACTCTACGACGAACATCATTGTTCAAAAGGACTATGTCTCGGGCCTGGAGCAACGTTTGAAGAAGGTAGAGCATATCTTGCAAAGGCACGATGACCTGCTGACGGGGCACTTGTCCGCATGCGCCCCAGCCGGAGACCCCTATGAGGAGCTTCCGGGGAGTACTTTGCCGTTGAGGGATGGGCCTGCGAATGATGGCATCGAGATTGACGCTTCCGTGATTGACTCGGGAGAATCGGAAAGCGAGGCAGAGGCCAGGACGGACGGGCTCGCCATCACATTCGTCGACGAGCGCGCGGCGGCTTATTTCGGAGAGTCGTCCAACATCGGCTTCGTCCGCTACCTCCTCGCATCCGTGTCGTCCATCTGGGGCGTCAAGAAACCGGAGGGACCCCAGCTGAGCAAAGGCGACAACGCCGACGGCAAGCGCGGGACGATACTATCGTCGGAGCACTCTCCGCTCGGCGCACTGCCGACGACGCCGCAGTCGCTGGCAACGTCATCACGCTTGCCGCCGGTGGGCGACATGGAGGTCATGATCAACCGCTACTTCAACACCATGGGCCTCCTGTTCCCCTTCCTGCACGAGGCGACCTTTCGCTACACGTACGACGCCTTCAAGGCGAGCGGCTTCAACAAGGTCCGGCAGACCTGGCTCGGCGAGCTCAACCTCATCTTCGCCATCGCGAGCAACATCAACCGCAAGCAGGGCAAGACGTCCAAGCAGTGCTTCCAGGAATCGCTCGTCTACTACCGGCGCGCCATGTCGCTGTGCGGCGCCTCGTCGCTGCGCACCGTCAGCCTCGACATCGTCCAGTTCCTGCTGCTGCAGGCGCTCTACCTCCAAGGCACGCCCCAAGCCGGCGAGGCCTGGAGCGTGCACGGCCTGCTGGTCCGGAGCGCGGTGGCGCTCGGCCTGCACAGCGACAAGGTTGGGCGGCAGCTGGACGGGAACGTGCAGGAGATGCGCAACCGTACCTGGCACACCATCTACTGCCTCGACACGGTGCTGAGCGCCACGTTCGGCCGGCCCTGCGCGATCCCCCCGGCGCACATGACCGTACGCCTGCCGCAGCCGTGGCGCATCCCGGAAGGCGGCGTTGCGCAGCAGCACGGCGGCGGTACCGCGCCGGAGGTGGCGCAGGTGGCGACCGACTTCCTGTCCATCTCGGTGCAGCTCTACCAGATCATGGGCCTCTCGATCGAGGCCCAGTACGGCGGCAACATCGGCGCGGACCAGGGCGAGGACGAGGTGTCGATGCTCCAGACGGCGAGCACGCTGCGGCAGAAGCTGCGGAGGTGGGCGGATACGCTGCCGGCGGCGTTCGCGCTGCTGCCGAGTAGCTCGCCGGAGCTGAAGCACAGCTCGCGGATGAACAAGCTGCGGGCCATCACGACGGTGAGGTACCACAGCGTATCCATCCTCATCCACAGACCGCTGCTGTGCGTGACTCTCAGGTACCTGTCCAAGATCAACGGGAGGCACGACGTGGAGCTTCCGTACACGACGCAGCTCGCCATGGCCGAGGCGTTTGAGTGCATCTCCTCTGCCGAGGAGACTATCGGGATGGCGGCCTCGGTCTTTGGCGGCGGTCCGGTGGAGGACAGCAACCTCGGTGTGTGGTTCTTTACCCTTTACTACGGTGAGTGGCATTTCGTCCGTCTTTGCTCTGAGGGCCGAGTCCAGTCGGCTAACTCTTTTGGCGTTGCAGTGTTTACGGCAGCGCTTATGGTGTGTGGCGGCATGCTTTGCGCACGACACAGTCATCGCATGAATGCCCAAACTGTGGTGGCTGAAGGCCGCCTCAACCTTGTCAGAGCGGCCGACGCGCTCGAAAATCTGGATAATAGCAATCCTCTTGTAAAGCGGTGCGTCAAGTATATCCGATACTTGTCTCAACTACAAGACTACCGGTGTAAGTGGCAAGTGACAGCTCTGGTTCACGGCGACTTGCTCACATCTTGGTTTTTCTTTCCTCTTCTAGCTGATTCCGATATCTCCGACCTCCCTCCCGAGGAGTCGAATCCCTTTAGCCAGCCAGATGGAGACTATTTCATGGGCATGGCGGATCTGTTGGACGATCAAAGTGGCCTTGGTCCTTATTTGGCTGCAGAGCTATTTGACGCCTCGACTTTCGATTCACTAACATTGCCACTATAAATGTAACAAAGAACTTGTGTCATGTCATGTACCACAAGCTTTGGAACGCAGCCCATCATTAGCTTTGCAGGCATCAGATCTTGCTCCTCCAGCGCTCATCCAACAGCGGGTGGCTGTTGTTTTCTTGGTGACGCGCTTGGCGCTGCATGCTGTCCAGCACCATGGATTTAACGTCGGGATCACGAACCGTCGTTCGATAGAACAGGGAAAACAGGCTTTCAAACTCCCACGATTCCAGTCTCTTCCACATCTCAAGCATCGCAGTGGGCCCTAGGGGGATGAAGTTTGGGAATGCATAGTGGAAGAAGAAAGTCTGGTGTCTTTTGTTGTGGTGAGAGCGGACCAAGCCAGACTAATAACAAGAAAGTCAGCTTCGAAGAGCACAATGGAAACGGGGTACTTACCTGCGAAATTCCGATAGAGTCACCGACGAACTAGGAGGGGTATTAGTATTCGGCGCAATGATGACGATGTCAAGTCGAGAAGAAATGCCAAGAGTACCGACGCCTAGACTTACAAGATTCTTGTTCCAGTGGAGGGCCGAGCTTCCCGGAAAATGTCCTCCCAGCTTAATGATGTTCACGCCAGGGAGTATCTCCAGTACCAGCCCACTCACAAACCGACGCCGGTCGTCGACGTCCTCGCGGTTGAGCCACTCCCGGTCGTCCTCGGCCAGGTACACCGGGCAGTCAAACTCACGCGCCCACTCCAGGTGGGTGCTGTAGAAGTGTGGGTGCGAGATGGCGATTGCCTTCAGCCCGCCCCTGGCCCTAACAAAGGCGACCGTGGCGGCGTCCAGCAGGCTGACGCAGTCCCACAGGACGTTGCCGGCCTCGGTCTCGACAAGGATGGCGCGCTGGCCGATGGCAAACTGTGGGCTGGAGAAGATGGACCAGATGCGGCCATCGACGTCGTCCTGCTTGATCTCGTTCCGGTAGGAGGATTGCATCCGGGCGAGCGTTGTCCAGGACTGGCCGGAGGGCGGCACGAACTGGCGTGGTTCCTGGCCGCCAGCGTTAATAGACGGAAATGTAGAGAAATTTAGTCTAGGCTCAGGATAAACATACATCGCACATGCGGCAGGTCGGGGGCCGTTCTTCGTATGGAATGCCAAACTGTGTGCCGCAAGTCACACAGACGCAGAGGTTGCTGGAGGAAGCCATGATGAAGATGAAGTCACGAATGCTGGATTATTCTTGCTTCATGATTTTCGGAAAACCTCCTTTGCTGTCTATTTATAGACTCATCACCTCTACAGTTCCTTTGTCGCGATAACCAGCAGCGGTATTGTCGCTCGAACGCTGCCCTTCCTTGTCCAAGGAGGCTTGGAGTCGGGTGGTTCCCCGATCTCCCCGCTGCAGGCCGCCCGACCATCTGTGGTCTCGGCTCGGCTCAGCAGCAGAATTCCGAATGCATTTCCATTCTATTTGCATTACCAATCTGGCTAGATATGGGAAGATGGATTACTCAGGAGAAAGCTGCTCTGCTCATCGCCGTCGGCTTTGATGTCCGACAGTAACCATGCACCAAGTAGCTTACCGCGGGGAGAACGGGGAAAGGAGCGACTTGCTTACACTAAGGAGGGCCGCCAAAAAAGGTAGCGAACAAATAAGAAAATGCCCATTGTGATACATTAGCGGCTCGTAGTCCAATCTTCAAAGTACTTTATATGCCACTTACTTCCGACTACCCTATAGTTTTGACATTATTCACTGGAAATGGATATGGGTGGAAATTCATGCGCGAGGCCTGGAAACCGTTTAAAATTGAAAGTAAATGAACTAGAATAGTAGAGTCTGAAATTATCCTTTTTTCAGTTTTCTGGTTATGGTCGCATCGCATCATGAAGCTATTTACTCTTGCAGCTCTACCGCATCCGCGAGTTACCAGGACTCTACGAGCAAGCCGACGACGACAACTTTGAAGAGTACTGATTGGTTGACTAACATTAAAGTTTTTTTTTTTTTATATATTTTTTGATATCTTTTTTTTTGATATTTCTTTTGATATTTTTTTGATATGTTTTATTATGTCTAACCTTGGAAGAAAACGCTACCACTCACACGGCTCTGGTTCACTACCGGCTTCACTATTAGGCCTATATTTAAGCTCATATTAACCGCCAAACCAGCCCTGCAGGCAGCCGGATGCTGGCTGTCGATCAGCACTGTCAATCCTTTGTCTGGAAAAGGAAAATGCTGTTTCGATCGGCTTCGAACTTGATTCATCCGACTGGTAAGATCTAAGCATTCTAACGCAGGAGAAAGCATTTCGTTTCTACGGCCATCTGTTTCCTGCATTGCCCACCCTGACTGAAATCTCGAGTCACCATGGACAGCCCCCGCCCATCAACTTTAATTTCTTGCAAGTTAACAAAAGGCAAAATAAATAGAATTCCCCCACCGAGGTCAATAGCTTTGACTAATTTGTCTGCAAATTTGGCCACCCACGGAACAGACCTGCACCCCCGGCACGTTCCACCCTACCTCAAGCCAAGGTAACACTCGCTAACACTGGGCGCAACTGGGCCGAAGGTTGTAAATGGATCAACTCAATATATTGGAGGAACAACGTGTGACCTGATTCTGAACTAGTCCCTCTGGAAGAATACTACAACGTGGCTTCTTTAGGACACGGCGTCCGACCCATTGTCCAAATGAGGTGGCCGCGTTGCACGGAGGGCCTCGCCGGAGAGTAACAACGGACTTGCCAAGCTCACATGCCCAGAGTGTTGACTTACCATATTTTGTTGATTACGTGTGACACGGAACGGAAGCCCTTGTAGAAGAGGCCATTTGGAAGCGACAGCATGGGACGTGCATGCACTTGGCTTCGCCGTCCCTTTAATAAGCCTTTAACGAGTAGGTTATGCGAAAAGCTTGGAGCTATGAATGAATACATTCGCATATATCTAGGCTTTTACCATGCTGGCTGGATATCTCTCAGCTTTACGAGTTTCAGACCAAGCAAGTTAGACTCGGAACGTGGCATGAACCTCACCCCGCAAACGCTAATTTTTAATCAAGGGGATAAATGGATTCCGCCGTGGAATAACTAACTTAGTGATGAGATGAATGAGCATATTCTTTTGAACAGTGGAAACCAGGCAATCAAGACCGGCGCCACCTGTCAGCGTAAGCCACCGGAGCTAACGAGTTGCTACATGCCTCTCTGGGTAATCGAATGGCACATCAATCACGAGGCACTTTGGGTTGAAACGTGATTCCCCTTGCATGCAGAGCTCATGTGGGGGTGCTTCCTGCTTCCTAGACGGGCTCATCCAGTAAGACTGCATGATCATGATGGCCACCGGAGAAGACACCGTCTTGGATCATGCTATACCGGCACAGGGATCCCACGTTACCTCGCCGTGGCCTTTGTTCGGCGGTACTGAACTGTGTCCTGTAATTTCCAAGACAGTGAGGAATGTGATGGCACCGAGATACTACCACTCTCGTGTGCTTTTGCCCATTGAGGAGCATGCGCAGGACTCATAAATACCATGGACGGCCGTCCATGGTATAGACCACATTCGCCAGAATTGTACTGAGACACAACAACTAATACATTGCATACCGCACTTGCCTGTCCTTTCTTTTCCCTGTCCTCGTTTCTCCTCCGTACATCGACACATTTGTATATACACATACACACAATGGCACCATTTCTCCAAACAAGCCTCGCGCTGCTTCCGCTGCTGGCCTCGACCATGGTCGGCGCCTCACCTCTCGCCCCCCGAGCCGACACGTGCGCGACCAAGGGAAAGCCGGCTGGCAAGGTCCTCCAGGGCTACTGGGAGAACTGGGACGGCGCCAAGAACGGCGTGCACCCGCCCTTTGGCTGGACGCCGATCCAGAACCCGGACATCCGCGCGCACGGCTACAACGTGCTCAGCGCCGCCTTCCCCGTGATCCTGCCCGACGGCACCGCGCTGTGGGAGGACGGCATGGATACGGGCGTCAAGGTCGCCAGCCCGGCCGACATGTGCGCGGCCAAGGCCGGCGGCGCCACCCTCCTCATGTCCATCGGCGGCGCCACCGCCGCCATCGACCTGAGCTCCTCCGCCGTCGCCGACAAGTTCATCGCCACCATCGTGCCCATCCTCAAGAAGTACAACTTTGACGGCATCGACATCGACATCGAGGCCGGGCTCACCGGCAGCGGCAGCATCACCAGCCTGTCCACCTCGCAGGCCAACCTGATCCGCATCATCGACGGCATCCTCGCGCAGATGCCGGCCAACTTTGGCCTGACCATGGCCCCCGAGACGGCCTACGTCACCGGCGGCAGCGTCACGTACGGCTCCATCTGGGGCTCGTACCTGCCCATCATCAAGAAGTACCTGGACAACGGCCGGCTGTGGTGGCTGAACATGCAGTACTACAACGGCGCCATGTACGGCTGCGCGGGCGACTCGTACGAGGCCGGCACGGTCAAGGGCTTCACGGCGCAGACAGACTGCCTCAACAGCGGGCTGACCATCCAGGGCGTGACGATCAAGATCCCCTACGACAAGCAGGTGCCGGGCCTGCCGGCGCAACCCGGGGCGGGCGGCGGCTACATGTCCACGGCCAACGTGGCGCAGATCCTGTCCAACTACAACGGAAAGCTAAAGGGGCTGATGACCTGGTCGCTGAACTGGGACGGCTCCAAGGAATGGACCTTTGGTGACAACGTCAAGGGGGCTCTGGGGACTGCCTAGAGTGCCTGGAGGTAAATGCGTCCGCTGCGTGACGATGCCGATGGCGAGGCACATTTTTGACATGAGCAAACTTGCTCTATATGTTCTTGCTGTATATATTTTAGTTTCAAATTCTGTGTATATTCTTGACATAAATTGCATATATCTCTGACTCGTACGTTTGAAACGACCAAGTGAATGCGCATGACCCTTCTCAACATGAACATTGTCACAAGACCAATGAATTCACGAAAGAAGAATGAAAAATAAAAAAAGAAACAAGACAAGAGATTGATTCATATACATTCTAGTGGGTGGAGATACAGCACATTTAGATCTAGGCGGATGTCTTGATAGTCTCAATCATCTGCTTGAACAACTCGTCCGAATCCCCATACAGACCCGGATCAGCCGCCGCAACGGCCTCGGCCGCGTCGGCGGGAGGGTAAATCAGAGTCCCGTTTATGTACTTCTTGACTCGCTTCGCCAGATCCCCCTCGAGCATGACCTCCCTCTCCCAGCCGCGACAGATGACCGCGCCGTGCCCGCCCAGGTCGAGGCAGCAGTTGTACGCGGCCTGCGCGTAGTTTGTCTCCGGCACGCCGATCAAGCTCGCCGCGGCGTTGTGCCCGGAGACGCGACCGAGCAGGAGCGCATGCTGGCAGCACATCAGCGCCACCTGGCCCCCTTCCGGATCGGCGAGGACGTGCGCGGCGTCGCCGGTGGCGTAGACGTCCGTGGCAGACGGGACGCGGAGCGTGGGATCCACGCGGATGCGGCCGAGCGCGTCCTTGTCGCCCGGGATCTGCTGGGTCAAGGCGGAGGCGCGGACGCCGGCGGTCCATATGGCGGTTAGGGTGGCGATGCGCTGACCGGAGGACAGGGTCACGCCGGACGCGTCGATGCGTGCAATGCCGGCGCCGAGCTTGACTTCGACGTTCATGGCCTGGAGGGCCTTGGTGATGGCGGCGCGGGGACCCGGGCCGAGCTGGGATCCGACCGCGTCGGAGCCGTCAACGAGGACAATGCGCACGCCAGAGGCGACGCGCAGAGGAAGTTCCGTGGCGAGCTCGATGCCTGTGAAACCTGCGCCGCACACGACCACCGTGTCGCGGGCGGCGCTCTGTGGCAAGGCTGCGAGGCTTTTGAGATGAAGATGGAGTTTTGAGGCAGATTCCAAGGCGTCAATGTCGAATGCGTGCTCGGACAGCCCGTCGACGGCTTTGGGGTGGACGACGGAGCTTCCAGCTGCCAGCACCAGGCGGTCGTAGGTAATGGAAGCGGACTCGGTGCCCTTGGAGGCGTAAACAACAGTCTTTGTGGAAGTGTCTATGGCTTTGACAAGCCCCTCGACGAATCGGATATTCGTCGCCTGAAACAATGGTCCGAGCTGGTGCACCATGGCCGCCGGGTTGTCCTCATACAGCCGGGGCCGCACCACCAGGCTGGGCTCGGGGGCGACGACGACGACCTCGACAGCATTCTCCTTGTTGTGAAGCTGCAGGAGACGTTTCGCGGAGAGGGCGCTCCATAACCCTGCGAAGCCGGTTCCGATGATGAGGATTCGTTGTGCCATTCTTGGTGGGATACTGGGAACGACTTTGGCTAGTAAATAAGACAACCAAAGTAAGAAGAGGAGAGATGAGATGAAAGGTAGTATTGATGATGAGGCGCAAGAGACTACGGGCACACAAAATACACAAGATTTATACCAAGTATCGGTAATCGATTGCCTATTGAAATTTTGGGTCTGCTGAATTTGAAACTGCCGACAATAAACAAGCTTGCTTGGAGATGCCGATGTCATCCATCCATCTACCCGCACTGGGCGGCGCAGTTGGACTGACTGACTAAGTTAGTTAGTTAGTCAGAGCCAGTTCAACGGCGCAGCTGTGAGCTACTGTAGGTAGGTGAGGTGTGAAGTTTAGTTGTGTACATCTCGGGAAGCTACTGGTATTGTACGGAATCACCACCGTACTATTATCTCTTCCTTGGGCTCGGTAGACTCTCAGACACGTCGCATGTCGCTTTCCCTTCCCCCCGCCATGATGATGCCAGATAGATCTGGTGATCGGGAAGGCTGTCCCGACTCAGACGCATACCCGAATACCCGCATACCCGACAAGGCAAATCGCGGTACTAGTCCGCCGACCCCCACAGTTGTACCTTTACTGGAATTTGTTGAGCAATTCTTTCCATCACATCGTCTATTCTGGCCCCATGGGGCAATCCCGGATCACAGATCAGAAGCAACATGTCGCAGGTACGGAAGCAGGTCTTGACGCGCTCATCCTTGGCGTGCCTCTCCTGTCGCTCGCGGCATCAAAAGTGCGACGCCAAGAAGCCGCGGTGTACTCGCTGCACCGACGCGGACCGGCCGTGTCAGTACACGAGATCTCGGCGTGGAGGCAACAAGGACGACCTGTCGCCGCGGCGTCCTCAGGACATTCAGCCTCAGCCTCGCACACCGAACCAGCTCGATGACTACATCTCCGCCCTCATCACCCCGCCGGCGATGGAGGGGATGCCGCCGGCCAACGTCTTGCCTCAGACATCTCCCATGCCGGCGGCGTCCCGAAGCGCCTACTCACCCCATTCAGACCACAGGGAGGAAAGTCGCCCGAGAAGACGCTCCGTCAACTACCAGTGCGGATCTGGAAAGGACCCTCTCATAGAGGCCTACTATCAAACCTTTCACAAGTATCACCCCGTTGTCCTACCCCGACGCCACTTGCTCAGCCTTTTGAACGATGCCGGCTGGAAACCCAGACTAGAGCCGCTGGTTGCCGTTCTACGGCTGATAGGAAACCTACACCTGTCGCAGGAGTGGTCTGCAAGCCTGCAAGGCGAAGCGGAGAGCAAGATGGAGGGCCTGGCAAAGACGGACCCGATCCGTGTGCAGTGCCATCTACTGTACTCGGCAGCGCTCTTCTGGCAGGACCACAAGGCCAAGTCTCAACGGGAAATGGGCAAAGCTGTAGAGCTTGCGCTGGCTCTCAAGATGTTCGAAAGGGAGTTTGCGTGGACGCACAGCGACATAGACGCCACGCTGGCCGAGTGCTGGCGACGGACATGGTGGATGGTATACCTATTTGATGCGTTCTACGCGGGCACGCTGGGGAACACGGGCTTTTCGGTCGTCTGCGTAAACACGACTGTTGACCTGCCCTGCGATGAAGCCCAGTACGAATCCGGAGTAAGTGTCCTGTCTCACCCAGATGTCTCCATCCGGGGAGACTCGAGACCCCAGCCGCTAACATGATCGAACATTAGCATATCCCAGAACCAAAAACACTGCCCGAATGGGACTGCAGGGAATTTGACGAGGAAGAAAAGCCCTTCTCGTCCTTTGCGTGTCTCATTGGTGCTGTCAGATGCGCCACGTTGGCCAAGGATGCCTCGTTAAAGACCGATGCTCGCAAGAGTCCAGATGACATGTTGCATGTCGCAGATTCTATCCTGGACAGTTGGATGCTTCTCCTACCCAAGTCAAAAAAGCAAGTCATGCTACGCAACGGCGACATTGACGAACTATTGTTTCAGGCTCATCATCTTATACACGTGTACGACACGACTCCATCCCATACTCTCTCTCCCACAGCCCGTACTAAAATCTTGCAGTGTCATAATTGGATTCCATCGCCCACTCTCCGATCTTAAATTCAATGCCGTCGAAGATGTTTCCAGTTGCGCCAGAGATCCTGCGCCCGACGGCCCAACACCGGAGCACATCAACGTGCACACCGTCCGGGTCCTGCGATCCGTGGAATCCCAGATCCGACTCCTCGCCCTCCCCTCCCGCCCGTTCAACCACACCCCCTTCTGCACCTGCATGATCAGCGAAGGCACCCTCGCCCTCCTGTCCGCCTGCAAATTCCTGCTGCGAGGCAACGAGCTCGCCATCGCGCGGGACCAGATCCGCCTGACCATCGGGTGTCTGAAGCACCTAGGCGACCTGTGGCCGCGTACGGCGCGCAACGTGTCGCAGATACAGACAATCGCGAAGCACGTCCTCGGCATCGAGGGCAACGGCACCGCCAAGGGGGGGACGTCTGGCTCTGCGCACTCTGGCACCTCGGTCGAGGACGGCGGGAGCTCCGGGGAGGTGACGAGCTCGTCGAACAGCGATGTGTTTTCGGCAATTCGGGATTTTGACGACATTTGCGGATGGTATGATATCGGAGAGCTGGACTCGACCTTGTCATTCTGGCCGGCGGATCAAGGCACTTGAACTGACACATGGTAGTAGGAAGGAGTGTCAAGGGAGTAGAGCTCGCATATGGTGTACCAATAATATATAGACAAAATCACATAGACCAATAATATAGATACAAAATCACATAAAAACCGCATCGTGGCGTATCATGGCTACCTAGAGGTGCTCGAGCTTCTCTTGTAGGCTGGCGCTGCGCCGGACGCGACAACCTGTGGGAAGGAGTCCATGACCCCTGCTACAATTGCTGCCGTGCCGCCAAGGGAAACATTGATGTTCTCCAGCGTATTATCAACTCTGGATGTGACATTTTCAGTGAGAAGTGCAGCCTTGGTACTGTGCTGCAGACTGCCGTGCATGGCGATAGGCTCCCAGTTGTCAAGTTCCTGGTGAGCGCTCTCTAGAACAAGAAGAACGATGCCGAGCTTAGAAGAGAGAGTATTGGGAGAACTCTCATGACATCTGTTTCCAGGGACTCGGTGAGAATCATCCGCTATTCCTTGATTTTGACCCCCTCAAAGGATGATGAATTCGTTGGGGCGGCGCTCAACTGTGCCATTCACGTATCCTGCTACAACCGCGCAGTCATAATTATCAAGAGCAACAAGGTCGGCTGGAGCTACGCTACACCATGCCGTCTTGCAAGAGCTTGATCACGCAGACAATGCAACAGGGGCAAGACAGAGCTTTTTAAGCTCCTCCTCGAGATGGGCGACTGTGACCTCAACCAGCCAGCGCCCAACGGCTTGACACCGCTGATGGAAGCGGCAAATAGGCCTGGCGACCTAGGCGTCGTCGTACGGAGTCTTTTAAACTCGAGTAAAATAGCACTCCAAAACAAGGTTGCCATGGGAGAAGAGATATTTTCTCGATTGATCTGCCGAAGGGAGTGCGACGCATTACTTGAGCTGGCTCTCAGAAAAGGGTTCGCCGGCTCTGATCATGTTGCTCACCTGCACAGCGCCGCCAGCCAGGGAAGAGTCGCCATCATCGAACTGCTAGTCAAGGAGCTTGCCGTACCGGTGGACTCGAGGATAAGAGACGGGCTCACCGCTCTTCAGCCCGCCTTTCGAAACAAGGACGCGGCCACGACACCACCTGTCTCTGCAAGCTCGGGGCCCGCACGATGCTCGACGTCAAAAGGGCCACACGCCGAAAACGCCGAGGCAGATACCCATGCTACACTACACCGCTCGCCACAGAGACAAGCGCATGCTGCGCGCGCTGCTCGACGGCGGTGCGGACCCAAACGAGATTTCGATCAACGACTACAAGAAGACGGCGCTTCACGTCGCGTGCGAGGGCGGGTACAAGGATGTGGTCAGCGAGCTCCAGCCCCCCGAGCCGTTCGGAGGGGCTGGAGGGAGTTCTTCGAGTGGCTGCCGCCGGATCGGAAGGGGAAGCGGGAGCCGCTGCTGCACAACGGGTGGACGCTGCTGCACGAGGCGTGCTTTTTCGGCAAAGCGCCGTTGGTCGAACAGCTTCTGGACCGTGGATCCAAGCTCGAGGCGAGGCGGCCGCGCCACGGCACGCCGCTGCACGTCGCGGTGAAGATGAAGAAAGTCGAGCGCGTCCGGCTGCTGGTCGGCGTGGCCCAGCTAGGAAGCCGGTCCAGTTTGACCAAAAAACAAGTTCCCGACCCTAAAAAGGGAGCGGACTGGCGCTAATTCAACTACAGTCTGAGGTGCGGCTTTAGCGTACTCCTTCAATGGAAACCTTTCCATGGGAGTATAAATCGTTGATTCTGACCAGGTTGTCATGGGCTGTCACGAGGCTCCAACCGGCACCCACGGCCCTTTTGCGGACTCGGACGCCGGCGAACGTCCCTTTCTGGAGATTTGCCAAGAGGATCACGAGCTCACTCTGGGAGTCCAGGAGTCGCTCCAGTAGCATCGTCAACATCAGCAGAGCGGTAGCATCGGCATCGCATTAGTAGCCCGCTAGCACACCTGCTCACAATGGATTGTCTTTTTGTCTCCGAGGAGGTTACCATCGAGGTTTTAGGTAGGGCTCAAGGCAGGAAGACGTGCGTAGCTATAAATATGCCACCCTCTGCGGACTCCGATCAGCTCGCCTCTATCGTCGCTGAGACACACGGACTTTGCCAAAGTATCTGTCGTTTTTTTATGTAGCAGACATGTTTTCAAAGTCCAACCTGAACTACGCCGGCCTGTTGGTTGCTGCCCTTGTCGCTGCGCCGTCCATGGTCAGCGCCGGGCCTTGCGACATCTACCAGTCCGGCGGCACTCCTTGCGTTGCGGCGCACAGCACAACTCGTGCCCTGTATAGTTCGTTCAAAGGCGCGCTTTACCGCGTCTCCCGTGACTCCGATAATGCCAGCACCGACATCCGGCCCCGCTCCGCCGGCGGTGTGGCCGACGCTGCGGCCCAGGACTCGTTCTGCGCCGGCACCACTTGCCTGATCACGACGATTTACGATCAGTCCGGCAAGGGAAATCACCTCACTCAGGCTCCCCCGGGTAGCGCCGGCGCCGGCCCAAACAAGAACGGCTATGACTGGCTGGCGAGCGCCACCGGCGCACCGGTGACCTTGAACGGGCAAGAGGCGTACGGCGTCTTCGTCTCCGTCGGGACGGGCTACCGCAAACTCGTCGGCCAGGGCACGGCGAGGGGAGACGAGCCTGAGGGCATGTACGCTGTCTTTGACGGCACCCATTACAACAACGACTGCTGCTTCGACTACGGCAACGCCGAGACCAACAGCAAGGACACCGGCGACGGCCACATGGAGGCCGTCTACTGGGGCGGCCCGAAGAACAGCCCCTGGGTTCTCGCCGACCTTGAAAACGGCCTTTTTGCGACAGACCAGCGCAAGCAGAGAATTGAGTCCAACCTCACCTCCCGCTTCGTCACTGCCATTCTGAAAGGCGAGCCTCGCCACTGGGCGCTCCGCGGCGGCGACGCCAACTCGCCTCACCTGGAGACCCTCTTCGACGGCGACCGCCCCCAGGGCGCGTACCAGAAGATGTCCAAGGAAGGGTCCATCATCCTCGGCATCGGCGGCGACAACAGCAACCGCGCCCAGGGCACCTTTTACGAGGGCGTCATGACCTCGGGCTATCCCTCCGACGCCACCGAGAACAAGGTACAGGCGGACATCGCCTCCGCCGGCTACGCTGCGGCCCCGCTGACCAGCGGCCCGAAGCTCACCGTTGGCTCTGCCGTCTCGCTGCGCGCGACGACCGCGTGCTGCACCGGCAGCTACGTCAGCCACGACGGCGACGGCGGCGTCAAGATCCGGGGGGTGTCGGCGTCGAGCGACGAGGCGCTCAAGCGGCAGTCGACGTGGGTGGTGCGCGCCGGCCTGGGTAATTCCGGGTGCTTCTCGTTCGAGGCGAGGGACGCGCCGGGGAGCTTCGTCCGGCATTACAACTACGCGCTGCGCGTGGACCGCGACGACAGCGGCAAGCTGTTCGCGGAGGACGCCACGTTTTGTCCACTGGCCGGCCTGCATGGGCAGGGCAGCAGCTCGATCCGGTCCTGGAGCCAGCCGACGCGCTACTGGCGACACTTCAACGGCAAGGTGTACATTGCGAGCAACGGCGGCCCCTTTGAGGAGGACGCCGAGTACCTCTTCAACGATGACGCTAGCTTCGTCATTGCGGATGGATGGGCGTGAGGGGAAAGATCAATTCGGGAAGATGCCCATGGATATTCTTGCATAAAATGTATATGAACATTAGATAGCATAGTTATACAGAATTGTACATGAGATTCCCGAGTGTCTCGCGACCATACGTGGATTTCGAACCACAACCATACCCGTTCTTCTATTGCACTCCCAGGGCTCATCAACAATTATGGGACTATACAAGACGAATTGTAGAACCAAGTCAAAAAATGGTAATGACAAAATGCGCAGTGACTTGGAGATTCGGGGCGCAGTAAGAAGCCTCTTTAGTTGTTTCCACTTTGTATAAGTGACAAAAATACTTCCGTAGCACAATCCAAGTAATTAGAGATTTACGAGCAAAAAGCCAAGTTTCTATATAGAATGGAAGCATCCAAAAATATGTACCAAAAAATTGTATACATGAAAATAACGAACCACTCGGATCAGCGGTGCAGCCTGGCCCTGTCACGCGCTGCGAACAGGTAGAGCCGGAAACTCCACGCTTTAAAACCCGGCCGCACTGCAGACCTGGTTCGCCAGCGGCAGGCGCTGGGCGTAGAGATTGCCAGCCTCGGCCTTCTGGACGGCCTGGTCCAGCGCCGAGACCTCCATGGTCTCCCAGCCGGCGACCTGCTTCATGGCGGCGAGGAACTGACGGGTGCTGCCGGCCGCCGACATGTCGGCCGCGATGTCGGGGTACCACTCGGGGCGCTGCTGGAACATGCCTATTTCGATCATCAGTCACCAAGGGCACTCGGCGGTCATTCCCCGACGGCTTCACTTACCGACGCTGTCCTGGTCGCCGCCGACGAGGTCGTGCGGGTAGTTCATCGAGGCGGGCACGACCGGGTTGGCGTAGATGTGGAGGGTCGACTCCTGGAGCGCGGTGCTGATGACGGCGAGGCACGCCTGGCGGCCGAGCCCCTCGGCGCGGACCTCTCCGATGGCAGCGGCGGCGTTGCGGCTCTGCGTCGCGTCCAGGCCAGGGTACGAACCGTCGCCGCCGCTCGGGGGCGGAGGGGAGCTGCTGCTTTCGCCGTTGGGCGGAGTCGAGCCGCAGTACTCGGTGCCGGTGCCGCAGTAGCCGTACTGCGAGCAGCAGTATCCGGCCGCGCAATCGGAGCTGCTCGAGCACTCTCCGTAGCGGGCGACGAGGTCAAACGGCATGGCCGCCGCCGCGGAGATGAGGGAGAAGAGAAGGATGGAAGGAGTGTACTTCATCTTGATGGTTTGAATGTAAAGGAGTGACTGTTCCCGAAGGATGAGAATGAATAGGGCTTTGAAGTGCTGCTTGGTGGGTTGAACTTGGGATTGTATAGTAGAGGGTGGGAGGCAGGACCTGCTCTTATACATGCAACTTGGCCACTGCTCGGCCTCTCGGCATACAGTCTACACCAGCCCACAAACGGTTCTTTCAGCACACCCTCTCCGGTCTTGCTGCCGTTCTAGACGGATTCCCTCGCCATGTGTGTAGGTGTCACCGGTTCCAACAATGGAGTCCTCGACCCATCGCACGAATCGACATCGGCCAGGAACCATTTCCATTTCCACCTCCCGGCCGGATTTGGTAACGTTACGGGGCCGTTTGCTTTGCGTGAGTTGGCGGGCGCTTTCAACTGTAAGCATCTAACTCCATTCCTCGGAGCTAATTTCGAACAAGGAAGGTGTAAGTGAATCTGCGACATCCGATGAGCCTAGTGCAAATTCGCGCCCTCGCATGTTCGCGAGCAGGGGTAGGCAGGATCGAATACAGTTGGCATGTCTCACGTCACCTCTAACCGGACATTACATTGCTCCATGCATTGAGATCGAAAACCGCCGAGGCTAGCACTGCAGGCACTGCGCTGAGACTTACATGTTCTATAGAAGCAATGTTACCTACTGGTCCTGGGGCTCGGGAAACCAACGGCTTAGAGAGGTGTTCCTGAATGACTAGTTCCTATTTGCTGAAAGGATCCAGAGTGGACCTGAAGAAGCGTTCCTGAACGACTAGCTTCCTATTTGCTCCAAGGATCAGAGTGGCTTGAAGAGGCGTTCCTGTGAATGACTAGAGGAACAAAGCCGTGTGGCACTCGGACCACGGCGCCGAGCTTCGGCCCAATAAAAGGAATTCATGTGGCGCATCCAGGAACGACTGGAAGAGGGCCGACTCTAACCCAAATGGTAACCTCGGCCGATGAAGACTGGTAAGATCACAATAGGACGTTGGTGTTGGATGCAAGGCTTTGTGCCCCTGCATTTGGCGTCTCTCCACTCGGCGAGTCAGCTGTTGGCCATCCTTGGTGACAATCCGGGGATAGTGTCTGTTCGCAGACGACGGTTTACTGCTATCGAGTTGGTGTGAGACTCGATGAGGATTGGTAAAGTTACTGACTCAGGCCCGGATGCTGGAGCGGGCGCACCGAGGTGCCACTCTGAACCACCCTAAACTTATCATCCTGCAATTCTTTCGCCATGCTATCAGTCTCGGTGAGAAGAAGCCAAGAAATCCCTCCTGGCCGGCAGCTCAGTGGACAGCGCGTTTTTGCTGACAATGTGACACTAGATAGAACTATGCGTGTCAGCACGGGTACTGATATACAAGAATGGCATGTTCCCGCATCGTAGGCGAGGCCGCATAAAATCACAATTAATCGTTTTATTGTAGCAATGGTCCATATATTATGCTCATTCACTAAATTATGAGTGCAGCCCGTATGAGCTGACGATCCGGAGCAGGCCTCTTACACGATTTGCTCATGAAGGACCAACCTCGGCAATGTCCCGGCATTGGAGAATACAAGCAGCTAAAACTGGATAGGCGAGAGAGAGGAGAGGTCAAAATTAAAAAGAAAAAGAAAAGAAGGAGAAGCCTCGATAAAGCAGGTCAAAATAAATTCTCAACGTTTGTGTCATCATGCCAAACTATACAACCAACTTCCCAGGTACTGCCGCGCCTAAGGAGCCAAAAACCGCGTAGTTTATAGTGAAGAACATTCCTTCGGAATTCGAAGACCTTCGTAAATCTTTTAAAAAATCTGGCTTCTTTCCTACAAATTTTTTTTTTTTGGATGATCCGTCTCCCGCCATGCTACTTCCTCATGTCCATTGACCACCGGGTATGGCAACAAATTGTCACACTTTGGCTGCCTTTTGGTCTCTGCCCACCTCCTGTCTCTTGATAGCAATACTCGGTCTTAGTCCCAGCTTCAATCGCGAGTTTGGATTGTATACTTGGCAGGAGACGACGACGAAGATATAGCCTGTTGCTTCAGTGGCTTTAGCGGCAAGCTACGCCGCGTTTTCACGACTCCTACATAACTACTAGGTACATACATAGTTAACAATACTCCTGTGTGCTTAGTCTTGGACGTTTTCACCCTGGGACACTGGTAGATCTACAATTTTTGTTATTTTTACTGAGATGAAATTTCTGTGCTATTGAATCTATTGAAAGAAAAAATGCAAGGATAATCAGTAGATAATGAGCGCATACCAAAGCTGCAACCGAAGCGCAACACTTGCCGGGCTGAATGCCGAATGCATCTCGGATGACAAATGCTAGTGATTGGATGATGCAATGCGGATGGGATGATGGCCGGACAGGAGAAACAAGACTATAAAATAATTCTGGGCAACCCCAGCATTCATCCAAATGAATTCACGCTCGACTTGAGAAAGACAGAGCCTGCTGCAAAATGCCAGATGACATCTCGCCCTTCACCATCAACGTACCAGACGCAGCCATTGACCAGCTCAAGGCCAAGCTCGCAGCCGCGTCCTTTGCCGATCGCGTCGAGTTCTCGGATGATTGGAACTACGGATCGCCGCTGAGCGATGTGAATCGCCTCGCTGAGCGGTGGGCAACCGGCTTCGACTGGCGACAGCAGGAAGCTATCCTGAACCGGCTGCCTCAATTTACAACCCGGATTGAGGTGGACGGTTTCGGGGAGCTCAACATTCATTTCCTCCATCAGCGTAGCAGCAATGCAAACAGCATCCCGCTTTTATTTGTACACGGATGTGAGTGCTTTATACATGGTTAAAAAGATCCTATGAAAATGAGCATCTCATATTCTAACTGTGTATGCAGGGCCCGGTAGCTTTCTAGAAGTCGTCAAACTCCTGCCTCTCCTCACCAACCCAGAAAGCAACCCGTCTTTCCACATAGTCGCTCCGTCTCTACCCAATTTCGGCTTCTCAGATGTCGTCAAAAAGTCGGGCTTCAGCACCACGCAATATGCAGAAACCGTACACAAGCTGATGATCAAGCTGGGGTACACCGAGTATGGTGCGTCAGTTACCCTATACAAAAACATACCTCCGTGATGAAAGCGCTGACCAGACTCGACCAGTCACGCAAGGCGGCGACTGGGGATTCATGATCACCCGTCTCGTCGGCGCCCGATACCCCGACCACTGCCTCGCTTCGCACGTCAACTTCGTGCGCATGCACCATCCCCCGACCTTCTCCCAATCGCCCCTCCTCTACCTCCGCAACCTGCTCACGCCGTACACCGCCGCCGACCGCGCCGGCCTCGCCCGCTCCGCCTGGTTCCGCGACGAGGGCTTCGGCTACAACGCCGCGCAGAGCACCAAGCCCGCCACGCTCGGCTTCGCCCTCGCCGACTCGCCCGTCGCGCTGCTCGCCTGGATCTACGAGAAGCTGCGCGACTGGACCGACGGCTACGCCTGGGACGACGACGAGGCGCTGACCTGGGTCTCGCTGTACCGCTTCTCCAGGGCCGGGCCCGCGGCGAGCGTCCGCATCTACTACGAGACGAGGCACGCGGCGGAGGACGAGTACGCGCAGGGGCTGAGGTACGTCCCGCGGGTGAGGCTGGGCGTGTCGCTGTTCCCGAGGGATGTGGTGGTGCCCCCGGAGAGGTGGGCGGGCAGCCTGGGGCCGTTGGTGTTCGCGGCGGTGCATGACGGCGGCGGGCACTTTGCGGCGCATGAGCGGCCGGAGCAGCTCGCGGCGGACTTGCGAGCCATGTTTGGGGATGGCGGCGGCGCCCACGATGTTGCCAAGATGTTCAATTCCTCGCTGTAGACTCGATCTGATGCAAGGTCTGTTTACTGAACCTGGCCCCTCCTTTACGAGCTGCAAGGCCGGGATATCGACCCGTACGTCTCACCGCTGCCCCGGCACGTACCCGGATGGAAGCGACGGCGGACTATTTCCTTGCTCAATGAATTTTACTAGATATTCACTTGGATGTCTAACAGCATACTCTCGCTACGAGTCTCCATCTCTGAACCAGAACACCTGTAGTCTTCAGCAGTTGCGGTTGGTTCGCAGAGGACGCAATGTCCCCGCGGTCTCGGGGCTTTCCTCTTTTACAGTTCCACCAGAATGAATCAGAGTCCTCATCAAGTTATCGTTTCGCTCGCTCACAAAAAAATGACTATTGGCTTTCCCCATCCTCTCCCCATCAGCGCTGTAGCCTGCGCCCCAGGCCTGAAATTAGTGCTGATGATCGGCGGCAGCGGAAGTGTCGGGGCACCGATACGCTCTGACAGAATTGTACAGAGGAAAAGTGTTTAAATGCCACAGATGAATTTTGATGCCGGTGGCTCCCTCGGGTAGCCGCGCATCAGGCAAAAATTTAGTCATAAATTTAGTTCACGGTGTAGCGAGCGGAGAGCATTATCCATCAAAGCAAGCTTCTTTCTACCAAGGACCAAACGCAGATCTTGATGTGCTGCAATAAATCGTTGTTGCCGGGCTGACTTTATGTCCGGGGTTGCCCTGATTCGGCAACTCGCCGACCAGTGGGCGGACTGCCGGGACCGCCCCCACGGGTTACGCCTTGTTTAGCTCGTCTTTTATTTCCGTAATTTGAGGCTTGTGCTGATATGTGATGTAGAGGAAGTAGCTGCGCATCGCGATATCCGAAGTACCGGCAGGTAGAAGCCGACGTCCAGAGTTGACGGGCAAGTAGGCCTTCTAGCAACAGCAGGTCCAAGAATGGAATCATTTATCTAATCGAAATTCTTGTAGGGCTAGGAGAAGCTAGCTATGATGCCAATGACAAGAAATTCGCTGCGACTAGCTGTCTGGCCCTAACCGTACGATTCTGTGGAACAGCCTTGGACCTGGCAACAGAGCTGAAGATTTCTACCCAAAGGCCACGGACGGCATTTCCAGTTGTCGATCCTGTCTGAGGCAAATAAGCACTAGCATTTCTTATTCTGTAATGGGCTTCACCCGGAATACAGAAACTTCTTCAGAAGCAGCAAGTACGTCATAGACTCCCAGGGAGTATACCATCCATAAAACCTCCTGGGTTGCCGTCAACGACAGAGCCTCTCTTCATCGCATCTCTCAAGCACTCAGGCAACATCACCTCCCTCCAGCAACATGCTCACCACCTCCGTCTTGTCCCTCGCCGCCTGCGGCCTCTCCGCCTTCCAGCTCGTCGCCGCCGACGCGCACGCCGACACGCGCTACGGCACGAAGCACTGGATTGGCCCCTTCTGGGACCCGGACCACTGCGGCAAGGGCAACTACGAGAAGTGCTACCCCAAGAAGGAGGACACCATGAAGCTGCTGTGGGACCAGTTCGACAAGGCCTTCGAGGAGCTGTGCAAGGACGTCTCCTGCGAGGGCTCCTTCGACGTCAAGTTCCCCGGCGACGGCTGCGACTCCAAGCACACCGGCCCCAACACGGCCTACTCCCTCAAGATCGAGGCCGAGTATACCCACGGAGACCGTGACGGCGTCAAGGAGGCCTACACCAACACCATCCAGAAGCTCAACAAGCAGAGCACCGACTGCGGCTTCTTCGACACCAACGGCGTCAACCAGGTCAAGGTGGAGATCCCGACGGACATTAACATCGTCCGCGACACGGGCGACCACGGCCTGCGCTCGACGATGCACATCATGCTCGACACCGGCGGCGAGAGCGCCTGCGGGCTCGTCAACGACATGTGGGGGGCCGTCGGCGGCTCGATCCCCGGCGGTTCCATCTTTGGCGCCATTCTGAAGGGTACCTGCAAGTAAAGGCAGAGGATTGGGGAATTTTGTAAATTACTTTTACATAATAGGTTGGAAATGTATCAATACATACTGGATAGTGAAAGCCAGGCTCTCCTCGATGTGATGTCTTGTGGTGCCCTTCGATGGGATATCTCGTGGTGCTCCCTGTACACAGTTTAGCAGGGCACGACAATTCGAGAAAAAAAGTCCACGTTTATGACTTGATTACATCTGCGAGATATTAAGTAAACAAAACCACACAGCTCCCTCGTCCTACAAAGCTTTTTTCTCAAACAAGTAATGAGATACCCCCCATACATCGCCCCCCGCGTACGCAAACAGCTCCGAGCAGGCCATGTAGAAGATCTGCCAGCGGTTGTACCACGTCGCGGCATCCTTTTCCCCGTACGTGTCAATCAAGTGTGGCCATATTTGCTTCTTATTCTTAATCATGAGAGAGAGCCAGTCCTAATGGTGCCTGGAGTCAGCCGTTTTATCCGCACCAAGTCAACTCGGCGGCGCGAGAAAAAAAAAACAACTCACCTCGCAAGTCTTGGAATAGTGGGAGCCGTTGATCCACCATTGGTTCTGGACGACCAAGTCGCGCTGAAAGTACAGCAGCAGGTCGGCCGAGGGCATGGTGCCGCCGGTGAAGAAGTGCGTGGCCATCCAGCCGTCCTCGAAGTGGTAGGGCGTGGTGGCGTGCGCGAAGATGTGCACGAAGAGCTTGCCGCCGGGCTTGAGAGCTCTGGAGACCTTGCCCATCAGCAGCTCGTAGTTCTTCATGTGCTCAAACATCTACACAAATTCGTCAGTCGCTCGTCTTAGATGAAAATGGGCTCGGGTTGGGAGGGCGGGTACGTGCCTCGATGGACACGACGCGGTCGAATTGCTCCGGCTCAAACTCGTGGTCGACAACGTCGCCGGTTACGACCTGGAGATTCTTCAGGCCCTTTTTCTTCGCTTCGCCGTCGATGTGTTCCTTTTGCGTCTTGGAGTTGGAAAATGCCGTGATCTTGGCCGACGGTAGCTTCTCCGCAAAGTACAGCGACGCTGAGCCCCATCCGCAGCTGATTGAGAGCTTTGTTAGCCACACCGATGAGAACAGGCGACTCGGATGCAACTACCACAGTAGTATCACACGCACCCCAGGTCAAGAATTCGCATTCCGTCCTTCAATTCCGCCTTGGCAATGTACTCGTCCAGCATCGCGATCTCGGCCTGTTCCAGCGTCTCCTTGCCGGTCGGGTAGCGGCAGCAGGAGTACTTCATGCGGGGTCCGAGGCAGGCCGCCAGCACGCCGGTGCCGACCTCGTAATGCTGCTCGTTGGCGCTATCTGTAGACACGGCAATGGGTAGCTTTTTGAGCTTGGCGACATAGTCCAGCTTCTCCTGCGTTGCGGCCGTGGTCGACTGAGCCTGGATGGAGGCCAGGCGGTCCCTGAGCAGGCGCCGGATGCCGGTTCGAATCACGACGTGGGGGAGGTAGCCCCCATCGAGAATCCATTCTAGGGAAGTGGCATGTCAGAGTGATGCCGAGTTGAATTTGGGGGAGTTCTGGTGGGCTGCGGACTCCGGGCTCACCATAGTTCATGATTGCGGCTAGACTGATGGCCGTTTGCGATAGCACTGCCGAATTGTGTGAGGACAAGCTGCAGTGAGATGAGGCCTGCGCGTTTGAAAGCGCAAGAGCTCTGTTTTATATGCTCTTGGGCCGTGTCAATGCTAACCCAATGTAGCGCTTCATTGTTTATCAGTCCGATAGTTACTGTATTGCCGTAAGGCGGAGATGCTGACGCTAAGGTGCAGCCACATGGGCAAGCTCCCAGATGGCCATTCTGCACCTGAAACACGGATGGTGCTAGCAGTGTAGCATTGTTATACAGACACTTTATTTTACTTGTCTACGTTCTTCCTATATAATCATTTCACGATTCCAGTATCAAAAGCTGTTTATTAACTCTGCACAATAGGGGTTTCCAAATATTCCGTCATAGGAGCTTGGCATTTTTCACGATCTGGCTTCCATGACGCTAGACGGCTGAATCGAATCGCCCCGCCAAATCCGGCTTAAAATTCGATCATGTCGTAAATGCTGCGTGTGTATGATTAGAAGTCAGGCTGCGCTGTCTGGATTGATTTGATGATTCCACATAGTCATTATCCAAAGAAGAAATTCGTCTCGATTCTCCCTCCACAGGCTGTGTGTGCTCAAAAGTCGTTTTTGCAATCCTCTTGATCGGTTTTAACAATGTCTTGGCGGGGTGTGCCGAGCTTGACAGCACGATCGATCCAAGTCTGCGACAGTTAGAAATAAACCTGTTCACAACGAGATCTGTATGTAGTACACTTACGTTGAGGCTTTCCTCTTGAATGTGCTGCTCACGGCTCAGGATAAAGAGGTTCGAAAAGTTTGCCGACTGGACAATGGCAATAGCGCCAGTATATTCTGTGGTAAATGTATCAGCGCCCATGTCGAGAAGCAGCATTCTCCCACCAACCTTGTACAATGTAGTTTGGGCCATCGCAGGAGAGGGGAGGCTGTCCTGGGAAGCGGACACGAAGCACCCCAGCCTTTCCATAGGCCGCATCGGCAGCAACCGCCTTGCCCTCGATAAACGTCTGCTTATCCCCTCTCTGGCAAGTGTTGTTGACGTACAAGCTCCCATCGTCCTATTTGCGTGTCAACGCGACTTGGCCTAACTAGCGACGCCCGGTGCACAGTTTCGCACTCACATTAATGTCATAGCGCGCCGAGATGCACTTGCATCCGGCCGTGAAGCGAGCCAGGGTTCCGGCAAGCTGATACCATCGTCCGGGGTACGTCTCAAGCTTGAAACCGGCGTCGGCTTGGGGATAGAAGCACTTTCCGTCCCAGAGCGCGGGGGCGACGTCGGTGTGGGATTGGTCGGTGACGGCAGTGGCGCCGAGGCCGAAAAGAAGCTTTTGATGCTTCATTCTGGGCGATCGGACGGTTATGGGACTGAGTGAGTTTGGTGGATTGGAAGCCGGGATGAAATAGAAACGACGATTCAAGAAGAGTTGTTTGTTGACGGAGGATGAAGCTAGAGGAAGCTTTGGGTGAAAACTTGCACAGGTACCTGTGCACTAACAATTCAAGGTTCGATCGCCGCCGCTCCGATCTTCACTAACAAATCGATGTGTGCACGCAAGTGAAATCGGGGGGGTTCGTATTGCATATTCCATTCCCAGCATAACACTACACGGCGTAGTGGTAGAGGGAAAACTCGTCTTCGTGAAGAAAAAAATGCAGGCTTGATTATGCTGTAATTTACAGCATGAGTCTGCAACGTAGCCAATCCTTTACCGAAAATTGACAGCACCAGATTCCCTTATCGCGCAGTACGCCGTGATGACAACACAGAGGAAAATACAAAATAATTGTCCCCTGTCCAAGACCAAAATTGGTGACAGAATGTACCCGTTGTCGAGATCTGTGGCTGCGGCCATTCATGTTAAGCGGCTTGGAAATGGCACCCGTTGGGTGTTCATTGAACATGCGATACTATCACCACCCGAGTGTAATCAATATATAATCTATTGTCAGATAACGAAAATATCTTCAAGATTCAGGCTATTCTTCCTTCTTTGGATAGCTCGTCTCTTGTACTCAATTGAGTGCAGTTCTGTCATCACCACCCCTGTAGAGAACCCGCCGGCGAAACAATAAAGAAATAATTCCATCAATTTGCCATACCAACCCGTCGCAGAATTTATCTAACTAGCGCAAGCGAGGTGGAAAGGAGACAAGCATGGGAAGAAGAAGAAAAAGAAAAAATAGCTATAGCTTCTGCGACTTGGCCCGACCTTGGTCTACCCCACCAAATGTGAATTATGACCATCCCCTCGGTCAGCCTTCCCTCTCCTCTCCTATCACAGCAGTTAGACTATCAACGGTCCCCCCATGCTCCCGCGCGGGACCCTTCGTTAGCTTCTCGATTGCCTTTTGTCCGTCTCCCCCTCCCTCCCCACGAAATGGCGACGCTTCGAGACCCAACTACGCTGTGAAGCTATCTTCCTGCCGTCCTCCTCCCACCGACCGATTCACCGATTGCGCAGATGGCCTGGCTCGCGGCCTCCTTGGCCGCCCTTGCGCTCGCCTACATCACCTCCCAGCTCTACAGCTACCAGCGCCTTCGACACATCAAGGGTCCTGCGCTGGCGTCGTGGACCAATTTCTGGCTCGTCTACGCTCAGCTCACTGGCCGAATCCACACCATCCTCCATGAGCTCGTCTCCAAGCACGGTCAGTTTCCACCCCTCTACTTCAGCACGCGAAGCTTCCCCTCCCCAATTAACATTGTGTGTACAGGTCCCATCGTTAGAATCGCCCCGGACTGGGTGGTCTGCGGCGACCCGACCGAGATACGCAGGATATGGGGTGCGCGATCGCGCTGGACCCGGGCGTGGTGGTATCGCGGTATGCGCATCGACCCCTACCAGGACAGCTCCTTTTCCACGCGCGACGACGCGCTGCACACCGCGATTCGCAGCAAGCTCGTGCCCGGCTACAGCGGCAAGGAGGTCGACAACCTGCACGAGCTCGTCCAGGACCAAGTGCAGAGCCTGGTGCGCCTCCTCGACAAGCACGTCTCCGACGGCGGCGCCTCCGGCTCGCGCGTCGTCGACATGGCGCAGAAAATCCAGTACTTTGCGCTCGACACCATCTCCTCGCTCGCCTTTGACGCCCCGTTCGGCTTCATGGAGAGCGACGAGGACAGGTTTCGCTACATCGAGACGACCGGCAACACCGTCTACATCCTCGTCGCCACCGCGCTCATCCCCGGCGTCATCCGCCTGATCCAGTCGCCGTACCTCCAGTGGGCCGCGCCCAAGATTAAGGACATGGCCGGCATCGGCGATGTCATCAAGACCGCCGAGCGTGTCGTCGCGGAGCGCTACGGCGCGGACCCGCTCGTCAAGCGCGACATGCTCGGCTCCTTCGTCAAGCACGGCTTCTCGCAAAAGGACGCCGAGACCGAGGCGCTCATCCAGATCATCGCCGGCTCCGAGACGACTGCCACGGCCATCCAGGCCACCATCCTGCACGTCATCACCTCGCCCCGCGTCTACGCCCGCCTGCAGGCCGAGATCGACGCCGCCGAGGCCGAGGGCCGCGTGTCCAGGCCGGTCACCAACGCCGAGGCCCAATCGCTCGAGTACCTGCAGGCCGTCATCCTCGAGGGCCTCCGTGTGTTCCCGCCCGCCGCCGCGCTGTACCCCAAGGTCTGTGACGCGGACGAGGTCGTCTGCGGCGTCCCGGTCCCCGCGGGCACCAACGTGGCATGGTCCCCGTGGAGCATCATGCGCGACAGGGACGTCTTTGGCGAGGACGCCGACCTCTTCCGGCCCGAGCGCTGGCTGGGCGCGTCCAGGACCAAGACCATGGAGCAGACGGTCATGATGGCGTTTGCGTCGGGGAGTCGGTGGGAGTGCCTCGGCAAGAACATTGCCCAGCTGGAACTAAATCTAGTTTTCGTCGAGGTATGTGGTGGTTATCTGTGTTTGATCTACCTACTCCCGAACTCTCACTAACTCTTCCATAGTTATTCCGAAGGTTCGAGTTCACTCTGGTGAATCCTGCGATGCCGTGGAAATCGTTCAACGCTGGCATGTTTTCCCAAACCGATCTAAACATTTCCGTCACACGGAGAACCGCTGCATAAGTAATTACAAAGACATAGATGACGCTTATTCATTTTATAATTTCGCATTATATTATCAGCGTCACCAGTTCTATGCGCCAAGCAAGGCAGCATCGCACGAGGCCTAAATACTGAGAAAGCAAAACAGTAAAATTGATGTAGGTATCTCGTATCGTAAATAATGTAACAAATTAGCCCGTCCCGTATATTGATATATTTACAACAGTCGCAGAACCTGCCCACGAAAGAAAATCCATTCGGCGCAGTCGACTCAGATAATCACCTGCTTGCGCATGCACAGCGACAGCAGCTCGTCCACGTAGATGGCGCCCTGCCTCTCGCCGTTCTGCTCCGCGCGGAACGCGTCCGCCGCGTGCCGCGAGTGTGAGAAGACGTCCCGCTGCGGCGGCACGCGCGAATCCGTGATCTGCAGGTCCGCCGTGCTGTCCTGCGCGGTGCTCCGCGAGTCGCTCGACGTGATGGTGTCGGGCTGGTGGCTGTGCGAGATGGTCACGGCGACGCCGGACTTGCGCCGGCCAGAGCTATACGGCGGGAGGTTGCCGGGCAGCTCGGCGGTCTCGACGACGATCTCCTGCGAGACCATGATGCCGCCAAAGGTCTTGGTGGGCGAGGACAGCGGCGGCGGGATGTTGAGGGAGGCCATCTCCACGTCCGAGGCGCGGGGCTGCGCGGCGCCGCCGTCGTGGATGGACGAGCCGTTGGCCTCGGACTCGCTGTAGACGTCGCTGAGCGCGTTGAGGGAGGTGTTGTCCTCAAGCTTGCCGGGGGAGAGGCGCGACTGGCTCGTCGAGCGCTCGCCCGGGCCGCCGCGCATCCCGCCGCGGCCGCGACCGCGCTTGCCCGACTTGGACGCCGCCGGCGCCGACGACGAGATGGGCAGGGTGTCCCTTGTCTTTTGCTTGAAGCGCTCGAGCACGTCGCGCAGCGGGTTGCTCGGGCTGCCCTGCAGCACCGAGGACATGTCCCGGTGGACGGCGTGGGAGAAGTCGAGGTGGTGCGGCGCGTTCTCCTGCGCGAGCTGCTTGACCTTGAAGAAGCGGAGCGGGATGAAGGTGCACTTGGGGATGTGGATGACGTTGTGGATGGGCAGCACGAGCTGGAACATGATGACGGTGGCGCTGAGGGACAGCGACGCGCGATCGCGGCCGTGGTAGGGGATCTTGATCGGGTGCTGCATCAGCAGCGCGCTGTCAAAGGTGCCGTCGTCCTCAAAGGTGCTGCGCAGCTCCTTGATGCCCTCGAGCAGCGTGGCCGCGAACTTGCCGAGGTCCGAGTGCTGCGAGACGGACGAGGCGAGCCGGTCCGCGACGACGGCCATGGTCTGGTTCTGAAGGTGGTTGAGGTAGCCAATGTGGCGCTGCTCGAGCTGCTGGAGAGGCAGAGGCACGGTCGGGAGCAGGTCCCGCCCGCGGCGCCGGACCAGCACGTCGAAGCCGGTGTGGTCGACGCGGGCGCGGATGGCAAAGGCGCCGACGTGGACGCCGGGGGCCAGGGCTGTCTCGCTCTCGTCGAGAGCAGCCATCTGTCGCAGGCGCAGTCCGAGATCCGGCGTCTTAATCTGCATGCTGGATCGCATGAAGCCGACGACCTGGTCCAGCTCGGCGAAACGATATCCAGCAGATTCAAGCTGCTCGGCGACATGTCGACTAGGGACGTGCTGGACCAACACCATCAGCGAGCCGCGGCCGTACTCGAGACGAGAGACTTCGGCCTTCTCCGCCAGCGAGTCCGAGTCCGCCATCTTAGAGGTGTGCTTGCTGGTAGTTCCCAGCGCCTTGTCCTCGCCGTTGTATCCTTCCATTCCAGGACGTGTTTGGCCTGTGGCGAAGATCTCATCCCATAGAACACCAACCTCGGCGAGGTTGACTCTCAGCTTGGCGGCGAGGGACGCGGCCGCAAGACTGAATAGCTGGCAGCAGACAACATCGTAATCGGGGATGGGACTTCCGTCTTCTTGCATGAGGTTGGCGCTGCTGCTGTACCGCTGTCGAGCCAGCTGGCTGACGTGGACAGCCATGCGGCTGATGAGATTCGAGACGCTCGACCAGTTTCTGGATGCGCGGTAGGCCCAGTGGAACAGGGGATGGTTGGTGTCGAAAATTTCGTCGTTGGACTAGGGAATCCACGTTAGCATTGAAAAGCGCGGGAGTTAGTTGCGGGAATCAAGTACCCGGAGCAGGAGAGATTCAGTCACAAGTTCTGTCGGAAGCAGACCTTCCTTCGTGACGAGAATGCGGCCACGCTTGTCAAAGACTGCCGCACCAAGAACGACCTGCTGAGCTCTGTTTGCGTAGCTTCTCTTGATGATGATGGAATACACAGCGCAGGCGCCCGTGACGACGAAGGCTGCGATGGCCTAGGGGATTGCGTTAGTCTCATACTCAAACGCGCGAAGATACGAGACGATATACCAGGCAGATAACAATGATGATGGTCGTGTCTCGAGACATTCCACTACCAGTACGCTGACCAACCAAGGTGTATTGCGTGCCGACAGCGGCGCACCAATGCATGCCCGAGACGGCACCTGCGAGCACGGCAGCGCAGAGGACTCGCCTCCACCAAGCGGTTTTCCAACTAGACTCGAAGACGAAGAAGACAGCGAGGGCGGCTGTGCTGGCGCTGACTGCGATGATGGCGGCGCCGATAACATAGGCGACCGAATAAGCGCATCGGTAGTTGCTGATGGAAGCGTTTCCAAGGTAATGCATGCCGCAGATGGCTCCTCCGGACAGGACGCCGGCCAGGGAGATCTTCCACCATTGCACATGGTCATTGTTTGTGACGGCAAGAAAGGCGAGGAGCAGAACGAGGATGGGCACAAACAAGGAGGCTACTGTTAATCCGGTTGAGTAGGCGACCTGGAGATCTGACTGGCCATCAAATATGAAGAGGGCTCGGTTTCCGATGAAGTGCTAGATGATACAGGTTAATTGATAATGTAGCTTGCCTGTATAAGAACAAATACCTACCATGGACCAGATGGCAATTCCACCCATGCACATGGCTGCACCGGCCAACAAGACGCTGTTCAGAGGTCAGCGCCCATTACCAAAAGACGAAGCCAACAGAGGGCTCTCTGTCTATTTTTTTTTTTTTTTCACGTACAAGTTGTGAAGACCCTTGTGCGACGTTCTCCTTCTCATCAGCTCCAGCGTCGAGCCGGCACCAACTAGACTGACGGCATAGCTGAGACATACGAAGCCCGCATGGAAGGAATAGGGCACCGTCTTGCCCGAGTAGTCATCAAAGAGCTGGTCTACCGACGACATTTTTGCAAGTAAAATGTGAAACCCAAGACTTGCAGATGTATTGGTTTGTGTCTTGGGAAGAAGATCGAAAAGTCCAAGATGGGAAGGGGAAACAGAGTCACACCGGGGGTGCAGCTGGGCGTCCCATAGCGAGTATATACGGGAGAGCCTGAGCCCGAGCTTGGTGTCACGACGACGACAACGACGACGACTTTGCAAGCGGGTACGGAATACTGCACATGCCTCCCGGGATGTGGTGGCTGCTCAAGCCCCCTCCTCCCCCTTGCTCAGACGAACGTCCAAGCACCACCACAAGGCCAAGTCTGTTTCCCATCTGGCTTGGCCCTCGGACGCAGCAGGCTGGGGGATCGCTTCAAGCGGGATGGCAGGGGGCGTCGCTATCCACAATCACTGGGATGAGTCGAGAGCTCCAGCAGCGTCGTTCTGGCTGCTGCTAACTAGACTCACAACTAGAAAGGTGGAAAAGGTGGGAAGGCATGGCGCAATGCATGTAGTGGCTTTTACCATTGACATGACTTGACTTGGCTTTCCCACGCGGCCCAGAGACACGGCCCTGCCGTCAAGCCAAAAGCTAGCTTCGCCTACGAGGGTAGCAAAGAGAGGGAGAGGAGCCCCAATTAAAGTGCCTGAGCGGCCCGGAGCCCTCCGCCCCAGTTTTGACACCCAAAGACAAGGACGAAGGGAGAAAAGAGGCGGCGATTGTCGTTGGCCGATTGTGTTGGGCGGGCGCCACAACTGCCACCTTGCAGCTGAGCACCAAAGTCCAGTCAGTCAGTGGCTTTTCGCACAACCTCAATGTCGGGCGGCGGGTGTACTCCCGTAATAACAAGTAAATTAATAAAGAGCGGGCAGCGGCAAGGCAACCGGGATAATAATGTATCATGCATGGTGTGCCTGATAATATATCATACATACATATGGCGGTGCAGATCACATCCAACCCTCTCATATAACGCATCTTCCCGAGGCGCTGGACAGACAGACCCCTTTGGGCAGGAACTAAGTAGCGAGCCCAGCCAATTGCCAATAGCTGTCTTCACAAACAACAACTTAACAAGAGATACCAGTCAATAATGCAAGGACAGGGTTGGAGGGGGTGCAAAAAACGCCGCTTGGGCAATCCCCGAGTCACATCAGCAGCCAACCAGCAAGCTTTCCAGGACATCCTTGTCAAATAACCCACGCCGCTACTCCGAGATCATCGCTTTGTCGACGGCCGGACCTTGCGTTAGGGCCCACTGCAGAACATCAGAGCGTCCATGCTGGCACATCCTTTTCCCCCCAAAGAAGATGCCAAATGTACTACCGAATCGCCTCGCCCGGGGGACTGGTTCCATGTACTCGCCGAAAGCCTGCTGAAGAAACACAGAGTTCTGTTCCGCACAGACTGCGCTTCTCTTGTCTCTCCAGACTAGCCGAAGCGAGACAGTCCGTGTTGCGACCGCGACCGTATCAGTCAGTAACTAGTTGGAACCCCAAAGTGCCGAGGCTTTTGCTCCTTGTATCAGTTCGCCTCTATTGTTACTGTTTTATTTTCTTTATTTTTGTGTATTTATTTCGGCGTTTCTGTAATTTCTCACATTCTTGTTGCCTCCTCGGCTTTGACTAGAATGAAATTGCGTCACAACGCGAAAACAAAGGCAAAAGAAAAAAAATGACGACAAAAGAAACCAGGAATACGGCGATAAAAATTAATAGTCCCCAAAATGCAACAGACAGAAAAAGGAAACCCGACAAAGAAAGAAAAAAACTAGCGAAAGTGGCTGATGTGCATAAAAAAGTAAAAAAAGAAACCCGCTTCTTCTCACAAAAGCAATTGGACGAAGCCATCCAATCCACTGGACTGGTTCTGGACTTTGACCCTTCCTTTTTCTCTCTCCCATCTCCCGTCCTTCCTTGTCCACCTGTCAAGAAACAAGAAAGTCCCCGTTTTCTGGCAGCTGAAAGGTCCGTCCTGGGTCGGCTCATTTACGAATTTAACTTTACACGTTCGACGGCGAGCACACGCGCGTTGTCACGCACACAATAGGCCCAATCGCCCTCTTGTTCCTTTCAGCTGGGCTTGTTGTGGTTAGCTCTCCCAGCGAAGTCCGTCAGGCACAAGATAGGGATCCTTGAACTAGTAATCAGCTTGCATGTCGAGACATTTTGAGACATGCCATCGACAACTCTCGAATAGGTAGGTGTTCGTGCCTGATAGGCTGCTGGTTGATCAAATCGCCACCGGAAAGACCAGTTGGCGAAGTCCGTTATCCCATTCACATCGGCACGTGGAAGACAATGGATGCCGTGCCTGACTCCTTCTGTGGAAGGGCCGGAACCTAGACTTCGCTTTGACTTGGCATGCGCCCCCCGACGCGAGATTGACTTTTTCGTATGGCAGCATTATCCACCGAGGACGGAGCCGCTGCGCGGTCTGATCTTGGCCAGCCTCCATGACAGCCTCCGGAAAGTTCATGCTCGCGTCCCAATACCGGTTCTTCTCGAGATCTCGTCGTCTGATGATGGGCGTTGGCGGGACCAGGGTATGGCTGCATGAAAAATCTATCCCAAGTATGCACAAACGGCCATGCGTCCTCCCCACCGCAGGACACAGTGACAACAGATGGCCACCGGCTGCGCCGCCAAGTTAATCAAGCCTCGTCAGCTATCCTAGTGCCTGGCATTTGTCGGCGCCGTTGGGCCTACTGCTCTCGTAAAAGAAGTTAAAAGAAATTGCTTAAGCTGTCATGGAACTTGCCGGGTAGGCTGAGGGTCACACCCCTTCCCACTCGCCGACAGCATTCGGCAATGCTGCCAGAGAGCTGCCAGTCCATCCATGTCAAGTGTGAAACGGCGTGGCCGTATGGAACTTGCTTCCAAGAGTCGTGGCTCCCCGAAACTGCACATAAAGAAATCGATTGCAGCACGAGTGTCTAGAAAGAAAATGAGCCTTTTGTATTCGTTTGAACAAGGCAGACAAGGAACAGTAGATCCAAAGCATTAATGGTATACCCAAAAGGCATCTTTGCTCCAGCCGGTAGAGCAAGATTAGCCGTTAGAAAGACATGTACTCCTCATTCCCAATCAGCTGCTCTTTGACTTCATGCCTCGACTCTGCTCCCACTCGTTGGCCAGCGACATAAGCTTGATGCCCATCTCCGCGCTCGCGCCATCCTCGACCTGCTTCGTCCAAAACTTCTCATCGCCCGTCACAAGAACCGACTTACGGCGCTCGCGCTCCGCCACGCTGAGGTGTAGGCCGGCGCGCTTGTTGACCTCAATCTTCTCGAGGTACGCCAGCCTCCGGGCGTACCGTTCCGAGCGTTCGCGGCGAATCTGCTCGGAGCCGAACCGTTCGAATACCCAGCGCGTCACGGCGCGCAGCAGCAACAGTATGTGCTCGCTGATGAAGATAGTGACTGGCAGCATCATCCAGTTACGGTTAATGCCGTCAGAGCCGAAGATATGCACAATCGCGCCGGTTGAGATGCTGCCGATCCAGGTGAGGATGTCGAGCGAGAGAATCCAGGGCCCGACGCCGTCGGCACGCACCGGGTGCGGGCGCTGGTGTTCCATGCAAATCTTGGCAAAGTCGGACCGCAGCTCGATCCAGTTGTTGATGAGGAAGCCGAGCGGAATCAGCGGCCACACGGGCGAGAAGAGCGCCAGGTACCCAAACTGCAGCACAAGCTCAGCCATGTCGTCGTGCACGTTGTACGTGTCGAGGGATGATTGCCGCCGACAGCGAGCCAGGAGGTCGGTCTCTTCCTCGTCGTCCTCAACCATGGTGAGCAGCATCGCGTGCTTGGGATACGCTCGGCGGTACACACGGTACCACTCGGTCGCCTTGTGCTTGAGGTACGGCAGGATGTTCTCTTCGAAGAAGCTCGACAGCTGGCCCGTCAGCGTCAGCGCAATCACCTCGTTGCGGAGCTTATCCGCGTCGGCTTGAAACGAGTGCGTTGCGAAGGTGTTCTCGAGGCCCGGCAGTACGGAGAGCACGGCGCTCTTGAGGTGTGGGATGATGTCGCGCCCGAATGGGATATACACGAAAGCGGTCAAGAGGATGGGGAGGTAGTTGGTGATGATACTGAGGATGAAGAGCTTTTGTGTGTAAGAAATTTCATGTGCGTCGGCTGTGCGGTGGTTTTCAAAGGCAGTCAGTGCCTCAGCTACGCCCTCCAGGGACGAGTTGATGTAGGGAATCGCAACGGCAAGAATAATAGTTGGTAGATATTCCTACATGGTTGTTAGCTGCTGACTTCCAGCCCGGTGAGCTGCCGGTGCTTACCAGGTAGAATTGATAGGGACCGGTGTATGTTTCAGAAATGAGCACCTCAACACCAAAGACGACACAAATGATGGCGCCCAACGCAACGGTCGCGACTGCGATAAATGGGATCTGCAGAAGCTGCCTCGTAATCTGCTTCCACTTGGGAAAATAGTAAATCTCCTGCCCGTTGGCGTCGATGATGATCTGGTCGTACTTGAACTCGGGCCTGTTGATTTTCGTCTTGTGAATGCCGCGGACGTCCCAGCGGATGCTGAGGTCGACCTCCTGCAGCTTCCAGTACTCGAGGAAGACGGTGCACCAGACGCTCGTCATGACGGCGTACAGGAGCGAATACTTTGGGAACCACAGCCACGCAACAACGCCGGTCGCGGCGGGGAATGTCAGGAAGGTGAGGTAGTTCTGGATAAAGGCAAAGTAAAAGGCCACCTTGGATCCAAAAAGGTCACGGACGCTGTCAAAATCCTCGGTCGTGAGCCACAGACGGCTGCTCAGGTGGCGGAGCAGCGCCTTGTTGACGGCCTCGTTGTGGATCGGGAAGCATGACTTGACGTTCGACCACTTGCCGAGGCCGGGGTAGACGCCGGCGCCGCCGCGCTCCTTGGGCCACTGCACCAGATGGTACATGGTGAGTAGCTCTTCCGCCTCGAACCGGCCGGAGACCACCGAGTCCTTATCGCCACCGGGGTGGACCTGCGTGACCGAGTAGAGCCAGTCCTTTACTCTGCGGAGGGACAGTGGTCAGGAGCTGTGTATATAGCCAAAGGCAGTATTGTAACCTCGAATTTTCTCACCTCTCTTTGTAGACCGAGTTTCCGAGCAACTGTCGCGGGGCCTTGACAAAGACCAAAATCGAGCGGTCGTATCCGGGGCGTACTTCGGTGTGGAGGCCAGCCTCCTCGAGGTCTTGGAGGAGCTCTCGAAACTCCTTGACCGCGGCATCATAGTCTAGAAATCCAAGACGGAGTCTCGTCAGCATGTGTCTTAACGTAGTCGACCGTGGTTGTTTCTTCAAATCGGCGTGGATAGCAGTCTCGTACCAATGTCTGAAAAGTCGTAGACGATGACGTATTTGTCGTTGCACCGCAGGTTCGACTCCAGCTTCGCTGGCGCAGGGGCAGCCGAAGCGTCAACCTTGAGCAACGGGACGGACGTCATTGCTCTTGACTGCTGCTGCAATTGTCGAAATTGGATGGAGGTGTTGAATTGACTCCTGTGCTCGCTCTCCTGTCTCTGATCAAGACTCCTCCCCACGCTTTCTCCCCAAGTGGGCGGTTACAAGGAAACGAGGGGCTCCAGAAAAAAGCTCTGATGGAGTTGGCCGTCGATCCCGTGGCTCCCGAAAACCGTGCCGGCTAGTGGGACAAGTTAGTACTGTACATAGCTGTCCTTGGCCCCTGCAGACGCGTTATTTCGATGCGAGACCGTGCTATTAAAAGCACAGGGTCATCGCCATTGCTGGGCTGTTTGTTGGGTGATACATTAGCAAGGCTGGTTCATTTCGGGAACAGTCTCCGTGACGACGACCTTGAAAGCAAATCACAACCGTCTCGGATACCGCCTCCGTCCTTTCTCTCAATCAGGTTGGCATCATGTCACGGTGCCGAAACTTGGCGACGCAACATTTTTTTTCTTGGTACGTCCTGGCACCAGCGCATACCTTGATGCAGCACGCAAGTTGATTCGCCGCAAACGAGACGCCCTACCGCTCTTGTGTCAAGGGCTGGAGCCGCTCCACAAACAGGCTGGGACACGAGCCGTTTTCCTCGGCTTGGCGGGTGAATTTTATGCATCAGTTGGGAAGAAGCCACGCGTTGTGAGGAGTCAGCGGCCAACCCATGCTCTGCTGCACGAGCGCTTGCACAGGGCACAGGGGAGAAAGCTGGACGTGGAAATTGTGGCACAGAGACTTGGCGGTCAAAGGATATACCGTGCCTTGCTTCCAAGTTTATACGAACATAGCGGCAATACGTTTTATTTTGGAAGTGATTACGAATCCTACAACTGCCGCGCGAACAACGACGGCGTCCCTCTTTTCAGTGAGTGGTAGGGCGCTCTAGCCCCCGCGAAACGTAGGCAGTCGGCCGATTCCGGCGGATCTGACCACCCGGTCAAGGCACAAACAACTAATAAGACAGGCTGATGAGTTATATGTGGAACATTTTCTTTGTTTTATGATTAATCAGTAACTGCCCAATTTCTATTCTTGCGCGGAATAATAACAAAATCATTGTCACAAACCCATTCGCGGACAACTTCTGCCGATGCCATTCCTCTATCAAACAGTCATACAACCCATTCGCTTAGTTGCCCTCAACCTGCTTGAGAAGGCCAGCCAGGTTGATGCTCTTGGGACGCTCGATTGGCAGGCCCAGGGCGCGATCCCAGATGAGCTGGGCCAGGGGACCCAGGCCGCGCGAGACGCCAAAGGTGGCGGTGTAGTACAAGGTCTCGTGGAAGCCGTAGTGGTGGAAGAGGACGCCGGAGCTGCTGTCGACGTTGGGGTACGGGTTCTTGGTCTTGCCGTGCTTCTTGAGGACCTCGGGGGCGATGCGGCTGTTCTTCTCGACGAGCTGGAAGACGGGGTCCTGAGCAATCTCGGGGCGGGCAGCGGCATAGTCCATGAGCGCTTCGAAGCGGGGATCGGGCTTGCGGAGGACGGCATGGCCGTAGCCGGGCACGACGCGGCCAGAGTTGAGTGTGGCCCAGAGGTAGTCCTCGACGTCCTTTTCGGTGTGCGAGGCGGGGATGTTGTCCTTCATCTGGAGGATCCAGCGCAGGACCTCCTGGGCGGCGAGGCTATGGAGACAGGTTAGTTTACGATGATTCACGTGTCTCGCTGATTCGATTCGCAGTTTCCGAGACTATCGAAACTTACCCGTGAAGAGGACCGGCGAGACCCTGCAGACCGGCACTGTAGGAGAGGAAAGGATCGCTAAGCGCGCTGCCGACGAGGTGGGTGGCGTGGGCCGAGACGTTGCCGCCCTCGTGGTCGCCGTGCAGGGCGAGGTAGAGACGGAGCAGGTCCTGGAAGTTCTCGTTCTCCTTACCTCCTTTGCCGAGGAGGGCAGCATAGTTGTACGACCAATCCTGGTTGAGGTCGACCTCGGCGGGCAGGGCACCGCCGCCCTTGTAGGCATTCTGGTAGATCTTGGCGGCAATGGTGGGCAGCTTGGCAAGGAGGGAGATGCTGTCGTCAAAGGTGGGCTCCCAGTAGTCAGCCTTGTTGAGGCCCTTCTCATAGGCCTTGGCGAACTTGGACTCGTAGTTGAGCGCAGAGACAGCCATGGCAAACTGGGTCATGGGGTGCAGGTCGCGAGGAAACTCGTCGAGCATCTTGGAGATGAAGGCGGGGATGGCGGCCTTCTCGGCGAGCTCACGGGAGAAAGCGCGGATCTGGCCGACCGAGGGGACCTTTCCGGTGAGGAGAAGCCAGAACATAGCCTCGGGGAGCATCTCGGTGCCGGACGTGCCCTTGGGCAGCTCGCGCTGGCAGTCCTTGATGGTGCGGCCATGGAAGCGGATGCCCTCGTTGGCGTCCAGGACGGAGCCCTCCCAGACCATAGCCTTGAGGCCGCGCATGCCGCCAAGCGTGTTCTCGACCTTGACCTCGCCAATGACCTTGTCGCCGTGGGCGCGGACCTTTTTGAGCAGCTCGCGCTTCTCGGGGATAACCTCCTTGAGGGTGGCCTTGAGGTCGGGCTCGGAGGTGGCATAGGAGCGGGCGCCACCAACGGCAGCGCGGGCCAGGGGCTAGACGGGGGGGCGGAAGCATCAGCAAAGAACAAACGGTTGAGTATCGACTGATGTGGTTGTGCCGGGCACAGAGGCATCGCGGATGCCGCGGCTTGTTGTTTGTCGGGGTTGCGGATCGCTGTCGCGATCGTGTCGCGGGGTTGTACATACCTTAAACGAGCCAATGGCCCTAGTAGAGGCTCTCAGATTCATTGCCATGATGTGCCGATATATGTTTGGTGGTTGAAAAGACGAGAGGTGGTGCAGTTATCTATCTCGATCTCTGGAGGGAGATTCAACGTGGGGTTAAATTGGTGGTCGGTGCGAAGCGGCGGGCGAGACAAGGCGAGGACAGTGACAGCAGTGTGGGTGGTGGGACAACTCACAGAGGAGAGAGGCGTGGTACTGTGCAGGGTCGGCGGCACACACACACTCGAGGACGGTAAAGGTATGTAAGGGGAAAAGAGGTGAAGATGTGCTCAGACACAGAATGCGAGACTTTTTTTTACTGTTTTCGCCCTCCCGTTGCTGCGGAATGCCAGTGACCGCCGTAAGCTCCCCCCGGCCGAACCACAAGCTGGGGTCGGCTCGGCGACACGGATTTTGCTGGGGCAGAAGCTTTAGCCAGAAACAGCCGAGGGAAGCCGGCTGAGCGGCGCCAGCCATTGGCCAATAGCACAGCACCGTTGTGACCGAACAGCTTGCGCCAGATTCATTTGCTCGGCTTAGTTTTTTAGTAGTTTTTTTTTTTTTTGGCTTGGTTCAGAAAGCCGGTGGTTTTTTTGGCAGTGGCCTTTGACAATCACTTGAGTGACTTCATCGCCAAGATGGCGTAGGGATAGGACGCTCCCTGGGATCACAGAATACGAAAGTAAGCTCAACTCCACGTTTGAAGCTGACACCCGAAAGCTGACCTTGACATGTGCTGCATTGCCAATCCACTCACCTTGGCTGGCAGAACTGGTCCAACGGCAGCCAATTCAAACCGACTGCCGTTTGGTTATAGCCGAGTCAGGCCAGCAGCCAATCCGCCAGCGAGCCCCAGTCTTTACCGGATCCAGCCTGTAGCAAACTCCCACAACCCATCTACTGATGGTCATAGGTGCGCAGGTGGTATAGGTGGGAGAGGAAAATCAAAGGCAAGAAAAAGAATGCGGTAGCCCAGGCCTCCACCTAGGCAAAAAAAAACATTTTGAGAGCTTTAGCTGCGATCAAAACCCAGGCCACTGGGTCTTATAGTTAGCTCTGAGACGAGCGCAGCAAAGGAAACAAGAATGGCGTGCCCTGCGATGTCACGCCGCGGGCAATCGGCACTCGTGACTGGCTTGGCGTTGAATGACTTGGCCCTTGATAATTTCCGTGACAAACACGTTTTTCCCTGTGTATTTCTGCGTAGATGCCGGGTTCCGATCCGAGTCCGGTGCGGTACTCTGGGCATTCCGTGAGGGCTGCCTTACCCTGGAGTGGTGACCGTCATTGTACGTGGGGGTGATCTGTTCGGGAATGAGGCGGATATAGGGTCGAATGGAAAGCAAGATGGCAGATAAGACGAGGGGAAGACTCTAAATAGAGGCGCGAGAGACGTGATGGAATATTGGGTTGGGAATGAAGTTGATTGCTGGAGTCCTCATACTAGGTATCCCGTCCGTGCTACCCAAAGTGTCCTACCACTTGCTGTTGAATGCGAGTCTGTCAGGTAGAGAGATTCCGGGCCGGAACAAGGAGATTGCTCATCTTATGCGAAGAATTGCGTGAGAATCGAGGTCAAGGTTCTTATGTGTGTACCTTGTTCATCTACTTATTCATGCAGGCCAAGAAGTCTTTTACTAGTTACTTCAAAGTTACCTGCATCCAGCGCCGAGGACGTCTCGGCAGGGTACCCCAGCCAAGGAGCGGTGCGCGCCGCCAGCAGAGGAAGCGCGGCTCGCACTGGAGCGCGGCAACAGAAATGTGCATGTGCTGCACAGGTTGGCGCAGATATTACCAGGGCTATATTTACAAAGCCATCTAGGAAATATGATTTTGACGGATGTAAACCGGTTCCTTATCGGGTGCGTAACTACTACTGGCAATATTGCCCGTGAACTGCGGGACTGCGGCGGCCATGACGGCTGGGGCCTTGAGCGCGCACAGTTTGGTACTACAGGCGGGCCTCGAACAGCGCGGTCCCCTCCCCCACCATGCTGATAGGCAGGCACTGTACGGATACCGACCAGTTGGTGATACTGTCGGTATATAACTGCCAGGTAGGTCTGTACGGAGCTCTACTCCTCTCCGCATTGACATCGCCAAATAGAGTATCTACAGGGACGGAGCCATGCAAAAGATGTATATAATTTATAGGTACTATACTAATTCATTACCCCTCGACCTAAAGCCTGTCATACCTCTGCACATTTACCTGTTTGCTGTCGCCCTGATAACAGGTACTGGGGAAAGTGGACCACGGCATCTCCAACAAACACCAGGGCTCCACCTGGCGGACCGCACTTGCAGCAACCTGCAGGGACTTGCAGTCGAAACGTACATTGATATTTGGCTTGCCATAGGACTGTGTTCTACGAATACATACTGATACTCTGTGCAGAATAGAGATTCGCGTTTATTAGCCAAGGCACCTTGTTCGTCAAAAGTATCGGCGGCAACGACTCGTCAACAGACCCCATGGACACCTGCTTAATCTGTCCAGCGGTAATACCAGTACCTAATTGTGTAATTCGTACCTACTAACCGCACGTTAGTACGTGCCCATGTATGTTGTACATACATAGGTACCCTCGGTATTCATGGCGTATCTTCCAGCCTTGGTGCCTCGACCGTTTACCGCGCACGCCACGAAGAGCTACTACTCGCCAATCTATTCTTCTTCTACCCTTCTGTTTTAAAGGGAAGGCGCAAAATGACCTTGTATCCGGTCCCGCCTTTAAAATGCGCTTCCCACGCCCCCATTACCGCCGTGTCTTGCTGTGACACAAATTATGCCACTTGAGCTACCAACAGTTTAGTGTAACCTTGCATCCAGCCCACAGGCTTCCCCGCCTTCTCCAAAATCTCAGCTTCCCTGCCAACAACTTGTTACCTTTCCAGACAGCTTAGCTGGGTCCTGGTCCGACTTCGCCTGCTACCACTACCTTATTTCTCAACTCTCTCACCCCCTTCTCTACTCCTTCTTTCCATATCATTTAAGTCACCGGGTTTCTTTTCTTCTTCGCTCATCCCCTACATCGACACAATTCTCTTCTCCCCCTTGCCAAAGTCTGTCGCGCTCTCGCATCAACTACCACCCCACCACCGCCGCTGACCTGCCACCAAACCATGACGACACCGAGCCCCAAGGCCATTACGGCCCAAGATCTGCCGCAGCTGCTCGAAAATGACAACCGCGTCAAGCTTGCCGGCCTCGATGTTGACGGAATCCTCCGCGGAAAGGTTATCTCCAAGAAAAAGTTCCTTTCCGTCGCTGAGGCCGGCTTCGGCTTCTGCTCCGTCATCTTTGGATGGGACATGCACGACAAGACCTACATGCGCGAACTCAAAATATCGAACGCCGAAAATGGCTACCGCGATATACTTGCAATCCCCGATTTGACTACGTTTCGGAGGATCCCCTGGGAAAACAACATTCCCTTCTTCCTCGTCAGCTTTGTTGACCCCGAAACTAAAAAGCCCATATGCGCGTGCCCACGTGGCCTGCTGCGGTCTCAGCTCGAACGGCTACGTAGCAAAGGCTACGGCGCAATGGCTGGAGGTATGCTACGCACCGCCCTTCCCTCCAGATAATGATGTTCCCGATGCTCTCAAATCATGTAAAACACTTCGCCTGACCACATGCTGCTGCAGCTGAGTACGAGTTCTACACCTTCAAAACGCCCGATGACTCCAAGTCCCCCGCCTCCTTCTTGCAACAACATCCTCACGACCAATTGCCTTCCCTCACGGAGGGCATGTTTGGCTACTCTTTGAACCGTCCCGTCCACAACAAGGACTACTACTATGAAGTCTTTGATAGCTGTGTCGACTTTGCCTGCAATATCGAGGGCTGGCACACAGAATCGGGCCCAGGCGTCTTTGAAGCCGCCCTCGAATTCGACGAAGCCGCTGAGATGGCTGACCGTGCCAGTCTCTTTAAATACGTCGTGAAAAGTGTCGGAACCCAACATGGTATTATCCCCTGCTTCATGGCCAAGCCTAAGCATGGGCTGCCTGGAAACAGTGGCCACGTACACATCTCTCTTGTGGACAAGGACGGCAAGAATTTACTTGCCCGCGAAACCCCTGACGAGAGCGCTCAGTGGAAGGACATTGCTCATCTTTCGGATCTCGGGCGACACTTCCTTGCTGGCATCCTTGTCGGCCTGCCCGACATAATGCCTCTCTTCGCGCCTACCATCAATTCGTACAAACGCCTGGTGGAGAACTTCTGGGCGCCTGTCACCGTCTCTTGGGGACTTGAGCACCGAGCCGCCTCCGTTCGTTTGCTGTCACCCCCCACGTCGAAGCCGTCTGCTACACGCTTCGAGGTTCGCGTTCCCGGCGCTGACACGAACCCGCACTTCGTCATGGCCGCCATACTTGGCTGCGGCTGGCGCGGAATTGAGAAGAAGCTCGAGATACCCTGCCCACCGCTTGCTCTAGGCCAGGACGTCGGCGGTGACGCCGATATGGGCGAGCGCCTAGCCAAAAGCCTCAAAGAAGCCACGGAGCGCTTCATGCGCAAAGACAGCATCGCGCGCGAGGTCTTTGGCGACGACTTTGTCGATCATTTTGGTGGCACCCGCGAGAATGAAATTCGCTTATTCGATGAGGCTGTAACGGACTGGTACGTCATCCTGCGAATACCACTTGATCAGGCAACACTGGCTGTATCAAATTGAACTACAATTGCTAACTTTCCACAGGGAAATGAAGCGTTACATTGAGACGGTTTAATAAGAGATGATTTTGATGAAATGGGGTGGCATTTTTTGATTTCGCCGTACATTAAGCTATCCTTCCCACCATCTATTTTGATTTGGTCTACGAAGTAAATATATATATGTTGATGCACTTTCGAGAGTAGCTCTGCTGTGTTGATGCGCATGTCTTACTGTTCTTTTTTTTTCTTGTATTTTTTGGACATTTCTCAGCATACTTACCCTGGCATCGCCATGTGTATCGCCATGCGAATCAACTGCACTCGACTGTATGAGGTTTTAAGTGGCGTGAAACGAGGACGTGAAAGAAAGACGCAGAAAAGAATATAGAAATTTTGCCAGTCTATTGTGGAATCGAAACATTCGAGCTTGCTCATGTGTATTACGAAAAAAAAAATCTCGTCCCGCCAAGTAGCTCTGGAGCTGCGATATGCATGCAACCCTTGTTTCAGCGCCGCCGCCGCCTTATCTGCGCGTGCAATCACAGACGCCACAAGAAAAAGTAAAAAAAAACGAAAACGCCCATGTCTTGCCAAGCCTGCTGGAATTGACCACGGCACTGCATATGCTAAAAAAAAGTTCCGAGACATTCTTTCTTTGCTTTTTCCTTTGCTCTCGCATTTCACGTTTCCTTGGCGGCGCTGCCACCCCCCTTCTTCTTGCGCGAACTCGAACCACTTGCTCGGTCGTCGGCGCCGCTGTCATCCCCTGGACGCCACTGTTCGGGGTGAAACTCGGGGTTGCCAAAATGCGCCCTATTCCATATACTGTTTTTGAAGGTGTTCGTGACGACGTTGAACGGGAGAAGGCCGAGATGCGCCGCCCGGTTGGTGTCCACCTCATAGTTCAATTGCATCTTGGTAAAGCGAATGTTGCATTCCGAATTGGGCGCCGGGCTGGCGGTATGTGACGGGGGCGGCGGAGGCCTCGGGCCGGGCGACTCGGTGGTGGGATGCGGCCGGCCTTGCACAATGCTGCGTTGTGTGGGAAGCGGCGGCATCCACCCTCCGTCTAGTGTAAATGCATCGCACGACGACGGCAGCGACGCATGCGTGTCGGTTGGCGAGGAGAGTGTCGACATGCCTGGTGGTGCGGCTGAAGGTAGCGACGTCAAGAGACCACCAAATTCAGTCGTCGCGAAGGCCCCGAGACTGCTGTGCGTGCTGTTGATAGGGGTATGGGAGTAAAAGCTGGTGGCTCGGTTGACTTGCATCGAGATGGGACCAGGCTGCCGGCGATACAGGATGTCGTAGTGGTCCGGTCGGTAAAGTAAATGGATCATGGGACCGAGGGCGGCCGGGTTCCTGCCGTTGGCCTCCTCGGGGAAGCGGTAGGTGTTGACCGCGGCGCCAGGGCTGCGGTCAAGGTAGGCAATCTCAAGGACGAATTCGAGGGGCTTGAGGAGGCAGTTGCAAAGAGCGGTGATACCAAGCTGGTCAATCTCACGATCGGGGAGCTCGATGGTCTGAGCGCAGTAGGAGCGAATTCCCTGGCCGTCAGGCACGAAGGGGTCGTACTGGTCCGGGTGGCTCTTGAGGTGCGTGGCGGCGAGGAGGCGGAGGTAGTAGATGAGGGCGCTGCTGGTGCCAGTGTCGGTCCAGCGCGTGTGGACGAGTGAATGCGCCGCAGCCGCGTCCGTGACACAGTTGGCAAGCTCGCGTAGTAGCCCAATGGCTTCGTCGGCCCAGTCCTCGTAAAAGTCGTACCCACCGACTGTGCCGAGGAAGTGGTTCATGCTCATCAGGCGGGCCGCTTCGCCCTCGACCTGATCGGGGTCACCGGTCTCGACGAGCTTTTCAAAGTAGGAGAAGCCGATTGCTACGAGGAGCGGCGAATGTTAGTATGCAAAGCAAAATTCGTGAGGGGAGAGAATGAGATAATTGACTGACCTCTCCATCCGCAGTTGCCATCGCCCTTGACGGGGCGGTATGAAACGTAGGTTTGAGGTAAGGCCTGTGTTCTTGCAAGTTAGAAATAAAAGATAGAAGAGAGGGGGTCAGAAAGAAGGATGGTCGGAGATGGGGGCTCTTCGCTGGTTGAAGGTTGGGGTAGTGACGTTACGTGCCATTGTCTTTTCGACGTATATTGAATCTGCCTTGGCGTACTCATCTACAATGGCAGCAATAGGTGTTCTATCGCCGATGACGGGACCCTGTGAGATTGGCGGTTAGCAATGCTTGCGGCAGGAGAAGGGGGAGAGGGACGGAGATGGAGGCTCTCGCGAAGCCAGCTTACATCAAGGGTTGGTTGATAGCCCATGGCAGCGTCTTGCTGTGCGGCCATGCTGTGCTCGTCAGGGCTCGCCATGGTGAGCGGGCGGCCGGAGAAGCGGTCGGCGGGATGGCTGTGGAGGTGTGGAGGATGGAGCTGGTGTTGGGAGTGAGGACGCGGATGAGGCTGGAGAGGAAGATGACGATGGTGGTGCTGGTGCTGGTAGTCGAGTTGCGGGTGAGCCGCTAGCAACGTCGTGGGCAGCGGTGGTGCAACTGGGGGGAAGTTTTGGCGGTCTTGCCCGTGGCGGATCTGATTGTGGCGGTCGTGGCTGTGACGGTCTTCGCTACCTCCTTGGCCGTCACCCCCTCCAAGCGCTATCGGCACTGGCAGGTCCGGCCCTGAAACTGGCACTGGCAGCATCGCTGCTGCTGGCACCGGCTCTGGGAGCCCTCCCTGCATGCTAGGCTGGACCGAAGCCGTGACCCGGCCATGGTTCAACGCCGAATACCCAGACACGGATGAGTAATGTCTGTATTCGCCTGCATCGCCGTCGAGGAAGTAGAATTGGCTAGACATTTGTTCCCTGGAGTCGCTGAACGGATCCTCTTGTGGCGGCGGCCGTTGATGACCCATGGTAGGGATTTGGCTGCGTCGCCCGACGCGAAGGACCCTTGATTTGATGGCTGTGGATGTTTTCCAACAAGTGTAAAGAAATTCTGAGCAGGATGACGACTTTGTGGCGATCTGAGGATCTTCTCCGAACTACGCGAGGCACGCTGTAGCAGTCTGCCAAAAGATCGTGTTGCCGCAGGAAACAGCTCGCGATCTTGGCACTGACGGATTTTGGCCTTCAAAGGAAACGCAGGTAAGGCAGTGAGCAGAAGAGTGTCTGTACTACAAACTCCCTTTTTCCAACAACTTTTTTGTGATGTCCCTGCCCACCCTGGTATGCCCCCTCGCCAGCCTGCCTTCGGATAACAACACCACCACCTAACGCTGCCTTGTCGTCAGCGAGCGGGCCGACCCAGGCAACCCAGGCTTGTTTATTAACTAGCGGACGATCGCTGGCGAATCTGCGCGTGGCCGGGGCAAGTTTATTTGGCTAGCGTCCACTGCCAAGGCTGCGGCTGCCGCTTTTGCCGATGGACTTGTTCTGTCTGCTTGACTGCTTGTTGACAATGTTGGGTCGCGGCGTTGCGGTCCTTTGTCAAGCGGCAGGTGAAGCTACCGGATGGGTTGCCGGTGATGCGATCCAATCAGGGAAGGGTGGTATTACTATCGAGGACGAGATCGTCTTGTTTTGGCGTTTCGAGTTGACACGCCTTGCTTCCGTTGTCTGAGTCGTCCGTCACTGGCTAGACGGTGTACCAGAATAACTACTGTATCTGTCGTGGAGAATTAGCTTGCATACTCATACAATGACAGGCGCCATAAGACTTCTCAGGTAGTCTTCCGATGTTGTGAAAAAAGTACCAAACTTGCATTTGAGACACGAAGAAGGTTAAAGCTATCTTAAGCTCGACAAGGCCGGCAATCGCAAATGGGGAAGACAAATGACAATATGTAAAATGGTACGTTGACATGTTCCTAGATTTGCAAAACCAAAGTGCAAGGCACAAGCACAGATATATAGATGTGCTGTAGAGTCGTTGAAACGCCAACATGTGAACGTGATGCAAACAAAACCCTAGAGTATGTTCCAACTACGCCTCCAGCGAGACACGCCATCTTTCTACTAACACACCGATGCACAAACTGAAAAGTATACACCAAGGTTTTGCAACATCACTGGCCAGCGGCCGTCCGACCTTCCTTCCCGGTATCAGACATGCGTTATTGATGTCGGCATAAGCAGTCCTCCTCCACTGCCTCCCTCCACAAAGTCACCTGCGCAAGCCTCACAACCTAATAAGCGGGCAAGCCGCCGAAGATCAACAAACGACACAAATTCCACCTTGCGCCGTGTTCACTCTTCCTATTTTTGAGGAGGGTTCTTATTTCCCCTGCATCTTTCGTCCATCCCGAGGCAGCCCCAGCCACCCTCAACTTCTGGCTTTCTACAACGAGGCTGATCCACGAACTGGTGCGACAAACGAAGGAAAAGAAAACAAGTCCATCCATACCCCCTCCGCTGGAGATCAGGCCACAGCCTTGCGCTGCACTACATCACGGCATGTCTAACAACGAGGCTTGGATACGGCGCACAGCAGTCACATTGCATTCGCTCCTCACAAGTGCCGCTTCTTCTTGTACGCAGGGGCAAGAGGAGGGGGATCAAGAGGAACACTCCTCCAGCCGTGCAATGCCCGGCGGCCAAGGCACGATTACTTCAATCAGGACGTAGTTGCGACGCAGAATCAATCGACCCAAGCCAGAACCAGAAATACTGCGACCAAGGAGGGCCCGTAAGAGCAAGTTTGGCTTGTACACTGGGGGCGAGATGCCGATCCATGGCTGCCGACCGGCGTGGGGGGGGGGGGGCGATTTTACGAAGTGTGAGAGGCGACTGTGAGGCTTGGCTGCGCGCCTCGTTGTCTGTCAGCCCTAGAATCTGCTCTCTAGGAGTGTCACGGCCTTGGCTGCCTGGTCGCCTGGCCACCGCTCCGAAGCCCAGCAAGCTCCCTCCTCCTTCCATCTCTTGTCAGTGCAGCAGTAAACAAACAGGGACCCTGGCTGCTCTAGATCGTGTTGCTTCCGGCAGGCGCGTACAGGGGTTCCGAGAATATGGTTCTGTGGTTTCCTCTACCCGTCAAGCATCCGCCACGACGCCACCCGCTGCTACGCAGGTAAACCCTCAATTCTGGGCGGCATCTCCGGCAACTACATCTCTCACTTTTCTTATCGCTACGAGAGAGCCCTATGGAGGGGCGTAGACAGTGAAAAGATCGATTCTTAGGCCACAAACCACTTACTATCCACTGCTGACCGGGCTTCCTTCCCTCTCGACATACGGATACAAGAAACGATGCCCAGCATCAACCAGCCTTGCCAACCCGGGCCTTTTTGCTGCAGGATGCAGGGAGGGGCTTACCGCACCACAGTCGGTCGAATAAAGTTGCGCCCCCTGGCCTTTTGCAGACACCCGGTGGATGGACATCCAAGGCCGTCTCGTTGACATGGTTGGCTCGCTTTGTCTCCGAAGGAATGCCAAGGACGCCCTCATTAATTCGTCATCGCCTAGGCGGCATGCTCGCAGCATTTTCATATCAAAGTCGAAAAGCAAGCCACATACACAACCTTTGCACCGCGCATGCCGAGAGAAACCCACCCGTCGTGATGCCTGCTTTGCTCGCACCATGTGATGTGCGACTCGATCGACTCCAGCCCTCGCACCATCCCAGACAGGCAAACAATACGAAAAGAGACCCTCGTACCTCTTCCAAAGCCTGAGAAAAAACATTTCTGAAAATGCCACTGACGAAGATGCGAAGGAGCAAATGCTCGTCCAGAGGGGTGCAGGGACGTACTCGGTGCGCGCAAAGAACGCCCAGTGAGAAAAAGAGACTGTTTCTCATGATTGTGGCTCTGTAGTCACAACTTGCCGCGGCTGAATCATTGTCAAAGGCAGCCACCCAGCACATGTCCATTACCATGCCGCCCCCACGGCTAAATGTTTTCTTTTTTATGAGAGACATGTTCGTACCCACACCTGCGATCAAGAGCTTGGAATGAGTCGCACAATGCGCAAGTCGTCCTTTGCGCGGCACCGCATCGCATCGTCGTTCCATCCAACCTCAGCTGCACCACTGCACCAGCGTACAACTCCGCGCAGCCACCCGCGTATACTCGGCAGCGGGAAAATGAGGAGAGGGTTGAATGCGGTGTATCATGAAGACGCAAGGGAAGGTAAGCAATACGCCTGGTAGCCATTTTGAGGCGGCCGGCCTTGTCTCGTGGCTCTTCTATATCGCTTCGCCTGGACATACAACAATATACACAGGCATGCTGCTTGCGGGTTCTGGCATTATGTTTGCAGAATATGTATGGTGGTTTGCTGCCTTCAACAAGGCTGTGCCCACATTCTTCATCACCGTATTACTCGGTTACGATGACCTGGTGGCTCTGGGTCTCACACAGTTCGTGATACCACGCTGGTCGCCGTCTTGTGGCGAACCCAACGCTCGCGGTGCGTCCGTTCAGCACATGAAGCTCTGCAGCTCACTTGGGCACAGCTCTGGGTAAGAATAGGAGCCTAAGAAGAGCTGCCAGCTCAACCCTGTTGTTGATTCATCCGATGCGGCTTACCGTGGCTCCATGGGCTCGCAACACCTGCCAGACAGCCGCGGCTGACGGCAGGGAGGGGTGCAGCAGCAACACGTCCGAGGGGTCATGTTTTTCTCTCAGCTCCCTGCTTTGCACATGGGCGGCGTTGTATTCGTATGCGGTCCGTTGAGTACATGGTGTATCCTAGCTCTGCAAACATTTGCTGGACGACACTAGGCAGTTGCACAAGCACCTTGGTAGCCAGAGACTGACGTGTGAGATGAGGCATAACAAATGGTGTAGGGTGAAAAAGGTTGAAAAATGCAACCACTGTCACTCCTCAGTTCTGCAATGTACCGCGCAGAGGCACGCAAGCCATCCTTTCGTGTGTCAAACAAAGTCAACTAGAGTACCACTGTTTCTAGTCTAGACTGTGTACAACTGGTCTTCGTAATACGCTTGATGTGCAGGACCTAGATTTGTGCATCTCTGTAGTATGCAAGCCACCTGCATGAAATACCACGGCTGGCATCTCCTTGCGAAATAGCCGGTCATCTCCAACATTGAAAAAAATGCACCCAAACTCCCATTATCCCTCATGATGACGGAGATGTCGCAAACAGAGCGAGAAAGGAAAGGAAAGAGAAACAATCAAGCCCGCTGATCAAAAGCCTCGCATGAACCGGGCCCTTAGCCCCATACATGGGAGCCCGGCTTGGTCCTCCGACTGTGGGACTTGCCCATCCTTCCCGTCCCTTCGACATCGAAGCCGGGCCCATCGGCACCGATGTTCTGATCGCTGTTTCGGAAACCGTCGCCGTCTTGGAACACGGTGGCGAACAAGTCAGCTACAGAGTTAGTAAGCTTGCTCATCGCCCTGATGCGTTCCGCGTCGGCAGTGGACGTGATCTCGAGGATGCCGTCGCGCTGGTCAATGCGGCCGTCGACCTTGCCGTCCACAATGAGGAAGCCGAGGATGTCCTGGACCTCGTCCTGCGAGACCTTGAGCTGCTGGGCGATCCAGTCCAGCTTCATCCTCGTGTACGGCGCGATGAGCTTCACTATGCCCTTGGTGCGCATGTTGCGGGTGACTTCGTCAATGTTCTCGGCGATGAACGGGTCGGCGAGGATGTCTTGGTTGCTTTGCAGCACCTTTTCGTAGCCGCGCACGTCGTCTCGCTGGTACGCGTTCACGAGCTCGGTCATGGCCGAGATGCGAGGATCTGATTGGTACGGTTTGGTCTCTTGCGAGTCAAACGGGTTGATATCAGACTTCATCAGCATCGTCGTGAGAAGCAGGTACTTGAGGACCTGTATGCGTTGAAGCGAGCCCGCTTCGTCGTAGTTGCGGAACGATTCGAAAAAGTCGCCCTGTGCTTCCTTCCAGTTCTCCTCACTCATGTGCATTTTGCCACCACACTCTCGGATGATTCCCATAATTCTAGGGTGCGGCACAGCGGATTTGACCTTTAATGCGCGCTGGTACAGTGCCTTGAGCTGCTTGTTGTTCTTCGTCTCGGAAAGCATCTGAATCTCGAGGGCGTAAATCTCGAGCGAGTATGTTCCTTTGCTCGGATCGTCTGTCCCGTCCTCTTTTTGGCAAGCTTTATGCAAATCCCGAAGCTTCTTAGCGACGGTAGCGTATTCTTTGCGATCAAGTAGTAACTTGACAAGCTTGATATTAGTCTTGAGCCAAAGCCGTTCGTTATTCGTACTTTGGAAGCTCTGGAGCGTCAGCGAGTAGAACTTCTCCATACTCTGGACGGCATCATTCCCGTCAGCACCCTTTTCGATATAGTCTAGCATGTTGTTGATGGATTTTTCTGAATAGTTTCGCGTGACGGCGGACTTGACGTAGGTAAGGAGTTCTTCGAAATGGTTGGCGGCCTGTGGGCGTCTTCGATTAGCCGCGCAAATGAAAGCATCGCGCCCGATAAACAAACCTCATTGTATCTGCCCAGCTTGAATTCTAGCTTGATAGCTTGCTTCAAGCCTTTGAATCCCAACTCGCCTTTCTCCGGCTCCAGTTGGGGGATTCCAAGAAACTCGTCCACCGCCTCCTCCGGGTTGTTAAGCTTCAGTTGCTTCGCATTATAGTATTTGTTCTCGATATCGACATCGCCGGAGTCCTCGTCCTCGTCCTCTTCGTACTCGAAATCGTACCTGCGACGTCCCAGTTAATATCAATCCGTCGAGGCGTGGTGTTTGCCAGAGCTCACTGCTCCTCATCCGACTCCTGCATGAAATCTTCGTCGTCAGACATGTTGTGTATACTCAAATGAGGTATATGAAGGCTTAACAGGATCCAATAGGGAAAGGAAAACGTGAAATCTGAAGAATGTTGAACGCGCGATGGCGATGCAGATGATGGAGATGACCATCAAGTTGCGGAGCTACCTTCTCTCTACCTAGGTACCTACCTTAGTAGCGGGGTTAGCTGCCTGTGTCACCTTATCGATAGCTCTTCGATCTTCCCAACAAGCATTTGATCTGATTAAGATTTTATCGCAACGGAGTAAATTCAATGCTAGCTAAGTTGGTAAAGGAGATGAAGTGTTTTGAATCCTGATACTATCAGGAATAATTTCCAGAGCTCGATGGAGAAAGATGTACAACTTGCTCGTGTAAAACACACTGCGCCTCGTACGCCACGCTGCTGCAGGACGTACTAACTAGTAAGACAAAGAGAAAGAAAAAGAATGGGAAGTAGAAATAGGTATTATGACAGAAAGTACTCAACTTTGAGCGAATGCTGTAGGTAGCTTGAAAACAAATATTCCCAGAGCCGATAACGCTGTTAGGAAAGCCGTAAACATAAACGGAAGCCCAATCCAGACACCGCCAAGATCCATGCCGCGATTTAGAAGCCAAGCAAGAGTAGGAGCTGCGACAAGGCCCACGGTTGATTCAACTGTTGCGATAACAGTATTAAGGGCTCCAATCGTGTGCGGCTCGACGATGATGGACATGATTGACCGGAAAAGCGGAGAGAAACCGGTCGCGAAGCTGTAAATGATGAGGGCCAAAACACAGAGCCAGCCAACAGGCGCAAAAGCAATGAGTAATGTTCCAAAAAATGCAAAGATTGCGGACACACGCGCGATGAACAGGTCACGCTGCAGTGGTGAGCGGCCGCGCCGATCCAATGCCCAAGCAGTCGCCGGCAACACAATCATCAGCACTCCCAGGGCGAAGAAGTTTTCGATAGACACGATATATGTAGCCTACGCAGTATAGGTTAGCAGTCGATTCTGTCGAGTTGATGCCATTTACAGGAGCCATACCGTTGACCATGACCAGTGATACCGTTTGGTCATGTATTGCAACAAATCGCTGTCGAATACTAGCTTCAAAGGGAATGCTAGAGCATTACACACCATGAGCAACATGATGCCCTTGGAGCCTAGGAGAAAGCGCCAGATGTGAGAAAAGTCGCTGCGCGCAGAAGCCAGCGCACGCTGGATGGCGGATTTGGCGGAGACCTTGCCCACTGGGTGCGGCGCAAACTCGGCCTGAATCTCGCCGGAGGCTCTTCTTTGATCGGCCGCCTTTCTTAAGTCGAGAGTCTCGGGGAGCAAGAGTGTGCAGCATGTGCCAATGATCAGCAAGCCAATGCCTATCCACAGGGCCATCCACGGGTTCACTCCGAGCAGGAACGCTGCTAGGGGAGTGGCCGCGACACCAACGATGCGAAGCACGGCATTGAGCTGATAGAAGACCATGGTTCGCTCCGCTGCTGGCGTCACGTCGCTGAAGAGCGTATAGCACATGGCGCCGGCCATTGTACCGCCTCCGCCGATGAAGTAGGCAAGGTTACCCCAGAGGATTGCCCAGATATTAAGTCTATTGGGAAGAGAGACTAAACTGCGTTAGAATCGAAAAGGGAAACCGCGATTAAAGATGAGGCGACATGTCAGCGGTAGAGCGGACCATGACAATGACTACTTACGGACAAGGACAGTCCAGAGAATCTTTAGGACGCAACCAAGGAGAGAGGCAAAGATGACGATTCGACGTCCATATTTGTCCGCAATAATTCCATAGGGAATCTGTACCAAAATCGCTGGAGACAAAGTTAGCACCTGCATGAAAATCGAGAAGCGAGCTGATACTTACGGACTATCATCTCAGCTGAAACATCCACAGCAGAGACCATCGACAGAGTCTTTTGCACCTCATTCCCTTTGCACCGGCTGTCTGGGGGAGCCAGTGTATTGAGTTGGTGATCGGCGTACACATTTCTGCAGATGACATCTTCCATGATCTCTTGCAACGCGGGACCAAAGAGCCTCTGGCTCACGGCAACCAGCGTCAAGCATAAGCCTCCGATGATGCTGACCAGTAGCCGTAATGAGCGTTCCGGGGCCAGCTCTGCGGGTAGATCCGTGGGCAGGAGTGGTGTGGTTTCGGCTGCATCATGCTCGTTTAGATCGGGGTATCTTCTGTCGTACGGCGCAAGGTCATCGCCGGCCTCTGGGTCGGCGCTGCCCCCGGACATGGCGGGAGCTGTCCACAGCGGACGGAGACGGTCGCGAATGTCGAATTGCCGGGTAGCTGCACCGACGCCCTGGTGCCTTGAGTAGGTAAAACGCAGGGCAGCCGCGCTTTGAGCGAAACAATAAGACAAAGAATAAATTTACAAGATTGAATGGGCGGTTCACGAATTATAGATAAAGGGAGTAGAGTTCACAGCTGCTTGGCAACCGCGCTGAAAGGACAGACACACGCCTCATCACGTCACAAATAGCTGCCCGAAGCGGCATGGCCCTGATAAGTCGTTGACGCGGCCTGGAACGAACGGCGGGTACATTAACCACTGGCCCTCCCTTTCACTTGGCGACGCATCTGTAACTAGACATGTAAGCTTTTCAAACGTGTTTTGAATAGATGTTGTTGTTCCAAAAAGTTGGTGAGACGGACGCTGGTCATTTGAGAATGGCTACCTTGAAGAATTTGATTGCGAGAGTATTTATCGGTTTTATCGCTTTGTTAGAGAAGAATGAACAGACAACATTGCCAAAATAACTTGACTTGGTTTTAGAGCATCTGCGCCTGTTTAGCTTACGGCTGGATCTGCAGGGCTGACGTACAGCCCTGCGTGAGAAGGCTGCTTCCAATAACTACTAGTTAAAAAATAAGCAAGTGACGCGTCGTCAGCTAATGCGTTAGTGGGTATACTAAATTCCAATTATTACACTTAAAAACGAGGCGATGATGATGGGATGGCTAGTGTATATTCCGTACTTTGAGACTACCTACATAATAGCATGTCTTTCGCGACTGAGACAATCACTTAGGTTAGTAGTTATAAGACGTGGGTGGTGGCTCCATGTTCTCAGTGCGGCATATGTAGTTATTATTGCATTTCTTTGTTAAAAGATAGTTACCAACATAGACTTCCAAACTTATATACCGATCATAGCTTAGCCACGGGAGCACTCTCAGCAATCTCCTTGTACATTCTGACGATATCAGCCCTGTAGACCTTGGCCGCCTGTTGCCGCTTCAATTTCAAACTGCAGGAAGAGATCGATGTTAGCTCAATGCGTCAATCATACAAAAGCCAAGCTGGGAGGCAAAATAACTTACGTCGGCGTAAGCAGCTCGTTTTCAACAGAGAACGGGTCCACCGCTAGGGTGAGGTTTTTGATGCGCTCATATCCCGACAGCTTCTTCTTCTTTCCAATGTCCTCGAGTATGCGGAGAAACTCCCTCTTCACCTTGGGGTGCGCCGCCACCTCCCGGACCAGCGCCACGTCCGCAGCCGACACCTCGCGGCCGAGGATTTTGCCGGCGAACGCCGCAAAAGGCTCCGGCTCGACGCCAAAGATGCCCACAAGCGTGGACTCGGAGCTGTCACCGTGCACCAGGCCGTTGGCGATCATGCCGCAGTTGGCCGCGTAGATGTTCTCGATGCGCTCTGGCGCGACGTACTCGCCCTGCGACATCTTGAGGATGTTCTTCTTGCGGTCGATAATCCGGACCCGGCCCAGCTCGTCAATCTCGGCAATGTCGCCCGTGTGGAACCAGCCGTCCGGCTCCAGCACCTTGGCATTCTCGGCGTCGTTCTTGAGGTAGCCGGAGAAGATGGAGGGTCCACGCATGAGCACCTCACCGCGGGGACGCGGCTGATCCTCGACCCGGTAGTCGAGGTCGGGGACGGACTCGAGGCAAATCTCCACGCACGGCATCGGCGGACCGACGTGGCCCGTTTCAAAGTCGCCCTTGAGTTGGCAGGTGGCGACGCCCGAGGACTCGGTCATGCCGTATCCCTGGGCGAACGGGATCCCCAGGGCCGCGCCGAGGAACGTCTGCACTTGCGGATCGATGGGGGCGCTTCCGCCGGCCATGGCACGCAGACGGTCAAAGCCCATCGCCGCCTTGACCTTTGAGGTCCAGAGGCGGTCATAGAGCCAATGGGTGTTGTAGGCCTGACCCATTGGCAGCTTCATTGTTGCGAGCTTGCTGTCGATGACATGTCTCGAGAGTGCCCCCTTGAAGCCCGGCGCTTCAATACTAGCAGCGCGGATGGCGGCGTTGAATCGGTTGAATACCCTCGGCACAGAGATGAAGGTTGTAGGCCGCAGCAGTTTGATGTCGTCCGGCAAGCCCGTCAGGTCGCCACGGAAGTACCCGGTGCGTGAACCTGAGGCAAAGGCCTCCTGCTCAACTAAGCGCTGCAAAAGATGCGCGAGTGGCAGATAAGAAAGACCCACGTCGCTGCTCACACCTCCACTCATGATACGGCTGACGCAGTTCGATGATAAGGCGGACTTGTGAGTAACAATTACGCCTTTCGGGACACCAGTGGTGCCCGAGGTGTAGTTGATGGTGTAGATGTCATTGGCGCTGCATGGGCGCATAGGTCTTTGGGATTCGAAGCCCAACCTCTCAACTTCGTCCAAGGAGTAAAGCTGCAACCCGCGCTGGCTGGCCAATTCAGAGAGTAGCGCACGCTTTGTATACGCTTCTTGCTCCCCGTTGTCCAGAGGATCGATGGAGATGATCATTTTGAGATGGGGCAGACGGCGGCTAATTTCGAGCAGTCCTGGGATATGAGGCAAGGAAGCAACTATACACGAAGCCTCAACGTGATTGAGAATAAACTCTGTTGTGTCGGGGCCCAAAGTCTCGTACAGAGAAACAGTGAAGAGACCTTGGGACATGCAGCCGAGCTCTAAGATGACAGTGTCAGCAAGACAACACAAAACAATACGTCCCATAGCTGAGGTTTGCGGAATACCGGCGCTAACTTACCAACGATTTGCCATTCTGGCTTGTTCGGTGCCCACAGAGGAACCGGGTACTGGCTTTTCTTAGTGAAGTTGAGGCGCTCGTGAAGCTCCACGATGCCCGCGCCAAAGTTCTTGCGCCGCTCGGCAACCTCGGCGTAGGTCAGCCAGCTGAACTTGTTATCCCACGTCTTGGAGTCTGGCAGCCACTTTCGGGCGCCTAGGCACGCATTTCTGGGAAACTGCTGCACCGAGGACTCGAATAGGTCGTGCAGCGTCCGGACGGCCGGGTCCAGGGTCTCGAGCAGCGGCCGATCGGCGAACTGCCAGTGGCGGTAGATTTGGCTTCGATTCGGCTTTTCAGTGCCGGGCAGCGCGATGCCATGCGGCTTGCCAGGCGGTGGTGAAGCACCGAGCTCCTCGATGGCAGCGGCAACTGTGGCAGGATTATACATGATGCATAGGATGAATCGTAAATCTATCAACAGGCTTTGTCAGGAGGGTCAAGGAAGACTATGAAGGGTCAAATATCCCCGGAGGTCGGTTTAAAATGAGTGAACTGAACCGAAAATAACTTGTTTCATATGACAGCAACAGCCCGGGCACGGCGCATGTGCAGTGTAGCCGCGGGCTAAGGCTACATCCGGCTATATGCTTCCGGGGTATGGAGGGGTGCGATCTATCGTGTGAACGGTCCACAAACTGTTAAAATGCGGGGTAAAGCATGGGATTTAACAGAATAGGATTACTAAACGTGCCGAGGGTCCTCTTCTAGCGCGGGAGTCGCAGTTGTTGCAGGAAATCCTCGCCAGTCGCAAGGGTTCCTTTGCGGTCGACTCTTCGCGCCTGGCCTGGACGGCCGAGAATGAGGTCAGCTCCGCAGCCCGGAGGCTAAAAATAGTAATGGTCTCGTACCTGGATGTCAAACGGGTATATCCCTTAGACGTGGAATTAACTTCTCTTCTTGAAAAAAGCCAAATGCGCTGTGCAAGTTAGTGCACGGCTTTGTAGTTGCGATACCCGCAGTGTAGAGGGTGGAATGGGTCTTGTTGACCTCGTGAACAGCTTCATTGCCAAATATCTTCATTACTATTTGTGGTGTGCCATTTTTCTAGCGTACTGCGTGCTAGGCTATGTTGGGATAAAGTGCTTCGAGTCCTCCTGTTGTTGAGCAAACGACTGTGAGAATGCAGCCAGCCCTGCGACGATGCCGACAGCCATGAACAAAACGGATATGATGGACCAGATGACGCCCCAGCACTGCGAGGAGCCACCGTAGCGCTTCGCGAAGACGCTGGCATCGGATGAGTTGACTTTGCGAAGAATCAGATCGTCGCAAATATCCCACACGCTGTAGAGGGAGGACATGACGCCGATGAAAAGCACCACAAACCGCAGTGCTTCGGCGTGTTTGATGAACCAGCATGCGATAATGAGGCCGACAGCGAGCAAGACAGTGAGAATCGTCAGCCAGTCCCGTTTCCCCCACCACAGAGTCAGGAGGAAGCAGACGCCTAGAACAATGCTGGCGACCTTGGATGCGACAATATTGAAGCCGCAAAATGTCAGTAGCGCGCCGATGATGGACGATCCCAGATAGCCTGCTGGAAGCGTGATTGCGCTGATGCCACCGACCATTTTGGTAACGCCGCCTTCGTTCGGATCAAGACTGATTGACTTGACGCGGCCACCAGTACAGACGGCTGTGATTGCGTGGCCAAATTCGTGAAAGGCAATGACAAGCATCTGCAGCATAAACCGGTTAGTGCATGCTACAGTTTGGTGGTGGAGACAAAGGACCGCGGACGCATCGATAATCGGCTCGAGATGAGAGACCCGATGGACACAAAGCGAGTTGCTGTACACTTACTTTGAATGGCCAGAGGACGTTCTTGATATAGGGAACGTTCCATAGAATAGCAATAACGACAACGTAAGCCGCGATGACGCCCAACGTTACTTGCTGTGTGTGATTCGGGTGCTGAAGATCACGACCGACGAGAGCCGCTCGTTGAGGCCCTTGCAGTTCAAGCTCAATTTTGCTGAGAGGCGCGGCAGACAGCGGCGCCATAGACTCTGGCCAAGCTGGAGGCATTTTGACGACGCTCTTGGATTGATGAGCCGATATTTCGGGTAAGCGCCCTCTAGGCCAGGGTTGTCCACGCGTCGTCAAACGGCTGCAGTTTCAAGTTTGGCGTCAAAGGGCAGTGGAGGTTAAGCGCGGTGCGGCAGGTAGAAAGTCGTGATATCCAGTTACGACGGGATAGAGGAGGAGAAAAGAAAGGAAAAACAGCTTCAAGTGCAGAGGAATGCAAGGAGAGGTTGAAGGTTAGGCGGCTGGGCAGCTTTTCAACTGCTGATGCGCCCACCTTGAAGCTGTCCCACTGTTGACGCGGCAGATGAAGGTGGCGCAGGGGATTAAAGGTGGCTGTGGAGAGGCTGGTGGCGCCAACGGGCATACCATTGGCCGCAGCTTTGTACGAGATTGGCGCAAACTATTTTTAGTGCACAAGTACCCTTGGATCTGCGCTTGTATTATGGGACAATAAAATGATGGAACTGAGAAGAAAAAGAATCGTGAAATCGCCATCATCAGTCATCGACTGAATGCTGAGTAACATAACTGTTGACGCAAAACACCATTCAATCCGAAGTCATTGTGGCGCCGAGGTCACGTGTATGATGGACACGTGAAACAATGGCAGTGCCTGTCTCTGCCAAGTCTGCCCTCATCAGCCCATGATTCACATTCAAGTCCAGGTGCATCCCCTGAGCCATCATTTGACACACCACTTCAGCAACATGGAAACGAATTGTTCATTGAAAAATATATACACTCTAAGAGAGAAAGGTAAATATGTACGTGAAGTAGTGCCCGGTCACGGTGACTGTGGACTCCTTTATTTGCAGGACGACCACCAGTCACCCTGCTTCACGCAGGTGTAGGGAGCTTTGCACACCGTTGGGCCATTGTAGCCCTGTCCACCACACTGAGCGTACTGATCGAGACCGCCGCCAGAGGGAGGGGGGGTTGAGGTTGTCGTCGGTTCTGTGGTGCCAGGGCTCGTCGTGGTCGAAGTCACGGGAGGTACGGTCGTGGTCGGGCCGCCGGCAATATCAGCAAGCACCTCGCTCAGGAACCCATTGTTGGAGTAGAGCTGGGACATGTCCCACATCATGACGCCTCCGAAGCTGGAGTACTTCTGCGACCAGTTGATGGCCGCCTTGAGCTTGGAGCCGCTCGTGTATCCGCCGCCGGCACCCTGCGCCGCCGGGATGCCCAGCAGGAGCTTCACGTTGGGGTTCTTGCTGCCGCGCGCCCACTTGTCCCAGACGTCAAAGTTGAAGGCGTTCTGCGTGATGGAGCCCTCCTGGAAGTTGGACGTGCCGCACCAGTTGTTGTAAAACTGGATCATGACGAAGTCGAAGGCGACCGCGTTCAGAACGGCACCGACCGCCGCGTCGGGGAAGACGCACTGGGGGGCGGCGGTCAGGTAGTACTTCTTGCCTCCGGCGGCATCCATGAGGCTACGCAGCTTGGCGCCAAACGCGGGGAGGTTGTTGGCGCTGCTCTCAAAGTCAAAGTCGAAGCCATCCACGACGGCGCTGCGAAAGGGGCGGTCGACGGACTTGCCAGACTGCACGGGTCCGAACATGTCCCAGACCATCTGCGCCGCGGTCTCGGCGTCGCCAGTGTTGGACCAGCCGCCCTGAGAGTATGTAGCGCCGCCGAGAGACAGCACAATGGTCTTGCCGTACTTGCTCTGGCAGGTCTTGATGTCCTCCCTGTTTCGCACGCACTGTTAGCGACGCTACTCGCGGGCCGCGTTAGCACCGCGCAACTTACTCAAGCTGGGGACAGTTCAGAACGTTCTTGTTGTCAGGGAAAGCGGTGCAGTTGTCGCCCGCGTTGGCAAAGTTCGTAATTGGGGGAGTGATACCATTCATGAACGCGACAGGGATAATCTAAGTCAAGTTAGCATCGTCCAGTGGTCGGCGCTACCCTGAGCGGTGCTTCTTACGCTCAGGTCCGTGTCTATACGGGAGGTCAGCATTACCGAGTTAAACATTTCCAGATCTGGTTCTTCCATGCTTACTTTGGCAGTAGTATCCCAGACGCTGTTGAGCGAGAGGGCCGGAGCCTTGGTTGTACGAGTTCTGACCTTTGTAAACAGTCAGAATTTGTTTTAAAAAAAAAAACAGCACTCGGACTTGATTTCCTTACCCCAGTACACAGCGATATTATTGCCAGCGCCCGGGCTGAAAGCTGCCATGGCGGAGGGGAGCATGGCAAGCGCGCTGGTGACTGTGGCCACCGATTTGAATGACGCCATGTTGTAAATGATTGGACAGACTGTTGACAATGACGATGATGATGCTCAGAAGGGAGTGTTTAAGATGCGTATTGTCTATACTGAAGGAAGGAATACTCATAAAGGAGGGACTGGCGGGCTTTTTATCTTCATCCCAGACCAGAGCATACCAGTCGGGGTCTGTGATGGATCATGGTGACTTACACGCTTGAGTGGAACAGAGCAGCTGCCCACTAATTTCGGGCCACGCTCTGCTATGTGACGTTGGACCGCTTACATTGGACATACTGGGCCGTATCCGATGTCTCTGCTACCTTGACGAGAATCCTCGTGGAACCGAGGACATGACAGCTCCTACTCTGGTCAGTGTCGAGGCTACCATCGCGTGGTCGTCGCTTTGGCTCTGTGGGGGTGGATGCTGGGGCCGCAATCTGGGGAATACAACCACACTAGGAAGGACTAACTTGCAAGCGGGCGGTTGGCCCGTTGGTGAAACGAGGCGGCCCGCGGCGAGACTTTGAGACTTGCTAGTGGTGTATTCAGCTCGCAAGTCATGAATCTAAATGGCCGACTGGTGGAAACGACAGACCGCTCGAGCATGACTACGAAAGCCTATCTGCCACGTATCTATCACTCGATGCGTGGCCAAAGCTGCATATCCGGTACCAATGTGCGCACGTTGACAGACAAGTAGCTTGCAAGGCGAGAATGTGATGTGTTCCTGGCGCATGAACGAGACGGGAGCTACTAGATGCTGACAGGAGTGGATGGGGCCATCTCCGGCGCGTGCCTGAATGGTCGGCCAATAGCATGATGATTATCGCCGAACCACGAGCTGTCACCGTCCAGCTGGAGAAAATGGCTTGTCGTGGAAGGACCTCATTTGCCAGCATGTTGCGTGCAACTCTACAGATAACCAGGGCCCATATCACCCCCTCCAGGAAATGGGCACGTCGGAGCAACCCAGCCGAAGTGTCGGAGAGGGACTGATAGACTGCAGAGAAGCCTCCACCGGTGTTGCAGCACCACTGAAGAAGCCTCAATCAAACCCACCAGTATATTGAGGGTTGACGTTTGGCGTTGCCGCATCTCGCAGGCGCGAATGTGCCGGAGCAGACGATTTGGACAGTGCCGAGTAACGTTACCCATATGCATGGCTAGCCTGCAGCAGAGAGAGGCGCGATCGAGGATGCGCATGCAGGATGCCGGAGTCAAAATCTTGAACCTTCCGAATGGGGAAGTTCATTGTTCAATTGCTGTGGGTAACTATAGGCCAGGGGTGACCACGCGGCCGCGATGAAAAGGCGTATCAAGTACAGTGTGGCGTTCCCCGCGTGCTCTTGGGGTTGTGGGAAAGATCATTTCTAGCGATGGTGTATGGATGTAACAGCTCACAGCAGGTCCTAAGGATCTGGCTTGCTGCCATTCATTCCCTTGTTTGGTCGGGATGACCCTGTCTGTCAGTCTTGAAGTAGTAGACCGCGATAGCCGTTCGGCCCCCATCGTTGCATTTATGGCAGGACTTTTCCCATCTTGGCCGCATCGAGCTCATCGTCCGGGCGCTTGATGGGAAGCTTTGTTCACGTTCAATACACCACCTGAGCACTACTACTGCAGGGGTATGAATGGGGACAACGCTGAGGCCCATAGAAGCCGACTTCCATGTCAGGCACTCTGGGGAAGCCCATTGGTTGCTTCTTGAAGTCAGAAGTAATAATCAAGTGCGCGATGTATGAGTGAGTTAACGTGGCCTTTAAGCTGGCGACCACCCGGAGCCGCCCGCGCCTTCTACCGACTCTGTCGGGTTGCACCGTCGCATGGAACAGTCAATAGTGACGCCTCTAAAGCAGCCCTTTCTTACCGTTCTTCGGATCCCGTCGCACACATGCTCGGTCAATAATAAATAAAAAAGAATTGAAGAAAGGCACCTCTGTGAATCATCTTTCGAGAGACGGCAGCCTTGGTGTCACAACACCGACCAAGTTATCGAGTCCACACCCTCTCGGTCAAATCTTACTCGGCGCCCCGCCGCCTAATGCCACTAGGCGAGACCGAACTTCTGGCAGAGTGACCAGATATTGTTTGCGTGACACTTCAAGGTGGTATCGCCAGTTCTATGAAGAAGAGAGTTCTACTGTGGCTGTTGTAACCGTCTGTCTGTTGCAGGCGCAGTCGTGAAGACAAAGCAGTGCTAGCACTAACTGCCATCTTCATACATAGGTGAGGTATGGACAAAGCTTCTCTCATACCAGCCATGGCAAACTGATAAATACTCTAAAAAAACAAACCACCTACTTAAGATCTCAATCAGTGTACGAGAGCATATTTACTCAAGTCATAGGCGTCATATTAGAGAAACAAGAATAAAACCCATTCCGCTACTTTTAATTACCCTACAGCTTTCATCAGTATATAGAGCAACACCATAGTCGCTTATATGGGATCATACTCATACCGGTCCATAGCGGCATGGTAAAGGTTACAGCTTGGCTCTCCATCTGCTCTAGCGGCCTGAAAGAATTATTAGATGAAATGCCTATCTAATCGAGGAACTCGTTTTTGAGCGGCATCGCAAAGGCACCAAGCTAGGTCTTTTCGCTTTTGTATATGGCCATGCAACGAACGAGTTAGCTACAAGATAAGCGCGAAAGAAAAGGGAGAAAAAGGGCGAAAAAAAAAAAAAGGACCTATCATGATTGCTATTCCTTTGACTTACCTGCTTTCATTTATTAAGATGTGTTACTTGCGACAAGCTCACTTGAGGACGGAAGGTACATAGATGCCGTCCCTCCACGGCTCGTTGTTTCATTCAAGGGGGACGTATCTCATCTTATTGCGAGTCACTGCAAATTTGCTCATTCCAATATAGAAAACATGTACCCGGACCATGTCTCAAAGATATACTCTGAATAAGAACACATATACACTAAATTTCTTGCTGCGTCTTTGGCGGACGCGCCGGTACATCCAGGAAGCTGTCTGATGTCTGATTAACCACCAATGACACCACCTGCTCCAGGGCCACCCAGGAAGAAGTAGCTGCCCCAGCTGGTTCCCGACTTGAAGTGCGTGTCGATGGAGTAGCGGTTGCTGTCGCTGACAATCACGCCCCGACTGCCGTCATAGTCGCTGGCCTTGTCGTCAGTGCCCGTCAGGCGGATGTTGCGAATGTACGCCGCCTTGCCGTACCCTTCCGCCGCGAAGTGCCCGCTGCCCATGTCCGTCGTCGTCATCGGCCCCTCGCTCTGATAAATCTCACCGTACCAGTCGATCGTGTCCGCGTGGTCCGCCAGCGTCGTCGCCGCCGCGTTGCCGCGCGTCACGAACATGCTCCCCGCGTAGTACCCGACCCAGCGGCCGTTGACCGCCAGCCACCAATTCCCTCCGTCCAGCAGGTACTGCACCTGCAGGTCGTGCTGGTCGCCGTCGACCGTCGACAGCGGCGACAGCTCCATGCCCGGGTAGTACTCCGAGTCGTACTGCACCCACCCGCGGTACTCGGTGTTCCACCCGGACACGTAGTCGCCGTCGCCGCCGTAGGCGTTGGTGGTGAAGAAGGAGAAGAGGTGCGGGCTGGCCGTCTGCCGAGGGTAGTTGATCCACCCGGCCTCGACCGTCTGGATGCCGATGTTGGGCACGCTGAGCCGCACCACGGCCGTCTGCAGCAGCGAGAAGTCGTTGTTGTTGGCCACGTACGCCTTGAACATGCTCAGCGCCGCGGACGACCCGTGGCTGTTGGCGGACTGCGACGTCGACGAGTACCAGTGCTGGTCGGCGTACTGTCGCGCCCGCAGACGGTTGACGTTTTGCGGCGGCGCGACCTTGTTCTGCGGGAGCCGACCGTCGCTGCGCGGAATGGGCACGGTGCCCGCAGGACCTCGCGTCGTCTCGTTGAAGACGCCGAGGTTGAATTTCTTGAACGCCTTGTCGTGGATCAGAGAGGCCGGCGGCTGGGCAATTTCACCCTGGATCTCTCGCCTGACCCAGTCCACAACCTGTCCGTCCGGAAGGGTGACGGTCTTTTCCACGGGGAGACCATGGTCATTGACATAGCTGGCCGTTGCTGTGCTGGTGAGCAGCGTTGCAGTAACTGCGTTCAAGACTTGCCAACGCATTGTGTAGAATTGAGTAAATGGCTCTTCTTTTTTGAACTTCTCTTTGCCAATATTATGCTGCACCAACAGCTACTGTGCCTACGTACACTCGTCCCTTTATACCCAAGCCAGGAATACCATCCTGACAGATATGTGCCAAAGGATTTGGCATCGTGAACGCATTAGTTTTCCCTAATTCGGAAGGTATATTCTTCATTGCGGCCGTGGTATCGCACGCTACAGCGGCACGGGTCACCATACCCCTCTTGATGCTGATGGCCTCGGCCGTTCTCAAATACAACACTACTTCCCTTGTCCGCTTTCGGTTCATGAGTTTACGGATTTGACCCGTAATCATCGGTCGAAAGACAACCCTCTCTCCTTCCCCAGAGACACAGCTGTCCAATTTGACAGGCACGAGATACGGAGCGGCTGGCGGGCTATTTCTCGAGGCTGAAGACAACTTGGCACCCTGGCTTTCTCGGCTTTAGTTTTCTCTCAGTCGCGATCAACTTCCAACTCGAGGTAAAGGCCAATCGTCTGACCGATAGTTGCCCGCAAGTGAGGTGACATTGTTCTAGCTTGCTTTGCTCCACGCCGGATTTCTTTAGGGTCTCATTCGTTTAATGCCGCGTGGTAGTCTGTCGGTGCCATCTCAATGGAGCGCCTAGCAAGGCACAACTACTTTATTAGGCAAGTGGCAGCTTGAAATAACTCTTGTGTTGCAGGAGGCGGATCTGGAAGACATGCCTCAACTGGGCCTTCCTTAAAATCCCCCGAATAGTTGCCCATACCAATAAATTACACATAGTCTTGTTACAAATTATTTCATACTCCAACTTCTTACCTACCAATTAGCCATTTGCCAGGTTCCTGACCAAGTTCGCTAGTGCGGGATGACACCTGACGGTAACAGCAACTACCTGTCTCAGCCTAGCATCGCCAATAGTTCTTGCGAGTCTTGCTGGTGGATGCATAATTCCTCATTTTCGTCGAATATTACGTTAGCCAACGGGTTTGAAGGAATAAGGAGACTGCGCGTTATGTTTGTGCACTGCCCGCGCGTGACTGAGCAACTCGGCGCTGCTTTCATATGCTCAAGTCAGGCCTCAAGATAGCCTTTCGATTGGCGAAAACAAGTTGAGACAGCGGCATGTGGAGCGTGCATCTGATGTGATTTGCTTGCATCTAGTAAATGCTGATCCGGCAAGATCAGCGCGTTGGGCACGCTCTTGGCCTTTAGCACTCGGCCGCGCCCGTGTCTCTCCCTTACCCTCTCTCTGCTGGTTTGCAATTTTTGAAGAGAAAAGCGCATCGCAAGGTTGCTTGACCAAATCAGGCAGGTAGGTACCCTGACTTCTCCATTAGCAAGCTGTCATGACGAAGTAAACTCGATTGCTGGTGACAGGATAACACGGCAGCACGGCAATAGCACTTTTGCAACTAGACTCAGTGCTCTGCCTGCTATATGGAATCCGGGGTACATTGCGTAATTTGTTTTATATTCCGCGCGTTCGAATCTTAACGGCTCCTTAATATTCTAGCAGGCCGGGAGCTGGTCGACGGCGACCTCTTCGCTTTGGCACTACGCGGTAACTTTTTCTGTACGTCTCGTCGCATGCAGGAAGTACGGCTACCAGGCAACACGCGCATGCATTTGCTGAAAATCAGTCGGCTCGGTTCCTGGTCACCAAATCAAGGATAGTAGATGTCTTGTTCGTAACAGACCTCCTCGTATTAGACTACCATCTCCCTCGCCTTCCCCGGCCGGCGCCTTGATTGTAGCCTCCGTACCCGGCTTGGTTGCCACCGTAGCCACCCACAAAGTTCTGCCCCGCGCCGCTCTGTGCGGCGCCGCCAGCAGCACCGCCGCCGTTCTGCATGCCCGAGAACATCTGGTTCATCTGGCTCATGTCCATCTGTGACGGGTCCATTCCGGAGGCCATCATTTGCTGCATCATCTGCTGCATCTCGGCGGGCATGCCGTCCATGCCGGGCATTGAGGGCGCGCCCGTGTTGCTGTTGCCACCCATGCCCATGCCACCCATCATCATCATGTTGCTGAAGTCGTCCATAATCTTCTTGTTGTTCATGGCGAAGGTATCGGCCCCAAATTCGCCGCGGACGGACTCTTGTTTCGCGGCGTACAACGCCCATGTAAACTCATCGAAGCCATAGTTGAAGTAGTCGCTAATGTCCGTCCCAGGTCTGCGCCATGGTTTTTCATTGTCTGGTAAATCTTCTCCAGGTCAGCTCTGTCCCGCGCCGCAGTCTTTCTTCAGGTTCGCCCACCTTCGTCAATGTTGACCTGTGTTATCGGTTTGCCTACTGGCGGGTATATAGGATTGGCGTTTATGTCGACGGTCGATTTCGAAGCAGCTGCGGATGCTTTATCTGCGCTCGGAGCAGCTAACTGGAGTGCACTTGATGATGGCGTTTGCGCTTCCGTTTGCGCTGGGGCGACGGGCGCTGGCTTTCCTGGGCTGTCTTTGGTGCCTGACCTTTGCGGGATGTTCCGAATGTCGCTATACTTTGCTTGACTGCCAACAACCTGTTAGCATCGACTGCTGAATTTGGTTTGACGCTGTAGCAGGCGCGCGTGGCAATTACTACCTTGGAGGTGCTGCCGTTGTGCCGTCTTTTCGCTCGGTAATAATGTCGATGTCCTGCCAGGGAGATTAGATAAGATTTTGGGAGCGCGCAAAGCATCAATCCATACGGAATCATCGTCATCTTCGTCCATAGCACCGCCTTCGTCCTCCTCCTCGCCTTCCTCAAGCTCCTCCGCGGGCTTTGTTGCTATGGGCGGTTGAGCTTGTTGAGTGTCCACTTGAGGCTCCTCGGGTACGTAGATGTCATCGTCCTCGTCCATATCCATGATGCGCTGTGATTTCTGAAGCGAGAACAATATTCGAGATGAAAACGAATTGGCAAGAATGCGATTGTGTGTCGTTCAAGGGACAGCTTGTTTTCTAAGTATTGGAGCTTGCTTGAAGCAATCTTCGGACCCGTTGTTTCTCCGTGAACTCAGTGTCTTGATCTTCGCGCTACACCACGTTAGGCCAGTACTAAGATTCACAGTGATACGACACTTGTTGCAGAGGTATCTAACTATCTAGGCACGGCTGCAAGTCGAAGGCTTCAGTTCCACAGCTGTTTTGGTTGATCCAGCCATCCTCAAAAGTTCAGCATCGGCTCAAGCGAGGCAGCTCAGAGCCTGGTTCAAAGTTTTAACATGTCTCTGGCGCGATCAGCCAGTGGCCCAGGCGGTCTCACAATTAACACAGGCGCTGCGAACTCCCTGTAAGTTGCTGAGGCAGCCACGAGCAGTCCCGCTCTTGGTGTACCACACGCGCCACCACCTAGAAACCACAAATATTCACTGCTCACAAACGTCGCGCATGGTTTGGCGGCGACACAAAGGCATCTATCTGCATCTGCTAACCAATTGCTTCTTTTTCGCCGTCACCATCTAGTACGCCGTCGTCACAGCCTCAATCAACCGGCGGGCTTTTCACCTCCACAGCCACAAACACAAATTCAAGCTCGGCGACCGCGACCGGCGCGATGGCGACAGCAGGCGGGCTCTTTGGCGCAGCGAGTGCGCAGCCCAAGGCAAACCCCTTTGGGACGGCAGCCACAACACAAGCACCGGCGAGCGGCGGTCTCTTTGGTGCCAGCATGGCGGCAGCCCAACCGCAGCAAGGCCAGACGACACCAGCAGCCGGAGGTCTCTTTGGCAGCACGCAAACACAGTCAAAACCGGCGGCCAGCGTTTTCGGCGCAGCAACCGCGCAACCTGCGACAAATACAACAGGCTCGGGCCTCTTTGGCGGTGGCGCTACCACTCAACAACCTGCTCAAACAGGTTCTGGACTCTTCGGCGCCGCGGCAACACAACAGCCTGCTCAAACGGGCACTGGGCTCTTCGGAGCTACAACGACGCAGCAGCCTGCCCAAACTGGCACCTCTGCCTTTGGTCAGCCACAAGCAAAGCCATCTGGCGGCCTTTTGTAAGTAACTGATCTGTGGAATGGATGGTTCTCCAAGGCCCTAACTTAAACAGTGGCCAAAGTCAGCAACCAGCGCAAGCGGCGAACCAAGTCGCCGCCGTTCAGATCAACTATGATAACCTTCGCCCACGATCCCGATTCGACGACCTAGCTCAACCGATCCAAGATGAGGTTGCGCTCATCGATAAGGGAATTCAGCGCGTGATCAAGATGAGGGATGAGATTGGCGAATTTATGCCCCAGCACGAAAGAGATATACAGCAACTTGGTAACGACGTCAAATTTGTTGAGTCGAAATTTCGTATGGTCCAAGAAGCCCTCAACCGCGATATCCAGACCGTCAAGAGCCTGCAAGACGTGACGAAAAAGAATATCGGCGACGCGCAGCTCTCCTTCAAGGCTGCAGACAACCTGAAGCTGCCTAGCCATTATCACCAGACCGGTCTCTTTGCGGGTTCCACCCCGTCGGCCGCCTCTAACGACACCGACGCGTCCTCTGCGCACTCCAACGCCCAGGACCTCATCACCTACTTCAACCGGATCTGTGACGACGTGGAAAAGTACAAGAAGCGGCTGGACGAGTACCGCGGTGAGATTGAGCGCGATATGCCTGGCGTTGAGAACGGGCTGTACGAGCAGATCCGGACCTTCCGAGACCGTAACGCCGCACTCCACGGCAACGGTAGCGCTGGCGGCGTGCAGGACCAACTCAATCAGGTGCTCTCCGCGCTGCGGGAGACCGGCAACGCGATTCTCGCCCAGGCCGGCCAGATTGCGGACACGCGCGAGCGGCTATCCCGCCTCCAAGCCGGGTTCATTGATAGCGGTCTCTATGCGACGAACTAAGCCAGATGAAGGAATTGGATGGACAGATACCTTGAGGATTTAGCAGGATGGGCGGGATATGACTGTTAACACATGCATGTACTCTGGAAATAAACCCACAATGATGGAGGATGTCGTCTTGTAACTATTATAATTCATGGAAAAGCAAGGTTGGGTTGCGTCGCGGGTCAGTAATATGGAGGCTTTCCCTGGCTGTTCCCGTTCGCCGCGGCTGGGCTCATATTCACCACACACTACCACTGGCGCAATGTTTGGATTTATCAAATACCAAGGCAGGATGACTTTTTATCATGATGACGCCGTATCCGATGAATAAAGGTCGGCTATGTTTGCCACGGACAGGCCCTCCAGTCCTGCACTATGTACAATCTGTGGCCAAACATTGCCATCGCCTCCCATTTTTTTCAATCCTTAAACGTAGAAACCCTAGATGTCATTCGCCATTAATGAAACAAACTCCCAAAGCCGCCGTTAAATTTGAACAAACTCAGTCACACGGACTGACGGTCAGTAGGTACCCTCCCCTCCTCCATCATCGCCGTCTCCGTATTCGTCGCCAAAGTCCTCGCCGTTGTCAAAGAACTGCTCTGCGTCGTAGTCTCCAGCATCCTCATCGTCGTAAATCTCATCCTCCTCATCCTCCTCGCGCGCCTCCTCCTCGTCGCCCTCGGCATCCTCGTCACCGTCGTCGCGAAGCGCCTCGAGCCTATCCAAGAGGGTCCGGCCGTTCGCCGCGTCCTCCTCCCCGTCGCCGGCGCCGCCGTGGCCCGCGAGGGAGGTCATGCCAAAGGCCTCCTCGGCGTTGGGCATGGCGCTGACGCGCGACAGCTCTAGCTTGCGCTTCTTGCGCGGGCCGTCCGCGCCGCCGCCGCCGCCACCGTCGACCGTCTCCAGCAGCTCCTGCGGGAAGAGCTCGCGGCAGACGGGCCGGCCGGACCAGTCGGGCAGGGCGCGCTCCTCGCGCACGAACTTCTCCGAGTAGGTCGGCATGGAGGTGAAGGGGTCGAGCGAGGCCTTGTTCTTGACGCCGTAGACGGCGTTCATCTGAGCCTGGCCGTACGCCTTGCGCGGGGCGGTCGGGTCGGTCAGCGCCGTGCGCTTGGACGTGTAGAGCGGCGACGAGTGCATCTGGCGTCGCAGGAGGAGCATGTAGTGGACGCTGGTCGTCTCGGCCGTCGTCAGGCCTCGGGGCGCAGGTACCGCATAAGGCTGGGAAGAGTCCAAGGTTAGCAGGAAGACGGACGCGGATTGGTGCGCGGAGAGCGGTCCGGTGAGATTTTATTTGCAAAAGAAGGGGATGCTTACCGGGAACAGCTCGGACGGCCGCGCATCGGGCTCATCGCCAGTGTCCCACGGCACGTTCGGTCGGCCGCCGCGACCTCCTCCACGGCCACCGCGACCACCACCGCGTCCGCCGCCTCTGGACATTTCGGGTCACGCGCTGCCGGCCAGGACGGGCGCGGGGGATGTGATGATTATGTATGTGATATGCGAGAAGAGGAAGCTTGTTGAAGGATCATTGACAGAAAATTACCAGCGACTTGGATAGAGAGAGCGGCGCGCAAGCAAGCGAAAGAGCACTTGGTGGGGGAGTGGTAACTTTTTTTTTCTGCCGCTTCTGGACAGCTGGAGAAAGCAGCCTCGATCGCGCGGCGTGGTGGAGCAGCGGAGTTGTACCAAGCAGGTACTGAACATTTATTGTTGAAACCTTTGTTATTTACATTCTGTCGGGCATAGAAATTGGTAGCAATTCGATAAAAATTATTGCAATTATTTTTATAAACAACATTGAACACCGTTTGTTGGGTATAGGAGGCGGTGAGTCGTCCACAGGTACACAGTAGCGAATAAGCGTTTGGATGATAATATGAAGAATGAGAAGAGAAATGGCTGTCTATTACACTCTTCCCGATTTTGAGAGCCGCGATCTATACTATAATCATATAAAAGGTTAGCCGTCTTTCTGGCATATTCTGATATCACTGTGGTAAGACGTTGGATCTCCGATGATGTAAGCGGCCTGAGCTGCACAGTACCTAAAATCGCTGCCGAAGCTCTTGCTGTTCGCCCAGACACCCCAGCATTGACGAAGCCTCAGCTGCCCGCGTCACCCCCATAGCGAGATATTTCAGCCCCTCAGTACTGGAGTATACTTCTGTGACCCCGAATATTACATATCACAGTGGTAGAAAACCGTGCGCCGTGCCCGTAGCAGCAACAATTGGTCAACGCGGGATCATTCTTGTCCTTATACTGATCAACGTCCATCCAGTTCGACCGAAGTCGCCCCTTTTTTTTAAAGTATTTTGAGAGTCTTGGCAAATGCAGCTTTGTCAGTCGTCAGGTCATATTTGTAAGTTGTACAGTAGACTGGGTCAGTAAGAGATTGGTCAGTTGCACATGCGACCGAGCTCGACAGCGGCGAGCAGGAGATTCGTCGAGACATTGCGTCTATATAAACACAATGGCACCCGATAATCTATCACTACTTTCTACTTCGAGTAGGCAAATTCATCATCTATCAAGACAGCCTACCGCCTTTCTCATACTGTATCTATGCTGCACTCCATTCTACTCCTGGCCCTGGCGAGCCCGGTTGCCCGGGCTGCGTCGACGCTGTTTTGGGGTGGCACCATCATTGCCTTTAGCAGCAATGACGAGTCGCTGAGCGTCATCCGCAACGGCTCCGTCCTCGTAACAGACGATCGAATCGCCGCCGTCAGCAGCCAGGGCCAGCCGGGCGACCTGCCCGCCGATACGCTCCGAGTGAACGTCACTGACCAGATCGTCACGCCCGGCTTCATCGACACGCACCGTCATGGATGGCAGACGGCCTTCAAGACAATCGGCTCCAACACGACGCTCCTCGAGTACTTCTCCCGTTATGGTGAGTTCGCGGCGGCTGCCCACTTCCAGCCCGAGGACATCTATCTCGGGCAGCTCATGGGGCTCTTCGAGGCGTTGAACGGCGGCGTAACGACGCTGCTCGACCACGCGCATCACACGTGGTCCAACGCGACGGCCTACGCCGGCCTCAATGCCAGCATTGAAAGCGGTGCCCGCGTCTTCTGGTCCTACACGTTCCACAACATCACCTCACTCAACTACACCGTCGCCGAGCAGATTCCCAACTTTCGCGAGATGGCCGAAAGCGGCATCCTCGACGGCACCACCACAGAGCTCGGCATCGCCTTTGACGCCTGGGGCCCGGACCCCAACGTCCGAGAAGCGCAGCAGATTGCCGACCTGGCCCGCGCGTACAACGTGTCGGTCGTCACGACGCACAGCCTCGGCGGGCCCTGGGGCAACGACAATCTGCCCGAAGACGTGGAAGGCTTCGGCATCCTCAACGGCAGCATCCCCGTCGTCTTCTCGCACGGCACCTTCATGACGGCGCGCGGCGCGGCGCTGCTGCGCGCGACCAACCAGTACGTCTCGGTGACACCCGAGTCCGAGATGCACTACGGCCACACGCACCCACACGCGTACGTGCTGCAGGACCAGGCCGCGCTCGGCGTGGACACGCACTTCACCTACTCGAGCGACATCCTCACGCAGGCGCGCGTCTGGCTGCAGTCGGTGCGCTACAAGTTGTCCTGGGACGTGCTCGAGGGATGGGGCCTGCCGACGCGGAACCCGATGGGCACGGACCAGGCGTTCAAGCTGGCGACGCGGTCCGGCGGGCTGGCGCTGCGGCGGCCGGACCTGGGCGTCATCGAGGTCGGCGCCAAGGCGGACCTCGTGGTGTGGAACGCGCGCGACTCCTTTTCGATGCTGGGATGGGTCGACCCCGTGGCGGCTGTCATGCTGCACGCGAGCGTGGGTGATGTCTGGGACGTCATGGTAGACGGCAAGTTTGTTAAGCGAGAGGGCAAGATGGTGGCCGGGAAGCTCGACGAGGTGCGGGCGCGGTTCATGACGAGCGCGCGAAAGATTCAGAAGATTTGGCGAGAAACGCCGTATCCCGCAGCCCCTCAAGGCAAGTCGCCGAACGGCTTTCCGTATGTCGTGCCGACGATTGCGGATACCCGGCGTGGAGAGGGTAATGGGTATGGTGAGCTCTTTGTCTAGTTGGTAAGACAAAACGATATTTCAATATTCTAGTAACATTGAGGTTTGGAATAGTAGGGTATGAACTCTGGAGCACTCAGAATTGAGCTGCAAGATACGTGTACAAAACATCACTTCTATAAATCTTAGCCATGTCTGCCAAAGACAACTAGTACCATCTCAAACTACCCTAGTGTACTCTGCATTTTGTTTTGAAATCAATTCAAAAGACGGAGATTCTTTTTGAAAAAATATAGTAAAAAAATAAAGCAGAAATATTTGCTAAAAGTTCGATGTTGGTTAACCTACAGATGCTTTCCTTACCTGTTGCTGCCGTCTGTGGGCCTCTTCTCTACACACCAACCAGCCCAGGCAGGCAGCTTGCGCAACTTCTCATCCTCCACCTCTGCCATCAACGCTATACATCATCAGCCCCTCACTTATCAACCCGACATTCACCATCTCAATATGCAAAGCGACAGGGTCATCCCAGAGTCTGATCCGGGCGTCTTGCCCATCGCGCGGCTCGACGAGCTGCTCACGCACCTTGCCGCGCTCGACCGCGACCCGGACGCTCCCATCGACGCCCAGCTGCTTGATGAGGTCGAGCTGCAACTCACACGTGAGCGCCCCCTGTCCCCTTTCTCGCTCCCCCCTCTCTCTCCCATCACAAAAAGACATCGCTAACCCCCCTTGCTCGCAGACGCCAACATCCCACCGCTGCTGCCCACCGTGCTCGTCCCGCTCACGCGCATCCTCCGCGCCACCACCTCCCCGGACCCGAGCCCGCTCCTGTCCCTCACCACGCGGCTCCTCGACCCGAGCCCGCTCCTGTCCCTCACCACGCGGCTCCTCGCCCCCCTGCCGCTCGCTCGGGTCCTCACCCTCGCCGACCCGCCCTCCGTGCTCGCCGCGCTGCGCTCGCCGCTGCCCGGCGCCAACCGCCTC